AAAAATTGGTCTAAGAATAAAAATACACAAATCCTCCAAACAATCTTCCCATTTTTGCCACCTCTTCCCTATGCCCAAAAAAAACCCTGTGCCGAACGGAAAGGCGGCAGAACATGGATTCCATGGTAAATGCCACACGGGGAGACACACCAATTTCACTCAGGAGGTGAGAGAAAATATTATTGTAATAAAAAACAAATTTATCATACATCATATTTTTACTATTACAGCATTCTTGACATCCTCCTTTTCGATTTTTTTACGAGGGCGTCTGCCAAACCCCACCAAAGTCGCGGGAAGACAAGGTCGTTAAGATGGAGTGAAATTTTCGAGTCGAAAAAAAATTCACGTCTTACTTTTTATCATTTACTTCGTCTCACACTCCAAATTCTTCTCCCACCGTTCTTCCCTGTCATCTCACAGAGAGCCCACACGAAAATTATCACTTTTCCGCCACAAATTTGTACACAGGGAACAAATTACATTGAAATGTGCTCAAATTGTTGGGAGGAAGAAAAAAAAAATGAAGCCACAGACGCTGGAGATAAGAGCAAATTAGACATTCTGCAAATTTATTCCCCACCATTCACCAATTTTCAGTGGGATTTTTCTCAGTGTACCAACCGCAGCAGGTTTGCGTCTCACACCATCGGGCATCGAGAGGAAAATTAATGGAAAAATTATGACAATTGACGCATTAAAAATCAAGTTTAATGAAAATTGCGCCAAAAAGGGACCTTTTGGCCAAAATCACGCTCTCATCTTTGCGCCTACCAGTCAAGCGAGGGTGGAAAATTGAATGAAACGGTCATAATAAAAATTGATAATCCCATTCATGTCTTCCCAAATTGTGTCTCAATCGATATGGTTTTAGAAAACGACAACCTCATGTGCGACATAAAGTATTGAAATGTCACACTCAACGAGCCCCAATTTACTGTTTCGCTCCAAAACTGTCCAATTACTGTACGGAAGTGACGCAAAAGGCTGCCTTCTCTCCCGTTCTCTCGTCGCTTCCTCACCCACTTTGGCGAATTACTCAATTCTCCTTGTGGATCAGGACAAATGCTATGCGATGGTGAAAGATGTGAAAATCCCATCGAGAGAGACAAAGCCTCACAGGAGCAACCCTTTTTGTTTAGCAGACAACAAAATAAGGATTTTCACAGCCTCATTTTTTCACCCACTTTATAGGGGGCGAACTTCCACCCGCCAGGAAGCGCCCTATTCCACCCGAAAATCCGGTAAACTCTTAATCACAATCGCCCAGGAGTAATGGGCATGAGCATCCCATACAAGACGGAAAATTTAATTAACTTGTGGACTTTTCCAATGTGTACACTCGCCCATTCCAACCTTCCGTGCGCTGCTGAAATCCATCCTCAACGAGAATCGTCTTGCAAAGTATTGCTCTGGTGTTTCATTGTCGACACAGCTACGAAAACGCACCCAGGCAGATCGAGAGATAAAAAACCTCAGAGGGTTCATAGGAAGAAGTTCGGGGGAGAAGACGTAGTGTCTAATACAACAAAAAGGAGAAAGAAGAGTTGAGTATCTCAGAGCAAGTAAAACTTGGAACACGGTGAAGAAACATAAGTATCGACAATGTTTGATAAGGAATAGATGATTGAAAGAATTAGAGAGAAAAGTAGTACAGGCTCAATAGTAAAAATGGACTAGGGAAAAAGGCAAGCAGAGCACAAATGGATAGTCCAGACACAGAAGCGTAAGACACACTAGAACATATGAAAATCATTGCAAAGGTTCAAAAAGAAAATGGAATCAAAGCAAATAAGAAAATCACCAAGAGTATTACTCTAAACCAGAGTAGTTTTTTTATTCTTATTTCTATTATACCAAAGTTTGTATAACGATCGCAAGAAGTGCTTTACGCTTCGTAACATTGTTTAGTGAAATTGATAAACCCTTTTCGGGAAATCCGTGTTCCACAGAGTGTTTTCTCACCCATTGAGCCGCATTTTTCTCCCTCCGACCCCCTTTCACCCCACCCGCGCCAATTTCCCGCCACTCAACAGACGGAAAAGCTCATAATAAAAAATCCCGAACAGAGCGAGAGGGAGTAAATGAAAAAATTCTCAACATTTTCCCCATCAACCCATGAAACTTAATTGCTGAAATCAATAGTTTCTTCCTCACACTACTCAAGAAGTCAAGATACTCGGGCATCTTTTCAAGGGCCAACGAGCTCATCTCACAGATTAGTTACACCCAAGCGACCAACTCCTCGAAAAGAAAAGCTGCACAGAAACTCAAGAGGAAACTGGAAAAAGAGGCAAAGAACAGAGTCGTGAAAATCACGCAAAACATCGAACAGGAAACGATGCTTGAGATTTCTATTTGCCTCTTTTTTCTCCACAGTGAGGCAAAAGTGGAAAAATTCTGCGGTGAAAATGGACAGATGCGGGGGTGACTTTTCAACATGCAAAAGAACTGCGCTGAAACTGGGCTTATTTGCAGAGTGAAGTTGGAAAAAGGGTCACATTCGGCTAAACTATATTTGAATGCTGGGCTATGTCGGCTTGTGCGATAGAGAGAAGCTGTGAAAAAAGGAATCGGGTGGGAAATTAAGCACAATCAGAAAGAGTGTGTCATTAGCGGAAATGGAAAACGCGAACTTTTATACGCAGAAAACGGAGAATGCAAAAATCTGTGTGCGCCATGAGAGGAAGAAAAAAAAGGAAGCTCCAAAAGCTTCCGAGTGGAGTATTAATTAAAATACTGCATAAAAATTAAACTGAATTTTAATTGATAAAATTCCTCATTTTAATTTAAAATACTTGAGAGAAATGCAAACTTCTTTCTTTGCAGCACTTTTTCATTCTCTGTATTTTTGCATAGAGCAAAAGAATTTCTTCCCATCACTATTGGACGGAAGACGCGATTAAGTATACACAAAACTCTACACAAGTTGGGTGGTGGGAAAAAGGGGAAAATCCACGCGCAAAGCCGTGAAATTCAATCCCAGCCCTCAGACATCGGTTGCTGTATATTTAAAGTGTTTCACTTATTGGACAATGAGAAATGGGGGTTCAAGTGATATTTAATTAAAGATACTTTTCACATTAATGCGTCTGGGGAGTGAATGTGAAATCAGGCAAATTCAGGGGTGTGCTTCACCCGCCGATCGTTAAATATTCAGCACGAGAAAACCTACACGACACACTCAAGGATAATCTCTGTATTTAATATGTGAAGCATCCCTTGAGAAGCCCCAAATACAGTGTGTGTGTGTGTGTGAGGTTGAAGGAAAAAAACGCACCACAATTCCCAAATCATTTATATCCCCAGTCCATTTTCAGGCTTCGTGGCGATGCTCCATAATGTGGAGTGCATGTGTCTTCCGCTGAGAAGAAAATAACACGCCACGATAAATCAGAAAACCAAACAGTTTCCACCGAAATTCACAAGGATTAATTTGCATAATATCCAACTATTAATAGTTTTCAGAGCAGCTCTCGTGGCTGAAAAGACAAATGTCGATAAGTTGCTATTGTGCGACTGTCCTCATATGTTATCATGTCTGCTGGTCCTTCCAACCTGACATGCTAATCAATTAGAGCTCAACTGCGAGAGTATTTTATTGTTATTATAGCTATATTTTAGCTATAAAACGACTTACTTTGTTTTGGAAGGTAAAGAAGGCTTTGCTTAAGCTTCTGCAACTACAGAACGTGACATTCGTCTAGTCACAGCAAAATATGTTCCTCAATGGTTAATAATAAATATCAATTCAAGCTGAAAAATCAGAATTTAGACCAATTGATTAAAAAGTTAATAAATAATTAAGTTTGAATAGCAAAAATCCAAATTTATTTACTTTTGATTCGAATGACATTTTTTTATAATGAAATTCTTTCTAAAATTATCATTACTAATTAATATTAATGTTCCAATTCTCAATTTGATGTAAATTTAATTTCGCCTAGACGCTCTAAGACGGCAACGGACGCACAACAGGGGATGAAAGTAATGAGTCAGTTGATGCTTGAACCCACACTGAAATATCATGTTGCCAAGTATTTGCCAAATTAATTCCTTTGACACACCAGTTTGCCCTTTCCCCTTTAAATTTTCCCTTTTGCGTCAACACACGTATTGTCTCTGCAAATGTACCATTATTATAATGCCGTATAGTGAAAGAAGTACCTCTACATCGTTTAGAGGGTGCAACTACACCTTTGGGAGAGAAACCCCATAATCATCATTTTTCCAACGCTCTTTCTCTCTCTCTCGCTTTGCCAACCAAGAAAGAATATAAAGCGTGTAATCCTCAAGTATCCTTGGGACAGAGGAAAATCCTTGACTCGGGACTGAGATTCCATGACAATTGGATTGTTGTGTGTGAGTGTGTGTGGGAAAATTGGCGAAAGAAATTAAAAAACGTGACAAAGAGATATGAAAGAAGGAAGAGACAATGTCACAACACGTATATAGATGTGGAAGAGGAATCTCTTTAACACACAAAATATGTCACAAGTCACAAAATTACACAACACAATTTTCCACACACAGCCAACCCACTGAGCAAACAATGGGGTGGGCTTAGGGACCACCCACAGAACAATGTGAAAAGTGGAGGAGAAAGTCGGAGCGTGGAGTAGAGTTATAATAATAATATTATGTAAAATCGCACTCACACACTGTGATTTGTGTGGATAAAATGTTATTTTCTATGAGGGTCCTCTCCGCCTTTTCACAGGGACCCTCGCAGCCTCCACTCTCTGCGTCTATGGCATCCTGAGGTGTGGGTTTGGAAAAAGGGAAAAAGTCGTTGTCCCTTGGAAAACCGAGCTCTCCCCCCTCCCTTCGTATACATTTCGCCTAAAACACATCCTATTCACACGGGAAAATTTTTCCCATTCACCACACACACATACACACATGATATTCCAGCTTTCATCCCCCCATTCCACGAGACTTGGTGCTGAACAAAAAAGTACACCGAGTGACGATAGAGAAAATTCACGAGAGATACTCACAATGAAGAGGAGAAAAGGCTGTATAATTATGTATTCCCAGGATTCATGTAAATTGTTCTTGTTTCCAACTAACACTCCACCTTCCTCTCTGCCTCACCTTGTCCTCCACAACCAGAAGCAGTCCGCGCGACAATCTGCTTGTTCTCTTGCTTCTCTTTCCTTTCACAAAAGTCCTGCCAAAAGTCCTTTCTTCTTCGATTTTTCCGTCACCATCGGATGCACTCTGTCCGTGTGTCAGTACACGAAATTCCGACCCAGTGTGCCTGAGACAATTCGCTGTTCATTGAGCGAGCGCAGGGCCAGCGAAACGCAATGTCCTGATTTTCACCATCACTAACCTCAAAGCCATCTTTTCTCAACTCCTCTGCAAACCACGGAGATTCACTCAGGCACACACAGCACTGGCTGGAATATGGAACACCAGCAAGACAAGAGCCCAACTTTCCACTGTCCGTTGGCGAGCTCAACTGAGAGAGTCCCTTGCAAGCAGGATCAAACTCAAGAACCAACTAAATTTGATGTAAATCAGCGAAAAACTGGGAACTGGGACTCCCTTCGTAGTGGAGGGGAAAGTCCCGTGCTCTCAACTCTCCTCTCTCTCTCTTTCTCTCTTTCTCACTCCCCCTCCCTTTCGCGCGTGAGAGAGAGGAAAACCCACACACTGCCAGTGAGTTAGGGGATGTTGATTTACTCTCTCACCGCGCTCTTACATTGCAAAAGGTTATCGCAAGAGCGTCGAATCAATTACTGTTGTACCGATTTTGTCCATTCAAAACACTGTCAAACTAAGTTTGACAGCTGTCAAATATGTCAGATAGTATAAAAAGCAGATGACTTACCAATTTCCGTCTATTCCCACTATTTCTCAAGAGGAAATCATGCAGAAACAAGGATGTGTATTAATCTTATACTAAATATAATCTCAGTTTGCATGCATAAATACGTGAAACTCACAATTGTGACTAAAATATACAGCTTTCGTCAACTGTTGACACACACTGCCGTGAAAATATGACGAGATGAGGAGCAATTTTGCCTTGTTCATAAAAAGACCAGCAAGAGGGACTCCAGGACACAAGAGAGACTACATCAGAGGGGAAAATTGCTGAATTATCCCTTGTTATGTACACAATTTGGCGAGAGAGTGAGAATACATGTGAAATTTGGATGGGAGAGATTTTGGCAATTGGAAATCGCACATTGAAAATTCCGGGTGAGCAAGTGCAACTCATATGAAAGAAGGGAAATGTGATGGAATGAGCAACACTCACTCCTGTTCGTGACCACAGATTTGCAGAACAAGCAGGAAAAAAAAGGGAACTCCGTGAGGTATAATAAAATGTAATTGAATTAAAGGGGACGAATTGAGTTAAAGAGCTTCAAGTCAATTCAATAAATTTTATCTTAATTCCCAATTTATGTTCCGCCCAATAACCGTAGGCAGAGTAATGAAGGGAGAGAGAATTGAACGAGCATCCCCTACCCCCTCCGCACTAGAAAGAGTGTAGCCAGGGGAGAGAATGATCCGGAGAGATCAGAAAAACCAACACACTCCGGCATCCCTTTGGCGCCTTTTCTCCGCGAGTCAAGCACCGACTCTGCGAGCTGCAGCGTGCCAATAAAACTAAATAACAATAAATCGGAACATTGCGCAACAGCACAATTCTGTCAAAATCTTATAATATTTCGGCAGGAAGCACAGAGAGAGATAAACCCCCTGAATCCCAACTCCTACCCACGGTTGTCCTTTTGCAGCCACCGCGCAAATTCAAGCGCCCGCCAGCGACTCAAGGCGAGCGGATTTGGTTTTATCTTCTCTAAATGAACCATTTGACTACACAAAGCTTTGCAAAGAAAAGACAGATAAATGTAGACTTAACACTGAGTGTCTTATGAACATTCACCGAAATGTATGAAACTATTAGTTCACAGTTTAAACGTTATCTATTATTTAAGAAACATTTATTTCTAGAATAGCGTTGGAAAAATCAGAAATTGTCATTCTAGTTCTTATGTAAAAGCTGATTTTCCTCTGACTGTCCCCATAAATATCCAATGACAGTCTTACGATTGTCTTAAGTTCTATGTGGAAGTTTCTATGAAATTTTCGAGATAAACTCAAATTCATATCATTCAGCAACACATCTCAGTAGAAACAATGTGATGTACTATGACGCTATGACATCGCCTCCCTTGGACGATAATCGGGGACTGAAGCTCCCCAACTCCGTCTGCAGATAGAAATAGCACCAGGTAGGAGCTCCACAGTGAAATTACAACGCCACACAAGCACACTGGAGAAATGCGGTGGGAGAGAGAGAGAATATCTGGCCAAGCACGAGAGCTTCACCAATCATGCGCATGACATCGAGTCAAGGTGACTGGGAAATTGGCGGGGAGGCATTTCGAGAGATGAGACAAATTGAACAAGTGTCTGGACAAAATGTCACGCAGAGCAGAAAAATTATCAGTTTTTCCTCACCTTCCGGGCGTCAAAGGAAAAGCGCCACAGTCCTGAGAGTCGACAAACACACTCTGCTGATGAAATCTCTGCTAAGCCAATACAAGTCAATATGCATAAAATAGCATGACACATAAAACATGGATTGATTCATTAACCCAAATTCAGCAATTAAATTAAATTCATCTGCATACTTTCGCAATTGAATGAGCACCAAAATTAAATTGTAAACCAAACCAACCAATGTAATAATTTAAGGTGAATTTCCCTCAAAATTCACGCCTTTTTGCAGCTTCATTTCGGTCATCGCGGAATGTGTGTGTGTGTACGAATTGCATGGGAGAATTATTGCATTGCCCCAGAAATTAGTTAAGCATGAGAGGCAAACATCAGAGGCGAAAACCACACCGCATTAATTGGCAAAAGCGCCGGAGAACCAAAAAAAAAACACCGTGCAGAAAAAGCTCTAAATCAGCGTGTCACGGTGAAAACTTTTTTACCTGCTGAGCAAAAAAAAACTTACCCCTAAACGTGAAATTCATTAATTAAGCGCCAATTGCTGGAAGTGCAGCAGTTGCCGTCACTTCGGTCACTTCGGTCACACGACAGATGATTGCGTCAAGTGTTGTGCTCAATGCCAGCCAAAGAAATCACCCTCAATTTAATACTTATGCCAACCATTTTATGCTTCATCATTTTTATTATTCACTCACTATTTTGGGGAATGTTGGTAAATTTAAAATTCCTTACTCGTTACGCGTCTTTAATCATAAATGACGAAAGAAAAAAACGACGAATGGGAACAAAAAGAAGGTTGATGAGCGGGACACAGAATACTGAAGAGATAAAGTGATTAAAAACAAAAAAAAACAACCCCTGAACAAAGGGTTTTGAGGAAAACTAATAATTTACCAAAGAGAAAAATTTAAGGGCAAAGAAACTCCATTACAAACTATAATATAATTAAAAAATATTCATTATGCAACCTAAAAATATAAGTGATAAGAACCCTCTTAAGAAATCTGTGGTGACAATTCATCTGTCATTAAATATAGACGTGTTGTGTGAAATATATTTGCTAATTATGCTGATTTATCCGCCTCTCGGGATCAAACATGCAGCTATTTATGTTGAGTTTAGAGCTGACAATTGTGTTTACTGAAAGACCAATAAAAAGAAACACCCCTGAAGTCTTCTGTTTTTTTTTTGTGGAATGTTCGCTGACAGAACTTCGGGATAGGCAAGGAAGGATCGAGACCAGAAACAGGATAAAGGACACAATATGCGGACGGAAGAAGTGCTGGTGAAAGAGGTGAAGCAACAGCTGATCAAAATCATCACATAGAACTCACCTGAGATGAGGGAAATCCAGTGGCCGGTTGTCCGGGAACAGAGAATTGTGGCCTGAAGTTGCCAAAGTTGCTCGCCGGTCCGCCAAATGACGACAATGCAGCGCCCTGGAATCCGGTGGGAAATTGGGGCATATTTTGTGCTGCAAACCAATAAACAATTAGTCCAGAATTCCAATTCCACATCACTCTCTCGTCGTCTACTCACCAGCATTGGGCACATTTCCCGCCGTGGCCGCCAAGCGGGACAGAATGGAGCGCTCAGACATCTGCAGACGCTGCGCCACGGGCGGAATCCTGGCCAGAGTGGCCGGCAGACGAGACACGTCGCTCTTCATGTCCGACAGGAGCTCCTCGAGCTGATTCAACACCTTGTGCAGCACCGCATTGGCCGGCTTGTTGCCCGCCAGCGACTCCTTGCTGAGATGCTGGTGGCTCTCGGCCAGACACTCGACTTCCGCAAAGCGAGCATTCAGCGACATCGCCGGATGATTGGGGTCCTGCGTGAGATTGAGATACGCCGCCCGCCTCAGCTGCTCCTCAATCACCAGCGCCTGCTCCAGCAGCTTGAAGCGCCTGGCGAGGAACTTGTTCTTGATCTCCAGGAAGTTTCCCTTGCCCACGTCCATCTTGAACGGCTCATTGATGATCGCGAAGCGAATGTCATTCTGAATGTCCTGCCATCTGCCATATCCATGTGTGACGATGCCCGCCAGCAGCCAGTAATCGTGACGTCTGTGCCAGATCTCGTACTCCCGCCCCGGCACTGCCGCCTTCTCCTCATTCAGCCACAGCGTGTGCAGCTCCGTGAAGCCTCCATCGGCAATGTTGAACATGAAGTTGCGCTTGTGCACCTCGAGATTCTCATCAATCTTCATCTCCGTCTTTTCCTCCTTCTTCACATTGCTCTCATAATCATCCTTCACCACCACCACATCGTCGTCGTCGTCCTTCTTCGGTGACGCCGCCTTCTCACTCTTCACCGAATCCGTCTTGGCGTCAGCCTCAGGCTTGTCAGCCTCCTCAGGATTCTCCGCCGTGGACTCTTGCTTCACATCCTCAGCCTTCACGTCCTTCGCATCACTCTCCTCGCCAGATTCCTCCTTCTTCTCACCACCCTGAGTCTCCTCAGCTGGCTTCTCCTCGTCCTTCTTCTCGGGCTTCTCCTCCTCCTTCTCCGGTGCCTCCTTCTCGCCCTCCTTGTCCACCTGAGGAATCGGGCTGGCCGCCGCCGATGTCGCCGGTGTGGCACTGGTGCTCGTGGTGGCACTCTTCTCTCCATCATTGATCACAATGGGCTTCACAGGCTCACACGGCTTCCTGATCAACTCCGGCATGCTGTAATATCCATTGATGTGCTCAAACTCCTGCACCTTCTTCCTGATTAGGCTCATCACGCCAATCCTCGTCAACACATGCTGTCTACTCAATCCCTCTCTCGGCACGCCATCGGCAAAGGTGTCCGCATTGTCCGTTCCCGGCTCGCACAGGTGTCTCATGAAGAGCGACACGTATGCCTTGAAGTTCCTCTCACTCTTCCCGCGCAAATCCCTCACCAGCCACTGCGAGTTGAAGGCATCCTGCGGCGGCATGCCGTACCGCATGATGGCATTCAGGAAGCTCTTCCTCTGCCTGGCATTGAAGCCCAACACCTCGATATTCCCACCGACGCGCGCCAAGAGCGGCGGCAGTGGACGATCTCTGTCCTCCTTCCGCTCCATTCGACGCTTGCTGCGCCGACTCAGGTCAGCATTCTCGTTCTTCTCATCAAAATCATCATCCTCCTTGTCCTCATCGCTGCCCGCCGAGAAGTCCGAATTGTAGTCGGACACATTCTCCTGCCAATTCGTGTCCTCACGCGATTCCGTGGCCACAACACCGCCATCTGTGTAGTTCACCTGCTTCCGAACGCGCTTCCCCTTGCCCAGAGTGCGTCCCAAGTCCTCCTGGTGCTGCTCATAGTGATGCCTCAGCAATTTCACCCAGTACGCCGGATCTGAATTCTCCGCCTCCTGCTTGATGATCTCCGTGTCCATGTCCTCCTCATTCTCCTCCTTCGTTGCATACGATGCCACCTTGAAGGATGACAAATACTCATTGGCCCAGCTCTCCTTCTCCTCAATGCCCTTATTCGAGCGATCCAGCAGTTCGGCCACCGCCTTGTCGTCATAGTGAATCGCCTCCTCCTCCTTGCCTTCGTCCTCCTTGAACAGCTCCTCCGTGCCAAATCGCAGAATGTCATCCAGTTCCTGCTTGGTGAAATTGGCTCCCTTCCCACCCATTCCCGGACGCACCACCAAGTGTGTCAGCATCATCTTCCGCTTGGCCACTTGCGTCACGCGCTCCTCCACTGAATTTCTCGTCACAAATCGATAGATCATCACCTTGTTCGCCTGACCAATTCTGTGCGCACGCGAGAACGCCTGAATGTCATTATGTGGATTCCAATCGGAATCATAGATGATCACCGTGTCCGCTGTGGCCAGATTGATGCCCAATCCACCCGCTCTGGTGGACAGCAGGAAGACAAATTGAGCTGCTCCCGGAGCATTGAAGCGATCAATAGCCTCCTGACGCAGCGCTCCCGTGATGGATCCGTCAATTCTCTCATACTTGTATCCCTCACCCTCCAGATAATCCTCCAGAATATCCAGCATCTTGGTCATCTGCGAGAAGATCAACACCCTGTGTCCCTGCTCCTTCAGCAACTTCAGCATCTTCGACAGCAGCACCAGCTTTCCCGCCGCCTTCATCAAGCTCTGCAACTCATAGCCACCGCCGGGGCCCAGAGGCGCCTCCTCGGCCGCCGAGGGGAACAAGTACGGATGGTTGCAGCACTTCTTCAAGTCCATCATCACATTGAGCAGCGAACAGGCGCCGCCGCCGCTCTTCGAATTCAGTGCTTCATAGTTTCTGGTCAGGATGTATTTGTAGTACTTCTTCTGCAGCGGCGACAACTCCACGCGCACAATAAACTCCGACTTTGACGGCATGTTCTTCAACACGTCGGCCTTCAGGCGACGCAACATGTGCGGCCCCAGCATCTCGTGCAGACGCTTCACCTGCTCCTCCTTGGACACATCGGCAAATTCACTCTGAAATGCCGCCAGATCGTTGAACTTGTCCTTGGAGAGGAAGTTCAGCAGATGGAACAACTCCTCCAGATTGTTCTGCAGCGGCGTTCCCGTCAGCAGCAGTTTGTATGCAATGTTGTAGTTGGCCAGAATGCGGAAGAACTTGCTCTGGTTGCTCTTCAGCCTGTGCGCCTCGTCCACCACCAGCACAGCCCAATCAATGCTGCCCAGACACGCCGCATCGATGCTAATCAGCTCGTAACTCGTCAGCAACACGTTAAACTTCATGCTGGCCGCCTTGAACTTCCCCGGACGTCCAGAGCGCACTGCACCCTCCTCGAAGGACAGCTCATTCTCCCGAATCACCGCCCTGGAGTCCTTGTCGCCCACATATGTGATGCAGTAGAAGTCGGGTGCCCACAGTTCAAACTCTCGCTCCCAATTGATGATCGTCGAGAGCGGCACGGCGACCAGGAAGGGTCCTTTGCAGTGTCCCTCCTTGTACAGCGAGTAGAGAAACGTGGCCGTCTGGATGGTCTTGCCCAGACCCATCTCGTCCGCCAGAATTGTGTCGATGCCCTGGCCCCAACTGTAGCGCAGCCAGTTGATGCCCTCCAGCTGATACGAGTGCAGCTGCATGCCCGTGTCTGAGATGTAAGACGGCTGAATGTCGTACTTCTTCTTCAGATCCGTGATCGGCTTCTCCGGCGGCGGCGTGTAGCGTCTGGGTATAAACTTGTCCTCATCCTCCAGCTCCTTGGCGCGACTCTTGCGCCCCTTCTTGCCCTTCCGCTTCACCGTCGTGTCCTGCGTGCACGCCATCCGCAAGTCCATGTAGTACTCAATGGCCAACTTGAAGCCCGGGATATCCTCGCTCTCCTCCTCCCAAGTCGCCTGATCGTACGCCAGATCGCGCCACTTCACCAGATACAGCGTCCTGCCATCGCGCATTGTGCGGTGATTGATCACGCGATGGATGATCAGCCACTCGGGCTTCACACCATACTTGTAGTAGCGCTCCTCGAGATTCAGATCCTCGTCGTCCTCCTTGCCGCCCTTGTGCTTAAGGATCCTCTTGTACCGACTGTCCGACTCGTCCAGCATCTCCTCCAGCTTTGGCGGCTCCTCCATGTCGTACTTGCGCGTGTAGTATCTGCAAGAAAGCACATTTTTAGTCAGTTAGTATGCAAATAGTGACGTGAATGCAATTGGAGGGCTTTAAAAAACTGAAGATTCTCAAATTGTGAATCACACTGACCTGAACATGAGCGGATGATAGACGTCCAATTGCAGCTCGGTGATCCAGTCGCAGTGCCAGTAGCTCCTCTCGTGCCACTTCACGAAGTACTCGCGGCGCCGCACACCCTTGGTCTTCTTGGACGTGCTGGGCTCCGTGGCCGGCGGCTGTTCGGTCCAGCGCCACGTGAGGATCTTCTGCACCTTTCCGTTGAGCGGCGGGCAGCTGCACCGCGGACACTTCCAGTCACCGTCGGGAATGTCAGAGAGCGGCGGATTGAGGCAGAACGTGTGATACGCCGACGGACACGAGTCACAGCACAGCAACTCGCCGCCATCCTTGCACACACGGCAGAACTCCTGGTGCTCATCCTCATCCTGCTCCACCGGGCCGTCAGCCTCACAGTGCGGGCACGACCACTTGCCCTCGGGCGCCTCCTCGAGCTCCGGATCGAGGCACACGAGATGGTAAGCGCGCGGACACGTGTCGCACAGGATGATCTCGCCGCCCTGCTGACACACCTCACAGTAGTCCTGGTGCTCCTGCTCGCCCTCCTCGCCATCTGGAAAGCGGTTGGTGGTCTTCTTGCCCTTCCTCTTGCTTTTGTTCCCAATCTTCGTCTTTGCCTTCTTCCGCACCGCCGGCTGCGCACCCTCCACACTCTCTTCCGCCTTCTCCACGCGCTTCGGGCTCTGCTCCTCCGACTTCTGCAGCATCTTCTCGAACTCCACGTCCGAGTCCCGCTCAGAGCCCGCCGACGCACCGTCCGCATCGTCATCCGAGCTGCCGTGGCGCCTCTTGCCAAACTTGATCTTCAGCGTCGGCACCTTGCCCGACGATCGCCGGCCCTTCTTGCTGGCGCCCGAGCGGCCACGCTTCTTCTTCGACTTCTGCTCCTCCTCATCCTCCTCCTCGTCCTCCTCGCCAGCATACTCCTCCGCCTTGTCTGCCTTGGCGCGACTGCGGCTCGGCTTGGGCTGATACTCAGGCGACGGCGGCGCCGAGATCTCCTCCTCGCGCACCTCCTCCGATTGCAGGTGCGGATTCAGCTCCGTGAACTCGCGCCACTTGGCGCCCACCAGCATCATCAGCTTGGACATGGGCACGCGTGGGTTCTCCTTCTGCAGAATCGGTCGCACGTGCATCTGGAACATCTTGTACGTCACCAGGTTCTGGAAGTCCGCCTCGCTGTACTCAATCGGGATGTCCGTGATGTCAAAGGACTCGCACACCTCTTCCACCGTCGGCATGCCACCGGAGCCCGAGGCGCCCGAGTTGGACGGCGGATTCTGCTGGTGACGCTTCTCACTCTCGCGCTTCTTTCGACCGCGCTTCGGCGTCGAGTAGTCCGAATCGCCGGCCGCCGCCTCCTCATGCGGATAATCGCTCTCGTCGCCGCTGTCGTTCTTCTTCTTCTTTTTCTTCTTCTTCCCGCGCTCATTCTTCAGCTTGCGCTTCTTCCCCTTCTTCTTCTTGCGTCCATCCTCCGGCTCGTAATCGTCGTCGTCGTCCTGCAAGCAAATTCAATGCCAAAAGCCGGTCTTTAATGCTTTTCGTAAACCCAAAAATCATAATTTAGCTCAATATTTCGGACGAAATAAACATATTTGACTTATTATTTCTGCATAACTAGTCAAATAAACCAATCGTCAAGGATGAATAAGAACCTCAACATGAATGAATTAGAAATTTATCAAACGATAAAGAAATCTGTTTTCATTTCGTTATAATCATAAAAGGCATATAAGACGCCCTTAATTCTATGTTAAAGAAATTTCGGCGTCAGATTTGGAGAAAATTAAATTTTCCAATAGCAGTAGTCGACAATTTATTACGCAACAAAGAAACAATTTTCAAGAAGTGAATTCGAGTGCGAAAAATTGCCCCTTAAAATCATCGTGAAAGAGCGTAAACACGTTCTGAAGGTATTATTAATGTGTAATTATAGATCTCAAATTCCAAGAAAGGTTGAACAATAGAAATTTCTGAAAATCTCCAAGATTCACTGGTCAAGATGTAGGAAATGCCTCGAGAAGGTGAAAATTCGAGGGGAATCTTCTAGTTTGATGACTTTTTAGAATATCTCGCAATTTCTGGAAATCCACTTACATTCCTCACTTTCTCCAGTGCCTCGTCGGAGTCTCCGGACGCCTCCCCGCCGCCTCCGCCCTCGAACTCCTCACGCTGAGCGTCTTCGGCTGCAAAAGAGAAGCCCAAAAAACATCATGAGTGACGAGAACACAGAAGTCGTTCTTCTTCGCTGCCTTTTTTTCTCTTCCAACACTCGCAATTACCGTTCGCGAGTGGCTTCTTTTTGCTCTCTCTTTCTCTTCTCTTTGCCCACCTGAAGCCTCCCTCTTCCCTCCCCGCGCGCACCCAAACAATACACTCTTCCTCGCCCCTCCGCCGCCGCCGGGGGCGCGCCTTTCTTCACAGCGCCCGCGAAAATCGCCGATCTGGCGCTCACTGGGCGGCCGCGGAGGGGGAAAAGTGCGGAAAATGCAGTGGAAAAAGTGCATTACCGGTGAACGACTCGATTTCATCGTCAGACGCCATTGAAACAATGGGGGCGCCCCGACTTGTCACAGGCGGCTCGCACTTCTCAGCTGTTTTTCCCACTCAAATATCACACTGCACTGCAAATCACCACGCGCACCGCAATGCTGGGGTGCCAGAGCACGGATTTGGGTGGTTTTTGTGCCGTCTGCTGGATTTTTAGCCACAGAAAATGCTGTTTATTTACGCACAGCACGCTTCTTTGCCACTCACACACAGGGCGCCGTCTGGCAACTCGGCGCAAAACTACGCACTAATTGACATCTTAGTGGTTGCCAGCGCCGCCGTTCCGGAAACTCGTGACGTGTTCAGTGTCAAAAAGGGCCCCGAATTTTCACGCTAATCCTCGCAATTTAATTAGTTTTCCGCGCTGAAGGAGGCAATTTTGTGGGCAGTCTGCCAGTGGAGTCGCTGCACCAAACGTCGTTGATGCACTTTCACGTGCTGCTGCGCTAGACGGGTGTTTATTTGAGGCGGCAGAAGAACAGTCCTCCGGAGGGACTGCAAAGATGATGGGCGAGGAGACTTCCAGCCGGAATGTTGTATCTCAATTCTTCTTTAGAATATCTCAGGTGAGTCAGCTGCCTCCTCGCGTGATTTCGCGTGACTCACTTGACTTTTGGCTTGCAGTTGTACCAGCAGCAGCTCGACCGGCTGACGCCGCACACGCGTGTCCGATGGGGCGGAGCGGTTTTTCTCGTGATTCTCTTTCTGCTGCGCGTCTTCACGAAGCAGGGCTGGTACATTGTCACATACGCCCTCGGGATTTACCACCTAAACCTCTTTATTGCATTTCTCACGCCTAAAATCGATCCAGCGCTAGATTTAGACGGTTTGTAGAGCCACGCAAACTTCCCCTTTCCGGACGCAGTCTAATGCGCCTCTTGGGCGGGTTTGTTTTCAGATGACCAAGGACCAGAATTGCCAACACACGCCAAAGAGGAGTTTCGTCCATTCATCCGGCGACTGCCCGAGTTCAAGTTCTGGTACGCCGTGGCCAAGAGCACCGTGATTGGCATCGTTTGTACCTTCTTCGAGGTGTTCAACGTGCCCGTCTTCTGGCCAATTCTCGTCATGTATTTCATCACGCTCTTCTGCATAACGATGAAGCGCCAGATCAAGGTGAACGACCCCATTTTCACCCCTGAAAGCCAACAAATTGAGCCTTCTCTTCCTTTGCAGCACATGATAAAATACCGGTATTTGCCGTTCACCCATAGTAAACCGCGCTATCAGAGAGTTCCGGAGACACAGTGACAATTAAAAGCACAATCACTGCAGCCCCAGAGCGTGGCCCCGCAGCCGGAAGCACCGCGGGAGGCCGAGATGTCAGCCATCTCGACTGTTTGAGCTACGCAGGGGATTTTTCTCAAGCCATTTTGCCTCTTTTGTTCACCACCCCCTCAATTTTACCGGATTCTCACACGCCACATCCTCTGAGGATGCCCGTGGGCGGCACAAGGAGACAAAATCACCGAGGAAAATGTTCGGATGACCAAAAACGCAGTGAATTGTGCTTACTTTGGACGGTATTTTCTTTCTGCAACCCAACACGATTATGTTGATGGAAACCACATTTCTATTAATTTAACAAGTCTCTGTAGTGATTATTGGATGCTGGATAGACAGATTAATTATAATTTGTAATTAAATAACTATTGGATTGAAGTTTTCTGGCCATTTTCATAGGAGAATTGAAAGCGAAACACAATTTTAGGCATAATTTCATCATGTTGAAGTTCCACCGACAGAGGCGCTGCGAGCGGGACGAAGTCTACCAAGCTAATCAAATGAAAAAAGTTTTTGCGCAATTTAACAACACGAAATTACACAATTAGTCATAACAGTGTTGCAAAAAGTATAAAATTTTCCTAATTTCCGGGAAAGTGCATGGAAGATTGTGAAAATCCGAGAAATTATGGCACGTCAAACAGTTCGCAGTCAACTTCACTTGATAGATGGCGCGTCAGTGTGTGTGAAGATGGCCGATTGATTGTCACTCTCCCATCGATACGTGAAAAGTTTCAGTGCTTAATCTCGTGGAAATTCACGTGAATCCCCTGCTCAAGCTGTGCTAGTGAACACATTGGCGCCCCCACACCGCCTAGCGTGCCGAGAGCAGGTGAGAATTGCACCCTGGGGGTGTGAAAAGTGACCCCAAGAGTCGCGTAAGAGACTCGGTGTTTGGGTGTATTGGTGGCGCGGAGTGAATGAGAAATTTGCTTGCGGAGACTTTTTTCCCTCGATACTCGCGACTAAACAAGATGGGAGACGAAAAAACACACCCAGTCCGTGGCGCGGACTATCGATGCATTTTCACGCGGCGCCACGAATACATTTTCCTCTGTGAGAGACGAGAAAGTACCTGGGAAAATCCGTAGAGAGTCGCAGTGGGCCAGAAACACCCACTCAAGGGGTCATTGAGACCAAGCAAGCGCTGCAATCAAATTGTTAGGCTAATCAGAGACAGCTTCTCGGGGTCTCAGGCCGTGCGGAGCGCTTTAGGGCGTGCGTGTGCACGCAAAGGGCGGGCAAAGGGGGAATTGGTGCATCGGCAGTGAGAGAAAAAATGTCCGAGCGGGTGTTTCGGTGAGAGGCCACGGGTCGTCTGGCGGCGCGCAGTGCCATCGAAGGGGCAACGCGTTCAAAACACACAAACACATGGAAGCGCCACGTAGCGTCGTCCATTGGCAGGGATGCACTTTTGCCCATTGGCGCGAGCGAGACGGCGAGACACGCTGTCTCTGTTGCTGGGAGTGTGTATTTGTTTTTATGCGCTCTCGCTTGTGGAAGGCAGAAAAAAGGCCATTTTCAGCGACTTTTCGGACGATTTGGGGGCGCTCTCTCGCCGGATGGCATTGTCACAGGCACAGCGAGTCTATTTCAGCGGTCAGTGAGAGAATCGAGCGCGAGAGAGAGCGTGAATCGCGAGGGGCTTCTCAGTGGCATTTCGGGTGTTATTCTGTTGATAAACATTGAAAACAGAGGCAATACAGCTCGAGATGTTGATAAGGGAAACATAGGGAAGCATATGCGCTTACTGTATTAATGCTGCCTAACTTTCTTACAGAGTGCCAGAGAATCTCGTAAGCTTAAGAGAGTGAGAAAGAGAGGAAAATCAGGATTATTTGCTGGAGAGACAGAAGAAAATCGGATAAGAATCGTGCCAGAAAAGAAATCATGCGGTAAGAAACTTATAAAAAAAATGATGAGATAAGTTTGAGAAGAATTACAACGATTTTTTTTAAAGAATTGTCAGTAAATTTAATTAAGTTATTAGAGAAAAAAATTAGCTAAATATGGGAAAAAGGTTTTTAATTTTAAGAATTCCTCGTTTTAAGACACGGCTGATAACGAAAATCTCACAGAAAAATCAGAATTTAGCTGAAACTATCCACTTTTAAGCACTAATTGGTGTGTTTTTGACGCTTCGCAGGAGTCTTCCGTGGAGGCGATGCTCCTGGACGTGTGGCAAAGGCGCGCGACAGTGGCCAGGCGTGGTGTAAGGTTCATCGTGGACGCGATGACGCGCAAGAGGCGTCCGACGCGCGCCTCCAAGCCGCCCAAGGAGGCCAACTATGTGAAAGAGACATTCTACGATACTCTGATTGACGGTGTGAAGAGTGACAGTGGCGAGACAGTGAGCAGGGCGCCGGCGGCGGAGAATGGGCCGTCGCTGCGCAGCAAGCGCGAGACGTGCAAGCGGATCAACTACACGGAGCCGAAGGATGAGGAGTGCCTGGTGGAGAGGCGCAAAGGGAAGCCGCTGTACAAGGTGATTGACAAGAGCATGTCGTACACGAAGCAGCACCTGCACACGGGCCGCGACCGCTTCCCGGGGCGGCCGAAGCCCAAGGTGTTGTCGAATCTCGTGGCGAAGATCAGGAAGCGGCGCAAGACGGAGCTGAGCGTGCTAAGCGACGAGGCGGACAACTTCATGTTTCCGCGCACGACGCGCGAAGCGCCGGTGGAGGAGTTGGACAGCAAAATTGAAATGCTGAATCACGAGATGGGCGCGCCGCCCAACGGCGCACGGCCTAACAGGCGAAAGAGGAACCACGTGAACGACGCGGAGGCGGCGCCGAAGCCTGTCGTGCCGGAGATCCCCAATCTAACGCGGATCATACACAAGGAGGCAGTGACGCGGCACAAGTTCGCCTTCGAGCGCGTGCCGACGACTGAGCCGTGGTACGATGCATTCCTGAGGCAGGACGAGGGGCGGGAGAAGGTGTTCGAGTACTACGGCAGCACGGCGTATCGGAAACTGCCGTTCGAGATGGGTCCGCTGCCGCCACTGCCGGCCAATTGTTGCGGCCTATCGGCGGGCGGCTCGAAGACGGCGCCCACGACGGCGGCGGAGGCCAAGGAGGAGGCGAAGAAGAAGGCAGAGGTGCTGGCGAAGGTGAGCAAGAGGCGGCGGCAGATGCTGGACGTGGAGTATCCGCGCAAGAGTCCGCGCGAGCACGCGTCCACGCTGGCCATCCTCAGCTGTTTGGTGCAGCAGCGCAAGAAGGAGGAGAGCGCCAGTGAGTCTGAGAAGAATGGGAGTGGCGACGAGGAGAGGAGAACAAAGACTGCCTCGCCAAAGAGGGTATCGCGGGACTATATCAATGTGGCCCAGCTGAATCGCGAGATTGAGGAGTTGCTCAGCGATCCGGCGAACGAGAGCTTCGAGAGTGTGGACGTGAGTGTGCTGGCGAACGACAGCATGTTCGTGCCTCTCAACACACGCCCGGACTTTGTCAGTCTGCTGGTGGAGGAGGAGAAGACGCGCCCGGCGGAGGAAACCTCACCGGCGTCGGTGATGGCGGTGGCGTCGGCGGGGGGCGAGATGAAGGGACCGAAGAAGAGGAAGAACAATCGGACGGGCTGGCCAAAGAAGAAGAGCCGCGGCGTGCGCAAAAGCACGAACAGTGACACGGTGGTGAATGTGAAGAGTGAGGACTTGTGCGTGGGCGCCAGCGCCGTGGACGCCACGTCGCCGGCCAGTGAGATCTTCACGGTGTCGTCGTCGGCGGAGAGTGTGCAGAGTGAGGCTGACGCGAAGGCGGTGGCGAAGGATTCCGACACATTGAGCATCAGTGCCAAGAGTTGCTTCATCAGCGACGATCCGGAGGAGGTGAACGGCACCACGTCGCCCAGCGACGCGGCCAAGGAGGAGGAGGACGAGCGGCGCAACCGGCGGAAGGCCTTCTATCAGCCCGTGATTGCGCTCAATCGCCTAGAGACGCAGCTGGTGTACAATTCCTACAGTCTGAGATCCACCGCGGCGCCCAAGGAGGCCAAGTGCTCAGCAAAGCGGCGCATCAAGCGGAGCTCGAGGCGCACGAAGAAGGGCACGTGCAGATAGACTGGCCTATATATTATGCAGAACAGGTAAGAGCTGCTGGAGTCTCTCTCAATCAACCAAGTAAACTTGTGTAAAGAGTATTCGTTAAGGGTAAGGAGGAGAAATCATAGCGTATTCAGAAAGCCGATTCTCTACTTAGGCGCAAGGCAGGAGGAAACAGGGATGAGAGTAGTGTTGTAATATATTTTAGGAGGAGCAGAGAGGAGGGGGAGGAGGAAAACCTGTCCAAAAAGAAACCGTGTAAAGTAATTAAATAAAAACTCATGAATTTCAAGTGACGCACAGTTAGTCGTTGGCCGGCAAAAGCATGAGTGGCGCGGGTGACGAGAGTGACTGGCAGGATGCCGGATTCACGCTCAAGGATCGCCTCAAGACAATTTTCGAGACGAAATTCATGGCCGACTTGAAGTTCGCGGTGGGAAAGAATGAGGAGGAAATTTCGGGTGAATATTGTGCGCTCAAGTGCGGAAGAGATGCGCCTGTTTGTCTACAAAATGGACACAGAGGCACTTTTCTTCCTAGAAAGCCAAGTGTCTGCATTTTGACCAATCTCTCATCCAGCGCATCGGCTCGTCGTCGCCCTGGCGAGTCCCATTCTGACCGGGATGATCAGGACGCTGCCTTTAGACGCGGGAATTTCAGTCGTGGACACAACACCGCTCATTTTCAGCGTGTTTCTGGAGTATTTATACACAGGCGAGATTCCGCTCAGTCGCGTTCACGTGGTGAGAACCCTTCCCGGATCCCGAAGAAGAAGAAGAAGACAAGCGTCTGGATTCTAGACAATTTATTGGCTCTTCTAGGTACAAATGCTGCATGTGTGGCAACTGGCGAAGCGCTTCGGCGTTGAGGAACTGGAAGGCGTTTGCAGGGATTTCCTACAGCAGGAACTGACGCCTGAGCACGCCTTGAATGTCCTGCGGCACAGCGTGGCTGTGGAGAATGGAGAAGTGGTGAAGATGTGCCTCGGCATGTTGCCTGAAACGGAGGAGAAGAGAGTGTCAGTGCTGGAGTTTTTGAACAGCAAACAGGCGTATGGATTGACACTCGAGCAGAAGTTCTTGGACATCAACATCCATGAGGAGATTGTGAGCGATTGTGAGATGCAATTCCAGGCCAATAAGGGTGTTTTCGTGGCCGGTTTCGGTGTATTTGCTCAGAAAGGTGGCGAAGCTGTGGGAATTCTCTCGCTGGAGCGTCTGGATGTGAGGAAGTGGGATTGGGTGGATCACAAGTTCATCACGAGTTACACAATTGTGCAGCGCTGTGAGCATTATGGCCAGGAAGTGGTCTTCTTCCGTATTTCCCCACCAATTTGGGCTGAGCAGAAGGCGACTTATCGCCTGATTTTCCGGGAAAGTGACTGTTTACTGCGCATCTCCGGCCAGGAGAAGATCAAGGAGAACCGCCTGATGGATTTCCGCACCAAGTATGAGCAGTTCACCGGGAATCCCATGCCTTTCCTGCTCACCGAGAGCGCGAAGATGGAGAGAAAAGCCCTAAAGGAACTCACGGGCAATGCAAAGTGCTGAAAGTGTGAGACAAATATACCTTTCATGAGGACAATTGAGTGTTATCGTCGTCTGGACCATGAAGATTTCTCTCCGTGATCCTTAATCTCCAGTCCAGCTTCTCGCAATCCATCCCTGATGACGTCGGCAGCCGAGAAGTTCCTGTCCTTTCGCAATCTCTGACGGATTTCTAGGATTTTCTCCATCACAGCATCCTCAGAAGACTCAGAATGTGCATCTGCAGAACTTCCGGGCAGTGAAAATCCCATATTGCTCAGGGTGTCCTCAACAAACTCCTTGGAAAGCTGAAGAATTCCAATTTCTGGAGAGCTTCTTCCGTCTTTAGGTGCAGAATTGATTGCCTTGCTGACGAAAGAGATAAATTCTTGTAACGTCTGAAGAGCACTGGCCATGTTGAAGTCATCCTTGAGATGTTGATCCACATCTTCTGTGGCTTTTGAGTATTTCTCAAAGATGTCCTGCTGATTGAAGTCATTTATTTGCCTGCTTCCGCTCAAAATGACCTCCATTTCTTGCAAGAAGTTCTGAAAGCGCTGAAGAACCTTCCTGGCCATTTGCATGGCCTCCTCGCTGAACACCATCTCTCTGCGATAGTTGGTCAGCAGACACAGCATCCGGAAGTGATCAGGCGAATGCTTTGACAAGAGTTCCTCCACGGAGATTGTGTTTTTGAGGGATTTGCTCATCTTCTGAGCGTCTCCTGACAGCTTTAGATGTCCTGTGTGGAGCCAGTAATTCACCCACCGCTCACATCCGTGATAAGCGCAACTCTGCGCTTCCTCGTTCTCGTGATGTGGAAATCTGAGGTCAATTCCACCTGCGTGGATGTCAATGGTCGATCCCAAGATCTTGCTCGCCATGGCTGAGCACTCTATGTGCCACCCAGGACGTCCTGGCCCCCAGGGAGACTCCCAAAATGGCTCTCCCTCCTTGGCTGCCTTCCACAGTGCGAAATCCGCATTCTTGTCCGCTTCCTGAGATAGCTTCTGCAATTTCCCGTACCCTCTGTAGTCTTTGAGTTTAAAGTACACTGAATTGTCTGTGGCTTCGTACGCTAATCCCTTCTTCTCGAGTCTGGAGATGAATTTGACGATCTCCTCGATATTTTCAGACACGCGCATCTTTACATGAGGTTGAACCACTCCCAATGCTCTCAAATCCCTCCAGAACTTCTCCTCATTCTCTCTGGCAACGGCTTCCCACGAGCACCTCATCTCCTGACTCCTCCGGATGATCTTATCATCGATATCCGTGATGTTCATCACAGAAAACACACGCACGCCGAAGTGTTTGTTGAGTATCCGACGGATTGTGTCCAGTTTCACGTAAGTGCTGGCATGTCCTATGTGTGTGTCATCGTACACTGTCGGTCCGCAGGTGTACAGCGTGGCCAGATGTTTTCTCCTCAAGATCAGAGGGACTTTTTCCTTGGCAATGCAATTGAACACCTCAATTCCCGTCGAGAACCCGTCCTTGGGCGTGATCCACTTCATGATTTTGATGGAGAAACTCCGAAAATGGAATAAAATAGTGGTTTCAGAAGATTTCCGGGCAGAATTGAATGGAAAATACACCTGAAGGCTTCTTTCTTTGGCAGCCGGTGAAACATAACCTCACTTAAACAGCTGTGTTTTTGTACTAAATTCTGATTGAAATTGGATTGTTGCTGTTTGTGTTTTCTCCTGGAAAATCCCTCAAAATGATGCAATACGAGGACGAGGAGGTGCTGGCAGACAAATCTGCCTGTGCCGGAGTCAGGGCGGATCTGAAGATGTGTCTCTTGAAGAGCGATTGCTGCAAGAAGGTGAGAAAAGGATATCAGGGTATTTGAAGGTCTTTCAATGCTTTATTCCCTGGACAGGAGGGCAAAACACCCCGGGAATGCCTGAGCAGGACTGATGGCAGCGTTCCATCGGAGTGTCACGTGCTGAGAAACACGTTTTTCGAATGCAAGCGCTCCGTGATGGACAACAGGGCGAGATTCCGTGGCCGGAAGGGTTACTGAGCATGAGTTTTAGATAATAAAGCCCAGGAAGTGTAAAGAGTATTTAATTGTTATAGTTTAAAGAAAAGCCTCCTGCGGATGCAGTCAGTGGCCTGAAGTTCAGCGTTGTAGATATCGTGGGAAATGAGATAGCTCCGGAAGTGTCTGTAAAGCGTGAATTGGTTGGTGAGGATAAGGAAGCCCATCGAGATCATGTTCTGCCACTGATGCGTGAGCACCACGAGAGCAATCTGCAGCACGACGAGCAGCAGTTGGCCGCAGAAGAGGATCAGGTAGATGTTGGAGGGATTCCTGAAGACCCAGTGGAAGCGAAAGTGGCTAGCGTTGGTCGGGATGGCGGCTGTGGAGCCTGTGGCCTTGTAGAAGTCGCCGGAGTGCTTGATCAGCGCCCCGGCGGGCCAGACCAGGTTCTTCGACCACGTGAGCGCGGGCACAGCGTGAATCTTGTTGTCAATGCGGTTCCACTGGCCCAGGTGCAGTGCGGCACGGTGCAGGACGTCGCAGTACCTGGTGGGGAAGCATTGCGCCGCGGCGGCCGTGAAGGCGCTGAGCCAGGTGACGGTGAGGTGTTGCGTTGCCCAGAAGAGGTCGTAGTAGAGGAAGGCCTGAGAGAAGCAGCACGGAATGAAGCCGGCGTAGTAAGCGTTGCAGGCGGACGTGAAGATGACTTGCTTGAAGCGATTGTTGAAGTCGCTCTTCAGCACTTCCACCTCGTCGCGAATGGCGGAGGGGTTCGTTGAGCAGCAGTGCAGCGGCGTTCCGCCCAGGTACACCGTGTTGCTGGCGTGAATGGTCTTGAGGAAGGGCTCAAGGCGCGCCCCGAAGATGATCAAATACACCAGCAACGGATAGCATAGGCAGAAGAGGTACATGCTGTTGGACTTCTGGTACAGCTGAACACTGCAGAAGAGCAGCACGGCGGAGAGGAAGCCGAAGTACACATAGGATACGACTCTCTCCTGCCACGGAGACAGCTTCATCACGCCCACGATTGCCAGGAAAATCACGCGTCGCGACAGAATCGTCACGATGAACATCACCAGGTACTTGTCAATCAGATAGAAGTTCATCGTTTCGTGTACAAACGAGTCCTCCAGCCACCAGCCGGTCCTGTACAGGTGCAGGAACTGCGCTGATGCCGCGATCGCCACGAAGATGAACATGATCAGCTCGTTAATGAACTCCGGCGGATGCGAGACGTCCGGGAATGGTGTGTGCTTCGGCAGGGAGGCGAAGCTGGACGTCTTCTCCCCCACGCCGGTCAGATTCTGCGCCACGGGCGGGAGCAGAGTCCGCGTGGAGGGCCGAGCAAATCGGCGAGAACTCATTTTCCATTGGAATTTTATGATTGCGGGTATTTTGGGGCCACGGAAAAATAAACAAGGATCGCACTTTGAGGTTATGGCACTTTTAACCGCCCAGCTGAACAGCTCCCACCCGAATTGAGTACTTGAAATATATGCTCAAATAGCAAACGCGAAGTAAAAACTTTTTCAAGCTTCAAGTTTTAATGTCTATAGTTTACAAAAGAAATTCATTCCTTTCTCACAAAGATTTTAAATTATTCAAGTTCAAAGATTTCAGCATAATTTTCTCACTCATTTGTAGTCAAATTAATTTATTATCTCATTAAAATAATTTACTCTATGGGCTTCATCGACTTTAAAGACTACATAAGAGTCCATCTTTGAAGGAACACATTTTCTTAGTATCTCGATGCGAAAAGCTCAAGTGAATAATCATGAAATAACTTGTGAAATAATTTTATTTAGAGTTTCTCCACGTCTTCTGCCTCTCTTTTTCTACATTCTTTACGCGGAATTATCGTTCAGAGACGCGAAAATTTCGAAGCATTGCAATTGCGGTGCTTCGCATCTAGTACCGCGGCTAGCCGTCAGAGTGTCAGAGCGTGAGTGTGAGTGAGTTTTGTTATTTACATATTACACGTATTCTGGGTGAATAATTGCGGAAAATGAGTGATTCAGTGTGATCCCGTGCTGAGCAGCTACTCCACTCACGGTAGGTTTGCCAAATCTTCTTCAAAGGGCCGCCGTGGGGCCGCTCCGGGCGGCATCCGGGTGTTTGTGGGTCAGTGGGCAGGAAGTGGCTAGGCGGCGAGAGCGGCCGCTGGGGGGCGCCGGTGGGATTGAGGTTACACCGGCGGGGGGTCAAGGACCGCACATGCCCAGCGTGATGAGCGTCACGGCGCCCAGGAGCAGCAGCCCGCAGAGGTGGCCTCCGCGGATGGGCATTCGCAGCAGCTTAGCGGACATCCGCAGCGACGAGGCGTAGATGAGCACGGAATTGAGGTCGTCCGTGGAGGTGCGATGGTGCAGGAAGGGCCGGATGCGAATCTCATGGCCGCACGACTGGATCTCCTGGCACTTGGTAGTGAGAGACGCCGCTTGGTGCAGCGGCAGCAGCGCCGCCAGCAGCCACAGCGTCACGTTCATCAGGCCAAGGAGGCTCTCCTCGGGCGCGCCGGCCAAGTCCAGCTTACTAGCCAGGTGGAGCGTGCCCGAGATGCAGTAGATGGCGTTGAGCAGCACGAAGAGGCTCACGGGCGGCGACATCAGGAGATTCAAGTGCTCCAGCAGCTTCTGGAACTCCGTCATCTCGCGCATCCATTCGAGCGAATCGATGGTGTTCTCCAGCAGGCGCTCCCGCACGCGCTGCAGGAAGTGGCGCAGCAGAAAACATTGCACGGCGTACGAGGACAGCACGATGCCCTGCAGGAAGTCCTGGAAGAACAGCGCGGCCGCCAGTAAACGCTGCAAAAGGGGAGAAACATTTAATATCGGTGCGATAACATCGAATTGGGCTATAAATTCACAGAGATAAGCTTGGGCAGAGCTTAGCCAGAAGAGAGAGATTTCCTGGTATAGTTCAGATTGTTCGATTCATCGGCGTTCTGGGAAAGGAATCAAAGGAAAATACAGTGGCAGTAGTAGCAATAGCGTCACTGGGGAAGACAAGTCAATATTATAGGGAAAATGCAGTTATTTTTATGGTAGAAAACTGCGATTTTTGCCCATTTTCTTATTACAAATCCTACTGTTCTGGAATCCTAGAATTTTCATAAGATAAACGGGGTAGAAAATGCTTCAATATTCATTGAGAAAGTCTCTAAAATTAGTCATTTAAACAACTTTGAACGTCAAGCTTCAAATTAAAGACCGCAAAATTTAATATTACTGACATGTTTGTGAAAATCGATGTGCTATTTGCTGTCACGCAACTGTATTTTATTCTAAATCTAGCTTTAGAACGGTATTTGATCAGGAAATCTTTCGAAAAATCTCTCAGAGCGACTGGCAAATGCAAATATCTCCTCTTGAGAGATAAAGAGCGACGTGTAATCACCGTGAAAGCGATCTGGCTCGTTCCGGAGAGCTTCGTGAACCACTCAGTGGTGGCTGACTGGTTGCCAGTGGTGAAAATGACGAAGCTCGTGGTGCCCAGGAGCCATGCGAGCGCGCTGAGCTTGTACGTCCAGCACCAGGCGACCAGGCGGCGCGGGAAGTGACTGCTGATGAAGACGCGTTCGATGAGGCTCTGCAGCTGCTCGTTGGCCACCACGCGGAAGACGGTGAGTGCAGCCAGGAAGGCGAGAAGGTGCAGCAGACTTGGGATGGCGTAGATGAAGACTGCCTCCGTAACGTGTTGCAGACGACGCGCTGTCCAGGAGGCTTCGCGCGTGGTGAAGCCACGGTCGCGGCGGAAGCCGCAGAGGTACTGCAGAGAGTAGCTGGCCAGGAGGATGGCGAGGATGAGGGCGCTCTGCACGTGGCCGAGGGTAGTGAGAGAATCGTGCGAATCGATGTTGCGTGGTCGCAGGCCAGCGATGCCCAGGATGTGGACGTAGGGAGACACGAATTGACGCTTGCAGATGGACAGGATGGCGGATGTGGGCTCAGAGGTGTCGCCGTTCAGGCTGGCGCTGGAGATGCGATCGAAGTCTCCATCTTCCTCGGACGTCTGGAGGCTTCCTGGCAGTGATTCCACCGCAATCGTCGAGAGTCCGGGCAGTGATCGCGATGCCCGATCTGCGGGGAGAAGTGACACCACGTAAGAAAGCGGTGGTGAGGTAAGAGGAGATGCTGCTGTAGACTCACCAGGGATTTCCAGCACCATTTCGCCACAAAACACTCACGAACTGTCACGATTTGTGGGCTGAAATTTCATCCTGAGCGAGTGCATTTGCGGACTGCGGCCAGATAACCCCGAAACGGTCGTGATTGCGCGCGCCCAGGGAGAGTCGATGATCTGTGTGCGAGTCGCATCCCGAATGGGTGGGAAAGAGAGGCCGGAGATGAGGAAGTTGCGATAATTTCAGCACCTCGGCAGCGAGAAAGATAAGAACTTTCTAAATAATTCACCGTTTTTGCTACTCTTAAGCGGCTTTTTTGCTATACATCTTTAACACTCACATTGGGAATGTTTATTGTTGCATTCCACAAACGGATTTCTCTCTCTGTAAATGTATTTATTTGAGGCAGTCGAAGAGAGGCGTCATTTCGGTGGATTTTTCGTGATTGAAATTGGGGAAGTGAACAGATGTTGCAATGTAACTTGTCGCGCTGACGACCTCATAAAGATTCATTTACTGCCTGCATTTTACTGTCTTGATAATGTGTGTCTTTCCTCTGTTTAATTTGCAGATGAGTCGCTGAGTTGATAAAGAAGCACATCGAACGGTGTGTCTGCGCGTGAGATTGAGTCATTTGCCAGTGCGAAGATGATGGAGAAGGATGCACTTTGTGAGTGGGTGAGAGACAAGCCGATCAGCATTCTTCAGCTGGATGCTGCCGATCGAGCCGTTCTCAAAATTGCAGGTCAGTGACAGTATGTCATATTAAATCTCCAGCTCGCGCCTTGTGCAATTCTTTCAAAGTTCCCCATTGTATTGCCGGAAGTGCACAATTGAACACTGTGTGTGTGTCACCCTTTTGTCGGGCCATTGACACTCACGATGCAATCCACTGGGGTGCAGTTGGCCAGACAGGTGCCGAAGGGAGTTTCAGACAGAGTTGAAGAGGCCATAGATGAGCTATTCTGACCTGACGCCGCCTTTGGGAATCACGTCTATCACAAGGATTTAGTATCAAATAACAGTATAAGAAGAATTTCTCATCGAAGTTTGTGACATTTGATAATTCTTCATGGGCATTTTTTCTGAATTCTCATCTCATTTTCACATTTTTATGTAGAAACATGCTTTTTTTTGGCAAGATCATGTGTGAAATCACAGATTTTATCACATATTGTTTGACCATAAATTGGGCGGGGCGTTGGATAGGGCGGAACTTCTGAGAATTTATTCTCTTTCAGTTGACATTTCTTCTGTAGTTTATTGCAAAGCACAATACACTGAAGAGTACAACTAAGGGAGGAAATCTCTTCACTTTAATTAATAATTAAATGCTTTAAAAACAATTACAGACTGAAATGATAAATCTCCTTTTTTCTGGCCTTTTAGTGTGGTTCGTGAAAAGAAAGCAATTTCACTGACAAAAGAGAGAGAGACAGAGACACTCCTGATATGGCTTCTGGTGGCCACAAAACAATTAATCCACATGGAAATGTGGCGTGTCACGAACATTTTAGTACTTAACAAAATTGTATTCATGAAAATGTGCTAAAAGCACGCTATTGTTAATTCAAGAAAAAAAAAGAGAAGATTATGTATATGAAAACACTCGCGCTCTGTGAAATTTTGCTGTGCAAATTAATGAGATTTGCCCAGTAGCTAAAATGAATCTCGGGGCGGAAAAAGCGGGTCTTGTGCATTAGATCACGTCTATTTCGTCACTGAGCAAATGAAACTCTATCATGGGCAATAAATACTATCAATGATATTTTATCTAAACGCGCTGAGATTAGACACAGCGAGGAAAATGGGCATATTTTCTGCCTACGACTTTGCCAACGTTGAAAATTCATAAGCTAATTCACACAGCAAATAGCCGGGAAGATATTTTTTCTGCCATATTCGCCTCATTGGCAAGTACTCAACGTCTGAGAGGCCAATAATTCCGACAAGACTCTCCACTCAGTTCCACCCACAGCTTTGGAGACGCATGTAAATCCATATGTGTGACCATACGAATGGGTTAATAGCGCCTATTAGTCATCATTAAGGTGAGTTTTGACTTTATTCAGTCAAATGCGAAAAATTTCCACCTCCGCCACAAGAAGTGGAAGGAATGCCTCCGTCACCGCGGTCCCCAAGTATTTCTGCTCTCGCCTCGGCACAGAGCAGCCAGTCGGAAAGTGTGTAGGGGAGAGCGGGGCGAACACACACCGCACGGTGGCTCCGCTCTTCGCTATATGCCGCGCACTCGCGTACATGGTTCAATTAAAATATTTGCAGAAGGGTTACAGCGAGATGGAGTAGCGCTCTGAACACGGAATCACCGTTAAAAGGTGTTGTTCTCTCATCTACTTTTACTTTGGCCACCTTCTTTCTCCGCGCTGACCAACATCTTGAGCGCGAAAATCCCCAGAGTTGGGTCTTCCGCATGGCTGGCGGTGGAGTTGGGCATTAAGTGAAGAGGTCAGCCAGAAAGCCCAGTGCAGTGTCTCATTTCGTCCGATGCTAATCTTGCGGTAATCAGAGTTGATAGATTGTGATGATTTCGCAGGCGATAAGATATGTGGCCTATGATTTTTATTACGCCAAGGATTCCCTCTCTTTTTTGTCTGTCAATTGATAAGAGGCACGACAAACAGCAGTTGTCAATTTCACAAGAATGACTATCTTGTATTTCTGCTGGCAGAAGAGATAATATAATAAGAGTGCTAAGGAGGCTCAATGTGAGCTCTTCATGGTGTTATGTTTTTGAGAATCACTGCGGCTAAGGAAAATCGGCGTGGGCGGAGCATTTAAAAAGGCGTGAAATTAAAGGATTCAAGAGATTCTATTGCAAAAATTTATTTGTTTTCAACTCTCTGTTCACTAAAATTTCTACTCTTTTCTCTAATTTGTCTTTTGAAGGATCCCTCAAACTCCACCCACATACTTTCCCCGCCCATTTGTCACACAATAATTGAGATTCTTCGGAGGGCAGGCAATTTTCCTGCTTTCCTGCCCTTCACTGCATATTGAGGGCTTCTTCTCCTGTGTCGTCGCGTGTTAGGGAAGGTCATGGTGTCGGGTGTGTCGCCGGGAGGGGAATCCTTGAGGGGTTAAGTGACCACCTTCGCGATGACGTCAAGTGGCGCTCTTGCGGTGTCTCATTCTCAGAATAATGTGTGTGGAATTGACATTCCGCGTCTGATCGCACGGCGAGAGGCCATTGTTTTGTGTTGGTGTGCGCGCTAAAGTCGAAGTGGTCACGAAGAGAGGTTGGAGAAACGCACGATCGTCGTACGGGGGCGACATCGGACCCGATAGTGCTGAGAGGGAGAGAGAGCGAGAGAGGGAGAGAGAGATTGCGGCTCTGGAGTGATGGGAATGTATTAAGTCACCAACACTTGGGCGCTTGTGCCGCTAAGAGCATACAAATTTTACTTTCAATCAACAGGTTTGCAGGTTTAGTCTCAACTTGAGTGTCGAATCAAAGTGTTGCGTTTTCTCCTCCATCACACTAAACTGCTATTTTATCAAGTGGTTGCAAAGTGATTTTTTTCTTCTCTTCATTTGAACAATCTGCAGGATAACAATTGAGATAGTGGCGTCTTCTGTTAGTTTTTTTTTTCTTCTTAATCAATTGTGTTTGAGTTTGAAGGTGTTTTCCCAACCATTCTGCCTCTTGAAGATTACATTGGGTTCGGTGTAAAAGTGGGGCCCACAGAGATTAGATATTTCTCTCTCAATTGTTCCTGGGCATGATATTGATTCATTGATGAGATTCATTAGTGTGTCAATCTGCCGTTCTCTCACCATGTGATGATGATGTATTGTGGCCTGTTTTGGATATAAATGCGAGAGTTGGCTCTGAGACTCTAATAGAGAAAAAGAGTGCCTGTGTAGGTTAGAAGAAGTGGAATAACACAGAGACAGAGGGACAGAGAGAGAGAGAGAATGTGAGGAAATTTCTTCAGCTTCGTTTTTCAATTAAGACGCCAGACAGACAAGAAAGAATCTTCTGTTTCTAATTACAAAGTTTCGAGGGAGGGTGAAAAGATGTGGACTTATTCACACTGGCATCAATCGCTTAATACGGATCTTGTGCCAGAGTGAGTGAGACGGTTTTTTTCCGGTGCGGATTGAATTTGAATTTTGACAGATGGCGTTCACGCGAACTGTCAACATTTATCGTATCTGCAGAGGAGACGTGCGTCGAAATTGTGCGTGATTGATGGCTATGTGAGGAATTCACGACGGAAGGGGGCACTGGAGGGGATATCCGACGATCTTACACCTTTTCCATTGTGTACATATCTTGAGGTGACGTAGTGGCGTTTTTTGTCGTTGATTACAACTCTACAAATAACACATTACGTGGCTTTCGGTTGTCCAGAGAGCGCCGCCAAATCCCACATTCGCTCGCGAAGGGTTTTCCGAGGAATTTTCCGTGGATTTTCACCGCGTGAGGAGCACAAGTGCGAAAATTGTGAGGTGACACGTTAATTTAATACAGCCTTGTTCTACTTGCTTTTATGGGGATCCAACGCGATGCTGGAATGCTTCTCAATTCGATCTGTGGCTTTCTTTCGCCTCGGTCATCCTACGCAGTCTGATCTGATCTTTATAATCTCTGAGAGGTGTTTCATTATTTTTTTTTACTTCATCGGCGCGAGGAAAATGTCCCAGACGGCGAGAAAAGTGACGAGCAATGTTGGGGAATGTGGTCAAACAATATTGGCATGAGGCAATATTTAGTGAATAATCAAATGAGACATTAAATTGCAATTTTCGCGACTCCTCAATGACGATGATTATCGGATAATTTTTGCACATCTCACTCAAGATCATCATCATGATGGTGTTTTTTCTTCTCGAGGAATGTAAAACAAATATTTTAACAATCCAGTGGAGACGCGCATCACTAAAAATGTTATTTATATCTGCAATTAATTTGTTAATTTGCTGGAGAAATATTGAAATGAAGTACCTTGAGCGGCTTAATGTTGAATGACAAAAATCTATTCGTACTTGGTGATCATTTCCACGCACATTTTTTTTTAAACATTCTATCTCACTTTGGTGCTTTTTATCTGAGGCTGGATTAAATATTTGCGCACAGACACATGCAGAAAATGGTGAAAAAAAGGCAGATAGACTTCAATGCACTGAGAGAAAAACTTATTTACTCACATTAGTGAAGGGCATTTGCCAAAATGTCATCCCACTTATGAATTATGGGTTACTTGTTTTGACGTTTTTGGGATTCTATTGACTTTTGAGACACTCTGATGTGCATTTCTGAGATTATGTCCTTTAGCATCGGAGTTGAAATATGTGAGAATTCGAACGATTGAAAGATATATTACACTGGCATGGGATTCTGTTAAGAAACTGTAGAAGAATATCATAAGACAATCGCTATTGGGCGTTAAAGCTCTCATTTCAATTATAGTTTTTGCTGTTTACGCTGTTGACAATAGGATTAAGTTGTAGAAACTTATTGTTCTTATCTCTAAAACGTGCAGAAAATCTTAAAATGTATCTCTGAAGTAAACAAGATGAGTTTTTTCTCTCAGTGCATGATCTCTTTAGAGCTCGTTTGCATTAGGCGAAGAAATTGACTGTGGCATTTGAAGCGAGGCGGACAGTGAATTTGTGCAGAAATGTTGATTTATACCAGCCGGGCGACAATATTGCATTGACTCAATTTCTCAATAAAATCCCCTCACGGGAGTGTTTTTTTCTTGCTCCCTCCTTCAAATCTCCATATATGAGTCACTTTCTCAATTGCGTTGGCGTCGCGAAAGTGACGCTTTTTGCTCTGGTGGTGATCAATTGCAGAATTGGGTGGATTTACTTATGGGCATCCGAAACACAAGTGAGAGAAGTGATCGTATTTTGAGCGATGATCTATTTGTCAACTCGTTTAGCACTTGTTGTGATCTCAAGATCTACTGGTTAAAGAGGCGCAGAAGTTGCGAAGACATCTTTTTAACACTCTATCAAGCGTGTATTTACAAAGGCAAATATCTTGCTTGGGTGTGAATTCCGCGTTTTTCGTGTTCTCTATCAAAAATTTTCGTCTGTTTCTCCAAGACAGTGGAAGTCTGAGGGAAGGAATTGTCAAATGACACGCTAAAGAGTGTTCTGACACCGTAAGCAATCAATCAACGGCCATAGGGATTTGGAAGAGGATAGAAAGTGAGAAGTGAAGACAGAAGGGAAGAGAGGATCAGTTTTGCTGCTACTGCAACTCATGTGCCATCAGTGAGAAGGGGTGAAAGGATGTCGACGCAAATCTACTACAAGGATCGCCTGGGCTTCGATCCTCGCGAGGATATCATTGAGGGCAGCGCGCCCAGGAGTGGGCACAAGGCCAAGCTGCACGAGGGAAGCCCTTACAAGGAGGACAGCCCGCCAAAGAGACTCAAAGACCAACATGGCGGCTACGAAGATGCTCTGACACAATTCAAAGGTCTCTCTCCCGCCCTTCTTTTCTCTCAGGTTTTCCCTAATCATTAACCAAAAACGTGTGGAGCACATTAACTACTGAACACTCCAAGTCACGCAAACTCACTGCTGGACTAATGATATGCCGATAAGAAAGCCTATTAATATGACAATATTGTTTTGAAGAACAAATAATATGCGAAGAATGAATATAATACATGACTTTAGATTGCAAATCCAGCTTTATCACAGTAAAAGAAGTTGGAAAAATATATTTACAAGATCTCGAAATTCAAGGAAAATTCTTTTAGAGTTAGTCAAAGCAAATATGCTGCAGTGAAATGTAATCTATGAATCTTTATCGAATATCTGAGATAGTTTTGGTAGAATGAAGGCAAATTAAGAAATTTTTTTGAGTGGAGACTTGAATTTTCTATAAACTTGACGTTTATTTGAGTAATTAGAAATTCTCTGAAGCTCCGCCCACTCAATTTCCCCGCCTTGTTTCTTCCTTCGCCTAATTTCAAGCTTAAAAACTGAATTTTTCACTCACTTTGCCCTGGAAATCCTCATATTCCAAACCGTCCAGTGGATTTTTGCGTGCATTTCCAGCACGGAGACAATTGATTTGCTGCAGAAACATTAATTTCTCAGTGTGAGACAGCAAGAAATTAGCATTGTTGACCGCAGTGAGGATAAAACATGAGATTTTATCGATCAATTAAGCACTTTTTGTGAGACATTCTCGAGATTTTATGCACAGAATGTGTCAATTGAGTGTCGTGCAGGCGCTCATTGTCCTCAAACACCTCCGCGTGCGCGTTTGGCGCATTTTTCGGGGCTCAACATTGAAAGAGAGAGATAGAGTGAGAGGGAGAAAGAGAGAAAAAAGTGTGTGCTCCATAAAATTCGCTTGAAAAATTATGCCAATGAATGCGAGCAAAATTCCAAATGTGAATTTACAATTAAACAGCCAACACAAGCCTGTGGAAATGTCAATGGATGGCGAGATAGAGAAGTTATTCTTATTGAATTAATATTTTAATTTTATGCCATCGAACGCTCGAGAATGCTTCTTGTATTCTTGTTTGTTTGTATGCGGGGGAACTTTGAGAGAATTTCGAGAACTTGGCACTTTTTTACACTGGGCGCGCTCAAGATAAAGGAAAAAAATTAAGTTTTTATCGCTGTCACTTAATTGTTGCCTTAATTGGAATTTATTTGATTGAATATTTGTCATATTTTTCTGACTTGGTACGCCTTTGTTGGTGACAAATTGCAGATGAACGCGACGCTATTCAGAAGAAAACCTTCACGAAATGGGTCAATAAACACTTGAGCAAGGCGGGAAAGAGGATTCACGATTTGTTTGAGGATCTTCGCGATGGAAGGAATTTGCTCACGCTTCTTGAGGTGCTTTCCGGAGAGAATCTGGTGAGTTTTATCAATATATGAATATTTTTTTGTGATGTATGGAAAATATTGTACTAAATTGCAATTGCGTTTTCGTGTGTCTTTTCAGCCACGTGAAAAGGGAAATATGCGATTTCACATGCTCCAAAATGCTCAAATGGCACTGGATTTTCTCCGGTACAAGAAGATCAAATTGGTCAATATCCGTGCTGAAGATATCGTAGATGGAAATCCGAAATTGACTCTTGGACTTATTTGGACGATAATTCTCCACTTCCAGGTGAGTTGTTCTTTTTTTTTCTTTTCCCATAATCATTTCACCGAAAGAGAGACACGATGGAATCCATAAAGAGCAGAAGCATCTCGAAGATGAACTCCTACGGCGGAGAAAAACATGTTTTTCTCACTAAGAGAATATTCTCTTTCATTGGTTAAATAATGTGTTGATTAGTAATTCCGATGGAAATATTTGCTGAAGTGGGCTTTTGGGGATAATATAGTGAATGTGAATCAAGTAAAAAAGAGAAGAAATATCGCGAGGAGAGAATCTCTTGCAATGTGGGCAACTTTTATGGTGCACGGACACCTTTTGGGTGCGCGAGCGAGCGAGAGACTGAAAAAGTCACTTGTCAGATTGAGATAATGATCACAATGCCAATATTGAGATCAATTGTGAGATGATGATCTTGGAGGTGATCCTCCAATGCGACGTGTGCTAATATCCACACGTCTCAATTGATTATTGCTCGCAATACATCACAAATAAAGTGGGTAACAGCAATTTGTAGAGCAACAATTAGCACATTTTAATTTATTTAAAGGAATTTCATCCATAATTACAATGATTGTTTCCATATATGACGAAAGCATCGGAGGCTTATTTGCAAGTGTGGGATGCGACAAGATCACCGCGCGCGAGTGTTGCGCAATCCTGAAAGAGACACACACAGAATATTCACAATAGGCTTAACTGATCGCGTGCTGCGCTGAAGCTACTGCTTGTGCTGGCAAAAAGGGATTAAGAGGGGATTCTTTATGGGGTGTTTCAAGGCTTTAACCTTCTGGGAATATACAAAATATTGCAGGTAAAAGTGGAAGAAATTCAGTGACAATTCTCAAATTTCACCGATTTATCTGGTTTTGTGGGGTGAATTAAATGATTTTTCAAGCCCTTCTTGAAATAGGAGAATGCGGGGCTGCTGTGAAAGATAAGATAATTTAGGATTCAATCATAATTTCAAGAAATTGAATTATATCCTATATGTTGCGATTTCTACTGTAATAATCCATATTGGTCCTTTGATTTGAACTCCTGAGGTTAAAATTATTCTTTTCTTTTGTAGACTTTCTAAATTGACGCTTCAATCTGTCTTTGATCAGCATTGTGAACATGTTTCTTATGATTCACGTTCATTGAGTTTCATCTAATCAGAGATTTCTTGCTTCAATTTTATTCGTCACATTGATTCTCTCTATACAGATCTTCTTCTGTGTATATTTCAAGCTTTGCAATTTGTCCACAATTGTCGTTCTGTTCTCTATTCCCAAATTTTTCTTTCAAACATCTGAATTCAGGTACACTGTTGTCCCTGTGTTTCCGTAGTTTTCCCCCCAAAATATCACTTGACCTTACGATCCATCAAAAAGTGCTGAGTGAAATATATGGAGTGGAAGAAGAAACTGTTGTCGTTTGCCTGACAATCATCCGCAGAGATAATGATCAAGAGTTGCGACTCCACCCTGAAACAAGTGTGCGCGTTTGCCCCCAATTCCATCAGCGTCATTGTTTAGGCTGGTGCTCAAATTGATAATTATATCCACGGGGAGACAAGAGAGGTGTTGTGGAGGGACACAAAAGCATCCACTGTTTTTTTCACTATGACTGCACAGAGATCTCGTTTTGCTGCTATGGAATATTGATGAGAAAATTGGGACTCTGCATGTCAACCTTGTTGCGTCGCCCAACGTTGTTGCTGCTTCTCTCGCTCTCTCATGAGAGAGTTGAGATATTTTGCAATATGGTTTTCCAAAAGCGCGCTCCGTTGATGGATTTGCCGTGGCTTTTTTTCATCATCACCATCATCAGCATCAGCGAGAGAGGGAGAGAGAGAGAGATGAGGAGAGCTTGTCCACACGGAATATGTAAAGTACAATATCGTGTTTTTTAAAAGCGATCGCCACATCGAGCTTTTTAGTTGAACTTGAACAATCGCAGCGGATCAATCGATCAGCACACGGTTTATCGAGTGGTCAGATTAGTTGTTGTCTCGTGTTCGTGTCTCTTCTCCATCTGGGATTGTTGTGTTTTCTTAATTGCCAATAACACTGTTTACACGCGGGGTGGCTTCTTGTTTGCTGAGCACTTAGGCATCCTCACTACTGCCCATGCCTTTCTGAGGGTTTGTTTTCGGTGTGTGTGTGTGCGTGTGTACTTTTGAAATTTTGGAAACTTGAACTCTGCAAACGGAAGCTCTGTTGGCGAATTGAGATTCTGTAGTGCGCGCAATCATGGCGAACTCGAGTGATTTGGTGCCAATGCACGTGGATGAGGATAATTTGCACCTGACAAATTACTCCAATTCATCGGATAGGCAAGTGGCGGCCAAGGTGGAGCGCAACAAGCGCTACTACATTCAGATGCAGAAAAACACCAGCGAGTCCGAGTATGTGGGCAGAAGGGAGCCGGGCAAGAATCGCCATGTGACCAAGCACACCCTCAAGAAAGTGGTCACAATGGGGCGCTTCGAGGAGTTTGTCAATCCCGTGGACGTCTCGACGGTTCGTCGCCACAACTATCCGGCTATTGAGTCGAGGAAAGTGGTGAGTCGGCCGATTCGCGATCAGCTGAGTCTAATTCACTGCCTTTTCACCACCTTTCGCGCCGTTCTAAGGCACTTTCGTGGCCAGAATGCACCAGGTGTCGGGCGTTTTTTCTTTCATTGATGAAAAATCGCCACTTCTCAATGAAACCGCGTCGCTGTGTGGGGATCGATGACGTAAGTCTGGCGCTTTGGCATTGATTTGTCGTACAAACCGCGCGCCGTGTAACGAGAGGCTGGCAATTGTACAGCTTGAGAGGTAGCTTGATTATCATGGATTTCGATCAGTAATTCTCTACAGTTCTGGATGTTTCGACAGCTGTAATGGGTGGGGCTTCTAAAGGGGCGTGGTTAAAGTGGCAAAAATCCCTTTCTTTAGACAATAATCTCCATGTGAACAGTATCAATTACCATGCATTTGCACAATCAAGCTCACTTATCAGCCCCTGTACAAGTGTGTGTAATTTGTGTGCAAGCAAAATTGTAATTGCGTGAGTGTTTTACGATTGCGCGCGCGAAAGAGAGGCTAAATCGATGCCAATGAGAGTGAAAAACACCCACACTGGACATTCTTGAACTGCTTAAAAAAGTCCATTTTTGGATTTTTAATACATGAATAAATACATGAGTAAATAAAACGGCCGCCCAACATTTTGGCGTGCGCTTTTTTTGCCATCTTCTCTGGCCTATGATGGAGGGAATTACATATATTGGATTAAGTAATGATATTTTATACACATCTTGCATTCAAAAACAATCTCAATCAAGTGTGGGTTTGTGGACTGACACGTTGGAGGTTGACTTGGTTTGTGAGTGAGTGAGAGAGAGATTTCAGATATTTGATATGTCAATATGTAGTTTGTGCGAGTTGGGAATGTAGTGCGAATTTTTGCTGTTTTCACTGGAGATAAATTGCTGAATGGATTTCCTCTATTCTCCACGGAGGAGGAATTTTTTTTTGTGTTCGCTCTTGTGTTGATCGCGATATGGCACTTTTGGCCGTCAATGTGATCAAAACGAGCACATAAAGCTTCTCCTCTGGATTAAATATCCATCCAAATTGGTGGCAATGAGCCCCGGAGAGTCTGTATTGCCATCTTTGGTCGCCACATGGGCGTCTGGTGATCACCAGCAAGTTCATGGGATGAAGAAGTGACTATTGGCCAGAGATCACATCATAATTTTTTATAAATATTTTATCATTTGATTTCTCACGAGTCACTCAAAATCAATCTTCAGGTCCATTTTTGTGGTTCTTTCTGGCCATTTTTGGGGCGCCAATTCGCTTCAGAGTGTTTTCCCTTGAAACATATCTAATTTCAATGTTTTCTCACTCAAATGAGAGACACAGGGGGGGAAAAGGCAAAGCTGCAGTGCGAGAGAGGAAGTTGATCAGTGATTGTGAATATGGGAACAGTTGTTTGCTTTCAATAAAGTCACAAAACATGGTGAAAGAACACTGATAAACTCTCTGTGATCCTCAGAAGAGTGCGGGTGTTCTGCGGGATGTGTGGTTTGGCGCGATGAGGAGGAGGAACAAGTGGCCATCTGTTGATTGTTGGCGTCTTTTTGGAGGTGGCCCGAAAGTGTGGGAACACACCCAAAAATGTTCTCACACAGACTTAATTTCCATATGCAATTCTTCGTGACTTCACTGCTCCACATTTTTGCTCTCTTTCTCCTTCTATCAAATCAGAAGTCCGCGATTCTTGTCTTTTGTCGTGCCGATAAAGACTGTCACAAAAGAGTGTTTCTATTAATGATGGATTAAAGCGGGAGGTCAATAAAAATTCCTTCCTCTTTACTGTGGTGTGCTATTTTTAATTACCGCCTCTTGAGGTATAGGGAAATGCGATTAGCCAGCGATAAAAGGCGCCTTTTGATTAGAGAAAGAAAAAAAAACAATTTGTAGTTTGTGAGTCGCAATAGTTAAAGTCAGTAATAAATTCATAATAGATTGTAGAGGAAATGGCGCACTTTTAGTCACACAAAATTAAAATATAATAGAATATTCGGTTTAATATGCATTATATAATAATAAAAAAAAAACATGAAACACTGAGAGTTTATAAAATTTCATTTTCAATGCCAACAACTTTATTCAGTCGAATTTTCAATGCCAAGAAGATTCGTTGCATTTCGCAAGAGCTTTCTGAAATGTCAAAGATGATTGAAGTGTGGGCGGAGCTTCAGAGTGGGTGGGCCCTAAGAAGTTTTACGTCTTTCCATATTCTCTCATACCTTCTTTCGATGTTTCTGAGAACCAGCAAGACTGAGCACTGTTTCCTCTTCCTTTGCAGATAAGTGACATTGTTGTGGGACACGATGACAATCTGACCGCCAAGGAGGCGCTGCTGCAGTGGGCCAGGAAGTCCACAGCTCGGTATCCGGGCGTGAAGGTGAACGATTTCACGAGCTCATGGCGCGATGGTTTGGCCTTTTCGGCCATCATTCATCGCAATCGTCCGGACATCATCAGCTGGCGCGATGCGCGATCTGCGAAGCCTCGCGAGCGCCTGGACACGGCCTTCCATGTGGTGGAGAAGGAGTACGGCGTGACACGCCTGCTGGATCCTGAGGATGTGGACACCAATGAGCCTGACGAGAAGTCCTTGATCACGTACATCAGCTCGCTGTACGATGTCTTCCCGGAGCCGCCGGCGATGCATCCGCTGTACGACTCTGATGCGCAACGCCGAATGCACGAGTACAAGGAGGCGGCGCAGGAGTTCCTGTACTGGTGCAAGGAGAAGACGTCCCTGCTACAGGAACGAGTCTTCCCGGCGTCGCTGATTGAATTGAAGCAGCTGCTGGCAGATCTGCACCAGTTCAGGACCGAGGAGGTGGCGCAGAAGCATCAGGACTTGTCCAATCTGAACGTCATCTATGAGCAGCTGAAGAAGTACTTCGAGGCGGTGACGGAGGAGGAAATCGATGTGGCGTACCGCCCGAAGGCGCTTAATATCGCCTGGGAGCGTCTGATGCGGGCGCTGGGGGATCGCGAGAGGCAGCTGCAGCAGGAGACAGACCGCCTGGACAGCTATGATCGGCTGGTGGACAAGGTGTTCAGGGAGATCAAGAGGATCGACTTCAAGCTGACGGACATTGAGTCGCGCATCGCGAAGGAAAGTCGCAATCTCGACAGGATGCATCCGATCGATGCGAAGAATGTGGTGGAGAGCATTGAGACGGATTTGCGGCATTTAGAACAGCCGCTGAACCAGGTGAGTTCTGATGTCAGCGTGCTAGAGAACTCAAACTGTCCGGAGGCGAGGGAGTTGAGGAAGGAGGTGAACAAACTTTGCCAGCGCTGGTCGCAAATCCGTGCCACTTTCCACACCAGCATGGTGCAGAAGTTGGCCGGGCTGAGCTATCCCATTCAGGAGACCACTGTGACCAGGCAGACGAGAACGGTGCTGGAGACGCGCCAGGTGGACACGAATCCGTACTTCAGGGATTTGCAGGAGTACACGGAGTGGTGTCAGAATAAGCTGAAGAAACTCCTGGCAGCGGAATATGGCACAGATCTGGCCACGGTGAAGAGTGAGCTGCAGAAGCATCAGCAGGAGCACAAGACGATTGATCAATTCCACTCGAAGATTGTCCATGCGGAGAGGCAGAAGAACAATTTCTCCGGAGATGAGTACACGCTCTATTCCCAGAGATTGAATCAGCTGCAGAACTTGTACGCTGACCTCTTGAGCACCTCGACGAAGCGTCTGTCTGATCTGGATGCGCTGCAGGACTTCCTGCAGGCGGCGACGAATGAGCTGAACTGGCTGAATGAAAAGGAGAGGATCGAGATCAACCGTGACTGGGCAGACAAGAATCTGGATCTCACCTCTGTCCATCGCTACTATGAGACACTGATGAGTGAGCTGGAGGCCAGGGAGATGCAATTCGCGGACATTGTGGATCGTGGAGAGAAACTTGTGTCACAAGCTCATCCGGCGGCGAAGTGCATCGAAGCGCATCTCAGTGCGCTTCAGTACAAGTGGTCGTGGCTTCTGCAGTTGACGCTGTGCCTGGAGATTCATCTGAAGCACGCCTCTGAGCATCACGCCTTCTTCCAGGAGGTCAAGGAGGCGGAATCGTGGCTGACAAAGCAGGAGGAGAGGCTGAACAGCAAGTACAGCCAGACGGACTTCAGTCTGGATCAGGGAGAGGCGCTGCTCAGGGGCATGCAAGAGCTGAGGGAGGAGTTCAACAACTACGGCGATGTCGTCCAGGCGCTGATCCAGCGCTCACACACCATTGTGCCTCTGCACGAGCGCAAGCAGGGCGTCCTGCAGCCGAAACCCGTGCACTCGATCTGCTCGTACAAACAAGGCCAGGTGTCTGTGGACAAGGGACAGACGCACACGCTCCTGGACACTTATGGGCGCGTGAAGTGGCGCGTGCAGGTACGAGGCCAGGAAGCTCTGATTCCCGGCGTGTGCTTCACGCTGCCGCCGCCCAATGCGAAGGCAATTGAGGACGCGGAGCGGCTGAGGAAGCACTTCGATCGGTTGATTGCGCTGTGGCAGAAGAAACAGCTGAGACTCAGGCAGAACATGATCTTCGCCACTATCAAAGTGGTGAAGGACTGGGACTTTGAGCAGTTCCTGGCCATGGGACCGGAGCAGAGGAATGCCATTCGACGGGCGCTCAACGATGATGCTGACAAGCTGATCGCCGAGGGAGATCCCAATGATCCGCAGCTGAGGCGTCTGCGCAGGGAGATGGACGAGGTGAATGCGATCTTCGATGAGTTCGAGAAGCGCGCCAGGGCTGAAGGTGAGAAAAAACAAGAGAGTGAAGATGATGTGGAAATGGGATCAAGATCGCGAGTGGATTAATTTGTAAATTGAGGATCAATCGAATGTGGGGATGATTGTTTGGTCGACTTTTAAGGCTTGTGGTGTCTCCAATTAATTAATTGAGATGGTCAGTCGTGCAATTATTCAATTGAGCATCGATTGATAGCGGTGTTGGGGGATTTTGGCGCGAAAAGAGTCACCAGAGTGTTTCTTGTGTTCTGAGAATGAAGAAGGTTTTTCGCTATCTCAACGCTGATACAGGTTTTTCCTCACATCAATCTTTCCTTGCGCTTTAGCCTAAATTGTGTGTTTTGTTTGATGGTGTTTTTGCAGAGGAGAGCAAACAGGCGAGTCAGCGCTTCTTGGAGCAATGCATCGCCATCAAGACAAATCTGGAGTCTCTGGCCAGGGAATTGGAGCACATCATCTCCTCTCCACTCCCCAGGGATCGTGACTCTCTGGAGTATGCCAAGCGCATTCACTCGGACTTTGAGCTGCGCTTGGCGCAGGAAGAGGTGCCGGTGAAGCGCTTCCAGGAGACATTCCGCAACATTCCGTTGAAGACGCCGGCGCTGAAGAAGAGCCTGGACAATCTGATGGACCTGTGGCAGGAGATCAACTCGCAGAGCAAGCTGCATGGGCAGCGTCTGAAGCTGCTGGAGGAGGGCCTGATGGAACTGGAGATGAATGAGCAAGTGTATGAGGAGGTGGACGCTGATCTGGCCAACTTCACGGTGGTGCCCAATAGGTTGGAGGAGCTGCGCGATGTGCTGCAGCGACTGCACAAACTCAGGTCCGTTGTGACGGCGCAGCAGTTCCACATTGATAAGATGAACACGGCAGTGGATCAGCTGGGTAGAATGGGCGTGCCGACGAAGGTGGTGGGCGATCTCAAGCGGATACATTCCACGGTGGAGCACTTCAATGTCAAGTGGAACAATCTGGAGCGGAAGCTGGACACCAGGTAAGGGGATTAGCGCACGGAAAATCGACCATGGCTAATGTTTCTTTTGTGATTCTGGCAGAATCCGGGAGTGCGAGTCCGCCCAGAGCTTCATGACGAATCTGCGCTCGAGTCAGGTGAAGGAGGAGACGTGGATTGATGGCGCCACGGAGGAATTGATGGCCATGCCGCCGCCAACAGCTGCCCAGGAGCTCGATGTAAGTAGTTTGTTTGCATTGATATCATCTCTGGTACGGGGAAGAGTGACTCACCTCGTGCGATGGAAGGTGACAGAAAGAGTGGGCAGGAATCTCTCTGGCGCTCTTCAGCGCATTCACAGTGCGTGGAGAATAAGACGTCCAGAGGTGGATTCAGGGGATTTGCCGAGGGGCGCTTTAGTGTTAACCCCTTGAGATATTTGCCAATGTGAAAGGTTTATTTTCGACCTTCATAAAAAGAAATTCATATTTTGCCCCAGGAAAAGTCGGATCCAAATAAGAGTGTTGTAAGTCAATATATAAATCAAGGTCATGCTCATTCAGAGTTTCAAAGTTTTTCAGTTTTTCGAAGTTTGAAAACTATGAAGAAGGAAAAAAAACAGCTTTACATGCAATGAATTGAATGAAACATATAAGAAGCATTGAAATAATAGACGAATGGTGTTTTTCCTAAATAGAATGATGGAAAATAGTCTTTTCATAATGCTGGAATGGATTTAAAAATATCTATTTTTATCTATTAAATCCATACTTTCGGCAATATCCACACTATCATCTCATGCTTCACGCAATCACTCAATGTTTCGTGTGATCCGAGCATTAGAGTTTTTGGAGGAAAACCTACCGCGAAAAAGGCAAATTAGGCAGTTATTCTCCCATCACGAACCATCGATATTCAATTAGCAATCATTTTGGTGGATTGTGGGTTGTTTTAGCACCTTTTTTGCTGGGCCATCTGAGTTGTTGGATGTTTTGAAAACACAATTGCGAGCAGAGCGCGCGACGGCTCAAGGCGAGCGCCGGTCCAAGTGGCACTCTGTGCGTGATGGTTAAGTAACAATTGAAATTAATTATAGAGTCTTGTCGGAAGGTTCTCGTGTGTGGCGCTGGGAAAGTGGCAATTACTGAGGAAGACACATGGACTTGGGAGGGGTTAGAATCGGGGTGGTGTGGTTGGGAGGGAATGTGAGCGCGGCAGTAAAACAATCATGACATAATCAGAAGCGCGGTGTGGCTAATTAGACGGGCTTTTTTTGCTGCTGCTGCTGTTGTTCTCTGTACGGGTTTGAGCTCCAGCGGGAGCTTCTTTGGGGTCTCGACGTTCACCTACATTTATCTCTGTGTTTTTGGTGGAGGCTTTTCAGCATTTGAGAGTGAGAGTGTGCGACTCGCGAATGTGTATTTGCGTGGGAATGAGGCATTTGAGTGAGCGGAGAGCATTTCAGTACTGTGTCAACTCTCCTGCTACTTTATCGTGTCGATTTTGTGCCTCTGATTGAGCTTTTTTGCCGTATGGTGTCTTTGAAGTTTGCCTGTTTTTCTTTGAATGGGGACGAAAATGAAACACTTTAGAGCTGATCCTCGTGAAATTCACACCTTTCATGATTCGTTTCTATTTGTTGCTGTTGAGTTTTGTGGACTTCTGGGCGAGAGACCGTGAAATATTCTATAAAAAGACATTCAACTATCATCATAGTTATTTCGTCATATCTTTTTGAGCTCTTTGGAGTTTATCTTGTGTGACATCATTTCTTATTCCACGCCAGTTACGACACTTTGCAGGGGGTTTTCATCTCATTTTGATTGTGTCCTATGAAAAAATATATGGGGAGTATTGATTGAATCATTCCTTGTGTCTCTGGTGATTTTGTCACGTGGCCGCGTGAATGCAAATAGTCTGGCGAGGAAAAGTGTGTGGCCGTCAGTGTGTCTGTGAGAGAGGAAAATGCCGATAGAGAGAGAGAGAGTGACATTCTCTCTGCTGCGCAGAGGATTTTCCTCAAGAACAACTCCCCATTCGCGAGAAAAGATCCATATTCAGTGCAATTCATTTCGTGGCCAGTGAATTAATAACCATCTAATTGCCGGTTCTTAATCACCGGAAGACACACACTCGTGAAAAAGTTACTTTTTCAAGCTGTCTTTCTCGCACTTTTCTATCGGAATATCAATATAGTTGAAGTGTGTGTAATATAAATGTCAGTCTCTCGCCCTGAATAGCCGCAAAAGAGGAAAGGAGTTATCAGCACACTGTTATTGTAGGCTAAATGTGATAATAGTGAAGCGTGAAATTCTCACCGGAAAAGAAAAGAAAATGGGAAATTTTTCTCAGCGAGGGGCACTTGACTCAGTTGCGGCGCTTTTGCAATGAAGAAAAGTCACGATAAGAGAGTATTTTGATATCAGAATGTGACTGTGATATCGATGGGGAGCATTAAATTGAGGAACTCTGTAATCTGCTGTGTGATAAGTCACCCAGATGACTTCAGCAACACACAGTGTTGATGATTTTCATGTGGGCTCACGGATGTTTATTTAGGCGGTCAGTTAAGAGGGTGAAAAATGAGTTTTCTCTTCAAACTGTAACGAATATTCTTAGTTGGGCGGGGTTTTTAGATAGGCGGAGCCTCAGGATTGTTTGATTCTTTCAATTTGAAGACACTGAACAAGCGAAAAGACTCTCTTTATGCACTCAAAATAACTCCCGGACGGCCTTGAGTCGCGCTGAGTTAAATGCCCCTCGATTGGAAAAGCCATTTTCACTTATCGGTGCACTTTAGTGGGTGTCTAGCCAGTTCGGGAGGATGTGTTAAGAGATGAAGACATAGAGCCATGCCAGCTAAAGTGTTTTCCGCGTCTACGGACCAAGTGGTGGTGAGCGAGAGGCCGGGAGCGCCTCTGCTGGCGTCCAGCCTGAGGATCAGCCGTCTGAGAATTCTGCCTGTGAGGATTTGTCTGGCAGATGCGCTGGCGCAGGAGCTGGTGGATGAGCGTGGTGGGATTCTGGACAGAATCTCAGGGAGGCGATTGAGTCTGGAGGGTGCCATTGAGGGTGGCATCATCGATCCCAATGTCCAGGAGATTGTGGACACGAAGGCTGACGTGAAGGTGACGATTCAGGAGGCGATTCATCGTGGGATTCTGGATGCGCTCGAAGGGTATTTTGTGGACTTTGAGGGCAATGAGAGGATTCCGTTTATTGTGGCCGGGCAGCGCTTCTTCATTCGCAAGCCGAGGAGTTTCCGGGAATTACTGGATGAGGGATGGATGATTAGCAATACTGAGATTCTCTCGCCACTGAGGAGGCGAAAGTTGGCGCTGCGAGAGGCCATGGAAGCGGGCGTGCTGGACGGAAGTCAACTCAAGAGCATCTTGAAGGTGGACTCTGGGGATCTGCTGACCCTCACTGTGGCTGTGGACCTTGGAATTGTCGAACTGGCCACTGGGCGGTTCACCAACACGCGCACAGGAGATGTTCTGACCATCTGCGAGGCGGTGGAGTGTGGATTTGTGGTCTCTGTGCAGCACAAGAGTGTCTTTGATGTGCCGATCTTCCGCCATTTGAGGACTTTCGTGTCTCTCCGGGAGGCCATTGAGCGACAAGTAGTGGAATTGAGGCGAGATGATGACTTTATGCTGAAATACCACGGACAGGTGATAAATTTCCGTGATTGCGTCGACCTCGGATTGATTTTGCGGCGAGACTTGGTGGAAATGCTCACGAGGAGGCTGAAAATACTGGCAGGAAAATCGATTCTCGCGATGGTGCGCGAGGAAATGCTCGACATTGACACTGGACTCGTCCGAGGGCAGAATCGGGTCATGTCCTATGCGGAGGCCATCGAGGAGAATATCCTCACTGTCGATGGGGCGATATTCATTCACAGTCTCATGAATTTAACCATCAAGACTGGCGTCACGAGGATTGAGAAGGCTTTCCGGGAGCAGAAGAGGCCTTTTGAAGTGCAGAAGACGAAGAAAATTGCCACAAAGACTCCCAGAAGGGCTTCAGGAGTGTTGTTCTCCAATACGAAGTTTCTGGTTGAGAATGGAAATGTGAAGGGCAGGAAAATGGTGACTGTGAAGATGGGAAAGCCTAGAGATGAGTCGTTGGTGTGGATGAAGAATCCCAAGAGTGTTTTAATGGCCAAGATCTCGCGACATCACTCAAAGAGCCTCTCGCAAATGGTTTCAGTCTCTTCCAAGAGCCTCACTTTCTCCAAAATCACCACAATGAAGTTCTCCTCGAGCTCAAATCCTCGTCAATATGCCGTGATGAGGAACTTCTTGGCCATTTATGCCCAGCCAAGTGCCAAAATACCCTTCTGGATGCTCTCAGACGTCGACTGGACAATTATTATCACATCCCTAGATCGCGCCCTCCAGTTCAGTCACATTATCTCGGCTGAGAACTCCCTGGTCGTCGACTCAAAGCTCATCCTCACATTCTACAAGGCCCTGAAATTCTGGCAGCCACAGATGGTCAGAGAAGAGGTTGCTGTGGAGCTGGAGAGCGCTCAGCTCAGTGCTGATCACTCTACAGAGGTTTGGCTTCTTTTTTTTGCCCAAATTCTCGCTTTTAGTGCACTCAATTGAGTGAACAACCTTGAATTTTATTCAAATTTCTTGCTAATTTCTCGCCATTCACGCCGTCTTGGACGCGAGGCGACACACAGTTTGTGTTTGCCTACGCAGAAGAGTTGAGCATTTATTGCGGATGGGCACAAGGGGTTATTCATATTTGATGAGCATGACCTCAACATTCTACATTGGCGTTTATGATTCCAGATCAAGAGATGATGGAATCCGGGACAGAAAATCATTATTATTCGTTACGATCGTCGAGTTTAGAAGAGATTTATGAGTGTCAGTGATGATTTTAATTGATTTTCTCACACATTTTTTCCTTTCTCTTTGCAGCAAGCCATCTTTGAGAAGTATTCTGTGTGCGAAGATGAGCTGGGCAAGCAGCTGGAATGGATTGGCAATGTGGAGGCGAAGCTGGCCAACATTGGTGGTCCGTCAGACGTGGAGGAAGGCATTCGGCACCAGGTGAACACGCTGAACGCCATCAAGGATGAGATTGACTCACATCAGCGTGTCGTTGTGACTTGCCTTGAGCAGGTGCGCCACATTTCCTTGACTGGTGGTGATGCCTTCAGTGCTCCCGAGGTTGCCAGCCTCGAGCGTCGCGGGAATGAGCTGAAGTCCCGCGTGGAGCGTGCCAATGAAGTGTGCTACAAATTTGCCAAGAAGATTGTCTACTTGAGAGATGAACTGGTGCGCCTGAGAACGGAACTGAATGGCTTCTCCTCGTGGCTGACATCTGCCAGGCACACACTTGAGGAGAAGGAGAAGAATCTTCACCAACTGCGCATTGTGCCGTCGAATCAGGACAATATCAGGGACTTTGTCAGCGATGTTATTGCTCATCAGGCCGACTTGAGATTCATCACGATAAGCGTGCAGAAGTATTTCGATGACAAGGCGGAGTTCCTGCACTACTTGAATGACTTCCGCACTCATTTGCCGAATAGATTGTCCCATGTGGAGCAGATTGTCAACAGTCCGATCGAGCAGGACTTACAGCAAGTCACTGTGCACTATAAGGATCTGCTGTCGCGGGTGAATCACCTGCAGGACGCGATGCAGACGCTGGGAAGTAGGCAGAGGGAGTACAATGACGCCGTGGAGGCGGCCAAGAAGTGGCTGACAGAGATTCAACCCAGAGTTGATGGCCTCCTGGCGGAGCCAATGAGCTCCGATCCGGTGATCATACAGAGTCAGATGAGCCAGACCAAGGTGCTGTACAGCGAAGTTGTGTCCAATGGGCGGCTGATTGACAATGCTCAGCAGAGTCTGGAGGCTCTGCTGCGTGTCCTGCCGAAGAACATCAGCAGTCTGGAGGTGCAGAGTCTGGAGATGCCGGTGAGGAATCTGCGAGATCGCTATGAGAAGCTGAAGAGTTCATTGAACAATCGCTCGAATACGCTGGAGAAGACACTTATTCAAACGCAAAGTGTGCAGGGATCTCTTGACAAGCTCGTGGGATTGGTACTGCAGGCGGAGGAGCAGTTCAAGCATCACTGGAGGCCGGCATCGCTGATTAAGGAGCAGTTGCTGGATCAGATCAGAGAGCACAAGGCCTTCCTGCAGAGCCTGGACTCGCACAGGGCGAGCATCAACAGCTTCAAAATGTCGAGCGATGTGCCGAAGGCTCTGGTGAACAAGTTCATGGACACCAAGGCGAAGTTCGATCAGCTGTACGATCGTGCCGTGGAGCATGGAGATTTCCTGGAGAAGACGCTTGGCGAGTTGAACAAGTTCAACAACGAATACACGGCTCTGGAGAAGGAGATTATCAATCTGCAGGAGAATGTCGAGGGCGCAGAGTTCAATTATCTGCCGGCTGAGTACATGAGTCACATGCAGGAGATCCTCAACACGAAGAGCCAACTGGAGCCGATGTTCCACAACTGTGTTCAGCTGGGCAAGGACTTGATCTCGAAGCGCGACGTGACGAATGTGGGCGTGGTGCGAGATCAGGTGAAGCACTTGGAGAATCTGTGGAAGAACCTCGTGGTGACGACAACAGAGAAGAGCAATTTGTACAAGCAGAAATCTGAGCACTTGAGCGCGTACAACAAGTTGAGGGATCAAGTGAGATCGTGGCTGGAGAGCTTCGAGGTGCGGATCAACAAGTTGGCGCCCGTGTCGGTGGACTTTGAGGTGATTCAGCATCAGGTGGACGAGTGCCAGGCCATCGTGCGTGAGCATCGTGATTACGGGACGACCATTGACAAGCTGAATGACTTGGGATCGCAGTATGATAGCCTGATCAGGGCGGAGATTGCCGATAAGCAACGCTCGGCTCAGTCGGGCACGGCCAAGAAGATCTCCGTGACGAGCATCAGGCGGCAGTCGATTGACGTACAGTCAGGAAGGGTGAGCGAGACGACGCCCATTCAGCTGCAGTTGCAGGAGATCAACAATCGCTACAACATGGCAGGAGTGCGTCTGAGCGACCGACAGAATGAGTTGGAGGGCTTGCGCGATGAGATCCGTCGTCACAGGGACAACATGAAGAATCTCAATGGGTTCCTGGACAAGGTGCAGAAGCGCATCCCCAAGGAGACGATCGACTCCAACATTGAGGCGGAGAAGTGCATCAATCAGTGCAGGAAGATTCTGGAGGAGATGTATGAGAAGCAGAACCTCCTGGACTCCGCCAAGGTGATGGTGAAGAATCTGGCGGTGCGCAAGAGTCAATCGCCTGGCGTGGAGATGCTGAAGAATGAGTTGGATGGCGTGTGTCAGCGCTGGAAGGTGCTGAGTGACTTGTGCAAGGAGAAGATTGCTGCGTCGGAGCAGCTGAAGGACTTCTTGGACACGCACAATAATCTGAATGCGTGGCTGCAGGGCAAGGAGCGTATGCTGACGGTGCTGGGACCGATTTCGTCAGATCCGCGCATGGTGAAGACGCAGGTGCAGCAGGTGCAGGTGCTGAAGGAGGACTTCCGCACGCAATTGCCACAGTTGAATCATCTGCAGAATGTGGGGAAGAATCTGGTGCAGCACTTCGAAGTGAAGTCACCAGAGTATGAACTGGTGACGGTGAAGCTGAATGCGCTGCAGAACAAGTGGGATGATCTCTATGGACAGCTGAATGAGAGAGCCAACAGTTTGGGCGCCGCTGCGAACACTTCGAAGGAATTCGATGCGGGACTCAATCGCCTGAGAGAGTCTCTGAGGCAGATCAATGACAATCTCGACGCCCTGCCGTATGACATGGACAAGGATGAGTTGTTGAGGAAGATTGAGAATCTGGGCAGACAGCTTGAGGGACAGAGACCATTGCTGGCGGACGCTGAAGCTGCCGCGGCGAATCTGTGTGAGGTTCTCGAAGATCCCAACTCCAGGGCGGATGTAAACAATCGCGTGGCGGAGCTGGCGAAGCAGTATGAGACGCTGCAGAAGAAGCTGGACAATCGCAGGGCGGAAGCCGAGAGAGCGCTGAGGGAAGGACGCCAATTGGCGGAGAATTGCGCGAGAGTCTTGGGCTGGTTGTCTGCCGAGGCGTCGGCGATGAGTGACAAATTGCTGGTGTCGGCTCACAAGCCAACACTGCAGCATCAGATTGACACTCACGAGCCCGCTTATCACGATATCATGGCCAGGGAGCACGAAGTGCGCATGCTGCTGAATCGCGGACGGGATCTCACGGATCCGGCGCTGCAGAGGGACTTGGATAAGATCTCCAGTCAGTGGGATAGAGTGAAGAGGGACGTTGTGGAGCGTCACACGCGCCTGCAGACGTGCATGGAGCACTGCAAGCAGTATCATGCCGCCGCTCAGTCTTTCCAGAACTGGCTGAGATCCGCTGAAGAGAAGTTGTCGGCCATCAAGTTGGGTGTGCTGAAGAAGGCGCAGTTGGATCACCAGCTGAAGGAGCTGAATGTGCTGCGAAGCGAGGTGTGGAAGAAGAGTGGCGAGTATGAGATACTCAAGGGCCTGGGCAACACTTTCCTGTCGGCGTGCGATGTGGACAAGGAGCCCGTTCAGGGTGAATTGCAGAGCATCAAGGCGCGCTGGGAGAAGCTGAATGCCGACTTGAATGCGAAGAATCAACTCTTCGACACGTACCTGAAGAAGTTGGCTGATTTCCAGGATGACTTGAGGAATCTGGATCAAAACACACGACGCTGTGAAGACCGATTGGGTGCCTTTGATGCCTTGGGCGGTGCTTCCAAGGATCCGAAGTTGATTGACAGAATTCAGACCATCATTGCCGATACCGAGAGCCTCGTGAAGCCACTCAAGGATCTCCAGGCGGCTTCGAGGAATGTGTCACGCGAGGTGGTGGACGTGGGCGGAAATGCTGACCACCTGATTAGCGATGTGGACGCCATTGGGGACAGGATTGATGATCTGCAAGCGAAGCTTGGCGATCGATATGATGAGCTCAAGTCGGCGGCTTTGGTGTCGTCGCAGCTCAATGAGAGAATTAAGGGATTCTCTGTGGATTTGTCGTCAATTGAGTCGCGCGTGAACAATCTGCAGCCGCCAGCGAGAGAGATTCCAGCGGTGAAACAGCAGATTCACGAGGATGCCAATCTTCAGGGTCACATTCAGGATCTCACGGAGGCGATTGGGGAGATTCACGATGCTGTCAAGGCGAACTACGAGTCCAGCTTCTCCATTGACGCCATGCAGACACGCGAGCAGATCAGTGGCTTCCTCAGGACGCTGGACAAGTTGAGGAATCAGGTGCGCGTGCACGAGGAGCAGCTCCATCGTACGCTGACTTCACTTGAGCACTTCTACAATGAGTATTCCACTGTAACAACAGTGCTGAGGAATGTGGATGCGCAGGTGAAGGCGCTGAAGCCGATCAGTTCGGATCTGGAGCAGATTCGGGCGCAACACGAGGAGTTCAAGTCCTTCACGCGCAAGACCATCAATCCGCTGAACAATGACGTGGTGCAGTGCAATCAGCTGGGCCAGGAGCTCATCCGATCGGCTCATGGTGGCGTGTCGACGTTGATGCTGGAGAAGGATCTGGAGAAGCTCAATGATCTGTGGAATGGCATCAAGGTGAAGTGGAATGAGCGCGAGAGGAGAATCGATCTGGGTTTGCTGCAGTCTGGGAAGTTCCAGGAGGCGCTCGATGGATTATCCAAGTGGATGGCGGACACGGAAGAGATGGTGGCGAATCAGAAGCCACCCAGTGCGGATTACAAGGTAGTGAAGGCGCAGCTGCAGGAGCAGAAGTTCCTCACGAAGATGTTGCTGGACAGACAGAATTCCATGACATCGCTGTTCAATTTGGGCCAGGAAGTGATTGCTGGCTGTGATCCGGCTGAGGTGAATTCGATTCAGCGTCAGCTCAAGGATCTGCAGACACGCTTCGATAATCTGCAAAATGTGGCGCAAACCAGGACGCTGGATCTCGAGGAGGCGATGAGGATGGCAAAGAAGTTCCACGAGAAGATTGTGCCGCTGGCGCAGTGGCTGAGTGATGCCGAGAGGGCGGTGAAGAGGATGGAATTTGTGCCAACGGATGAGGAGTTGATTCATCAGCGCATCCGCGAGCATGACAAGTTGCACGAGGAAATCCTGGGCAAGCAGAGAGACTTCACGGAACTCACGGACATTGCGGCGCAACTGATGAATCTCGTGGGTGAAGATGAGGGTGTGATTCTGAGTGACAAGGTGAAGAACATTACGGATCGCTACACAAATCTCGTGGACGCCAGTGAGAACATCGGGAATGTCCTGGCCGCCTCCAGGCAGGGCTTGAGGAGTCTGGTGCTGTCGTACCAGGACGTGGTGGAGTGGATGGAGGGCGTGGAGTCGAGACTGCACAGATACAGAGTTGTGCCAGTGCAGGCGGACGCCATTCTCGAGCAGATGCACAATCTCGTGGAGATCAACGAAGATGTGGCCAATCATGCGCCTCAAGTGGAGGCGATTGTGGACACAGGAGCGGAGCTGATGAAGCATATCACGTCGGACGAGGCGCTGCAGCTGAAGGACAAGCTGGATTCGCTGCAGAGACGCTACGGTGACATCGTGAATCGCGGCAGTGAATTGCTGAAGCACACTCAAGAGGCTCTGCCGCTCGTGCAGCAGTTCAATGAGGCACACCAGCGCCTCGTGGAGTGGATGCAGGACACAGAGAACATCCTCGTGGCCACGGACATCAGCGAACCGGAGTTGTTCAGGATGGAGAGTGAGATTCCACAGATGCGGCAGGTTCTTGACACAATCAATGGGATTGGGCCGCAGCTGAGTGCTCTTTCGCCGGGTGAGGGTGCCGTGACGATTGAGAGCCTCGTGGCCAGGGACAACAGACGCTTCGATGGCATTGTGGACCAGATTCAGCGCCGCGCCGAGCGTCTGCAACTGAGCAAGCAGCGCTCCAAGGAGGTGAGGAATGATGTCGATGAGTTGCTCGAGTGGTTCAGAGACATGGAGGCGAATCTGAAGGATGCGGACGCTCCAGCACTGGATCCGAAGGTGGTGAGAGCTCAGTTGTCTGACCACAGGAAGGTGAACGATGAGATTTCGAGTCAGAGAGGACGCGTGAGAGATGCTCTGGCGGCAGGGAAGCGCGTGATCAGGGACTTCCAGCCGAACAAGGCAGATTTGGAGTTGAAGGAGAAGCTGGAGGATCTTAAGGATCTCGTGGAGACTGTTGTGGGCCTGAGTTCTGATAGATTGAGCATCCTGGATCAGGTGTTGTCGCTGTCTGACCACTTTGCCGATACGCACAACACTCTCATGACCTGGATGGATGATCTGGAGTTGAAGATATCCAATCTGGGACTGCCAGCAATCCGATCTGACCAGATTGCCATTCAGCAGGATACCAATGAGCGACTCCTGCAATCTGTGCTGGATCACAAGCCGCTGTTGAGCAAGCAGAACAAGACGGGTGAGACTCTGGGCACGCTCGTGCGCGAGGAGGATGTTGAGAAGGTGTACGAGATCCTGGAGGAGGAGAATGCAAGATATGCAGCCCTGAAGAATGAACTCCTGAACAGACAGCACGCCTTGGAGCAGGCAATGCAGGAATCTAGTCAGTTTGCCGACAAGATCGACGGAATGCTGCGCGCTCTGGCCAACACAACTGACCAACTCAATCAGGCCGAACCTATTTCCGCCCATCCGCCGAAGATCCGAGAGCAAATCTCGGAGAATAAGTCGCTGAAGAATGACCTGGACAATCGCAGCAATGCCTTCAACACTGTGCAGAAGATTGCCAATGATGTGATCAGCAAGGCGCCAAACAAGAGTGATCCTGTGGTGAAGGACATCAGCAAGAAGTTGGACAAGCTCACGAAGCTCTGGGACGATGTCAATAGTAAGATCAACAAGCGAGGAAATGCCCTTGACGACACGTTCAAGGTAGCTCAGCAGTTCTGGGAGAACCTGAAGTCCACGATGGAAGCGCTGAAGGATCTGCAAGAGAACCTGCGCTCTCTGGAGGCGCCAGCGGCACAGCCACAGGAGATCCAGAAGCAGCAAGTGGCTCTACAGGAGATCAGATACGACATCGATAAGACAAAGCCGCGCGTGGAGGATGTTCGTCAGACGGGCAACAAGCTCATGTCGCTGTGCGGAGAACCGGAGAAGCCTGAGGTGAAGAAGCACATTGAGGATCTCGATCGTGCGTGGGACAACATCACGGTGCTCTATGCTAAGCGCGAGGAGAACCTGATTGACGCCATGGAGAAGGCGATGGAGTTCTACGACACGCTGAAGAGTGTGACGGACTTCCTGGATCAGTATGAGGAGAAGTTCAGGCGTCTGGGACCAATTGGCTCAGATGTGGATGCGGTGAAGAAGCAGATTGCCGAGCTGAAGGACTTCAAGAATCATGTGGATCCGTACATGGTGAAGATCGACTCGCTGAACAGGCAGGCGATGGAGCTGACGGAGAAGACGGGCACGGAGCAAGCGCAGAGCATCAGGGATCTGCTGAACGGTGTGAACAGAAGATGGGAGAATTTGCTGCACAACATGGTGGAGAGGCAGAAGAATCTGGAGCACGCTCTGCTGCATCTCGGTCAGTTCCAGCATGCGTTGAATGAGTTGCTGGTGTGGATTGAGCGCACAACGGACACGCTGGATCAATTGAAGCCAGTGCTGGGTGATCCGCAGCTGATTGAAGTGGAACTGGCGAAGCTGAAGATTGTGGCCAATGACATTCAGGCGCACAAGAGTAGCGTGGACACGCTGAATGATGCCGGAAGACACTTGATTGAGAGCAACAAGGCCAGCCAGGAGGCGTCGACCACCAAGGACAAGCTTTCTACGCTGAACAGGAAGTGGTCAGCGCTGCTGCAGAAGGCGTCTGATCGTCAGCATGAGCTCGAGGAGTATCTGAAGGAGGCTCAGCGGTATTTCGCCGATGTGCAGGACATGCTGGGATATCTGGGCGATGTGGATGCAGTGATTGGCGCCAGTAAGCCAGTCGGAGGGCTTCCGGAGACGTCTTCTGAACAGCTGCAGCGCTTCATGGAAGTGTTCACAGAACTGGAGCAGACCAGGCCCAAAGTGGAGATGCTCTTGTCTCAGGGCAAGGAGTATGTGCAGAAGCAGAATGAATTGAAGGTGCCGTCTAATAATCTGCAGCACATTCTGAGGACGCTGAAGCAGCGCTGGGATGCCATTCTGGCGAGAGCGTCGGACAAGAAGATCAAGCTGGAGATTGCTCTGAAGGAGGCCACGGAATTCCATGATGCTTTGCAGCAATTCAATGAGTGGCTGACACGTACGGAGAAGACGTTGCAGAATCTGGGCCCAGTTTCGCGTGTCCTGGAGACAATCCAGAAGCAGATGGAGGAGCACAAGGAGCTGCAGAAGGATGTGTCCAATCACAGGGAGACAATGCTGCTGCTGGACAAGAAGGGCACGCATCTGAAGTACTTCAGCCAGAAGCAGGACGTGATCTTGATCAAGAATCTGCTCGTGTCCGTGCAGCACAGGTGGGAGAGAGTCGTGGCGAAAACATCGGAGCGCACGAGGGCTCTGGATCATGGTTACAAGGAGGCGCAAGAGTTCTATGACGCCTGGTTCAGTCTGGTACAGTATCTGAGGGAGGCTGACGAGAACATCAACACGCTGACGGCCGATCTGGCGTCCAAGAAGCCCACGAATGCCAAGAAGTGCCTGGAGAAGTTGCAGGAGATCCAGAGGAATGTGTCTCAGCGCCAAGGGCAGTATGACACAGTGATGAGGAATGGGAAGCAGCTGAAGGAGCGCGCGCCCAAGAGCGACGAACCGGCTCTGACCAGGATGTTGGGTGAATTGAAGGAGTTGTGGACAAGAGTGTGCTCCGTGTTGACAGATCGTCAGCGGAAGCTCGAAGAGACACTCTTGCTCTCTGGGCAGTTCTCAGAGGCGCTGCAGGCGCTGCTCGAGTGGCTGAGGAAGTCCAAGGTGAAGTTGTCCAGTGACACGCCTCTCTATGGTGATCTGGACACAGTGTCCAAGCTCATTGACGCCCACAATGCGCTGAAGAGTGAGCTGAATAGCCGCTCGTCGCAAATGCAGAGCGTACTGAAAACGGGCAGGCAACTCGAGGCCACGGCTGATGCGAGAGACATTTCTGAGCATCTGACGGAGCTGCAGTCGCTGTGGGAAGAGGTGCAGGAGCTGGCGAGAGCGAGGAGTGCCAAGCTGGAGGATGCGCAGCGCGAGGCTGAGAAGCTGCACAAGAATGTCCACATGCTGCTCGAGTGGCTGGGCGAGGCGGAGCAGAAGCTGAGATTCGCGTCGGCGCCCAACAATGAGGCGCAAAGTCTGGAGTTGTTGCGCGAGAGTGAGTCATTCCTGCGGGAGTTGCGCGAGCAGGAGATCAACAAGAGGGACACGCTGGACTTGGCGCACAGAATCCTGGCCAAGGCGCATCCGGAGGCAGTGCCGATCATTAAGAATTGGATCACAATCATCGAGTCACGCTGGGATGAAGTGCTGCAGTGGGCAAAGGGCAGGAAGGACAAGCTGGAGACGTACCTCAAGTCGCTCAAGGATCTCGATGAGACCATTGACAATCTGCTGGCGTGGCTGAGGAGTCTGGAGAACAGGCTGCTGGAGCTGCAGCACGAGCCGCTACCAGATGAGATTCCGCCACTGGAGCGCCTGATTGAGCAGCACAAGGAGTTCATGGAGAGCATCGCGGCCAGACAGCAGGAAGTTGAGGTGGTGTGCAAACCCAAGCCGACCACGATTCAGGATGCGCGCAAGCAGAGTCGCGGCAGATTGGCCAAGTCGAGTCAGAGCAGGGATCAGACGCCGGAGAAGGACAGGCTGCCGCACATTGGGCCGCGCTTCCTCACCAGCTCAGCCGACATGCAGTTCCGATCGCCGCGGGCGCAGACGCTGTGGGAACAGTGGAGAATCGTGTGGCAGATGTGCTGGGAGAGGCAAAAGCGCCTGCACGACCACCTTCTCTATCTGCAGGATGTCGAGAGGGTGAAGCAGTTCAGCTGGGACGAGTGGCGCAAGCGCTTCCTCAAATACAACAACCACAAGAAATCGCGGCTGACGGATCTGTTCAGGAAGATGGACAAGGACAACAACGGGCTCATCCCCAGAGATGTCTTCATCGATGGAATTATCTCAACCAGTGAGTGGAGTTTGCCAGTGTGACAGAAATGGCTTTATTTCAGTGCTTTTCATCCACTCTTTCTCTGCAGAATTCCCAACATCTCGCCTGGAGATGGAGACAGTGGCCGATCTGTTTGACAGGAATGGCGAGGGCTTGATCGACTGGCAGGAGTTTATTGCGGCTCTGCGTCCGGACTGGCAAGAGAGGAAGCCAGCGACGGATGCGGACAAGATTCACGATGAAGTAAAACGTCTGGTGATGCTGTGCACGTGTCGCCAGAAGTTCCGTGTATTCCAGGTTGGAGAGGGCAAGTACAGAGTGAGTATCGCTAAAATCCTTGGATTCAGCTACAGATGAATTATTTCTCATTTCCTTTGCGATTTCAGTTCGGAGACTCCCAGAAGCTACGCCTCGTGAGAATCCTGCGCAGCACCGTGATGGTTCGCGTGGGCGGCGGATGGGTGGCTCTTGATGAGTTCCTGGTGAAGAATGACCCTTGCCGAGGTAAGTGCTCATCCTCACACTCTCTCTTTTTCATTGTGCTCCTCATCTCACACACAAAACTCACAAGATTCCCTCCTCTGGATAAACTAAATCCCACTAGCAGTGATTAATTCACGAGAAAAATGGTCATTTAATTCAAGATGAGTAATCCTATGAGGGTTAATTGAGGTTTTAATGCATGGAAGAGGTAGATTAAACCCGGTTTATTGGGCTGAAGGTCTCTAAAATACCCTAATCTGTAACCTGTAGACCCTTGTAAAATATCTCTTCTCAGTCTTCTGGGTTTTCTTGAGTATTCGTTGAGATTTGAATCGAAATGTCAAGATTTTGACAGTTCTAAAAGCTTTCAAAGTCTGACAGATCAATTTAATATCATACTCACAAACCCTTTTAGAATGATTTATCGTTAAAAATGGTTGGGTGTTTCTCTTCAACTCCCCCTAAGTATTTTACTGTCTTGGTTTATTTTTTTTTGTAAAGAAAAATATGATGAAAAATGTCAAAATTACACCTCTGACCTTCCCTTTCTTCGTTGATTCTTCTGTAAATTTATATTTCTATGCCATAGAGTGACAGAAATGTAGTCGTTTAAAGAAAAGAAAATGGGGGAAAAAATGAGGTAAGATAAAAGATGTTGTTTGATGAGAAGTGTTTGATTTTTAGTGAATTTTTCTCTTCTCATTTTGCTTGATGTTCTTTTTTTGGGATATGATTTTTTTTTTCCTAGATGTGTGTTTATTTGACAATGAATTTGATGTTTGACTCCCAATTGTGAGACTGTGGAGAGTCTTTGTGAGAAGAAAAACGTTCTGTTTTCTTAACACACACACACTTAGAGACATTAACTCGAAAGAGCATAAAAAAGAAGGTGTTTGAAGACAATTAACGTTGTTATTAATTGCGTGATTAATGTGGATTTTTGCACGCTTTAGAGCCACAAATGAATGCTTAACCGTAATAGTTTTTTTTTTTGGTTCTCTAATTCCTAATCCATGCTCAGAACACAAAGGCAAAAAAAGACAAACGCTACAAATTACATATTAATTCTTTTGTGTGACAATGTGTTATTAATTTTTGCGCAATGAAAATGCAAGAGATTATTATTATTATTGCTGTTTTTTCTTCTGTTGCCACTTGGAAGAAGAAGAAGATAGAAGTGTTAGCTGATTGATGTTGTGTTGTGAGAAAAGCCACAAAAACCCTACGTTTTCTATTTTGCAATTGCGTGTGTAGCCAAGGGTCGCACGAATGTGGAATTGAGGGAGCAGTTCACGCTGGCGGACGGCGTGTCGCAGAGCATGGCGGCGTTCAGGCCACGTCTCTCGACGCCTGGAGCTCAGGACTCGAGCACCTCGTCGCCGGTCTTGAGCAGCCAAGGACCCATCATGAAGGTAACGACCAAGTGTCTCTTTTCGCTTCTCTCTATCTCTGGGTCTGTTTAACTGAGCGGTGGCGGGATTTCTTGTACATACAAATACACACACTCTCTGGACGAGGAGCGGTCGTGCGACTGGAGGGCGTGAGCAGAAGTCTTGAGGTAAGTGTGGGCGGATCAGAGTTGCTAGGCTGCCTGGATGAGGATTGGAGATCAAGTATGGACTGGGAAATGCAAATACAAGAAGAGATAGAGGCAGATTTTCCCTGGGATTTCACAAAACTTTAAAATACATAATTTTGAAAGTTCTGGGGTCAATTTGCATCTGCTGACGTCTTAACCGCAATTCTATCTCGATTATAAGTATTATATGGTATTCTCCTTGATCTTTAGTCCATCCACAAGCTTGTCTAGTCAATTCTGATCAGTGGTCAAAAGTGCACCGTAAAAAAGCCTCTTTAGTTCTTCAATCTTTCCTCTACCGTTGAGAAATCTGTATTAAGTGGACTGTTGAGTCTATCCTTTATTTCTCGGTGTTTCTCAGGATGCACAATATATATTGTTTTTAGTAAGAAAAACGCGCACATTTCCTGTGGGAATCAAGTGAATGGCGAAATGCCAATTAAATGATCATTTTCTGTATTTACACACAATACAAAACACACCATCAAGATCACACATGTGAAGTCAGTGAATTTCTCGTTGTCCATTTTGTCCATTTGTGATCCCATCCTCGCAAAAAGTCACAGATGATGAAGGAGAATGTTGTCTTATCCTCTCTCACTCTCTTTTGTCATATAAAAAACAAACCTTTTTGATGCCTTTAATGACACAAAATACACAGTCGATGAGCATTTGGCCGAGTTGATGCCAATATTTGAGCGGTTGAGGGCACAAGAGCAAGTCCCATGTGCTTTTCCGCTGCACATGGGCGCCGGCGGGACGCTCTTCCTGCGCGGTGACGCCTGGAGCACGTCACTCAGTCCACATGCGCCCCACTGTCATCCCTCCACGCACTGGGTAAGTCCCACGTCACGCCAGCACACTCACTGTCACGATTGCCGACTCTGTGGAGCGCCAGAAGTCTCTTCTGGCCATTGGAAGTGATCCAAAGTGGGTTTTTTCTTCGCCAGCACTCGCGAGCAAGGAGTTCTGCGAAGGAAAATCCTTGTCTTTTCAATTGTGTTCCACAGTGCAATCCTGACAGTGAGAAGAAAAAAAAACATTTATTTAACAATCTTTTGTTCAGCAATGCAAGCAAAATGCCAGACAACGCTTGAGAAACTCTAAAAATGATGATTGGCCAACTGCTTAAAATGTGTTTAATCCTCAATTTTTATTCTCTTATAATTTATTTTCTTTTTAACAGCGATTTTACTGTATTTTTTGCAAAATTGTTGATCCTTGGCTGTTGTCTTAATGGTTTTCTTGTAATTTTTTCCACTTGCGAAGATCCGCGAAAGGTCTCAACGGTCCGTGGCGATGTCACGTCCAACACGATCATCCTTGTCCGCCTCCACGCCTGACTCTCTCAGTGACAATGAGAGCTCCTCTGGATTGAGGCGCTTCTCATCCCGAACACCGTCTCTGAGGTGAGTTTTGTCTGACTAAGGCTACTCCGCGGGGTGATTTGCTAAGAGAGATTTGCGTATTCTTTGCAGAACTCCTGGATCGAGGGAGAATTCCAAACCCGGCTCCAGGCCTTCGAGTCGTCCGGGTTCGAAGCCACCATCGCGACAGGGATCTCAGCTGTCCCTCGATGGATCTGGTGAGTTGGAAGATAGAAACAGATTGGTGTGTTGGAACAGGCTTTTTCACAGTGATTTCACTTTCACAGACGACACACCGTCAAGGATTCCACAGAGGCAGACGCCGACTTCCTCCTATCCGAGGGTGTCTCGATTCGGAGCCACGACGCCAAAATCCAATGGAACGCCACTCCTGAGCCCTTCTGAGAGGTGAGTTGATTCGCAAGAGAGGCTGAATTATAGTAGAGTTTCTCGGAAGATTATATTCCGCACTTTTCTGGCTTCACAAGAAAACTGCGTCGACCCTTCCGGATAGCAATTGATGATCTCTTGTCTTGAATAGCTCATAAATCAATTTTGAGGAATTGATGAGAGATTGCACATTTATGTGCCTTGATTTTGACTGAAAGTCATGTTGAAAATCACAAGAAACCACATTTAGGGCATTTAGAACACGCCCACCCACAAGCCCCGCCCAAGAATACTGCTCACAATGTTTATTTGTATTGCAGACAATCTGGCTCGGCGCCCTTCCATTTGTCCTCGACGCCGCCACGCTCGAGCGTCGACCGACTTTCAACGGCGTCCAGCACGAAGAGGACAACAACGACGTCCTCAACGCACTCGGCAACGAAACGATGAAGATGCCAACACAACAACGAACAGCAGCTCACAAAAGACACGAGAAGCAAGGAGAGGAGAAGCACTAATCCTTATGTTTATCGTATTAATTCGCGCGGTTAAGATGACCCCTAATCCTCACATTCTGTCTTAAATTAACCACCAAATCACACCCTAATCGCTAAAGTCACTCATCCAACGAATTACTATAGGTTTGCAGGTGTATTTCCTAATTTTTCCAACCGCCCAAAACGTGGGCGCGTGTTTATCGAAGTTTACTTTAGAGAAGATGCAATAAAGTATATTTATAGGTTTTAAATTGTGACAAGAATTGTAAAAGCACTTATACAGAAAAAAAAAAATTCTCAAGAGATGAAAGTTGCAAAAAAGAAAAATCCACTTTCTATACCAATATTTTTGTGAGTTAATCATAAATAGAGAAAAGATGGAAAATAAAAGGAGCATTGTTGCAATTAATCACGACACCTTAACGTGTTCCTAAAAAAATGACTTAACAAATTTATATAATATGTATTTGAATTCATACCAAAAGTTATATTGCAAAATGATGATGAGAAATCACGATAAAAATGGTTTATATAATAAAAGTGAACTTTTTATATTATTAAATGAGAATTCTAAAAAAAAATCTACTTATATGAGAAAATATTAAGCAAATTAATTCAAAGTTTAATAAATAAAAACACTTCTTATAAAAAAAAATAAACGCTTGTTTTTGGATCAAAAGACAGATTTATTTTATCCACAAGTGAAGGAAATACAACATTAGGGGCTGCACTACGCGTCGTCCTCCTCGTCTGCGTCCTCGTCGTCTTCCTTGGCGCGGCCCTTGTTCAGCTTCGCCGCGTACAGGATGTGCATAAGCTTGCGCGTCTTGTCGGGCGTCAGGCGGTTGCGGACGGGGATGCGCTGGCTGTCGCCGCTCTGGCCGAAGGCAGTGACGATCTTGGCCGCCGACGCGGGGATACGCAGCAGGCGCGTCGCCATGTTGGCCAGCACCGGATAGTCCATGCGAGCGAGATTCCAGAATAGCAGCGCGTCCGTCTGCTTCAGACCCTGCCAAGAGAGATTGCACAACTGTGAGTCTCTGTGCGTCTCGAGCACTCGCGGCTCTCCTTACCTTGCTGTACAGCACGCGGAAGAGTCCTCTGTGGTGCTGGAAGTCGTACAGCTGCTGCAGTCCGTCGGCGTTCAGTTCCTCCAGCATGAAGTGATGCGCCATGGACGCATATTGCTGCGGCAATCGCTCGCGATCGTGGAACGGATGCAGCACAAATGCCGCCAAGGCGTATTTGTTGAACACCACATCGCGATGGTGGTTGAAAATTGCCGCCATGTGTGGCGACTGGGCAGGAAACTTCTCACCCAGCGACAGCCACGCGTCCACCGAGTCCGCGATCGAGCTCTGCCGCTTCTGCACCACCGCCAGCGCCTCGCCAATCGCCTCCAGCACGGCTACATTGGCCTCCAACTCCTGCACGAACGCCTCGTCGAAGAGCAGCGCCGTGGCGCGCTGCCAATTGCTGTGGCGGCCGCGCGCCGGCTGCCACGTCGCCTCGGCCGCGATCATCTTCATGTGCGCCAGATCGTCGCGCAGGCACTCGTACGTGAGCCTCGTGGAGCCGCAGCGTCCCTCACGAGGCAACTCCAGCCGCCGGCCACCGTTCGCGATAATGCGCTTCTCCAGCTGCGGCGTCTTGAACTCCCGCACGATCTCTACCACCTTCTCCGTGAAGTCCGCCTGCAGCAGCGCGTCCGCCAGCTGGTTGGCCACGTGGCTGGAGCAGACGCAGTGCCACACATTCACGGCCTCGCCCAGTTGGCCCATCTCACGGCTGTTGTCCGTCATCAGGCAGTAGATGTTCGTGCCGTACAGACTGTTGGCCTTCACTGTGGCCTCGCACACGATCTCCATCAGCTTGTCGCCGGTCTCCGTGTCCTCCTGGAGAATGAGAGTCGATCTAGAGCCATTTCTACAGCGACAAGTCATCCAAATCTCACCTTAAAGTCCTGCGTGTCCACGAAAGCGCTGCTCCCTTCGACGCTGCTCAGCGTGCACATTATGCTCTTGGCCTTGGTGAGGAAGTTCCTGCAGCTGTAGACGAAGAGAATACTCTCCGAGCTGCAGGCGCTCCTTTCGATGCATCTGTTGTACGCGTCGTCCAGCAGTGTGGACGACAGGGCGCGCCTGGTGGGGATCTTCTTCTCATAGCCCGGCTCCAGAGCGCGCACGAACGTCCTGAAGGCCTCCGACTCCACCACGTTGAACGACAGATTGCACTCGAAGATGAAGTCGGCCAGGGAGCGCGTAATCTCAGTCACTTCGATGCCAGTGAGGTCAGAGCGCCTCCGCTTCTTTTTCTTCACCTTCTTGGACATTTTGCGGAGTTGCTTGGGCGACAGCAGACTGCTCAGGCGTTGCGGTGAGGCGTCTGAGTCACTAGAGGAGCTGCTAGAGCTGTCTGACGACGACGCCTTGCGGGCGGGCGGCATGTGACGCTTCCTGGATCCGGACACAGTATCGTCTGCCCTGTTGTCGTCTTCCACAATGTCAGCGTCACTCTGGGTCGCATTCGTGAAGGCGGGCAGATTGATCACTTGGAACTACAAGTGAGAAAGGGTGAGAATCATGTTTAAGAACAGACCAGAATCGCCCAGGAGCAGCTCATAACCCTACTTTTGGTGTTTTGGAGAAAACCTTCTGCTCCACATCATCCTCCTCGATATTCCCGGGGGAGTTCTGCTCCTCACCGCCCAACTTGCATTTATTGCTGAAAGAAGATGCGTCACATCAGCCGGGGAGTTGGAAGAACAGCGGGAGGAGTGATATTTACTCACCGATGACTCCGGAGTCGCTTTGCCGAGGTGTTGGCCAGCAATTTCTGACAAATGGGACACCACGCCTTGACTTTCTTGTCGAATCTCTGCAGCTGGTAGTTCAATCTGTCGAATTCGTCATTCTTCTTGCGTCCGACCATCGTCAGGGAGTCACTTTCTCACCAAAACAAACATCCTCACACTGGAAACCTCAGCACTTCCCCGAAAACTGACATTTCGCCCAGCCAATGCGCTGCGAAGTAGGCAAAACTCAGTGGGATGAGACTTCAAAACATTCCCGATTGCAACGGACATCCAATGAAGAGCTGCCCAAAAGCAGAGCTACTTTTGAGCATTCCATGCGCTTTTCCATAAAAAATCAGTGTTTTTTTTTTCTATCCAAAATATTATTCCATGGCGCATACTAAAAGCAGGTAAAGTTTGTCTTCACAGTGTTGTGTCGGTAAGATTGCAATATTGCCTCGCAAAATACACTTTTGGGGTTTCTTCTCAAATTGTTTGTTTGTAATACAGAAAGAAAACACGCGTCCCCTCACTTTTCCGCCGGCGCCGCTGCCTCCAGGAAGCTGGTCACCTCCTCGAACACCAGCTGCTTCCACTTCTCCACCGGCAGGTCCATGTCCTCGAAGCTCTGATCATAGAGCGCCGACGTCGGCTCGTCCGTGGGATCGGCGTACTTCTCCAGGTACGGATGAGCGAGCGCCTCCTCGGCCTGGATGCGCTTGTCCGCGTCCAGCTCCAGCATCTTCTCCAGCAGGTCGATGGCCTTGGGATTGGCGCCAAGGAACACCGTGCGGAAGTCCTGCTTCCGCATAATCGGCAGCGACTTGATGTAGTTGCGCGCGCTCTCGGACGAGATCTTGGCCATGAAGTCGTCCGTCGGCGTGCCCAGCACCTCCATGATCAGGTTCAGCTGGTGGATATGATCGCTGCCTGGGAAAAGCGTGCGGCTCGTGAGCAGCTCGGCCATGATGCAGCCCACCGACCAGATGTCCACCGTCTGGTTGTAGTGCATCCAGTTGAGCATGATTTCGGGGGCGCGATACCACCTGAAAGCCCGAGAGCAGAGCGATAAGTCGTTATCAGGTGAGTCACGAACGGAATGTGCGCGTCTCAATGTATTCAATATGACTATTGACGCAACAGATACATTGTTCTGCTGAACATCTTCAGCAATTTTTAGTATTTGCTGAGGATTTATTCAGCTCTTGAATGCATTCACAATCATGCGAATTGCTGCTCAAATAGAATAATAAATAGAGTCTGGAGCATAGAGAAAAATGGGGCGTTTATGATCATATTTCTTAAAATGAATCTCCAACTTCTAGTGATGTTCTTATGTTATCTAAGAATTTCACATCTTGAAATCCTGTTTTTCTTTGTTTGTATCCCGGAAACTACTTATGTAGGTTCAAAATTCTCTTTTTAGCTGTGATTTATGAATGTTTGTTTAAAACACTCTACAAATCAATCACGGTTTAACGTCTGTTTTATATCAAACCATTTGCTTATAATTAAATAAGCAGAAACAACATAAAGAATTGAGTGGTAAACTCTTCAAATTTAAGCTCTAATTAATGCACCCTCTCTCCCCTATTGCAATACACAAAAGAGCAATTCTTCCCAAACAGGACACCCAGGAAACCACAAGAATTGGCCCTCATTCGTGGCGCTCTTGCCAACTATTCGCTGCATTCGCAGATGAATGCCGCTCGGTATAAACTTGTGCTGCGGAATTGCCGCCGAGGCAGAAGCCGCAGAACAGGTAAACGATCGCAGCGTGAGCATCGAGAGCGCGCGCTGGTGGGCGATCGTCAGGTTGGCCGAGACAATCAGCGGCACTCGCGTGACTGCGAGTGTGTGTGGGCCACAAATAGAAAGGCGCTTGAGTGCCTTGAGCGTCATTACCTCGTCGCAACGTAGCCCGTCATCTCGTTCTCCGTGGGCCGCGCCAGCCCGAAGTCCAGAATCTTCAGCTCGCAGTCCTCGTTCACGGCGATGTTGCTCGGCTTCAGGTCGCGGTGGATGATGCCGGCGCTGTGGATGTACTTGAGGCCGCGCAGGATCTGGTACACGAGGAATTGCACGTGATCGTCGGAGAGCTTCTGCGTGCGGACGATGTTGTTGAGGTCGGCGCCCATCAGATGTGTCACGAGGTACACATGCTGAAAGCTCTCCAGCGACTTGCCGCCCGGATGGAAGACGTTGAGCAGCCCAATCACGTTCTCATGGTTCATGTGCTGTTCGCGCGAGAGAAAGAGAAAGAGATAGAGACGGTGAGGAACACACCCAAAGAAGAGCGCGCCCAAGGGCAGCGCCTCACCTTCAACATCCGCAGCTCCCTGTACGTCCGCTTGGCGTGCACGGCGGTCTGGAAGGGGCGCGCCAGCTTCTTGATGGCCACCTTTGTGTTGTTCAGTGTGTCCACGGCGGAGCTGGACGGGAAAAAAGAGGAAGTCTTGCAGGAGTGTCGCGACTTTACAGGCTTCATTGCGAACTCACCAAACCTGCCCGTAGGCGCCGCTGCCCACGGGCGTCAGCATCTGGTAGCGCGCGGGCACATTCCACTCCGTCTTGTTGATCTCGATATTGTAGAATGACTGCATCTTTCCTCAGATTTCACACTGAAAACCCAAATATTGAACTGCGATTGTTTCCATCCGCCATTGACACTGACAACGGCGTGACTCTAGCCCACCCGATTCGCGACTCACAGCATTTGCTGCGACTTTTTGGCGGATCGTCAATACAACAAATGAGCTGTGTTATGGTCATTTTACCCCGTTTTCCTCCAATTCAGAGAGTGATAGTCGATGATAAGTGATATCAGGTGAAAGAATAAACACTCCTGTGTGTCCTGCGGTAAAACTACCGGCTGACAAACACATCGAGTAGAGAACCGGTAAGAATTTAGCCCCGGCAATTCTTATTTTTGGGAGGGACTTTTGGGTCGCCAAAGCGCCCCAAAATCAAAATGACACTCTCCAATTGATGGTGAGAAATCATCATCAAGTCCCTACCTTACTTTCTGCCACAATCGAGGGATTTTTATTCTTCATCCGAATCGTGTATATCGAAACAACGCTTCATCACATTCGCCAGAAGCTGGAACTGCTTGTCCAGGTCTTCCATCTCCTGCAACTGCGTCCGGACCTTCTCCTTTCGCTCCTCAGTCTCCGCTTTGTCCTCGGCAAAGGTGCGTCTGGCTCCCTCGGCAATAATTCTCGTCCTGTGATTGAATCTCGCCTGAGCATCTTGCTTTTCTCTCTGCATTCTCTGCAGATGTTGCTCAGAAAGCGTATCGCTTTGTCCTCTGGACGCTTCCTGATCCTCCTCCACCGCCAGTTCAGGGTTTTCCAATTGTTGAATCACGAATTCCTCAATGGAATCCTTCATTTCTGTGAGCATCTTTATGTTCTTCATGGCTTCGATCACTTTCACTCCGTCAGCAAAGAATTCCTCCCTTTCCTTCTTCCTGGCCTCGTAATCCTCATCGCAGAGCTCGTCTGTCGGATCCAGGAAGGGTAAATCTGGCGAAAAATCAAGTATTTGGGATTGATTTTTAGAAAAACAGTAAGAATAATTACCCTTGTTCAGTGAAGTCATATCAGTACTCTCGAATTGATTGCAATACCACGAATAAAGCGAACTGATAAGACTGACAATCGGCTTTTAGCACTTCTTTGAATTCATTTACAGTTAGTTTTGCAAAAAATTCCCAGAGTTCTTGAGATCACACTTTGCTTTTCTGTCTCATCCTCAGACTTTCTCAACACTTTATTTTCAAGATTCAGTACTTTTTATTCCCAACTGTTGTGTTTCTGAAACACATTATCCTGCAATTCATCTTCTTCGTCACTTTTCTCTACTTAGGTGGAAAATAAAGGCTCAGATAACTCGAATATTTCCATAAATAGTCAATATGAAGCTGAAGCGAGAGTTGGAATGTTTCTCAGAGTCAGAAATTTTTAACAAATTCCCACAAAAGAAACCCATATTTATTGCGCTCACAAATTAGAAATAATACAATACAATCTCCAAGAAACTGAGCTTTCAGCGACGTCATTATTTATTAAGATGATTATTCAGCTGATGCTGCTTCTCCGCATATTCTTCCGCCTCGGCGCGCTTCAGTTTTCCGGAAGAAGTCGTTGGCAGTTTTTCCACGAAGAAAACTCCGCCGCGGAGTTTGTGACTGTCCGGAAGTTCTTCCGCCACTCTCTCGAGAATCTCCGCTTCTGTGACAATCGTTCCATTCTTCCTGGCCACAACAACGGCAGGAAGTTGGTTGCATTTGGGATCGTGAATCCCAACGGCCGCAACTTCAGCGACTCCCGGAATGCTTTTCACCACTCTTTCGATCTCCGATCCAGAAACGTGGCTCATGAAGTACTTGATGACTTCCTTGCATCTTCCCACGATGTGGAGGAAACCATCCTCATCGTAGAATCCAACATCTCCGGTGTGGAAGAATCCTTCTTCGTCCTTAGAAGCTGCTGTCGCTCCGGGATTTCCCAAGTATCGGGTAAAATGATGGAATGACTTGAAGCAAAGCTCTCCCTTTTCGTTGGGGTCCAATTTCTTTCCTCCCTCATTGACGACTATTCCTTCGGAGCCTGGGTCGAGATTTCCTACACTTTCTGCCATTCTGAGATTGCTCATGTAGGTAGATATTCCTCCCATCTCTGTCATTCCGTATGAGATTTCAAACTCTTTCCCCGCGATGAAGGGTGATAACTTCTGAAACAAGGCTCCGGTGACAAGAGTTCCTCCGCACCAGATACTTTTTAGTGACTCAAGGGTGGTTGGCGTCATTTTTGGAGATTGCAGGACGTGATCCAAGTAAAGTCCCGAAATCACAGTGTGACTGACTTTGTACTTATTCACAATGTGGATGTAAAGTTCAGAATTGAAGGATTCTGTCGTGATGATGCGCGTAAGACCCAAGAAAATACTTTTGAAAATAATTTTGTAGCAAACAGACCTGAAATAACAAATATTTTCTAAATATATAATGTAATTTTAGCCTTTCGAGCATTTTTTTTGTTTCGTGTGAAATGATTTAGCAATCGCAGTAAAATATTAGTGAGTCTCACCAAAAGATGGGACAGAAGCTGAATATAGAATCCGTAGGGCAAGTGCTGATCCTTTGAGCCCAGTTTGCATCGATCATTGTTTGGTAAGGCACACAAACGGCTTTCTGCGATCCAGTAGTTCCCGAAGAGCAAACGATTACGTGATACTTCATTTCACTGTCTCTGCAAGAATCTTCGAAGACTTCTCTGTGTTTGCAGAAATAAAAAATAGTTTAAACACTCATAAATTCGGTAGTAATTCCGCAGCTTTCACGGAGTGACAAAAAGATAACTTTTACTTGCCTTCTCAGCTCATCGTTATCGCCTTCTTTCATAAGATCTTCAATGTGGATGTTGGAAGAAATTTTCCTCCCATACACGAAAATTGTGGCTTCATTTCCCAGCTTTTCCACCACTTTCTGCACCAACGACACTTTGTCGTCATCGCAGAAGATGAACTTCGGCTTCGTAACGCTGAAAATGTTGTAGATTTCGCTTTCGTTCTTATCCACGTCCATCGCGTTTGTCGGCGCTTCCAGAAGAAAGGCCGCGAACAAAGTTGGGGTCAAGTTGTGTCCATTCCTGGCCACGAAGCCCACGACATCTCCTCTTCGGCAGCCTCTCCTCCTCAGCGCCGCGGCGATCTTCTCGGTGTCGGACGCGATCTCGCGGTTCGTCAAGCGGATTCCGTTGTTGTCGCTGATCTGGCAGATTTTTAGTGGGTCGCGGCTCAGGATGTGCAGGATAATTCGTCCCAGGTTGGCTTTCGGGTTGAAGAGAGGCGTTGGCATTTGGGGCGCTCGCCATATCTTCTCAACGCTGCTGAATTTCGTCGAAGACATCGTAACTCACGGACTCTCTGAACAAGACTGATGCTTAGGAATCTGTGATTATCTATCTGGAGCCAAGAACCTTTTTGAGTATGATTTCTGGCTTCCAAAGACATTTGTAAATATTGGTTTATCTTCTTACTCAGGAAAATCTGTTAGGCTGGGCTACAGACAAATTTCTTTAATTGAGAAAATTTCTCAGACATGACGAAATTTTCCATATTTTCACGATTTAATCATTGAATTCTGAAGGAGGCTGGCAAAGTTGTTAAATTTTAAAAAAGGATTTTCTGTATGCAAATCTCTGTGCGTTTGGTGTAGTAAGATAATTATAATTATGTACGTATTCGTTTCAGAACAAAATCAATTAGGTAATTTTTTGAACTGAAAGAAAATTAGAATAGAATCAAAAATCTCTGCAATTGATTATTACAACCAGAAAAATAGGCCATGGTATTTTAAATTATACCACAAAATCCACCCATATTTATTGCGCTCACAAATTAGATATAATACAATACAATCTCCAAGAAACTGAGCTTTTAGCGACGTCATTATTTATTAAGATGATTATTCAGCTGATGCTGCTTCTCCGCATATTCTTCCGCCTCGGCGCGCTTCAGCTTTCCGGAAGAAGTCGTTGGCAGTTTTTCCACGAAGAAAACTCCGCCGCGGAGTTTGTGACTGTCCGGAAGTTCTTCCGCCACTCTCACGAGAATCTCCGCTTCTGTGACAATCGTTCCATTCTTCCTGGCCACAACAACGGCAGGAAGTTGGTTGCATTTGGGATCGTGAATCCCAACGGCCGCAACTTCAGCGACTCCCGGAATGCTTTTCACCACTCTTTCGATCTCCGATCCAGAAACGTGGCTCATGAAGTACTTGATGACTTCCTTGCATCTTCCCACGATGTGGAGGAAACCATCCTCATCGTAGAATCCAACGTCTCCGGTGTGGAAGAATCCTTCTTCGTCCTTGCAAGCTGCGTTTGCTTCTGGATTTCTCAAATATTCATTGTGATTGTAGAAAGACTTGAAGCAAAGCTCTCCCTTTTCGTTGGGGCCTAACTTTTTCCCTTTCTCGCCAAGAACGATACCTTCAAAGCCAGCTTCTAGATTTCCCACACTCATTTTCAGATTAGGTTTAATTATATAACTTGAAATTCCTCCCAGCTCCGTCATTCCGTATCCAATCCCAAACTCTTTGTCCTTAATGTGAGGTAATAACTTTTGCATAAGAACGTCAGTGACAAGAGTTCCTCCGCAGTAGATACTTTTTATTGGTGCGAGACTTGTTGGCGTCATTTTTGGAGATTGCAGGACGTGATCCAAGTAAAGTCCCGAAATCACAGTGTGACTGACTTTGTACTTATTCACAATGTGGATGTAAAGTTCAGGATTGAAGGATTCTGTCGTGATGATGCGCGTGAGACCCAAGAAGATGCTCCTGAACAGGAGTTTGTAGGAAAAGGACCTGAAATATTACTATTTGTTTAATTTGTTCTTTTATGACCTCTTTTATGTGTTTGATAGTAAAGCGATTCTATTTTGTTGTCTTGATCACCCCCAATTATTTTGCAGATTAAAAGGTAATTTGTTATAAGATAATTTTACCAAAAGATGGGACAGAAGCTAAATATAGAATCCGTAGGGCAAGTGCTAATCCTTTGAGCCCAGTTTGCATCGATCAATGTTTGGTAAGGCACACAGACGGCTTTCTGCAATCCAGTAGTTCCCGAAGAGCAAACGATTACGTGATACTTCATTTCGCTGTCTCTGCAAGAATCTTCGAAGACTTCTCTGTGTTTGTAGAAATAAAAAATAGTTTAAACACTCATAAATTCGGTAGTAATTCCGCAGCTTTCACGGAGTGACAAAAAGATAACTTTTACTTGCCTTCTCAGCTCATCGTTATCGCCTTCTTTCATAAGATCTTCAATGTGGATGTTGGAAGAAATTTTCCTCCCATACACGAAAATCGTGGCTTCGTTTCCCAGCTTTTCCACCACTTTCTGCACCAACGACACTTTGTCGTCATCGCAAAAGATGAACTTCGGCTTCGTAACGCTGAAAATGTTGTAGATTTCGCTTTCGTTCTTATCCACGTCCATCGCGTTTGTCGGCGCTTCCAGAAGAAAGGCCGCGAACAGAGTTGGGGTCAAGTTGTGTCCGTTCCTGGCCACGAAGCCCACGACATCTCCTCTTCGGCAGCCTCTCCTCCTCAGCGCCGCGGCGATCTTCTCGGTGTCGGACGCGATCTCGCGGTTCGTCAAGCGGATTCCGTTGTTGTCGCTGATCTGGCAGATTTTTAGTGGGTCGCGACTCAGGATGTGCAGGATAATTCGTCCCAGATTGGCTTTCGGGTTGAAGAGAGGCGTTGGCATTTGGGGCGCTCGCCATATCTTCTCAACGCTGCTGAATTTCGTCGAAGACATCGTAACTCACGGACTCTCTGAACAAGACTGAACTAAGACCTTTTAAGTTAGATTTGCATGGTCCATGATGATAAGAATATTTGTTGTATTTGCCTTAGAAATATTCCACGAATCCCAATTAGACTGTTAGAAAAACTTTCAACTCTTTCAAAGCTGTTTGCTGGGCTTTGAAGCACAAAGCTTTGCGTAGCGCCACAAGTGAGTTTGCGGCAAATAGTGATAGCTGGAAACCGAATTGAAGCGTTAGGATTCTTCAAGATAATGATAAGAGTTCTCAGGTATATTTTGTGGCTTTACAATCTTTCCACTTTTACTGTTAAAGCCTGAACCTTTCGCAGGAAATACTCTTAAATCGTGTGATATACGACATGGCAGTAAAGTAATCAGGATGACAGGTTTATTAGATTGAGTGCGGCCTTTATCTAGCGACCAGGAACGACAAGTTTCTCGTTAGGTTTTTTATAGTACTGCGAGATGGGGGCAAAAAATGGGGGGCCAAGTGCCTGCCTTATCACGTGCCCGCGATAGCTTTATTACTCACGATGAAGCGTGAGTCTTAATGATGCTCCTTATCATCTGTTGACTCTGGCCATTCCTGGAATGTGAGAACATTTCTCTGTATCTCAGAGGAACTCTTGCAAATGACTTTAATCGCAATGTTGCGAAATTGGACAGACTCCAGCATGATAAGGCAAAAATCCACTATCTGTAAATGTAATGGGAATGGTCAAATTTGCCTCCTCACTCTGACCTTTCCAATTTGGCTGAAGAGTCATCGGCAGGGGTTGATTTCACTCCATTTCAATGTTGGGACTTTGAAAATGAGTTTTAATTTAGAATTTGTGTGTGCCTTTTTTTCTCATTCTTTGAGTTCTTCTCTCACTGACAAATAGACTTTGAGTGCCTGACTTTTTTTTTGTCTTCTGTTCAATTCATTGTATGGGCGAGAGCGAGAGGGACTGAGAGAATATGAGAAAAATCTAGAGCCGTCAGTGTGTTCGACTTCACGCGCACTATTCCCAATACAGTGATAAGGCGGCACCAGATGGGAAACCTATTCTTTGCGGGCTGGAAACTTGTTTCAAGAGCTCTTCAAACATGAAAGAAGCGGTGCATTGCGGGAAAGAAGCTTCGGAGAGAAGATTGTGCAAGGAGCAAATCAATGGAAAACAAGGAAATCGTGGTAGTACATTCGAATGCAGGAGTTGGACAATTAGAGAAGAAGTTCCTTTGCTGGTGAAGAGAGAATTGGCAGCGTATTTCTGTTGGGAAAACGCGCTTCTGCGCTTAGGTTCGCTTCCACTGACCGTTCATTGATGTGTTGCAGTGTGTTAGTGGATTTGCTCGTGGATTGCCAGTATTTCTCGGATGCTCGGGTCGCTTGTGTCATCAGTCAATCGGCAGTATTGGAAGCAAGTGGTCGTGATTTCACAATTCGGTGTGTTCTGTTCATGTCAAGTCACTGAGAACAAGGCAGAGTTTCTTCAGGCATAAAAATACACCGGGAAAGAATAAATCAAATCCCGGTCGCATTTGTGATTCCCCGGCTTCGCCGCCCGTTCATCTCTTTGGATATTATTTTTAAAATACTCGCTGGGCATTCTTCTGTGCGATTGCAAAAGTTGGGTAAGTCGAGCAATTTTAGACACATGGAATAAATCAATTTTGCGATGTTTCCGGGAGTGCTGGGAAAAGCGGGGAATTTGCGGTGGTGTGCAAGTGAGTGGGAAGGATAAAACCACCCCCATTTTGGACCTTCATAGGGTAATCAATAAAGTCTACAGTCTGCAAAATGCTTGATTACATGCAGTTGACACAGTTTTGCGGGTTTTGCCGGGGAAAAAACCATTCCCAGAAATGTGTCACTTTCTAAAGATGACGCCAACTGGAGTGCATTCGGTGAATTTTACGGAGATGAGGCACATTATTTCCAGCGCCTCGACTGAGGTTATGTCCGCCCACGAGGGTTGTTTCCACCCCTGTTGGGTGACAGGCAGTAGGCGAACGCCCGATTCCACTTGAGTGGCGTGACATGCAGAAAATCGATGCAATCAACGCCTATTTAATTTAATTGCATAATTCACCTATGCAAGCTGCTTGGCATCTCCCGAGAAAACTACACTCGGCCCAACCAGACTGCGGCAATCGACGCGTGTAAATATTTAGTTAAAAGAACATTCTTTCCGGGATGGTGAAATTCTCCGCCAAAAAGCCATTTCGATCATAAAGATCCATTCAATCGCTCATGTTTATAAACTGGGAGGGGACAGAAAGAGGGAAAAAAGCGCTCAAGATTGAATGAAGAAATATTTATCTTTTTTTGCTCGCCGCAACACTCAGTTACAATTCAAGGCCAGCGAGTTCAATAGAATATAATTAAATTCAGCTGTTTTACATAACGCTCATCTTTCCTGATTTATTTTACATACTCAGTTTAATTTATTTGCGTATACAATTCACACCCAATTGAAATTTTTACATCATTCTAATGGTTTTAATTGGGATCTGGGTTGAGTTAACCCATTAGTGTGAGTGGAAGGCTCAATCTACTCAAATAATTGCTGCAAAAATTATGTCAATGAAATCTTAATCGCTGTTCTTTGCAAAAAAAAATTACTCTGAAAAGGATCCAATTATCGGAAAGCGTGGAAAAAATAGATTTGTCGCTAGCCTTGAACTTACATCTGAATGTATTTATCTTTTCCCACCCAACATAACCTCCAAATTCGTGTACTAAAGTGTAATTTGCGTGTTAGTTCTTATCACATACGTCGCTTTGCGTTTATAAATACTCAATAAAGCAATTCATTTGTATATTTCTGTCGTCTCACATCAATTTCACCTGCTTATTTACTCATTTCCCCGAAAACACTCTGTACTAAATTGCGTTTTCTGTGTGCAATTGCATAAATTGTCTAGCGTGTCATCCCACTTGTAATTGCACGGATTAATTCTCGGTTGATTTCCTTTATTTATAGATGAATCATTTTGTTTGTTTAGAGAAATCTGTGTGCACATGTTAGTACTATTTATAATTCGGGGGTTTTGCGGGGTGGGAAACAAGAGCAAAGATCTCTAAATTGTTTCTCACATATCGGGTTCTGAGGCGTGTGAAAATGAGAACAGGAAGTCTTGAGATGGCTTCCTTAATTGTGTGACGTTCACAGGATGAGCTTTTCAAGTGGAGAAGTCAAAATGATATTTATTAATAATGGCTGGCAAGCTTAATTGGCGAATTTAGCTGCAGCCAAAATTCAAGGGGAGTTTTGATGATTAATCATGCGAGAGGCATTGCAGCTAATTTGAGGGACTTCAACCAGGCACAGGGACGCATCGAAAGGTGGGCCAAATGTGTCTGGTTGAATTAAGAAAGAGGCCTTTCTTCGCACCTCATTTTCCGAAGCGATTTTTCTCACTCGATATTTCATAAAATGTTTCACAACATCTGACACACAGAAATGATTAAGCGCAGATCAGAGGATGACCGATAAATTTTTCACTTTGGAGACTGTGAGAAAATTTTTTCCGTTCTAAAGAGGCCACAAAAGCACACTCACTAAATAAATCTCTCGTGACAAACCTTTTAATTGTCGCACGAGCGGGAAAAGTGCGAAAATGTCCCAAAATAATTTTATTTCAAAAATCATGGCACAGCATCAAGATTCTCTTGTCCGCGGACTTGAAGAAAGAGGCTCTCATTCGGCGTATTTCTCAATATTCATAATGTACATCTCATTATATATTTTTTTCATTGACTTTTGAGCCTTTTTTCGATGGTGCAATTCATTGACCTTCCATTGGAAAATGTATGGCATTAAAATTGCAAAATATCACTATGCGCAATAAACCATATTTAATTAGCAGACTCAACAAATTAATTGGGCGGTGCACAGCAAATTTCAGAGCGGGAAAAAAACGGTCATGTACTCTGGATTTCGAGAAATTTCTCCGCGTGTAAATTTGTCTTATCTGAAGTGATAACAATGCTCAATTGAAATGCTAGTTCATGCCTACCAAAGCGACTGATAAAAGCGCGCATATTGAAATTTTCCATTGAACTTGTTGCGGGCATATCACAATTCCGAGCCACGGGGTTTATCAGTGCGGCAAAGGAGTACAGAGGTTTTCTAAAAATAGAATAATTAAACAGTAGATAGGAAAATTAGGTGGGAAAGATATTCTGAATAGAGTTTTTGCTGGTAATAGCTGAAAATTTTGTAGGCAAAGTCAGTTTAAGAGCAATATAACCCCACTTTTATTGAGCTAATATTTTTATTGTATAAAATACAATAATTATTGTACGAATAATTGTTCATTTTATGATTTTTACATGTTTAATAACTGAAAACCTGCACCTGTGTTTTATTCACCACTGACAAAAATGTACAAAACTGTCTTTTCCTAAGACTTGTCACTCTCTTCCCTCGATGAGAAACCCCTCCCACTATCTGGCTTTCGAGGCTCGTGCAAGTGAAAGGCGGGAAATTGCAGAATTGACACCCATTCAAGCTTTTTTACTTGCATCGGAGCAACAAACGTCATCAAAGTGCTAAATTGTGTGGAATTTCTCGGCAACTTGTCCTTCAATTGCATTGATTACAAATTAATTCATGTATTAGGATTGAGATCTCGTACCTTATTACAAATTCCTGAGTCAGAGTGACTGTTTAAATGCGTAATTACGGTGTGGAGTGAAGATTAGATTCGGGTGGCTCGTTTCTATCAATGGAAGTCGATTGTGATCTTGAAGTGTCTCAGAGGAGGCACTCAGAAAGATTACCAACAACGTGATTAGTGGAGAGAGAGGACAATTAATTCCGGTTGAATAAACAAGCATGAATTATTGATGTGACCAGAGGTATAATTTATGCAGAGGACTTTGAATAAAACCCAGTGATTACGGGAGCTTTTTCGCCTTATCTTGGCTCGCCTCCGACAGACGAAAATATCCATCAAAATGCCAGGCATTGTGAAGGGTGAAATGGTCAAAATTATCATTACAGAACACTTTATTTCTGCCCTGTGTTTTCACTATCATGTTGCCATGGAGAGGCTCTGAAAACCCACTTTAATGTGAGTCACGAGGCGCTTCGGGGGTTGATAAATCAATGGAGACGTACTGAATTCCCACGAAATGTCATATTGACAGTAAATTGTGACAGAGCGCTGTCAAATTTGAAATTTATCACTGCTCAGCCGTTTATTAACCCCTCGCGCGTTCCGAGAGCTTTTCATTCACGTGCCGCCCAATTTATTTAAAAATGTCTCAATGACTTTGAGCTGCGATACAAGTAATAAATATCGTCACTCTTGACTTCCTACTTGGGATTTTGTTGGGCAGGTGTTTGGCCAATAAATTGGGCAAGTCAGAAAATTGCCAAATTAATTTCCTGCCTTAAGCTTTAACCGATGACTTCTTGCCCTTTTCAGACGCACGTGTGCGGAGGCCAACGAATGCCAATTGATCCCCGACACAGCTAAGGGACACACACGCACATCCCACGCCACCACAATGAGAGACCTCAGCACCAAATGCCTCGTGGCCAAGGAGACGATCTACAGAGACGTGGCCGTTATAGGTAAGTTGTACCCAGAAGCCCAGCAATACGATAATGGTCATTTCATGCTTCAACACTGCGAAGGTTCGCCTATTGGCAGCTGAATAGTGTTCAATATAATGAGGATTTTTGTGTTGGGAAGAGACCTTCGGATTTCACGTGAAAAAGTGTTGATTTTGGAGCGGGTTTTGTGTGAAAAATTGCTCGTAATTCAGGGAACAAATAGTAGAGTAAGAAATGAGATTAGAGTTGAAAGAATAATTTGCTAGATAAATATAGAGAGTGGCTATTTAAGAGCCACTCGTATATTAATTAGGTGAATAAGGAAGAGAGCCAGAAGTGTAGGTCAGTTAAATAGTAGTCAAATTGCTCACGATGCAGTTATTGCACGTTTTGTTTACAATTCTTAGAATTACTGGCAAATGTATGGCATAAACATTTGGATAACACGAAATCAGTGAGACAATAAATTAGATTGAGAATTGAATTGCACTCAATATTTGTTTATACGTAAATCCTTTCACACTGTAAAATTGTTTTATGATGGATTTTCCAAATTCATCACTTTCACTTGCATATATATGTGTGTTTTCCCTTCATTTATGCTTCTAATAACCCAATTTTAGTCATCGTGAACTCAAACTTTTAACCTTCTTATCAAATTCTTACGATTGTAGAAGGAAGAACCTTGATTATATGTTACAAAATTGAACAATAATCGTCTTTTCAAGTGTAAACGGGCCTTAATTCCGGTATTCTATTCTAATCTTATCTCTTATCTGTAACTCTGTCAACTCGTGAGTAAGACCTCTTTTTGAGCAAAGCATTGCACAGCATTTTCTACGTAATTCTTTCACGCGCTGCATAAAAATCTAGATCACCTGATAAAGCGTCGGTATCAGCGCTCGTATCAGATCGGTTTTTGCTGATGTTTCTTGGGTAATATGGTTAAAAATAGTCTGTCAAATTAATACTGACTTGAACTTGATATGATCCAATAGCTTTTGGCAGTCTTTGGATTTAGTGTGATTCTTCACAGAGCGTGATTTTTGTCATTCATCATACAATTAAATATCAACGTCAGCGGCCGTGACAGAGCTTCTCAGTCTCACTTGACGCTCCAATCTGTTTTTGGCTTTAGAAGACGCGCCGCAAATCCCATTCATTCACTTCCTTCGCCACGGCGTTTAAACTTAGAACTGTCTCGTGAACTGCCGCCCGTTCAATTGGCTAATCCGCTCACGAATGGGGTAAAAGTGATGCACTGTCAGCCTTTCCAGGGCTTCTTCTCGTGCGCTGGTAAAAGAGAGCGAAAGTTTAATATTTCGCCAGCATTGTGCGCGCTACATTGTGAAGGTGTGTGAGGCTTGCCAAAAAATTTGCGCGTGATTATTTTTAATTCTTCCGCCCGCACGCTTTTTATCTTCAGTTGCTCTCTTGTTATCGTGTGTCTCACTAGCAAATCACTCTGGACGAAAGCCATTCGTCTTCCAATCTTTTAAAACTTCTGCTTTACGATCGACACCCAAACAATTAATCGCGCGTATTTTGTACAGAGCGACAACACTGGCCTCTCAAGTCAGGAAGCACGCATAAATATTTACACTCTCTGGCCAGTGGAATGCCTTTCACACGATCCTGAACTTGAGAAGGAGGGCCATTAAAGCCATTTCTCTGCCAGTGGCACTTTTGCCGATGATTCAGCATCGCACCCACGATGCGAAAATAAATACTCGCCAGCCAGACGAGCGACTTGAGAGGCGCTGATCATTGATGGAGTGCATTTTTGGATGAATTTTTGCAGGAAACGGACCCAGTGGAATCGCTCTGTCGTTCATGCTGTCCGGCCACTGGCCGTACTGGAACGCCGCGGACGTGGAATCGCATCCGGACGAGTTGCTGCGGGCGAGGCTGAACTATGCGGACAACGGGAGGAGTTTGGTGGAACAGGATCTCGCCACACTGGCAGATGGACTCGAGGGCAGGAGCACAAACCCAGTGAGTCTTCTTCTAGACAGCCTGACGCATCCCTGCGCGGATCTCGGCATGGAACTGCCCTCGATGTTGCACTACAGATTTCATCCGGAGAAGAAGGTGAGAAATTTGTGTGTATGTGAAATAGGCTAAAAAAGAAAAGCTCTCTGGGTTTATGAACTCAAAGTTCAGAGACACAGAGTGGAAATTTCATGGTCAACTACCTCAGATTACGATCAATTTGCAATTGACGCTGAAAGATTGGTCGTGTGTGAGTGACTTTGGGCACATTAAGAGGGATTTTTCACGCACTAAAAGCTCTCTTGTCGTTTCGTCTACTTTCGGGGGACTTTTAGCAATAAGAGTTGGAGATTTAAAAGTCTCTTATCTTTGCAGATTGATCATATTGTTATTGGAAAGGGTCGCGCTGGAGGCTCTTGGCACAGGATGGATCCCAACTTGAGGACGCTCTCTCTGTCCGCCTGGATGTCTCTACCAGGGTTGGATTTCAATGTGTGGGAAGCAAAGAATCCACCCAAATCTCCGCTGGAGGCACAGAAGGAGGAGAACGGTGTCTGTCTGCACTGTCAGAAGATCGATGTGGAGAACAATAACTTCGTCGAGGAGTCCAGCCTGTGTCAGCAGTGCACGAAGAGGCGGAAGCCCTCCTCGCCCATCCGGAAGGCTTCAATCAGACAAAATCACTCGAAGGAAGTGGAGACGCGCGCTCTCATCTCCCGAGTGGCCGAATACTATGAGAGTTATGTCAAGGAAATGGATTTGGAGAGGTATTTCATGAACGACGCCACAGTGACCTCAATCGCACCCTTCCGGTGTCCGCCGGCCGGCAGAGAAGCCTGCGGCAAGGCCAAAGACGCCCGATGGATAGTCAGTGGGTAAGACATTTCCTCTCCCAACGCCAATAGCTGTGCACTAACGTTCTTCCCATTTTTCAGTATTCGCAAAAACAAAGCCTTCACCATTCTGTGCCGAAACGTGGTGCTCGCCAATGGATCCTCAGACCTGGCCAATCGTCTGGGCATTCGCGGCGAGCGTCTGTCCATTCCGTGGCTCAAGCACGAACTGCCACATCTCGAGGCGGCTCTCGAGGCCTTCAAGCCATCAGAGCGGCGCTCCTTGAAACCCGTCCTGATAGTTGGCGCGGGACTGAGCGCCGCCGATGCCATAACAATCTGTCGGCAATCCGGAGTGCATGTGATTCACGTGTTCAGGAGCCGGACGGCTGGGCTGGACAAGATGCTGCCCGAGAATGTGTATCCGGAGTACCATGAAGTACACCGTATGATGAAGAGTCCTCACGAGGCGCACAGCTGCTACTCTCCACTGCCCGAGCACACCATCGCCGACGTGGTTTCAATTCCTTCATCCACAGGAGAGGAACGGCGGAGGGTGACGGTGCGTCACATAAAAACAGGTGAGATTATTCGAAAGGGAAAGCAGAAAATCCCCAACATTCACATACGATAATCCATAGTTCTTCAAAAATGTGTGTGTTTTTAAAAGAATATCGAATATTTCCCAATACTTATGCACACATTCGTCCTTTCTTAGGTGAAACGCGTGACTTTGAAGTGTCCTTCTGTGCCATTCTCATCGGCGCGCGCCCCGATCTGCGCTTCCTCGCGCCTCTTAGCAGCGCTGGCGCCCCGGTGGAGGAGCCGACAGAGCCAATTGAAGATTCGCTGTCCTTCTTCGGCCGTCAGCTGGCATGGCTCAAGAATCTCTGCGCCAAGTGTCGCCACATGAACTTCTGCGAGCGCGTGCGTAGGCCGGATTACAAGAAGATATGCGGCCACAACGTGGAGAAGCGTGGCTGCGAGTGTGCGCCGAGGGCCGTGCGGACAGCCGCCGAGGATGTGGTGCTGAGCCTGGGCCTAGGCGAGGACCCACACGCGCCTGTAGACGGGAAAAGTAATCCGATCGCAGTGGACAAATACACAAACCGCGTGCTGCGCGGACCCGCCGGCCTTTTCGCCATGGGGCCGCTGGTGGGCGACAACTTTGTGCGCTTCATCCCGGGCGGTGCGCTTGCCATCACGTCGGCGCTGCAGAATTTGGAGAACGACTGAGATTCGGCGGATTCTGTGGGTGTTTTTCTTGTTGCCGCGCACACGTCCTGAGCGACGCGCGAGGCTTTTTGCGAGCTTTCCTCATGTTTCCGGGACCTCAAGAGGGTCTGCTTTGGAATTTCAAGCGAGAGAGAGAGAGATAGAGAGAAAGTGGGAGACACACTGCAATAAATTGTGAGATGATAAATTCTTATGACTCAGTAGGGGAAGTTCTGGTGCTGCGATGTATTTTTGAGAACACTTCTTACGTATTGTTTTTATTCTATTAATGTATTATTTTAGGATCTTGTGTCTCAATTGGACAATTTTTGGCCTAGCAAAAGGGGTCGAAAAATTCTAGATTTTGTAGGTTGTTTTTTGGAAAATTGGATGCGAAGAATTGATTATTCAATGCCATTAGAATTGCGTTTAGATATTGAAAACCATTTGTATTTCGAACACTATCAAACAGACTGACTGCAATTGTAATTGTGCGTTGTAAGAGTTTTGATCAAAAATTGATGTATATCAACATTTAAATTGTATTTTCACTTGGCCGAAGCGACTTGCCAAAGAAAACCCCCTTCAATCGTTGTTAAATCCTCAGAATAAATGACAAATAAAGTGATTTTTATTAGAGTTCGAATTGGTTTTCAATTTTTGCCAAATTCTTTGAAGCTTTAGCGGTGCTGAGAATAATCTGCAGTTTGCAGTACTTCACTTGCATGTTCTACAATTCTCTACATCTTCACTGTGGCTTGAACATCTGCCTAGCTTTGTAGAGAAACTTATCTGTGATCTTTCCGCAGGTGGTATTGACAATGGAGGTGTTCTTAAACCCTTCAATCAGAGGCAAGAGGAAGTGACTGTAGGGATCCGAGCCAATTTGGTATTTGTCGATGAACAAGTAGAGCTCGCGGAAGGCCGGTACACTCAGTGGATGGTCGAAATGAAAAATCTCTCGATTCCCGTGCACAATCTTCACACCGTTCGGCGCCTTGCATTCGTTTACTGCGTGCGTGGCGTTCATGTATACGCAGTTGTCAGAACGATAATTCCACTCGCACGGGAGCAGGTAGACCTTCTCTGGATGGAAGTGGAAGAGGATGTTCATGAGATCTTGATCCTTCCACATGATTTTCGTGCGATACTCTTTATAGATGGGCTGGATCTTCTTTTCCCACTCAAAGGCGCGCATTCGTGTGAGATTCATGAGCATTATGCCACAATTGACCCCCAAGGGTTCGTAAAAAGGATGCTTGGCGAAGCGATTGTACCAACCAACGCTGCTGTCGTCGTGTTCTGGCGTCACGCCGACGATTTGGCTATCATTGAACTGCCGGAACATCTTCCAAGCATCTGCAACGGGGGCCATGGAGATTGTGTCTGAATCTATGTAGAGAACGGAGTCGATATGGCTGAGAAGACTCTACGGAAAGAGGATAAAACTGTTCAATATAGCCCGGAAATGCTGAGTTCTCTAAAAGACTTACAGGCAGGAATATCCTTTGAGCAGTACAAGGCTTCTGTGGTTGTAATGAATAGATCCACTCCTCGCGATTCATTCCCGGAGTTGTGATTGGGATGAGCTGGTAGCTAAAACTGTCTTTCAGCAACTCTTTCCAGTCATCCAGCTTCGCAGAGAAGTTCTGCATTAAATTATCTTCCGTGATGATTATAAAATTAAGTGGCATTTCTTGAGAGTTGAACAGCAGCACGGATTTCACCATATTCAGCGTCTCACTGAGCCGCCAATCACATGAGACCACGACAATTGTGATCTCCTCCTTCTGGTGACTTCGCAACGAAGGATCTGTGCGCCTCACTAATAAGATCAGTATTACAAGTAAGCACAAAGTGCACATAACCACTCTCCACCCTTTCCATCGTATGATTTTCATCATATCTGCAGACGAACTCGGTAACAAGACGACACAACTGACACAACACAGATTTTACGACACGTTTTATAGAAATTCTACTATCATTTGCCGAAAAATACTCTCTTTGCGTTCGTGGCGGATTGCTAAAATCCAAATAAACGTGTTTCAGTCTAATTAAATATTCTCCTTTGAGTTAATACCAATGAATTTCATACGTCTGATATTATATGTTTAGAGCTTTATCAGACTGGAAGCATTTGAGTCACATGATTTTATGCAATTTATGTGATAAGTTTTTGTTTTTTCTCCCATTTTCTTAATTTTCAATTTTCTAGTTGTGCATTAATACTTTAAATCATATCTCATCTTGCTTTTCCCGCCTTTTCATACCCATGGAATAGAAGGGCTTTACAACATTTAAATTGTATTTTCACTTGGCCGAAGCGACTTGCCAAAGAAAACCCCCTTCAATCGTTGCTAAATCCTCAGAATAAATGACAAATAAGGTGATTTTTATTAAAGTTCGGATTAGTTTTCAATTTTTGCCAAATTCTTTGAAGCTTCAGCGGTGCTGAGAATAATCTGCAGTTTGCAGTACTTCACTTGCATGTTCTACAATTCTTTACATCTTCACTGTGGCTTGAACATCTGCCTAGCTTTGTAGAGAAACTTATCTGTGATCTTTCCGCAGGTGGTATTGACAATGGAGGTGTTCTTAAACCCTTCAATCAGAGGCAAGAGGAAGTGACTGTAGGGATCCGAGCCAATTTGGTATTTGTCGATGAACAAGTAGAGCTCGCGGAAGGCCGGTACACTCAGTGGATGGTCGAAATGAAAAATCTCTCGATTCCCGTGCACAATCTTCACACCGTTCGGCGCCTTGCATTCGTTTACTGCGTGCGTGGCGTTCATGTATACGCAGTTGTCAGAACGATAATTCCACTCGCACGGGAGCAGGTAGACCTTCTCTGGATGGAAGTGGAAGAGGATGTTGATGAGATCTTGATCCTTCCAAATGATTCTCGTGTAATACTTTTTGTAGATAGGCAAAATCTTCTTTTCCCACTCAAAGGCGCGCATTCGTGTGAGATTCATTAGCATCACGCCAGAATTGATGCCCAAGGGTTCGTAGAAAGGATGCTTGGCGAAGCGATTGTACCAACCAACGCTGCTGTCGTCGTGTTCTGGCGTCACGCCGACGATTTGGCTATCATTGAACTGCCGGAACATCTTCCAAGCATCTGCAACGGGGGCCATGGAGATTGTGTCTGAATCTATGTAGAGAACGGAGTCGATATGGCTGAGAAGACTCTACGGAAAGAGGATAAAACTGTTCAATATAGCCCGGAAATGCTGAGTTCTCTAAAAGACTTACAGGCAGGAAAAGCCTCTGAGCAGTACAAGGCTTCTTTGGATTGAATGAATAGATCCACTCCTCGCTATTCATTCCCGGGAATGTGAGTGGCATGAGCTGGTAGTTAAAACTGTCTTTCAGCAACTCTTTCCAGTCATCCAGCTTCGCAGAGAAATTTTGCATCAGACCATCTTCCGTAAAAATGATAAATTTGAGTGGCATTTCTTGAGTGTTGAACAGCAGCACGGATTTCACCATATTCAGCGTCTCACTGAGCCGCCAATCACATGAAATCACGACAATTGTGATCTCCTCCCTCTGGTGATTTCGCAGCTTTCGATGCGAAGGATCTGTGTGCCTCACTAACAAAATCAGTATTACAAGTAAGCACAAAGTGCACATAAACAGTCTCCACCGTGTGATTTTCATCATATCTGCAGACGATCTCGTTAACAAGACGACACAACGGACACCATATAGATTTTACGACACGTTTTACAGAAATTCTACTAACATTTGCTAAAAAATATTCTCTTTGCGTTCGTGGCGGATTGCTGTGAACCCAAAAAACGTGTTTCAGTCTAATTAAATATTCTCCTTTGAGTTAATACACATGAAATTTATATGTCTGATAACATGTTCAGAGCTTTATCAGACTGGAAGCATTTGAGTCACACGTATTTTGTACAAATTCTGTGACAAAGTTTGTGTTTTTTTCTCTCTTTTTCCTAATTCGCAATTTTCTATTTCTGCATTAATGCGTTTAATCATATCTCATCTTGCTTTTCCCGCCTTTTCATGCCCAATATCTGTTCGATGAACTTCAAACTCTTGCATGGTTGAGAGTGTTTTGTAATTAGGTGCCCACGCGACCCACCTTCGAGAGTGCCGAGAGACGCCAGAGTGTGGAAATGGCGCAAAAGGAGGAAGTTCAATGATGAATTGTATTAGAGGCCTTGGCGGAAATTGCTCTGATGCGTGTGTGGCATAAATTATTTGGAATTACAGCTCTCAGTGCTCAGTTCTTGGCTTTCTCGATGCTCACCAGACAATTATTCACTTAAGCGCTTGTCTTGGGGAACTATGAAAAATGAATTACTCAATATTGAGTGAAATATCCTTAAATTTCCTCCCAAAATATAAAACGCGCCATCAACAGATGTTGTTTTCAATTACACTTTCATAATCTCTCTTCATGGACAAAAACACACACACACACTGTTTTGGCTTTCAATGAGCATTAACGCCCAACTTTCACAGTCACTAATCCCTGGCCAAAAGAGAGCATTCAGGGAGTAAATATTAAGTGAATAAGATCAGAAATTAAGACAACATTGATTAATTCCCAAACCACTTCATTCAGACGATCTTCACGTAATTTCTTCTCATGTTTATGCTAATTTTGCCTCTGTTTTTTTCTCCTTCTCAGTCATCTTTTCCCAAAGCCACAATGCGTGAGTAATGCTTGGACTTGAGGTCTCCAGAAGCGCGCCCACTCTTGCTGCAATTCGCGATCGTGGCGCGGAGAAAGATCGGCGAGTGATGTCATTCGGCGGTGATCTTTTTTGGCGGCCAGCAATCTGACACGAAAATGGGCCAAATGGAGCGATTAGGCGTCCAAAAAGTCCCCAAATTGATCATCAAAGCGTCGGCGAGGAGGAAAATTTACTGTCTCTCCGCAGAAACATTCTAAACATCATTACCGTCTAACAGCAAATCATTAGGCTTCGCCGCAAGATTACACCTTCTCCTGGCCATTTGACGGCTTTTGCCGTCTATTGAGCAATCGCTGAAACCTTCAAATGCAAGCACGAGCAAAAAAAAATGATGGCGAAAAGGGACAACTTTCAGTGCTGATCACGATTCTTTTTTTTTCGGGGAGTTGAAGTGTGTCTTTTAGCGGCTTTTTATGGGCAAGACAACATTACAAGAGTGGCTTTTGTAATTCATTTGTATGAAAATTTCACTAAAGATCTCAACTTGCAATTTCCAAGAAATTCAACCCAGAGAAGATCATGGTTTTCTGCGATAATCGTGAGCGATCCATTGAATCTGCGACAGCGTGAATTTGTAGGCGATCTCAAAATCCACTTGGTCTTATATAGAAATATTGCTCACCAGAATTGTCACTTTTCAATGCCTAATTTCGAGATCAACAAAATTTAATTTAAAATTAGATTTTGTGTCAATCTCACTAATTCATGCAACAAATGTGATTCCCAAAATGCTGGAAATACAACAAAAATCAAAATGTGGACTTCAGCATCACTACAGAAATTAACTTGAACTAATTATGTTCAGAGAAACGATGCATTTTCACAATATCTTCCCAAAAATCAAAATAATCTGAAGTGTGAAAATCACAGCGCAATTGCAGAGAGTCGAAATTACTCTGAAAACCAACAAGTTTTTGACCATTCCATCAATGTGGCAATGAATTTGAGGCTGTTTTTTTCTAGCTTAATCGATCGTATGGAGCTTATTAAATATGCATTTTCTCGTGTTCTTCAACCTCAAAATGTTCCCACCTTTTGCAGACGCAAAACTGAGGTGATCGAATGATAGTGGGATCATTCAACTGGACGCGATTAACTATAGCAAATATATTTTCATAATGTAGATCTTTGTGCAAAAAAAGCGGTTCTGGCGAAGAACAATCTTTTGGCGATCGCCATCTCAATAACTCCTTTCCGGCGAGTGTGGAGGTGATGTTATGGACATGATCTCGCGATCTCTGGACCGTAGAACAGAGCATGAGGGCAGCAATTAAAGTGCTAAACGCGTGAGAGATCAGCAGACGCGTCTATAGATGGAAAAGAGTCTTCGCGAATTGTGCGATCGTGTGACTCCACTCGATCAATTGATCAATTTGTGGGCGCGCGATGCTGGCAAAGTGGTTGGCGACACTCCATATTGTGGGCGTTCTTGCCGACTCACTATCGCAATGATGATTTATTTTTCCTCGTGCGGATTTTCTCTCGCACGGAAAAATGATATGAGATCATTGATCGGGTGTTTAGCGATCTTCCTGGTTTTATTGTGAAGGAACTGTGACAATGTTTTATGAGCTGTGCGGATTATGCTGTGACAATTTCCTGTCGATTTGCATTATACGGCAAAGCATCGCAAGATTCGGTTGACTGACCCAAAACAATCATTTGCAATTCCAACATTTGGCCAATCTCCACAGTCTTACCTCAATTCTCTCTGCTACAGATTTCTCCAAGCGTCTTCGGCGATGATACTTATCAAAAACTTGTGCAGATATTTTGTGCTGCATGGAGATTAAGTGGGTCAAATAGAATTGGCCAATTATTTCATTATAAACTCCCCAACACATCTCCGAGTCTCTTTCATATCCACACATGTGCTTCAAATTCTTCTGCTAATTATTCAATTAAACTATTTTAAATGTGAAGTCAAACATGAAATTTTATATGCACTCATAAAAAAGAATCACACCACATTAACTTGCATATAGTTTCTCTCCAAGGACTGGTGCAAACTGCACTATGGCTTTTTGGTTGTCTCCACGAAGAAGTCGATGTCCATCTCCGTCTGTTCGTACTCCGAGGCCAGCATCGGAAAGAAGTCCAAGGCGTTCATCTCCGTCGCGTTGCTGGTGTACGGGTACTCCTTTGACGTCAGAGCGAACAGCTCACCCTGCACTTGCCACTTCCGCGGCTCGGTGTAGCCCATCTTGAAGCCCTCGGGCCAGTTGGCGGCCAACTTCCGGGCCATGCAGCCCATGGGCTTCGGCACGGCCAGGAAGTCATTGCTGAAGGCGCTGAGGTAGAAGTACGGACACAGTCCGTGAGATCCCTGCAGATTCATTGCATTGAGATATAAATTGTCTGTGCGTTCAAGGAGGCGGAGCATTCGAATGGGCGTGGCTCTCCTGGATTTCAATAGCCCAAAGTCTTACTAATTGAAAGCTAAAATTTTGTCATAATATGCGGGACTTGAGGCATTTCTATGTTCAAGATCATGATCTAATTAAACATCAGTTTTCTTGCATAACTTCTATAAATGTTGCTTATTAAAAGAGATGTAGTAATATTATTGCAAAAATAGTTATTTCCGATATATGTAAAAAAAATGGAGATAATTGCAGTAATTTATGCGCATAACGACACTAATGATAATTGATTGCACATCATGATTTCTATATTGCAAATATTGCAGCAAATGCGAGCTCACCTTCGGTGGATCCGCCGCTGCAGTCTGGAACCACCCGCAGGTGCCCATCTTCCAGTTCTGATGGCAGGTCGTCGTGTGTCTGGAGCCCTTGTCGCGGCTCGTGTGGATGCACTGCACATTCCGAGCCGCCGATCTGTGGTCCACATGCGCCCGCCTGAAGTCAAAGGCCGGTCCTGCGATATCACAGATATCAATAGCCTCCAGCCGGCGCACTCCCACGCGCTTGGATGCCTCCACGGCCACGTGGCCGCCATAACTGAAGCCGAAGATGAAGCCTCGGCCTAGATCGAAGCCCATGGATTCCATGAGACGCAGCTTCCCCGCCAGCACCTCGGTGATGGGATCGAACTGGCGGAAGAGGCGCAGATAGCGATCGGCGCTAGCATAGGCGCCGTAGTCCATGCAGATGATGCAGCCGCCTCGGAAGACAGTGAGGTCTGCAAAAGGAGATGGTGAGCTATTTCTGGGCCGCGGGGGAAATTCCGTCTGATGCTATTTTCACTTGGGCCCTCTCTCTCTATTGATCTTACTTGATACCATCTGCGGCATCCACTCTGAATCGCAGTTCTCCTTCCATCCGTGGACTATAATGGCGAATTTATCCGCCGGATTGCAGATGCTGAGGCCGCTGGACTCCTCCATCAGCAGATTGTCGATGGAGATGAGCTCGCCGTTGCTGGAAAAGAGAATTGGCTCTCATGATGCGTGCTTCCCAGCCCAGCATTGGTAATTGTGGCGATGAGAAAGTTGCGCAACGCGCGAGATCGCGCTTGAGGAAAATAAAAGTGAAAAGGCCGGAGAAAAAGGCGTTCAAGGTTAATAGTTATGCACTATGCTCGCCTATCCGGCATCACGCAGAGCGGCTTTTCTTGCATGGGAAAACTATGTGCTTTTGTCGTCGAGCCGTCGACTGGAAAATCTGCACATTACGCATTTTTAATTATAATCTCTGGTCGCCAAATCATTTAAAGCCACTTGACATTTGAATGAAATGTCCGCTTTGCGGGGCAAATTAAAAAAAATCTTGCGAGTCTTGCGCATGCTACAATGCATGATAAAGGTAATAAACACCAATCGATGGAGCCCGAAGGAAGACATTATAAAATAAGATCACCGGCAATTTCGAGAGTTTAACAACCTCCAAAACTAGGTGAATTGCTCGCGAGGCGTGATTATATCAGCACTGAGAAGAAACACAGCCGAAAATTGTTGATAGAAATCAGTTCAATTTCAATACCGGTGTCGCTTTAAGTTAGGAAATGCACGAGCGCAACTCTTCGCATAACGCAATCCCAGTTGCAAGTGCAGTTCGCAACGCCAAAAGTCGGAAAAGAGCGGCAATACATATGCACTTGCTACATTTAATTGCTATATTAAATTATTATAGACAATATATATATTCAATATACCTATATTGAATGGGAAAATAGTTGAGCGAATTGAGGTCAGGTAGAAAAATATATTCAAATTCATGAGGGCAATCAAGTGCGCGATTTAAGAGCAAAGTGGCGCTTATATTAAAAGAGTGCATGAAAAGAGAGAAACTTCTTTAAGAAAAACTTTATCTTATTTTATTACTTCATTTCTAAAACAGCATGAAACCATAAAAAGATCGAAAGTGATCACTTTTAAAAACATTTCAAGTCACTTCAAGATTTAGAATCAAGAATATCGATTGAAATCTCATCAACAAATATCACTTTCATTTTCAAACTAACGTACCTCTTTTCAACCACTTAATCGCCCCTCAAAACCAATAGCCTATCAATTAGAGGCACAACTAATCACTGTGTTTTCACAATGGTTCATTTACTGAATCACTGGGTTTTGTACTGACTTTGACGCGACGCACTCATTACCTATCGTAGTACTTGAAGTGGATGTTCTTGGCGTACTCCGTGGTGGTCCTGCGGTAGTCCATGACGCTGGAGAAGGGTGACGGCAGGAGAAACTGCCGCTGGCGATTCCTCCTGGCGTCGGATTGCGTCACAAGAGCGATGAGCACTACACTCGCGATCAGCCATCTGAGCATGGTTGAGGCCCTCCACGAAGGTCCGGATCAGATTGAGCGCCCGTCCTGGTGCTGGTCGGATTATATTCTGCGTGCGACTATGGCGGACTGACCATCGCGAGTGAGCTGGGAAGGTGTTTGCCAAATGCTGGAAAATTGCCCGCGGCGCGGAAAAATGCAGGTGAATTGCGAGACAAGGTGTGTTAGATGGGGGAAAATGCCAGGTGGAAGTTCACTGATCGCGTGCCCGGCAGCTTTGAGCAATTTATACTGAATTTCACCTCTTTCAGTGCCTCCAATCCCACCCCACAGCCATCGATGGCTATTAGTTTTTTCGGGGACACTCCGCGAGGTCCATTGATCATCTTTTCGGCAGTTGAGATAATGAAAGCCATTGAAGAGATGGACTGAAAATGCTCAAAAGGTCTTTGGCATATGCGTTAAAAATTCATTTTCTGAGTGGAGTAGTGAGTCGCAGAGAGACGGCGGCGGTATTTGAATTTTTCTAATGAATACCCAAGGAAAATGCTCCACATCGCGACAGTGCAAGTATTCAAATCGTCTTAAGAGAGATCTGAAAAAAAAATTTGGGTGGAAATTGTGCAGAAAAAGTGCGAGGAAGCTCTTTAGGCGCATGACTCTCGAATTATTCATTGATTTAGCACAAATTCACGTATTAGATAACATTGGAAGATGTCTCCGTAAAATACCCCTTACATAATGGTCGGCAATTCATCGAGTGCGCAGCCAAGATGTGAGTCGAAAAGCGGATCAGACCGAAATGAATTCCAGCACTCTCAGCTTCGCTCCAGCCTCTCGAGTGACTTTCTCAGTTGAGCAATACGCGCGTGGCCGTATTTTCAGATTTTCCTCTCGTCTCGGCGATTTGTTTTGAGAGCGCCAAGTCTTAGAGGCCACCGAGCCGGTTGGCGTGCAGATTGCGAAAAGCCCGTCCGAGGAAAAGCTCGCGCCTATTAAATAACATTATATGCTTGCCCAATTCTCACTATCTTGGTAGACGCGAGAAAACCTGAGCTTTCCTTCTATTTCTATATGCATTTTCTGCCACAAAATTGGGCCATAGAATGCAAGAGGAGAAACCATTCTATTACCAAATGTTCTTGCGCTGCAGGAAAAAAATATATTTGTAATATTAAATGCGGCACATAAAGGCAATCAAGCAATAAATAGGCTTTATTTAAATCTCTCTCCATGTCTTACATTCTGTCCCAATTACTGGACACTTCTTGGAAGCTACTGGAAACGTCGAGGGAGTTGTTATACTGACTCAAAAGGTCGTCTAGAAGACTTCCTGTCCGTGGGACAATTGTGTAGGGATAGAGCTTGGTTGTCTTAGCGAATAATTCCCCGCGGACGAGCCTAGAAAGAGATTTAATTAAACTCCAAGTTCACTGGATCGCTATCATCGTTATTACAGTGCTGGCAGTGAAGAAATACATAATTGCCTAGGGAAAAGAGAGGCTCATTCGCACTGTTGGCAGGTGTAAATAGTTATAATCCAAGATCAGGTCTCTTATTTCAAAATTTACATAGATCAGAAGGATCAGAATGAATCAGAATCTTGTAGGCCATTATTATAATCAGAAAAAATGTCTTTTTTATACAGTGAAATTCAAGTTAGAGAATAGAAATTGTAGAAAACTTAAATATTGAGCTACAATTTTAAGCTAAAGAAGACTATAAATTAAAGTGTACGGAATTACCCCGCATTTTCCTATACAATTTCAGTGAAATCGTTAAGAGAAGCGACTCACCCTTTCCTGTTTTCGGTGTAGCCCATCTTGTAGCCGACTGGATAGTTGGCCAGGATTCCCGGAGGCTTCGTGGCGCAAGCTGATGGCCTGGGAATGGCCAGGAAGTCATGCTGAAAGGCGATGTTGTAGAAATAAGGACAGAGTCCGTGGGAACCGAACGGAGGCCTTCCAGCCGCGTCCTGCGTTAAACCACAGTTGCCCATCTTCCAGTCCTGGTGGCAGGTGCTGTATTTGATGCCCTTGTCCTTGCTCGTGTGAATGCACTGCACATTCTCGGCAGCCAGAGAGTGGTTAGGCGGCGTCTTGGTGTCAAATCCAGGCCCAGCCATGTCGCAGACTGAAAAAGTGCCAGAATTAGGAGTTTGAGGATGGAAAGGATATCTTCAACTCACTGTCGATCTCCTTAATCTTGCCCGGTCCGATTCGCCTGCCAGCCTCCGCCACTAGCTGGCCTCCGTAGCTGAAACCAAAGAGGAAGCCAACGGCCGGCGGCAGGCCCACGAGCTCCAGATCGCACAGCTTCCGCGCAAGGACATCGGCGAGGGCGTCGAAGTGCTTGACGAGGCGGAAGTAGGAGTCGCCGCTGTAGATGCTGTAGTCCATGCACATGATAGTCCCGCCGCGATGGAAGATCAGATTCCTGATCAGCTCAAAAACCCAGTCCTGCTCGCAGTTTTCCCGCCATCCGGGCACGATGATGGCGAACTTCTGGTTCCTGTGCAGATCCCTGAGCAGCAGGCGCGACTCCGCGCTCTGGATGGTGGAGATACGATACAGGACGCCTTGGCTGTCGTAGTACTTGAAGAAGACGCTGGCGCCGTACTCGGACTGGCGCAGCGCATGATTCGGGACACAGTGACTCACATTGGCCGCCACGGAGCCAGCGAAGATGACCAAAACTGACCACAAGAACATGTCGCGTCGCTTAGCTGAGCGCTTCTGTGGCCAAAATCGACCAACTTTTTTTCTGCACCGTTCTTTTGCCAACATTTTACCAAAAAATCCCACCTCGTGACCTCAAATCCCGAAGCCAGAGTGAGAGAGACCGCGAAGATTCCGCGCCCAGATCAAGTTTAAGGTCACCATGCAGGTCTATCTTTATGCAGGCCTCATGCACGGCTCGATATTAATCTAAATTTAATCACTCCCATCGATGAGGCTCCCCAAATGCGAACGAGAAGAAATTAGATGGGTTTGTTGAACTGGCAAGCAGTGGCGTAGCGATCATCGCGCACCCTCTTCAGCTCGATTGTCCGCAGCTCATCTGCGACGGGGATTCGATGCAGACTCGCTATCTCGAAGGGAATTCATTTGAACTGCTCAGTCTCATAACAAAATATTAAGAATTGGACTTTTCTTTACAATTTGATGCAATCGATAAAATACATTGAAGTACTCATCCAATTTGAACCAATTGGAACTGTTCTACTCGTCCTACTTCCATAAATAATTATAATCTGCAGAATCTTCAAAACGATTCTAACATTTTTTAAATCATTTAATTCCACTTTCACAAATGTATAAAATATTTGGTTGCTCTTGATAAACACATATTTCATCACTCACCTGCAAAGGGTTAATTGAGACTCTCAATTATCTCAAACCCACCTTTTTCTTGCTCTTTTGCATGCTAATCCAGACCATGTGGATGTTTTCCTTGTGTTGCACTGCCAGATGAATCACAAATCTCTTGAAGACCCATTAAATCTTCTTCGCACATGAATTCTGCATTGATCCTCGCGCAGCCAATCAATTCTGCCATACGCAATGCACGAGGAAATCATGCTGAAGTCATTAAATGCGGATGTTTTTGTGATTAAATATTCTACTCAGTGTTTTGGGGGAAAATTCGACCGTTTCGCCCACAAGAAGGAGCGTTGCCACTTTTCAAACTCACAGCATAATGACAGCATAGTCGCGTTGCCACTTTTCGCCGCTGCGCATGCGCGCTGGAGTGCCGGTGGGTGTGTCGACTGGCGTTTGAGGGGAAATGCCGTGGGAGAGAAAAGTGCACGAAATACGACAAAATATTGCCATTTTCCTATAGGAATTGCCTAAAATGCCTAGAATAATTCTTATATGAGCATTTTCCACTATCTGCAGATGTTTTTTCACGGGAAATATCCCCGAAATCTTATGTTGATGGCGCCAGTTGTTCCGCCTGGGGAAGTGTCTCCCGCCATGCCGCAGTGGTGGGGGTTCCGAACACGGCGATGCAATAAAAGCCCGTGCCGATTGAGACGCGGCACAATTTTCGTGAGTCTGTTGAATTGTGCTGTTGGAGATTTTGTCGTGCTCTGCGAGTTTTCATTTGAAGTGAAGGAAAAAAGCCCCAAATAAGCAAACATGAGGGAAATTGTGCATATTCAAGCTGGACAGTGCGGCAACCAGATTGGAGCCAAGGTGAGTCCTTTTTCACGCCATTTTTCTTCCCTTTCCGGATATTCTGGAGCCTACGTGGAACTCCCACTGCATTACGTGATGTGGCTATAAATGGATTTTACTCACGGCGGCTGTAAAAAGTGATATTGAACGGGAATTTATCGATAAGGGAGTCGCGAAGCCGGCATTTTGGCCGCATCATACGGCTTTTCATTGTGAAATTCCCTTACATTTGCCGCACCAAATCTACCCACTTATCTTGACAATTTTCACCACATTTCCACTCAAATTTACTCTAATCGTGTGGGTTTATCGATTTTCGGTGGTATTGTAGTGAAATTGTAGGAATTCGATGAGAAAATTGGGTGTGAAAATTGTGAAAAAATGTGATTGCCGATGCCAGCGCCATCTGCCTCATCAAACTTCCCAGCGTCATCGCATCGGCCGTTATGAGCGACTTTTCCGTTGGAAGTTCGCTGCCAAGCGCCAGTCGTCTGAGGATATGTCCTCAAAAAAGCCTTTCTTTGTGTCCTCAATTATGCTCCCCAAGTGTCGGAAGAAAGGGTAACTGGTGGGAAAATCGATTTATTAGCCTATAATGCGGTGGAAATAGGCCTACTTGACTTGTCAGAACTGGGATTCCAATGTTGAACGAGTGAGTTTCTGCTGAGACTCTTGCCAGCTTCGCCTCTTGCTCAATCAATAGCAATATCTGTGTGCCTTGACTGTTTCTCGGCTGCCTTCTCATCTCTTTTCCTCCTTCGCGACCCGCAATGGTTCTTTTCTCTTGCGCAAGTCTCTGAGCTTTTTGGAGAGCGAAGCAGGACACGCAGGAGTGCGAGAGAGATGGCGCGATGCGGAGGAAATGGCAGATGGTCAAATGGATGGATTCTCGCAGCGCTTCACTTCACTCTCTCGCTCTCCCGTCAATTTCCATGTTAATTGAGTGGCTCATAATTGATCTCTCGCTCTGATGATTCACTCTTTCGCTCTCTCCATCCCCCTCTAAACGCCTATTCTGCGGCCCAAGACGAACAGAGACAGCTGGTTGATTTCCAGAGGAGGCTCAGATTTTTACAGTTAATTCAATACTTAAATTCATCATAATTCAAGGCATTTTTCCTCATTTTTTGCCGTGTCGCACAAATGAGAAAAATCACTCAATTGAGGAAAGAGAGAGAGAGAGATAGAGAGAGAGAGAGATAGAGAGAGAGAGAGAAGTTGGCCAGGTACTGTTAAAAAAAATCTCTCAACATTGTTCCACTTGAAATTAATTGCCTTGATTTTTCGATGCATTCCTAGAAAGGTGAGAAGTGGCAATAAAAAGTCGGGAATTCGCTCCATAAGATGAACACACACACACCGACATTTTGGGAAAATGGTGAAGGAGAGAAAGAAAAGAAAGTCTCTCAAATGGTGGTTTATCGACCTCACATGCGCGCCTTCTTCGTCTCTTCTCTCTTGTTTGATCGACACACCAAAGATTGCAGATGGAGTGACATTGGCGGCTGATCAAATATTTGATACGGAATGTTGTCCTATAATCTTACCATAAAACGGGGTGATAAACGCTTTCTCGCCATAGGGCTTATCTGTGGCTTTGGATTGTCATTAACAGGCATTTAGGAGGTGTTAAAGTCATTTGTAAAGGTTTCCAAATTACCTGAAGATTTTCCAAACATCTCGCCAATTGGATTTAGTCTGAAGTCATCAGCACTTTGGAAGCTCAAGAACCCAATGAAGTTGCTAGATTTCTAGTTAAATCTAACATTTTTCACAAATTTACATGTTTTAGATTGGTTTTATCCACATTTTTCCTGTTTTTCCTGTGTTAAAGAATAAAAGACTATCAAATGATCGTAATTTATGGTCTAAGTTCTGCTCAGAGTTAACAATCTTGTCCTGTTTTTGAGGTTTCTACATTTCTAAGGCTTCCAACTTTTGAATTATTGTTAATTACAATTCTGAATTGCACTTCACTACAAAACTAACTTCAAATCTATCTTTAATTGAATCTTGAATACTTTGTCCGGAGATTGAGAGATTAGAATTCTGTAAATTCAGTCGAAAATCTTGTATTTAACACCCTGAATTTTACTAATAAATTGTCTAAATATTCCAACCTTGTCACATAATGTTTCTTCTGTGCATTTGGAAGATTTTCCTCTCTCAATTCGCGACCATTTTGATCTTCTCACTGCCTTTGAGAGTTGGGATGATAAAGTCGTTCGTCTGGATTCTAAGGCAACCTGTTAGCACTTAAAGTCGTCTCGCTAGATTAATATTTATCATGAAATTATGCAATGGAGTTGATTAAACAATAAAGTTTGGCCACATTTCGCGGTGGTGTGAAGAAGAGCGGAGCCTCAATGACCGGTCAAGTGGATGATTTTGGAAAGGTAAACCTCATCAGAATGATGATCTTATTGGCTGAAAATAGATTTGGCGAGAGAAGAGAATCTCTTCACGTGATTCTAAGACATTTTCCAGCAGTCCGCGAAAGTGTTGAGATTGTGAGTCGAGGCTTTTTGTATTTGTGGCGGATGATGTCATTTCTCGCCTGTGCGTTCGCATTTGCATAAGAGAGCTTTTTCATTTATTATTTTTATTGAGAATTCAAGTCACAGCGTCAATTGTGTGTGCTTCTGATTCATGCTCGCGCGAGCTGCCTTCGAGTTTTGACTCTCGTGGGCGCTGAGAAATGAGCGGATATTTGATGGTTAATAATCCGCAACAGAAAACTCATCCAGAGGCAAATAGAAAAATGATCGAATGACAATTTTCCACAATGTTGGCGGCGTGTGTGTGTGTGTTCGTGTGCGTTTGTCTCTGACTGGAGTTGTGTTTAGTAAAGCGTGACCAATTTTAGTATAGAAGACAAGCACTGTGGCGGCCCCACTCCAAGGCAAGAAAAAGACGGCAAAAGCCTCCGTGGCGCGCTGAGGAGTATGAAGAAAAAAAAAATGTTTCGAGCCAAATAAGGTGAAGAGCATTGAGCGCACCTTCGCGAGACTGGAACACAACAACACTGTGTTGGAGATCTTTTTTTGCGCTCTCAAAGTCTGCCTGAGAATCAGCCAAAAGGTCTTCAGGCTTTTTGCACACCTTTGACGAAAGGCGAGAGAAAGAGAGAGAAGAAAGTCGTGTCACCAAAAAGAATGTCAATGAACGCCGCCAACATTTGGCCAAGAAGTAAAATCATCATCTCTTAAGTTGTTGCCGCGCACAAGGGATCATTTGTATTGTTAGTTTTCTCAGCGTGTGTGAAAGAAGAAAGTGGTAAAGAAAGGAATTGATTGGGAAAATTGTGAATTTTAACAACATTGAATTTTTAGGTGGAAATTATCAAATATTTTCTTCTTTTCTATTTTCTCAATACTTGAAGTCTCAGCGGAGAAAGAAATCTTACATTCTCTCTCTCTCTCTCTCCTTTGGCAATCGTGAAATGTAATGTTTGCTGCCACGCTGAGAAAATGGTGCTGCTTTAGAATGGGAGTGAACGGTCGCGCAAAGAGAAATTTCTTGTTCAGCCTTTTTTTGTGCTTTTTCAAGTCTTCTCAAAATGCTCCATAAAGTCTTGAATTGTGTGTTGCGAGAGTGGGTGGCGGAGTTCTTTTTTTTGGCATCGTGAGGTTGAAATATTCATGTGGCGCGAGTGGTGTGGTTTTCTCAATGAATTTCTGTATGAATTAGTGGTATGAGAGAGAGAGAGAGGGAGAGAGACTGAGGTAGATAAAAAATGTAACACCACGGCCAGGGTTTGATGATGATGATGATGAATTTCTCCTCGATTTCGCCAAGTTCAAAGTGAAGACGGTCTTTTATTTTCAACGTCTTCGCTTCGCTGCGCGTGATTTATGATTGTGTGGCAATTATTGAGTACTTAGGTTGATTAATCAAGTTGTCGTGATTGAAAATTTTATCATTTTCGACTCTCTTCGAATGTGATTTGAATGCTTTTTCCCTTCTCTCTCTCATTCCCTGTGTGTGTGTGTTTATGAGTCATGCAAGGGGTGGAATTTTTAAGCGCACGAAATCAATCGATGGCTGATAAACAAACTCTAAATGAAAAGGAATAAGTGGAAGAAGAGCGGGGGTTTTTGTTTGAAGGTTGAGGGTAGAATCGAACAAACACTGTCAATCAAACACACACGCGAATTACAGCGACTATTTCTGCCTTGTGTATTTGCAGTTCTGGGAGATCATCTCCGATGAACACGGCATCGACGCCACTGGTGCTTACCACGGAGACTCTGATCTGCAGCTTGAGCGCATCAATGTGTACTACAATGAGGCTTCGGGCGGCAAATACGTGCCGCGCGCCGTGCTGGTGGATCTCGAGCCTGGCACGATGGATTCTGTGCGCTCAGGGCCGTTCGGTCAGATCTTCAGGCCGGACAACTTTGTGTTCGGCCAGTCTGGCGCCGGCAACAACTGGGCCAAAGGACACTACACCGAGGGCGCTGAGCTCGTGGACTCCGTGCTGGATGTGGTGAGGAAGGAGGCGGAGTCCTGCGACTGCCTGCAGGGATTCCAGCTCACGCACTCGCTGGGCGGCGGCACTGGCTCTGGCATGGGAACGCTTCTGATCTCAAAAATTAGGTGAGTGTAATTAGAGGCCACGAAAATTACACGGGCAATTAGTATTATGGAGAATCAGAGCAATTCTTGGTAGAATTATGTCTTTACTGCAATACAGTGGTCGTAAAGTGGCGCTTTAATGAGCTGTTTCTTAGTTGTACAGACCTCTATTTTGTGGCCTGTATGTTAATTGTTAATAGTAAAATCAGAAGCTTCTTCGCGCTGAAGAATAGACAAAGGAAAGACTATGGAATTGTTTATAGAACTTCTATTACTGTCTCTTGAATGGGAGTTTTTCTGGATTCTTTACTTTCATTTCTCGAAACAGACGCAAAAATGTGCGACATTCTGTAATTTATCACAAGATAGTTTATGATTCTCTTAATTTTTCCCCCGAAATTCTCACGAGACATGTGAGATTTTGCCTGATTTTGTGCCTAACGATCCGTGCCTATCTGCCCTTCCAGGGAGGAATATCCCGACCGCATCATGAACACCTACTCAGTGGTGCCCTCGCCGAAGGTGTCGGACACCGTGGTGGAGCCCTACAATGCCACGCTGTCTGTGCATCAGTTGGTGGAGAACACAGATGAGACGTACTGCATTGACAATGAGGCGCTGTACGACATCTGCTTCAGGACACTGAAGCTCACGACGCCCACGTACGGTGATCTGAACCACCTTGTGTCGCTCACGATGAGCGGCGTGACCACTTGCCTGCGATTCCCCGGTCAGCTGAATGCTGATCTCAGGAAGTTGGCCGTGAACATGGTGCCGTTCCCACGTCTGCACTTCTTCATGCCCGGCTTCGCGCCACTCACGAGCCGCGGCAGTCAGCAATACCGCGCGCTGACCGTGCCCGAGCTCACGCAGCAGATGTTCGATGCCAAGAACATGATGGCTGCGTGCGACCCGCGCCACGGACGCTACCTGACGGTGGCGGCGGTCTTCCGCGGGCGCATGAGCATGAAGGAGGTGGATGAGCAGATGCTGAACATCCAGAACAAGAACAGCAGCTACTTCGTGGAGTGGATCCCGAACAATGTGAAGACCGCCGTGTGTGACATCCCGCCTCGTGGCCTGAAGATGTCCGCCACGTTCATTGGCAACTCCACCGCCATCCAGGAGCTGTTCAAGCGCATCTCCGAGCAGTTCACGGCCATGTTCAGGCGCAAGGCTTTCTTGCACTGGTACACCGGCGAGGGCATGGACGAGATGGAGTTCACAGAGGCGGAGAGCAACATGAACGACCTGGTGTCTGAGTATCAGCAATATCAGGAGGCTACGGCCGACGAGGATGCTGAGTTCGATGAGGAGCAGGAGGCGGAAGTTGAGGAGAACTAAGCGCGCGCGCTCTCTCAATTTGTAAGATTATGAAGATGATGTGTTTGTCGAATAATTCCTCTGCAACTCAATAAATTTTGCCTCTTTTTTCGATAAAAAAAAATGTCATATGAAAGAGAAAAAGATAAATTATCCAGTGGTTGAGATACAACAAAAAATAAGGAGATTTTGAAGAAAACAAAAATCCTTCACTGCCCACGAATAGCATTAAGGCTTGAACTTCCCATTCCCACAATTGATTTTTTGTACGACTTATCCGAGAAAAATGATAAATAGATTCGTGAGCTTTCTGTTACATCCCTTCGAGGTTTTACTTTGTCCCGCTGATGATGGATTTGGTTTGCGCGTTGAGTAGAATTTAAGGCATAATTGTCGCTGAGCCGCTTCCGAGTCGAATTGATGTAACAGAGAAATGGTGAAATAAAGGTCTCAAGTCAAATGTGTGTGGTCTTTCTGCTTCACGGTAATTAAACCAACGTTTGTTGACCCGCTTTTCCGTCGCGCGTGGCCTCAATGACTTATCGATTCTCCCGCGCCTGGCCGAAATTTTTTGGGGGGTGAAATCTTGGCTGCTTTCCCGTCGCCTGGCGACTCGGCGACAACACTCTGACTCATGACAAAATCAATCGCCGAAGGCTTTTCCCCTGGGAATCTCGCCATCTGCGTGTCCTCAAAACGACTCTCTGCATGGCATTGAAAAGTCTCCGGCCCTGAAGAGGCTCTCCGCAGTCCTCTCGTGAGTTATTAACAACTCCACCTGTGGAGCGGGCGATTTTCAGGGTGTGGCTCTCATGAAAACTGCCCGCTTTTCACCTCAATCGTCGCCTCGCTGCCCGCGAGTGGCTCTTAGGCTAATTGAAGCATTCCTCCCACGCCACAATTTGCCTACAAAAAATGACAAAAACCACTCCAATTTCACTGGGATAAATAATTCGGTGCGAAAGCGGGAAGATGGATTTGGCAGTCGGAATCAATTTTCCTCTCAGGATGTTGTGAGTCATCGCGCGAGGCGCTTTTCCTCCCTCCAGGAGTCACAGTCGACAGCATGACTCAGGCGATGAGTCATCCAGGATGACTCAGGTCGTCTCCTTTCTCCCCATAGGCCGACTGAAGGGAGGCTCGTCGCCGAGGGGTTGCGCAAATCACATTCAAAGGACTTTCGAGGAAGTTGAGTGAGTTTTCGATTTGGTTTTCAGCACGATTCTCGACATAATGAATCCTTCATCACTAGGGATTATTCTGGAATTAATAAAGTTTTATTGCATTTCACACACTGAGAAACAGAAGGTGAATAGCATTAAAACATGGATTTTTTCTCTTGTTGCTGCGCTGAGAGCTCAGAAACAACATTGAAATTGAAGAGTTAGCACGATCTTTCTAACTAAGAATGTTTCACGATCCTCACGATTTACTATCGCAGTACTGATAAATTTCATCAGTTTCACTTTGAAAATGGACTGTGTAACAGTGTCCTCGAGCGGACGCTTCTGTTTCTTCTTGCTCTTGATCCTTCAGACTATTGGTAAATTTACTTGTGGCAGTTTTCACTGAAAAAATCAGTGATTTTCTTTGCTTTCTACTATTTCTACAGTGTTCTCTTTGGCGATGCCAATACCACAAAATTGGGAAATTTGGGAAAGACTCCCAGATGCTCTGGAACGTTCGTATGTTGTTAACACTATTACTTACGGAGTTTCTGGTAATATAATTGTAGTTTCTTTGGAATTCACATACTTCAATGCGTAATTTGTATATATTATTTTTATAGATTTGGCTCGTAGGCTTGTTGAATTCAGTTCTCGGGTTGCTTGATGGAAGTGACAAATAACTTTCCAAATGACTAGACTGGATTCCTAAGATAACGACGAGAGCCTTAAGGAATTGTAAAATTCCACATATATAAATATATTGCTGAAAAACCAGCATTGGATGGATTCAAATTAGAAAATATTTCACATCTTTCCAATATAATCGAGCTTCTCATTTATGCTGCCTTGCGATAAAATCCAAAATCCCTCCGCTTTCCTATTTTGAGCAGCGACACAGTCTCACCCTCGCCAGCAGAAGTGGGGTGGCTCTGCACGATGCCATTCCACTGCAAATGAGTCACCATTGAGCACGCAAAACCCCTCCTCACTTCCGTGTTTGGGGGCTTTTTGGCACAATTCCCTCGGCGAGGCGGAGGGAGGAAAATTGTTGAATGTCCTTTGCATCGATCCGCTGATTTCCCTTCTGGAACACTCGCTCTTATCCTGTGAAAGCAAGACGTTTTCGTTAGAATTTCTCAAATTAAGATACTGCGAATCTTGGCTAGGCTATTTGACGAAAAAGTGTCTCAACTAAGACACTTAACTGGTTTCATCTGTTGCGCAATGGCGCGAGTTTTCCAATTTGAACACTCGCATTGACACCATGATTCTCACTAAATTTCAGACGCTCTCGATGAGAATGGACAAGGAAAATTCACTTACACTCCATAGAATTGCTGGGAAATGATAAATGATGTCTAGTGGCGGAGGAATGGTGGAAAATTTCTGTATAACACGGTTTATCACCTGATCGCCGGTCAACGTTGGCAACCCTGCTCAGCGGTCCGGAGGTCTTGTCACTGTGCCTTCCACATTTTCTTGCTTTTCCCCCGTTTTTCCTCATTTTCACTCCGTGTCAGCACATTAGAAAGTGGTCGTAGTCACTTCCTGTCCACTCCCAATGGCCATGTCACTGAGAATGTCAAAGGTGAGTTGGCTGTTGTGTAATCAAATTCCAGTCTCAAGAGGCGCTACTCTTGCAGCTCTTCCCGTCTGGGAGGCGCTTCTTCAGCACCAAGCTGAATGACGTGGTGATCGTGGCGGCCACGAGGACGCCTATGGGCAGCTTCCAGAGCGCCCTGGCTCCGCTGAGCGCCAGCCAGCTGGGCGCGCAGGCGATCGAGGACGCCGTGAAGAAGGCGGGAATCGCTAAGGAGGACGTCGGGGAGGTGATTATGGGCAATGTTGTGAGCGCCGGCATGGGACAGGCACCGGCCAGGCAGGCGGCAATCTTCGCCGGGCTGCCCAAGTCCACCATCTGCACGACAGTGAACAAGGTGTGCTCGTCCGGGCTGAAGAGTGTGATGATGGCCTCGCAGACGCTCGCCCTGGGCCAGGCGGAGGTCATCGTGGCCGGCGGGATGGAGTCCATGTCCAACGTGCCGTTCTACATGAAGCGAGGTAGCTTGCAAGGTCACTGTTACGTAATGCGAGAGAGATTTAAGTGTCTCTTCTCATTCCAGGCGACACTCCGTACGGAGGCATTAAGCTGACGGACGGCATCGTGCACGATGGCCTGTGGGACGTCTACAACCAGTTCCACATGGGCAACTGCGCAGAGAACACAGCCAAGAAGATGGGCATCACGCGCCAGGATCAAGACGACTATGCCATCAGCAGCTACAAGCGTTCCGCCGACGCCTGGGCAGGGAAGCTTCTGGATGCCGAGATCACGCCTGTGCGCGTGCCACAGAAGAGGGGCAAGGAGCCCCTGGTGGTGACGGAGGATGAGGAGTTCAGGCGCGTGAACTTCGACAAGTTCGGGAAGCTGGCCACGGTCTTCCAGCGCGACGGCGGCACCGTGACGGCTGGCAATGCGTCCACGCTGAACGACGGCGGAGCAGCGCTGGTGCTGATGACCGCCGAGGCGGCGGAGCGATTCAAGTGCAAGCCTCTGGCCAGAGTCGTGGGCTACCAGGACGCCGAGACTGATCCCATTGACTTCCCCATCGCGCCGGCGCTGGCGGTGCCGAAGCTGCTGGCCAAGACGGGCGTGCGCAAGGAGGACGTGGCCATGTGGGAGATCAACGAGGCCTTTTCCGTGGTGGTCGTGGCCAACATCCGCAAGATGGACGTGGATCCGGCCAAGGTGAACGTGCACGGCGGCGCAGTGTCCCTGGGCCATCCCATCGGCATGTCCGGCGCCCGGATCGTGACACACCTGGCACACGCCCTGAAGCCCGGTCAGCTGGGATGCGCGTCAATTTGCAACGGAGGAGGCGGCGCCTCGTCGCTGCTCGTGGAGAAGCTGTAAGAAAGCACCTCTGAAGTCTGACAATTCATGCATTTACCCCGCTGGTGGGGAAGTTGTTGCCGTTTTCTATACCATATAAAGTCGCATAAAGGATGAGAAGGGTGTTTCCCTGGTCTTGCAGGAGACACTCGCACCGCGGAAAGCCCACTGTGACGCTCTTCTCCACCGAGGCGTGCACTCTGTGTCATGATGTCGTGCAGGAATTGCAACCCTTCCAGGAGAGAATCGAGCTGGAGGTTGTGGATATTGGCCGGAAGGAGAATGTGAGATTCCTGCGGCTGTACAGATACGATATCCCTGTGATCTTCCTCAATGGGGAGTTTATCAGCGAACATAGACTGAATTTGCAGCTCTTCCGGCGGAAACTGGAAGAGTTTGAGCTCTATGAGTGAAGGTAAATGCCAATAAATCCATGTTCTCTTATCAGGAATCACTGTTTTCTTATCAGAAAGCGTGATTTCGCAAGCTTTTCCACGCCACTTAGCGAAGACAAGCACTTCTAAGACGATTTCCATTAAGAGATCTTCTCTTAAAAATAAGACCATGTGAAGATCATTCAAACGAAATGGATAAACCTTTGCTCTAATCAACTTAAGCAGAGTTGGGATTATGAGGGTTAAATTGAACAGAGAAAGACTCGATTTTACACTTAACTTGATTGATCATAATTTTATGTATTCAAATCCAGCGCATTTAGCGATGGTTGAACAAACTTCAAATGTTCTAAATTATCGGCATCTTAAGTAAAATTTCGTAATCTCTTATACTTGTGACTCAATTTCTCAACACTGACTTCTTCGATCGTTTAGTAAAAGGAATTTGTGATGAGAAATTTCAGCTCCTCAAGAGCTATCAACGTCCTCTTTACGCGGCACTCTTCAGCCCTTGACTGCACTCATTACCTCTTCATTATGTCTTCACAGTTGAGGCTCTCTTGACCCGAATCCCTGCTGGCAGCAGGTAATTTTTGCCTCACTTTCGTGGCTTCCTCTGTATGGCTAACGATGGCCGAGAATGCCGCCCCGAAAGAGGTGTAAATCGCTCTCAAACGATATATTAATTCATGAATTAATTTAATGATTCTCCAGCGAAGAAGCCAACATTAGAATAAATTAAATCACCAGTGCATCTCAAGTGCCCGAGCGCGCCTTTAAGATTAAAGGAGCGCTTCTTGTGTCTCCTTCCTCTCTGATTTTCGTCTCTTTCGCAGGGCAGTTGCGGTGCCGATGGCCAAGTCGTGCGTCGCCGCCTCAGTTGGTGCTTCACATCAGTGCTGTTCGCACGCAAATCCCAAGCGCTCTCGAGCTTCAAAGCTTTTCTTGTCCGTCAGGCAATCTCTCAGCGAGGAATTCCGGTGACTTAACGCGCGAGGTGCAGTGGAAAGATGGCCAGCAGTCTTGTGGTATCGTCGCCGAGAGTCAAGTACACAGATGAATATATTGAGGCGTCGTACGACTACAGCAATTCCACCGTCAATCGTCTCTCCGATGGCACGATTCAGGTGAGAATCGCTTGATTTGTGGGAGCGGCATTCCTGAGTGTCCTCAGGTGTTCATCGATATTTACGCGTGGGGATGATGAGAAAAATATCCCCTATCGATTTACTGACAAGGACGAGGACGCTCTGGATGGTTCGCCTTGTTCGCTGTGAATCGCGCATGCCTAGCACTAGTGGCACATCTTGGTAATTGCCAGACACTTTGAATTATCCACAAAAATTCACGAATAACTCTTGATATTTGCTGAAAAGTATTATTGAATGAGTAACTAAACTCAGTAGATAATTACTAGATTGCATTCAAACACCTGTCACTCTGACAGGTAACTTTAAAAGCTGATATCTTACCGCTTTCCCAACTAATTTCTTACATTGGTGGTTCAATTCAAAGAGTTCTTCAAGCTCTTTACCTTTCTCAAAGTCACATCGATGCTTTATCTTCATGCCTTATCGTTGTGATTCCTTGTGCCTTTAGCACACTCACTCAGCGACATATTCTCGAATATTCCTCTCTGATGGGGTGGTATTTTTTGCGAGTGCATCGCGTGAGCACGCGTGCGCCCAGTCGACAGTTCTCCTATAGAACTTTCCTCCCATCCGCCGGCGGAAGTGTTCATGCTTTTGGCGGAAATTCACGCTCTCGCTCTCTCTCTTAAAATCAACCTTGAACTTGATTTCTGCATCCTCTCAATCTGCTCCCAAAATCGTGTGCTGTTTCGCTCTGCTGAAAGGCGGAGAGGAAAGAGGGGAAAACGCGTGGCCAATGAACGATATCAGGTGATGCAAGATTTGTGTGGTGTTGTGTGAAAATTCTCACCTCATTCTCTAATGCCGTGAGATTTGTCGCGATTTTTGCTGAGTATGGCAAAAAGGCGCCGAGAATCATACGATTGCCTATCGATTTTCCCATGTTGAGCGCTATTAATAGAGCACACGAGAACTTGTTCTTCTGGACAGTGTTTTCCTGGCCACTTGCATCATCATCACAATGAAGGCACACTCATGAATGCTTTATCATGGAAAAATGCGCGATAATTGCGCCAGGAAGGAGTGTCAAGTTCAAGAGAGAAATAGAAAGAGCCTCAGAGCTGTGAGGAGTGAAGATTGAGGATGAGGATTTGGCGGCAGAAGGAAGTGTGTGATAAAAAAGAGTTGTGAGCGTGATTTTTTTTTTAAGAAACCTCTGCGATTAGATAAGCGCCTTCGCCGGTTGATCACCTTCCGCCTGGTCGCAGACGAAATCACGCGAGAAGTTGAGCGAGTCAGAGACCGGCTTTTGCCACGTGCTTCCGCGCTTTGTCGGCTGTTATCTGACCACTGAAGTCGCATTTGAGAGTCAAAGAATTCGAGCGCACTTGAGGAGGCGAAGGTGCATTTGCCTTGAGTGGGAAGTTAACACTAGATTTGCCTGGAAGCATTCTTCTCTTAAACCTGACTTAGATATGATTTTGAGCAGTAAAAAGGTCGTTCTTGAAGACATGAATCATCTGCCGTGTATTTCTTATGATAACACTGTAAAAGTGATATCAAATGACTCAACATTTCGTATGGAATATTCAGGAAAAATTCTTCAAATAACCAATGAAAGCGCAAATAATAATGTAAAGATTCGCCTTTATTTAAGCAATTATTACTCAAGTGTTTCTGGATTGACAACCAAAACAGTTTACATCTTCATAATCTTCATTTCATTTACATTTTTCAAAAATATTCTCAATTCTGCCTGTAAACAATTTGAGGGACTCTAGAGCCTAAGAAGATTCACAGATTTGTGGTGAATTCAGTGTTAATGGTTTGGAACTTGGCTTCTCCGCAGGTCGAGCCGCAGGAGACTTCGCTGAAGATCCGCACGGAGCGCCGCGTGCCGCGCCTGGGAGTGATGCTGGTCGGCTGGGGAGGAAACAACGGATCCACGCTGACGGCCGCGCTGGAGGCGAACCGCCGGAAGCTGGTGTGGCGCACGAAGAACGGCGAGCAGGCGGCCAATTGGTTTGGCTCCATCACGCAGGCGTCGACCGTGCTGCTGGGCACTGATCAGCACGGCCAGGACGCCTACATCCCCATGAACCGCATCCTGCCCATGGTTGATCCCGATGACATCGTGATTGACGGCTGGGACATCAGCTCGCTGAATCTGGGCGAGGCGATGAGGCGCGCCAAGGTGCTGGACGTGGCTCTGCAGGATCAAGTGTACAAGCAGATGTGCCTGTTCAAGCCGCGCCCCGCCATCTACGATCCGGACTTCATTGCGGCCAACCAGAGCGACAGGGCGGACAATGTGATCGAGGGCACGCGCTACGAGCAGTACCAGCGCGTGCGCGAGGACATCCGGCAGTTTCGTCACGCCACGGGCGTCGAGGAGGTGATCGTGCTGTGGACGGCCAACACTGAGCGCTTTGCTGACGTGGCGCAGGGCCTGAACGGCACGGCGGAGGAACTGGAGCGCAGCCTGAAGGCGAATAAGAGTGAGATCTCGCCATCGACGATATTCGCCATGGCCAGCATCGCCGAGGGCTGCACGTACATCAACGGCTCGCCGCAGAACACCTTCGTGCCGGGCCTGCTGGAGCTGGCGGAGCGCCAGGGCGTGTTCATCGCCGGCGATGACTTCAAGTCCGGCCAGACGAAGCTCAAGTCCGTGCTGGTGGACTTCCTGGTTGGCGCTGGCATCAAGCCCGTGTCGATTGTGAGCTACAATCATCTGGGCAACAACGACGGCTTCAACTTGTCGGCGCCGCAGCAGTTCCGCTCCAAGGAGATCTCCAAGAGCAACGTGGTGGACGACATGGTGGGCTCCAACGACATCCTGTACGCCAAGGACGAGCATCCCGACCACACGGTGGTCATCAAGTACGTGCCGTACGTGGGCGACAGCAAGCGCGCGCTGGACGAGTACACGAGCCAGATCATGATGGGCGGCCACAACACACTGGTCATCCACAACACCTGCGAGGACAGCCTCCTGGCGGCGCCACTCATCCTCGACCTGGTCGTCCTGGCCGAACTCTGCTCCCGGATAAAGGTCAGTCAAGCAGTGCCTCTCTAGTCTAGAGCTGCCACTCTAGTGCCCATTTCCCGATTGCAGGTGAAGAGAAACGAGGCGAACGCGCAGTTCGTGCCCTTCAGATCCGTTCTGTCGCTGCTGAGCTACCTATGCAAGGCGCCGCTGGTGCCCAGGAATACTCCGGTGGTGAACTCACTCTTCAGGCAGCGCGCAGCCATTGAGAACCTGCTGCGAGCCTGCGTGGCTCTGCCGCCCAACTCTCACATGGCTCTCGAGCATCGGGTGAGTGTCTGACGGCAAAAGTCCGCAGCACAAGCACAATCCTAATCCCCACGCCTATGTCTTTTCAGTTCAACTTGGACGACAATGCGGAACCGCCGCGAAAGAGGCTAAAGGCGACGAATGGCGTCGTGGCGAATGGCAGACAGAATTGAGGGTGTTTTTGCCATCGACAAACTCAGAATATCTTCATTTCAGAATTTTTGTGAATTTTGCACACTTTTTTTTCATTCTTTAGAATTGACGCATTGTAAATATTGATAATTGTTTCAATGTTTTATTGCGAAGAGAGAGAAGATATATTTATCACTAGTTATGTCCACGTGACTGATGGAAAAGAGCGGCGGCAGAATTTGAGAAATTGAGGTTGATTTTTATATTTTGTTCAGTCAAGTAAATAGGATTTCTTTTGACGAATTTGCCTGAAGTGCAACCCAAATGAACTGATCTTGATGAAAAGTAGTCTTTTGTGAGACATAGGATTAAATCACGTAGAGACTGTAGTTGGTAATTAATGTAGAAATGATGCTTAAGGTGTCCTTTTACCCCCACAGGAAAAACAAGAAACAACTTTTCGACCTTTTCGATAGTATTTTGTGCAAGGCGAGTTTGCAAGTCGAGAGATAAATCGATATGTGTGCCAAATGGCAAAGAAAGAGACGGAAGAATATGTAAAAATCCACTGATTTATCAACTACAACCAGCATATTTTGACCGCATGATGGAATTTTAGTCAATAAAGGATAACAAAACTACAATAATTTCTTTACCTTCTACTGTGCAATTTCCTCCTTCGGCTGCTGGAATTCCTTTAGTTTCTGCTCTAACATGGCTTTTCGGATCGTGAAAGGGAAGCTCTTGGTCCTCACGACGTACCAAATATCGCCCTCGTTCGTGTAGTAGTTCTTCTGTGTGATTCCGCGCAGAGCCTTGTTCTTGTTCATCAGCTTCCCGTAGAAGCGCGCGCCGGCGTCCGCGACTTCTGGACCGAGGCTGCCCAGGGCTTCGTCTGCGGCGCCCTCGTAGTACACATTCGTGGAGTCCTTGATGAATGCCCACATACCAAAGCCGAAGAAGGACACCAGGCAGTAGATCACGCCGCGGAAGATGAACGGTCTCGTCAGCGTTTGCAGCTTGCGATTGATAAAGTAGCCCAAAGCGTACACGCCCAGAATTGATCCCGAGGCATAGGAGGCGTTCAGCAGCTTTTGGTGACTGGACGTCATGAGAATCGAGTGCGCCATGCCATAGATCTGCTCATCTTCCTTCAGGATTAGCGATTCCGCCAGCAATTTTCCATCCTCTGAGTTCCAATTCACGGATTTCGTCTGCAATTTCACATTGGTCCGATCGATCTCTGGCTCTGAGCTGTAGAAGTAGTTGAAGGGGATTCCAATTAGGGCTCCGTAGTGGGATTTTGTGGTGCCGGCTTGGAATAGATCGAATCCGAATGAGCAGAAGGGCTTCAAGAGCTTCACTTCCCGATCTTTCAGCGGCAGAAGCCGACAAGCCTTGTCGAAGCGGTCCAATATCTTCTCTGGCAGTTTGGTCTCCTTGCCACATCTGGAAGAAGAGGAAAATGCATTAGAAAAAGGGGCTCAAGAGGTGGAATTCTTGGACTCTCACTCATAGCATGTCATGAAGTCCTTGTAGCGACTCAGGAGCAATGTATGCGGCGCATAGTAAGCACAAAAGGTAAGAATAGCCGCTCCAGTAGCTCCACGATACGCCCAGACAACTTTATTTTTCATAAAACCCTTAAACATCTCGCCGGCAGTGCGGAAAAACCTCCTTAACCTTCAAATGAAGTGAGATCAGCACACCGACACTTTTACCGTACGATTCTCTCAAAATTCTACGAGATCTCGTAGAGAATCACTTTATATACTCTTAGTGATGACTAGAATACCAAACAGTTGGGGAATTTCCTGAGAAAATGCACTTTTTCACAGATGTTTTCCTTTTGTAGTGCAGAGCTGTTAACTCTCAGCGCTGGTGTCGCAAAGTGGATATTTCCTAAAGAACCCAAAGCCTTTTAGAATAATAAAATACCACTAAAGAGTCACTTTTTGTACTCTTAATAATTGCGGTTTTTAATTGAGAATTTACACATGGCTTTTGAGTGGCAAAATAATTTTTTGCTCATGTTTTTTTGGAAAAACACCCAAATGTGTTGCACAAAACATCCAGATGCGGCGCTGGCGGCGGTTTGAGGGTGTATTTTGCAAAATATAGTGTGGAATTGTGAGGTTAGATTACTGCCGATTTCGCAAGACTTTCCAAGATTTCCCGGATTTTCAGCTTTTCCTGTGATGGACGATGACTACGACGAGGAGTTGGGTGCCACGATGGAGGAGGACTACTACACCTTCCTCAATGTGCCGAGAAATGTGCGTGAGAGTGTTATGTAATGCCGAAGATGAAGTGTTTTGCTGAGGCTGGATTTCTTGCAGGCCACGACAGAACAGATAAACACAGCCTATCGGCACCTGAGTCGTATCTATCATCCTGACAAGCATGTGGCGGACGTGCGGAAGAAGATCGAGGCAGAGGCGCTGTTCAATCGCTTGAAGACGGCATACGAAGTGCTGTCTGATCCTCACAAGAGGGCCATCTATGACTCCCTTGGCGTAAAGGGGCTGGAAACAGACGGATGGGAGGTGACACTCCGCCAGAAGACACCCGCGGAGATCCGCGAGGAGTACGAGCGACTGGCGAAGGAGCGTGAGGAACGGGCGCTGCAGCAGAAGACAAATCCCAGAGGGAATGTGACGGTGATGGTGAACGCCACGGAGATTCTCTGTCCGTACTATGATGAGTTCGATGAGAAGCTGCTGCCCACAGTGGAGGTGACGGGTATCAGCATGAGTCAGCAGATAGACGCGCCGCTCACCGTCCGGGACACGGTGACGCTGGCCGGGAGTCTGTCGGCGCAGAAGGGGATTGGGAATGGGGCGGTGTCAGTGACTGGACGACGGCTGCTGAACAAGGGATGGGTGGCGGTGGATGTGTCCGCGGGCAACGGACCCTCTGTGGGTGTCAAGGGCTCCCGGACGCTCAGTCAGAAGGTGTTTGCCAACTTTGGGGGCAGTCTGAATCTGCGCTCCGGTGCCATTGTGCCCACGTTCATGTCCTCCCTGGCGTGTCAACTGAGCAAACACACCGTGGGCTACCTCACGTACAACCTTAGCGGTATGACGCGCTCCATGTCCACCACGGTGGAGCAGAACACGGAGAAGCACCACTTCCAAGTCACCCTGCTGGTGGGCATCCCGCATAGCTACATCTCGGCCGCCTACACGCGCAAGCTGCAGGAGCAGGAGCTGAAGCTGCGCGTGGCCACGAAGCTGGGCACCTTCGGAGTGCTGGCCGAGTATGGCGCGGAGAAGAAGATCTCCAAGTACAGCTCCGTCGTGGCCACAGTGTCTGTGGGCGTTCCCACTGGCGTCACGCTGAAGCTCAAGTGCGTTTTGCCACATTTATTCAGTCAGAGATAATCACATTATTACATTTGTCCACAGATTCACCAGATCCACGCAGACCTTCATCTTCCCGATCCACTTGAGCGAAGAGATCATCCCGGCTGCCGTCTTCTACGCCACCGTGACGCCGCTGTGCGTGTTCTTCGTGCTGAAGCGGCTCGTGATTGAGCCGATGAACGACGAAAAGCGCCAGCGGCGGATCGACAAGACCAAAGAAGTCAACCGGGAGCGCATGGCGGCCAAGAAGAAAGAGGCTGAGTCGTCAATTGACCTCATGTCGGCCACTTTCGAGCGCATCCGCGACGACGAGACGAAGACGCACGGCCTGATCATCGACAGGGCGACTTACGGGCGCGTGCGAGCTGAAAACGAGGAGCGCTTCGACGTCACGGTGCCACTGCAGTGCCTGGTGAAGAGTGGACAGTTGAAACTGCACGCCACGCCCAAGAGCGAGCTGCCCGGATTCTACGATCCGTGCGTGGGCGAGGAGAAGACACTGAGGATCAGGTGCACATATCGCGAAACGAGTCACAGCATCGAGATCTCGGACAACGAATCACTTCAGCTACCAGGTGAGTGAGCTTCCAGCACTATTAGGCATCTTCTCCACTCACCAGGATATACTTTGCAGGAACGCTGCTGGCCAACTAAAGTGTCGCACTTTCCTGCTTGTGCATAAATAGTTGGAGAAAAAAACATCCAGATTTGGGGGCTTTTAGAGTACAATATACGATCGTTGGTGAGTCTAGTTCGGCACTGAGCGGCTTTTATTTGTCCCACAGCCCAATCTCCTTCATCTTGGTCTGGAAGTAGCGCTCCAGCGTGTTGGCGCACCTGCAAGGACAAGAGACGCGCGAGTGGTTAGCTATTTGGGGGCGGATTCCCGGGAATTCGCAGCACTGACCTGTAGTATTCAGTCTCTGGGGAGTTGTAGAAGCGGCAGTTGGTGAAGATGCGCGCCATGTCAGCCATGAAGAGGCGCCTGGTGACATAGTAGCCGCGCTTGAGGCGATCGCCCATGGTCTTGAGGTCCATGGGGTACTTGATGTGGTCGTAGTAGTCGGGCACGTCCACGACACTGACGGGCTTCTGGAAGGGCCAGGCGGCTGAGTGTTGGCGCACAGTCATCAGCACCGTGGTCAGCGTCTGTGCCAGCTTGTCCGGATCGGCGGACTCTTCGAGTGGTCGCGCCTGGCGCTGAGCGCGCGCGATGGGCCGCCAGCCGACCTCACGCAGGCCAGGGATGGACTCCACGGGAATGCTGCGCACGCCCTCCTTGAAGCACGTGAGCCCCGGATGGATTTTCTGCACCTCCTGCTGACGCTGCGCAATCAGCTCCTTCACGATGTCCTTCTGGCGGCGGATGACGCTGCTGAACTGCGTGTAGACGATGCCCGAATGCAACTCGCAGTGCATCAGCGTGGCGCCCTCGTACTCTTTGATGTAGCCGGCGTAGATGGGGCGCGCCACCTTGATGTCCTTGGAGAAGCCCTGCTTCTTGAAGTAGCCGATGGCGAACTGGTCGGCGTATGTGAGGAAATGCTTGATGCCCTGCTGGATACTGTAGTCCTTGAGGTGGTTCATCAGGTGCGTGCCGTAGCCCTTCACCTGCTTGTCGCCCGTCACGGCGCAGAACACGATCTCCGTGAAACCCTGCGTGCCGAACGTGCGGAAGCAGATGCCGCCGATCGGGCGGCCCTCCTCGACCAGCGCCAGCGTTTTGTGTTTCGGGTCGAACACCAGCTGGCTGATGTAGTCGCGCGGCATATCAGGCAGTTGATGCGCGAAGACACTGTGCAGGCCCAGCAGCCACAGCATCGACTGCTTGCTGACCGGATGGCTCAGCGAGTTGCCCACGATGTGCAGCTCAATCTCGCCGCGGCTCTCTTTCGTCTTGGCCGCCTCGTCGCGCGGCGCGTTCACGGGAAACACCACTTCGCTGTTGCGGCTGTTCTTGCTCCCGCTGAGGTACCGGATGGCGAGCAGAATCGCGTCGTTGCTCAAGTCCTCCACGTCGCTGGAGTACTTGTACTTCTTCGCCTGTGAGTTGTCTGGCATCTTGCGCCCCGCCGAGTAGCTCGGCAAGCCGGTGGCCTCGTGCACCCTCTTGGCGTTGGCCGTGCGCTGCAACAGCAACGACACGGCCGGTTTGTAGCTGGGGTCCCAGATGGGCGACTCCTCATTGATCACCTCGTGCTTGAGGGCGTCCAGGAACTTGGGCATCTGCGTGAGCAGCATGCGCTTTTCCACGGGCATCCGGTCCTTCTCCGTGCGACACTTCACCAGCAGCTGCTGGCTCACGAACTGAAACACGGCCTTGAGCAGCGTCCGTCCGAACGCCACGCTGGTCTCGTAGTGCGGCAGGGAGTTGCAGAACGCCGGCACGTGGCAGAACATGAGCCAGCGCGTGTAGTTGATCTTATACGTGGACGCGTCCTCGTGACTGAGATCACGGCCGCGCACACTCGGCGCCTCGAAGTTCCAGTGATTTAGGCAGTTGAGGAACGTCCTGGCCACTTCGGACATGGTCTGGAATTCGCCCTGGCTGAGGTGGTGGAACTTGAAGAACACGAAGTTCGTGATGGCTTTGAAGATGCTCGGAGATTCGAAGGGCGGGTCGCCGAGGGGCCCCCGGATCACGGGCTGCTGCCGCGTGAGGATGCACTGGCGGAGGAGCCTGAAGAGATAGTAGTACACCTTCTTCGTGTCCGCGTCCTCCTCCCTGGACATGCTCATGAAGAGGTTCTCCACGTCAATGATCGTGTTCAGCAGCCCGTTCAGTTGCTCGTCCTCGAGCTCGTGCTGGTGTCGCAGGTGCAACTCCAGCGAGTGCTTGCAGTACGTGTTGCGGCACTCGTCCGTGGGCTTGGGGCAGAAGGTCGTCTCCACGTCGCGATGGCGATTCTCCTCGGGCATCTTCCAGCCAGTGCAGCGACACGTCTCGAGCTGGCAGGCGCTGTACATGGACAGCTTGGCCAGCTTCTGCTGCTTGGGCAGCTGCGACACGATCCGCTTGCGCTGCATGATCTTCTGCAGGCTCGTCTGACGCGTGATTTCGGTCGTGGGCGCCGTCTGAGTGCCCCTGGAGGGATGCGGGACACTCGTGGACGTGCCCGAGGATTCGTGCGATTGCGGTGAGGGCGGCTCCTCCTTCGGCACCACGCCGAACTGCCCAGCACTGAATTCCTCAGTCATTTTTCCTACTTTTCCACCAATTTTATCAATTTTTACACAGCTTGTTTTGCAAAAATGCACTGTTTTGATCAGGCTTTGACGTTTCCCGAACTTTCGCCTCTCTCGCCAACTGAGCATCTGAGCGTAGGACATTCAGTGGAACCTTCCGATCGTTGGAATCCAAACATGGAGTGATTCTCTATAGGGTTCTCGCCTCGCGTCCGGCTGTCAAATTGCTTTCGGCTTTCGAGCAACTTTCGTAGTCAGTTGCCATTACGCAGCATCGTGAGCAAGTCGCAGAAAAAGGCTGAAATTGGTAGCATAAGACACTCAATCCAGCCGTGGTAGATCCCTTAAATACCGGTGGATACGATCAAAGTTGTAAGAGTATTGAAAAAGTTGTCTAATTTACCATATTTCTATCCCAAAACAACAAAAGTATGTTTTCTCTCCAAAGCACCTCCACAAATGACAGTCTCACAAAGTGAAAGAAAAAGTATAATTTTCCCACATTTTCAATGATTATCCGGCCAAATTGCCGGCTGTAGGCCAAAGTTGAGTGGGCGATGTTTAATGAAAATGTAATATTGTGGTGAGAAAATGAGTTGGAAAGTAGGTGATAAAAATTGTGACATTCGCGATTTTCAGTTGATTCTCTGAGTTTTACATGAAAAAGTCCAATTAGTTTTTGTAGTTATCGCCTCAATAGATGTGATATGCAGGTAATAAGGATGGTGGCTATGGATACAACATGGTAAAATGCAATTTTTAGTGTCTCTCACCCGAGCAAGCTTTGTTCCCGGTGTCCATCTTTGATGACATCGAAGCGTCTCCCTATTTACCGGGGTTTTCCGGGAGATTTGCCACATCAATGTGCTTCGGCGACATCCTGTCTATCCCGTGAAGGCACTGAGAACCTCACCAGAGTCCTTGCGGCCGGGAAAATTGGGAATAATTGGGAGAAAATTGTTACGAGACAGCATAACCTCACTTTTATCTTTTTCTTCTTCAACTCGACTAATTTCCCTGTTTGGGGCCCAATTTTTCCAGTGAATCACCATGGACAGCGATGAGGAGTCTGCCCCTGGTTCGCCAACATCGAATAGTCCGTCATCGCCGCGCGAGAACGCCTCAAATTCTGACGGCAGCGATTCATCCGATTCGGAGTCCAACGCTTCGGCTCCGGAGGAGAATCTCAAGACGCCCAACAGTCCGGACGCTGTCTCTCGAGATCAGTCCTCCTCGGACAGCTCTTCGTCCAATGATTCCTTCAGGGCCACCTCTCCGGCGGCCGCAGCGTCGCGGGAAGCGTCGCAGGATGTCTCTCAAGATGGTCCGGAACCGCAACAGCAAGACTCTCCGCAGGAGGCGCCGACGGAGGAGCTCAGTGACAGTGTGAAAGAGGCGGAGGAGGAGAAGGAGATGCCTGTGGAGGAGAAGAAGGGCTTCGATTTGGCGCATGAGGATCTGAGCGATGTAAGCGACGTGGACAGTGAGTCATCCCTGAGTGGGAACAACCTGCCGCAGTGGGAAGAGTCTCCGCCACGGCGAAAGGATGGCGAGAGTGACGGTGTGAAGGTGACAGATTTGAGAGAGAAGCTAAATGCGCGGAAGAAGGGTGATGAGGAGTTCGTGGCGACGAATGGGACAAAGTACGGCGAGGAGAAGAAGAATGACGAGGACGCTCTGGATTTCGAGGCGGAGGACGGAGAGTGTCCGGACGAGAGCAAGGAGGTGGCGCCGAAGAAGGAGGAGGAGAGCGAGGCGAAGGCGAAGGAGGCAGATGAGGAGTTGGAGGAGGGCGAAGTGACAGATGACGACGAGAGGAGACCGGAGGAGACGGAGCCGAAGCCCGTGTGTCGCTTCTACGCCCGCGGGCAGTGCACGTGGGGCGTGAGCTGCAGGTTTCTGCATCCCGGCGTCACGGACAAGGGCAACTACACCATGTTCGATATGGTCCGGCCCATTGCGGGCGGCCAGACGGGCATGGGCGGCGGCTATGACTACCGCGAGCGCCCCAAGGCGCACATTCCATCGTCCCATCACGCGCCGGTGATCGGGATGGGCCTGCCGGCGATGCTGCCGCGCCCCTCGCCACTGGCGGAAACGCCGGGCGGTGGCGAGAGTCCATGGGAGCGTGGCCTGAGGACGGCCAAGGAGATGCTGAGGAAAGCTAATAAGCGTAAGGAGCAGGATCTCGACTTCGAAGACAAGAAGATGAACTTGTCCACGGGTCAGGAGGACATCGATCGCGATTACTACAGCGTTGACAAGGCGGGTTCGCCGGATGTGTCGCCGCCGGCGCCCTTCGCTAGGGCGGAACGCTACAGTCCGCCGCCCAAGTTTCCGCAGCGCAAGCACTACATGGAGGAGGACGCGTTCGGGCGGACGCAGCGATATCGAGAGCTGCCGCCGCACAGGATGCCGCAGTACGAGGATGAGAGGCGCGTGAGACCCGTGCGCGAGGTGATTGTGCAGCGCTCAGAGCCGGCGCGCGACGACGAGTGGAGCGATCCGTGGATGAGGTCCAAGTCGCCGAGCCGGGGCGGCGGCGAGAAGGTGCGCGGCGAGCGCGAGAGGGAGAACAGGAGTTGGAGCAGCAAGAGCTACAGCAGCTCGTCGTCGTCGCAGTCGGACAGCAGCTCGGAGAGCAGCCGATCCAAGTCGCCGCCAGTGTACAAGAAGCGGGAGAAGAAGGCCCGATCCGGACGCACGAGCAAGGGCAGGGAGTCGCAGAAGAGATACTCTCAGAGTGCAGAAAGTGAGTCTCTTTGGCTGTCGCCTTCACCGTGTCAATTTGACTACAAATGTTGTGTTTCCTTTGCAGAGCGCTACCCTTACGGCCGACAGACCGACGGACGCGCTCATTCGCCCGTGGTGGCGTCCAATAAGCGCGCTCTGGAGCGCATCAATGCTTCGCAGCATCCGCTGAAGCGCCGAAAGTCGTCCCCATCGGCGAAGGAGGCGCGAAAGTTTGACAGGAAAGCTTCACGACGCTCGCGATCCTCATCGAGCGGATCGTCGGATTCCTCGGGATCGGACAGTGAGTCGTCGGCCTCCAGTTCCACAGATGACAGCTCGCGTTCGGCGCGCAAGAAGGCAGCCGGCGGACATCCCACAGCGATTCGCCACAAGACTACGACAGAGCGTCCAGCGAAACAAGGTGAGTTCCTGGCCATTCATCTCATTACTGAGAAAAAAATCGGTCTAAAACTAAGTCTATTTCGGCATTTATCCAAGATAAATTCAGTTGAGTGCACACTTCCTAACCACCTTTTTCCTCATTTCAGCTGAGCCCAAGGAGCCGGCGTCGACACCCATTGCGGCTACCAAGAAGACAACTCGTCGCGAGGAGTTGCTGAAGCAACTTAAGGCCGTCGAGGACGCAATTGCTAGAAAGCGTTCCAAGATTTCATCGTAAATCCAGCAAAGATTAGCCGAGAGAGAGAGATTGTATTACAAATGACTTTTACTCTCGAGTTCACTCCACACATTTTCCCGTTTTTCGTTTTGCAATCCCTTTTCCTCCCGTGGTTTGCCTGGACGTGAGAATTTTTTTTATAGTAATGGCGCAAGTGAAAATTAGAGATGAAAACAATTAATTATAAGGCAAAGTATAAAATTATTTTAAGATAATTTAGAGAGACACAGAATATAAGAAAATTTGAATTATGAGAAGAAAAGGAGAATTTTATTCACTTGCGCGATCGCGCTCCGCCCTTTTTCATAGCGATCGGCTGTTTCTCCTTGGTGCGATTCTGCAGCAGCGGGTGCTGCTCATCCGCCGGCGAGTGCTCCAAGTGGATGTCGTACGTTTTCGTCTTCTTCTTCCTGTTCACGTGATTCCCGTTCTGTGTCGCGTTCTCTGTGTTCTCGCCGGGATTGGGATTCTCCTGGGCGTTCCAGCCCTCCTCCGGGTCCTCCACCTCAGGCGCCATGGGCAGGAACTGCAGACTGTTGGAGTCATCGTACTCCTCGTCTGAGCTGCAGAAGGCGGCAATTTGCTCCACTCGACACACATCCACCTCAATCTCCTCATCCATCTTCGCCTCGTTGCTCATGTCAATGGACTTGTCCTCGTCCGTGATGTCGAACTCCGATTCGCGCTCCTCGTACTCCACATTCTCGTCCAACTCCTTGAAGTCCGGCGCAAAGGCCGACCAGTTCTCCACCTGATTCTGCGCCCAGATCGACACCAGGCCCGAACTGATGCTGGCAATGATGGGACGCACGGGGTGCCACACGACGTCCAGCAGGAGCTCCCCTTTGGTGCCGTGCAGAATCTTCACCAGATTGCCCACGGACTTCTCCCACACGTATAGAGCGTGTTGGCGCGCACTGCCGGCGCAAACGTACTCGCCGTCGCCGGAGAAGCAGCACTTCTTCCACGTCGTCCTGCAAAAACACCCCCAACAAGCGTTGAGTGTTGGACAGGCGTTTCGTGGGCAAATATACTCACTTGTTCACCAAATCCTGGAGCTTCTGGACCGCCTCCGGTTCCCCGTTCTTCCCACACGCAATCACATCCTTCACGTTGTAGATCCTGATGATTCTGTCTGAGGAGTTGATGAGGAAGGCGTCTCCACGCCTCGCGAACTCTATACTCTTGATGGCCGTGACACTGGACGCGCCTACGATGATCTTGAATGTCGCCACGATGTCCATTGAGCCCGCCTTGAACACAAGCACTTTTCCTTTGCCATTTCCCGTGAATAGATATTCTCCTCGCCGGTCGAATGTGGCGATAATATTGAGATCCCCATCCTGGTCCAGGGGCACCAGCTTGTGCGATCCCCCAATCTCCACGAGAACAGCCGCATATCTCATGGGGCACACGAGGAACTTGTTGTTGTCCCTCGGATGGAATTGGACCTTCAACACCGGCGACGGGAAGCGGAATTTGTACTCGCAGTCGCCGGTGAGAATGTCCCATATGCACACATTGTTGTCCGTGGAGGCGGACAGGAGCTTGTGACCACTCCTGGACCAGCTGAGACTGCACACAGGATGCACGTGAGCTGAGATAATCTTGGCGATGCCTCGCGTCAAGAAGTCCCATATCACAATCCGCCCATCGTTGCACCCCACAGCCAGGAGAGTGCCGTAGCGATTGAAGGTACACGTGAGCGCCAGTGAGATGCAATCCAGTGATCCATCAAACTCCTCCGGATAGTTCTGGCCAAAGGACTCTGAAACACCCCCAAAACAGTGTGAGAAAACGCCCTATACATCCCAAATATTCACTCACCCAGTAGTTCAAGATTCATTATTGAGTCCGTTTCGACACGATTTCAGTTGCTATTGTCCAGGAAAATGTGTGAAAAGGAAGAAAATGCAAGAGGGAAAAAAACCAAAACAATGCGCGAGATGCGGCTGTCAAATTTTCGCCGCGGCTTGCTCTAGTACGCCCTCTGCTGAAAAAGTACCAGATCACGATGACTCGAGTTGTTTGGCAGTGAAGTGAGGTTAGGTTGAGGTGTGATTCTCAGAGCATTTTTCCGACTGTTTCTCGTATTTTCAGTGATATTTTCCAGGTAAAACTCCTCAATTAACTATTTCCTGTGCACTTTCGCCACTCGAGAATCCGCATAAACTGAAATTGCGCGACTTTTTCAGGTAAAAGAGGGCAAAATATGAGTTCAATAGGAACTGGGGTGAGTGTTTGTGGATGACCAGCGGATTTTCCGGGGTGTTGTGGCTGATTTTCTGCTTTTCCAGTATGACTTGTCGGCGTCGCAGTTCTCTCCGGACGGGCGGGTCTTCCAGATTGAGTATGCGACGAAGTCTGTGGAGAACAGCGGCACCTCGATCGGCTTGAGGGGTCGCAATGGTGTTGTGCTGGCGGTGGAGAAGCTCATCCCGAATCACCTGTATGAGGACGATTGCGGCTCCCGGATCCACAATGTGGACGTGCACATTGGTCTGGCTGTGTGCGGGATGATAGCCGATGGGAATCATATTGCCGACATCGCCAGGCAGGAAGCCGCGAGCTACAAGCAGCAATTCAACAGGCTGATCCCGCTGGCAATCCTGAACGATCGGCTGTCCAGCTATCTCCACGCGTACACCCTGTACAGCGCCGTGCGTCCTTTCGGGGTGTCTGTCATCATTTGTTCGTACACGAAGGAATCCGGCCCGGAGATGTACATGATCGATCCGTCGGGCGTGTCTTCTGGATACTTTGGCTGCGCCATGGGAAAGGCCAAGCAGGCGGCCAAGACGGAGATCGAGAAGATCTCCCTGGGTGATGTGCCGATGGAGGATCTCCTGATGAATGCCTCGAAGATCATCTATCAACTCCACGACGACCTCAAAGATAAGGAGTTCAAGCTGGAGCTGAGCTGGGTGACCGACCAGACGAATGGACTCCACCAGACTGTGCCTCCTGCGCTGTACAAGAAGTGCAACGATGCGGCCAAGACGGCCCTCAAGGATGGTGGATCCAGTGATGAGGATGAGCCCAAGTAGTTATCCGCTGTAATTCAATAAATCCTGCTTTTCTATCTAAGAAAGAGAAAGCGTCTTTATTGCTAGGAAGTCTGCCTGCTGGCCAAACTTTCGTATCGCACGATCACTGTAAAGATTTCATTGCGGCACTTGAGCTGCAGATCCTCAGGCAGGGCCAGAACGGATTCACTGAAGCAGTCAAAGTATTGTTTCATTCTCGCTCGCGGATTGAGAGGCTCAGATGGGAGATCAATGCTTACAGGACCAGCTTCAAACTTCATATTTAAACTGTCTGTATCCTCTTCACCCTCTTCATCCACTTCTTTCTTGATACTCCTCAGTCTGTTTTCCAGGTACTCTGATGACTCCGACAGGGGATCAGCTTCACTCTCATCATCGTCTGTGAGCACCCCTTTCCGCTTTTTCCAAGTTTTCTTGGACTTCGAGACTTTGGTTTTGTACTTGAGTGTCGACCACGTTTTCCGCCAGTCAGACTGGGTCCTAATCGGTGGTCCTAAGGCATTCAGCTTGGCCACAAGCTGGTCCCACAAGATGTTCTGCTGAATTCTCTCTGCCATGGTCACATTTGAATATTTGGTTGTCAGTGGAAATTCCCTCATGTGCGTCTCCATTGCGTTCTTCTGTTCAGAATTCAACTTCTTCTGTTGAGAACTCATCCTGGAAGTTGGCCAGGAAGCCTCCCAGAACCCCTTTTGTTTGACTGTTTAAGCTTACCAATTTGTGCACTCTGAATGATGTCCGTGGACATTCCATTGAAACTGTCCACACATGGCGGGTGTGTACTTTTAACCGACAACAGCGCTCCCAGAGACAAGTAGTGGAAGTACGTTCAAATATTTCCACCAAAAAGCTTAATCTATTGGCGATTTTTCACATTTTCTTCAACGTAAAATCCCTCAAGAAATTGTTAAAATGGTGAAATTTTAGGAAAAAAACGTGTTTGTGCTTTGACGCTCTAGTACAACTTTGCACTTTCACAGCTCTTCAACCCTTTTCTCTTTCACACGCCTGCATTTTCCACCCTTGTCTGTGGAAAACCCTCTGCGTGGGAGGGAGATAGCGCCACATGTCTCCATTGGCGATGTGTCAATCCCGCGCGCAATGGAGACAACTTGCTTCGCCCAGTGAGCAGTGGAAAAGTGTCTGGATCAGGGGTGGAAAATGCGTGAAAATATCCCTCGTGACACCCTGAGCAGTGCTTTTGTGGATATAAAGTGAAGAGCCTGAATTAGTTGTGCGGGGAAATGCGGAAAAATCAATGCTAGTTTTTCGCATTTCCTGGAAAGGGCCACCGAGAAAATCGTCACGCGCGGGAGCGAGATAGTCGCGACGGCTGACGCCTGGGGTGTGTGCGCCAGAGTGAGACGGCCACACGTGCGGAGGGTGGTTTTTTCTCCGTTGGCATCCACAGCAGCATTTTCTGTCGTGATTTTCCCCGTGAAAAATCACAGACCATGGACGTGGCACCGCTGAAGCTCGGTGAGTGACAAGTGGGTGGGGCGCTGGCGGTGGCTTTGGGGTCGCCGGACCCGCAGCGGGGCGGAAAATGGCACGGGAAAAAAGGGGTGAACCTGCCCCACGGTCGCCAGAGTGGGCGATTCATTGACAAAACGACGCACAGGGGGAGTGTGCGAGCCGGAGTGGGGGAACTTTGGCACACTTACCTACATTTCCATCCGCTGCTGCATCTGCTGCAGGGGAATGGACTGGCGGGGGCGCAGCTCGCTCTCGAAATAGATACTTGGCGACCGTTGCTCGGACTACATTCAAAAACACCGCCCCTAAAACAGGGCGGATTGCTGAAAATAAATTCTGCAGAGCGGCTGCAATGATTTTTGGGCTTCTCAGCTTGTCATGAGTTGTATTTCATTGCAGAAAATACACATTTTAGGGAGTCTAATAATTATTAATTTAATTTGTGATCTTGCAATTTCTATCTCATTTATTTGTTCATTTTGATCAAGTGTTCAAAAGCTTACAAGATTTACCGCATTATCTACCCCTTGACTTTAAGAGATTGCTAATTTTTCTGAGAAGAACAGCTTTATTCATCTTGAATCCTGTTTTCAAGCAAAGCAATGACTTCTAAACGCCCCATTTCCAATACAGGTGCCGAGGATACGCGCAGGAAGCCACGGACCAGCTCGATGGGTCGCTCTGCGGCTCTGGAGCAAGCGTACGTCCACGATGTGTATGAGATCTGCAACGAAGTCGTGAGTCCTCTGCGTCCGCGCGTGACTCAGTTCCTCACATCCCTGGAGCCGGGATCGCTGGTGTGCGACGTGGGATGCGGCAACGGGCGCTACCTGACGCCCACGAACTCCTTCATTTACTCCATCGGCATCGATCGCTGCCACAGGCTCTCGCAGGCGGCCAGGAGTCGCGGCAACGAGGTGGCGCTGTGCGACAACCTGGAGCTGCCCTTCCGCAGCGAGTCCTTCGACGCCGTCCTGTCGCTGGCCGTGGTGCACCACTTCGCCACGAAAGACAGGCGCGTGGAGGCCATCCGGGAGATCGCCAGGGTGTTGCGCATCGGCGGCAGGGCGATCATCACCGTGTGGGCGCTGGAGCAGCGCAACAGGCGCTTCGAGTCGCAGGACATCCTTATTCCCTGGCAATTGTCCAGCGCCGCGTCGGCGTCGGACGATGACGAGGACGAGGACTTCCTGCCACCGTACAGCGCCTACTCCGAGGACTCTGCCACCAACTCCAGCCGCTCCGCGGGCGACGGCGACAGCTCCAGCCTCTCCTCGTCTTCCCCAGTTGAGTCCTGCTGCATCTTCATGCGACGTGCCATCCAGGTGAGCTCCGGGCGGCGCTCCTCCTGCGCTGCTCTCACTTTGCCGCTCTCTTTGCAGAAACTCGCGAGCGGGAAGAAGCACTCATGGTTCTTAGATAGTATTAATGCCAAGGACAATAAGCTGGCCACGGGCTGGGACGTGGAGGATGCCAAGAATCTGCCAATTGAGCTTCGTCGTCTGGAGGACTTTGACGACATCGCCGAGCCGCCGCCGTTCCGCCTCGATCCACTCGCGGGTGTTTTGCCGTCGCCTGCGGCTGAGCCGCCGCCGCCACAACTACCAGTGCAGCGTATACTGAAGAAACAGGCCAGCCTCAATGAGGACCTGATGGCGGAGAGCCGCCAGAGGGATCGCGACGGCGTTCGGAAGCGCATTCAGAAGCAAGCCTCACTCAACGAGTCCTTCCTGTGTCGTTCCCTGTCGAAGAGACTCCAGCTGCTGGGCCATGGCCTGGGTGGCGCGCTCAAGAGCTCAACGGAGGGCCTCGAGAGAGCCACCAAGACGAGCCTAGGGAGGATTATCAAAACAATGGCCAATGGGCGACATGAATTGTCACGCTGTCAGACACCCTCGGAAGACGCCGATGCCCCTCCAGTGACACCCAATCAGCATCCCGGAGACACTTCCGAGCAGCCCCCGGCGAGACACACGCACGAGAGTGGGTCTGGTGAGTCGAATGCCTGCGAATCTTCCCAATTTCCTCATACTAATCTCGCTTCTCTCGGTCCAGATTCCTCGAAGGAAAACAGTCTGCAGAGCGACACGAGTGTGGAATCCGAAGACAGTTTCGCCTCTGTGATCTTCGTGCCGAATGCTGAGCAGAAAGTTGAGCCGTCGCCGCCACCGACGCAGTCTCCGGCTCCCAAGTTCGATGCCTTTGCTCTACCGGAAGCGAATTTATCGCCCAAGGCGCCGCCACAGCGTCCGCTGCCGAGTCCTGCGCCCACGCGGAAGCCACCCATGCCGTTCATCTGCGAGGAGAGGCGTCCCAGCGTTCCATCGGACGACGAGGAGTGTCGCCGGCTCATCGATCGAGTACTGGTCAGGGGAAAAATGGACGCAAGAGCGCGGATGAGTGAGTTTTTTTTTTCATCTTATGGCAATGAACAGGAGTTTTTCACTGAAGATCATTCTCTGCAGAAGCTTACTTCAGCTCCAGGACGACTAGTTTGGACATTTATCACCCGGAGACGGATGATCTGGAGAGCGACTCCACAGAGCCCTCCTCTCCCGATTCGGTGGACAGTGTGGTGAGCGCTCTGAAGCTGGAGGAGGCGGTGTGCAATCCGGTGAAAGTGACGCCTGAGGAGAAAGCAACGGAGAAGAAGGTGGACGTGAAGCTGGAAGAGCCAGAGAAGCCGGAAAAGCCAGAGATGAGCGATGAAATGGTGTGCAGACAATTTCTGGAAGACTACGCGGATCGACTTAGCACGAAGTTGATTGAGGATGTGAATGGGAAGCTGGCAGCTCAGAATTTCACCTTGGAAGCGGAAACTGTGACTGAAGAAGCCCGAAAATCACCGCCAGCAGCACGACTTTCGCCGCGAGAATTCACGCTGGCGCTCAATACAGGTGAGATTTCTCGTAGACTCCTTGGTGAGCGCCATCAATTGGTCTAATTTTCTTTCTGCTGGGCAGGTCTCAATGGTGCGTGTGGACCACAAAACTCGGAATCTGTGATGAAGAGCGAGAAAATGAGCGCAAAGCGGCCGCCGAAAGCGTGCAGCGGCGCCAAAGCGAAGACGACGAGTCAGAAGAGTAGCTTTTCGCTGGACTTCCGGGCTGAGGTGGAGGCGAAGGCACGTGAGTCCGACACGGCGTCCGTGGGCGGATCTGCCACACACCATCGCTACTATCACGTGTTCCGCGAGGGCGAGCTGGAGGCGCTCATCAACCATCACGTGGCCAGTCTGCACATCGTCTCATCCTACTACGAGCGCGCCTCGTGGTGCGTCGTGGCCGAGAAGGTGCAGGTGTGGACCATTTAAGGGGCAGGTGAGTTTTCTCTGTGAAAAATTGTCCCTGAATCTTATATTGGGCGAATAAAATTCAATCCTTTCTCTCCTGTTCAGATGCAGCAACGAAAGAAAGTACAGAAATCTACAGGAAGCGCATTTAATTGAAACCAATCGAAAGTATATATACAGTATATAATGTAAAGGGCTGAAATATTGTGTAAATGGAAAACTTAACATGAAATACTCATACTGAACAACTATTAGACGATGTGAGGCGATAAACGAACTAGTTTTAAGGGCGTGTGAGCACATTTCTAGCAACAAGGAAATTCCGTTTCACTCCTGCGACCAAAAGACGTGTCAATTTTTCTTTTTCGTGTTGAACGTCCGGAGATATTGAGGCATATCAAGTGGCGCACAATCGCTGCCAGAGAGAGAGAGAGAGAGAGAGAGAGGCTCGACAGGTGGGATGAAAGGACTGAGGGTGAATCCCTCGAGCAGCTAACACTAATCGAATGATGATTATATAAGAGGAGAAAAAAACACACAGAGTAAATTACTAAGTATTAATGGGAAGAGCGGCGGGCGCTGTAGAGGTGCGAATTCGAGGTGATTCTTCAAATGTTAGCAACAGAATATTTCATGCTGAAAATGATACTCTTTAAGCCGTCATTATAGTGATTAATTTGCCCGTGAGATGTTTTCGCGGTGTTGCGGAGAGGCGATAGAGAAACATAAACATTAACACTTTTGTGGGGGAGAAAAATTCACTGAGGATGGAGAATAGATAACCAACTCTGTATACCTTAGAAAGGCTCTATAAAACTCCTCTTTTTTAAACAACAGACAATTAATAAATATTTGAGAAATAACAAATGGAAAGCACCGCATTTTTCATTCATATCAATTCATATCTTTATTTCTCACGTTACAATTTCCTACTTCACCGCATGTAAAAAATGATGGATAGGTTAACAATTGGCCCAACACTGTTCATATCTTCGCATTGGCGATACACTTTTGATGAGTCTTCGTCAAATTGTACGTTTCAGCCTTGAAGGCGGCGATTTGTCTGATCACAGTGAAGATCTCCTCTTGAAGTGCATTCTGGGCTTCGGTGATGCTCGTGTTCACGTCCTCGCGAACGCCTTCGGGAGCGGTGAGCAAGGATTTCCCCTCGACGGCGTGGAAAATGATTGTCTTGAACTCCACAATCTTCACATTCAGTCCGACAATGGCGTCATCGATCGCCATCATGTCGCCTCGCAAGAGACTCACGACGTTCAGATTGCACGCAGAAATCATCACTTCGTCCACTGTCACGTCAGCATCATCATAGGCCTGTCCCAGGACATCGTTGATCGATCTCACGACGAATCCCGACACATCCTGATGAATCCTCTCGACGTCAGCCTCGAAAGACTGCGCAATTGAACTCACGCGCGACTGCAAGGATGCGAAATTGTTCTGGCCAGTCGCAAATGCCAGCAGAAAGCTCTGGAAAAACATTCCGGAAGTAGAGGAATCCCTCTTGCAGATCGACCTTAAGGACTTACCAGGAGAGCGAGAGAGGAGAATTTCGCCATTTTTCCACCAAACTCGCATGAATCTTCCAGTAAAACTGATAAAGATTGTCAATTGGCGCTCGATTTTGTGTCTCTCAAGCTGATATCTGCTGTTTATTGGTCATCCATACCTTGATAAGGAGATTGAAGAGTAACTCCGATAGCCAAACAATGCCCAAAAGTGTTTCATTAACAACTGAAAAAATAAAATCCAGATCTGTTGGATTCCGATGAATTAAAATGCATGTTAATTGAGAACCTCGAGAGTTGACGGTTTGAGTACTTTGCTCAAATTTGTAATTTCTCTTTAAATACAGTGGATTTGAATCAATCACTGTCTGTAACTTTATCTGTGATACATTTTATATGTGCGGACAGAGATCGATGATGAGTTTACCAACTTATAAATATCCTCTGTGTGCAATTTTTCACGCAGTTTGCAATGCGTCCCTTACGGTTTGCACGGTTTGTACGTTTAGTACGATTGGCATTGTTGGCTTTAGCCGCGCTCATCTTATTCAATTTGGTATCTCTCAGTTCACCTCCAGTGCCATCGAGTGAGGTAAGAGTGAAATCTAATTATGGTACTTTTTCCAATCAGAACATTCAATCTCACGCCACTTCTATTGCTCAATACATTATTTAAGGATATGTTCAAGTATATTTTCTTGTATTGAATGGCTATTCTTGATGTTGTTCATCTCTAAACCCAATAAAAGTATCTTTCTTCTGGCATAAAAAAAACCGTGGAAGATTAAAATAAAAGTTATTTTTTAAGTGAAAAAGTTTACAGTGTTCATTTGAAGGTTTCCTGTTGAGTGCTAGGAAGTCATCTCATTAACGTTTACTGGGAATTAACTGAGCATAGATTTTTGTAACAAAACTGGTGTATTTACAAATGAAGAAAAATCTATTTAATTCTCTTTGCAGCCATTGCTTAACATCACCGATTTCCGATTTATACTGTCGCCACCGTCGTGTAAAGCGTTACAATTAAATCCCACCGTGCTCATTCTGGTGCATAGCGCCCCCACCAATGTAGATAAACGGCGGACTATTCGCGAGACCTGGGGCGCCTGGCGTCGTAACATACGTGTGCTGTTCCTCCTGGGCGAAGCAATGGATTATGACAAATCCTTACAGCATGAAGCAGAGATCTACGGGGATATAGTGCAGGGTAGCTTTCGCGATACATATCACAATCTCACATACAAGCATACAATGGCGTTGCGCTGGACTCGCGAACACTGCCCTGAGGCGCATTTTCTGTTCAAAGTCGACGATGATATCTACGTTAACACACCGGCACTAATCTCCTTTCTCATGAATGCGCAACAAACAGCTCTCATCTGCCTACAATTTGTAGGCAATCCCGTATTGCGGGATGTTTCCTCGGTGTGGTGAGTTAAAATTCAGATTCTAGGATATAAGTATGTGAGCCTTAAAATACCTTAACTTCACCATGTGTTCCTTTATACAGGTACGTGAGCCATGAAGACTACCCTAACGACACATATCCGGTGCACTGCAGCGGTTATGGCATCATATATCCACGAGAAACCATTGAGCGCATGGAGAAAGCCGTGCACTCACTGCCTTTCTTCTGGATCGACGATGTCTTTGTGAGCGGAATTGCACGTGAAAAAGCACAGATTGCAGTGCAAGAAATTGACCAACGAGTTCTCCCAAAACCACAGGCTCAAGAGGTGGTAGAAGGAAAAAGGGATATTTCCACGATAGACAGTATTCTGTATTCATACGGGGTGGAAGAACTCGTAATCCGGCGCTTGTGGCACATGACTCAACTTAGACAATCCACTTTTGTTGTGTAATTAGAAACGCTTATGTACCAACTCAGAGGCACCGGGATCAAGACAAGTGGCTGAATAGATTTTCTCAGCCACTGTCTTAGACAGAATGAGGCACATAAGGCTAAAGAGAGGTTTCTTGAACAATTGAGTCACTAAATATTATATAATTAAGAAAATCGTTATAGTCATAAGGCTTGAGTAAGATTAATTTATTGACTGTTAAACTCTATGTAATATATGTACATGTGCAAATGAAAAATATTTTATCAGAAATATATCAGTGTGTGGAGAATGCTTAACACATTTAACTTTCAAATGTTTTATTGAGAATTGAAACCAATGTCTCTTGAGCCCCTCAACGGGTAGGTGTCTTGGAAAAGTCGTCTCCACTCAGCTCCAAAGCAAACAATCACGAATTCTTTTACAAAAATCACTTTTTATTCAGTTTCCTACTCCGAAACATCCATCTTCTCATCCACTTCCTCGCTCTCGTCACTCTCGCCGCTCTCATCCTCCCAACTCTCGTTGTCGCTCTGCTCGTCCAGGCCAATCTCCGACTCTGAGTCGCTCGCCTGGTCGCGATGCACGATCAGATTTTGACTGATCTTGGCAATTTCGTCGCGATCCACACTGCAATTCCCGCGAATCTGCGCCAGGATGAGATCCAGGCGTCCTCTGGCGCGTGTCAGCGCCTGCAGATTGTGCACACGATGCTCAACGATGCCCAAGAAGGGCCTCATTTGCTCCCTCAAGTCCTCCGCGCCAATCGCCATCATCTGGCCAGCGTGCAGCTCAATCAGCGCTCGCATCCAAATCGTAGCGCACTCGCAGTTCCTCATCTTTCTCCGCATGAATCCCGTCAGTTCCTCGACCAGCGGCCTAATGAACTGCGGCGGAAGATATTTCAGCGTGCTCCTCACGCTGTTCTTGTCCTTCGTCAGCAGAACATCTTGCAGCACCGCCTGATCGCGACTCTGTAGCGCCTGGATGAGGTAGTGCATGTTCTTTGCCGGTGTGATTTGACCTGCCGGCTGATCTTTGGACAGCGCCAAATTCTCCAGCCTCTTCTCCATGGGAATCTCCGCTGTCTTCACGCTCTTCTTCACTTCTCCGCCCAGAGCGTAGTCCACCTTCGCAAGATCCGCCACAGCGCGCTTCCCAGCCACATCCTTGCCCTTCTTGACCTTTCTGGGATCATCCCTAATGAGGATTTCATGCGGTTCCTCTCTCTTCAGCGTCACACTCTCAAATCTCAGGCATCCGGCGCCTCCGTACGCCAAAATAACGCTGCCCGCAAACTTTCCCGCCACCACGGGCAGGGATTCTGCCGTCTTCCTATCATCCGCGATCACTGACACTCTCCAGCGCGCTTTCAGAGGCTTCGCCGAGGCGAGAATCTTCTCCAGTGTCTCTTCGAAGAAGTGCACAACGCCACTTCTCGTGGCTGCGAGGAGTCTCACGCCCTCTTCGTGTGCATCAACGTCTAGCGTGGCCACGAGATCATCCAGGATGAAAGTTGCACAGGATTCCTTCCTCTTACCGCCCTCGAGACTCCACAGAGACAGCATTCTGTCCACTTTAGACGCTGTCACGGCGAATTCCTGTTCTCCCGTCGTGAAAGTCTTCACGTGAGTCACTGTCGATGTGTGCCCGGTGAATGTTTGCATGCACTGACGCGTGCTGGCTTTCCAGAGCTTTACTTGGCGCGATGCCGTAACGATATCGCCGGAAGTTGTGACGCTGAGGCAGGAAACGCGATCATTTGACGTGCTGAACTCATTGACGGAGCTTCCCTTCTCCAAATCCCACAGGATCACCTTGCAGTCCTCGCCACAGGTATAGAGATGAGTGGCAGAGTCGCTAGCGATGCCCAGAACAGCGCCCATGTGACCATTGCCCTTCAAAGTGTGCTCAACCTTGGGAAATAAGAGGAAATTTGAGAGATTTCTCAGTGATTTAGACCTGAAAGTGACGGATTTTTTCACTCACCTTCCCTGAGCTGAGACTAAAGATTAGCACGCTGCCCACAGAAGTGCCCAGAGCCAGGAAATGCTGTCCGGACGCGGACGACCGGCGAGATTGTTTACCCTGAAAAACATAACCTCACATTAGCAATTAAGGTAGAGAGTTTGTGTGATTTTTCATTTAAATCTGTTAGAACATCTCCTCTGGGACATCTCCTGACCACAGTTTCTCAGGACAGTCCTCCGGAAAGCCCTGGAGAGCAGGAAAACACTCACCAGTCCATGCTTGAGGGAAACCCACGTGAGACAGGAGCAGGAGCTGTTATGCACGATGCTGGTGGAGTAATCGTGCTTTACATCATTAGTCTCCACGTCCCAGATCTTCACCTTGCCATCTTCACTAATATTCGCGAAGAATTTCCCGCACGGAGAGAAAGAACTCGCGTGTTGGCTCATCTTGAAAAAACACACACACTCCAGACAGGGCTGACAACGCGCAAACACCAAACATTGAGGTTATGCGCCAACTGTTATACTGTCAGTGAGTGTTTTGGACTGGATGAAGAAGTGTGAACTGCTTGTGAATTGCAAAATTAAAAGGGATTTTTCAGCAGTGAAATTGCAACTTTCCGCCGCGCAAATACACGCAAAACCTCAATAGAACCTTCATGACACGCAATACGGTGAAATTTTGGTGAAACACGTGTGATTAATAGCAAATTTGGGTGCTTTTTCCATTCTGTGCTTCGCGATTACGTAAAGAGCATTCCAATGGGTTAGCGTCACCCAAAGGCGAGTTTCACCACGCAAAAGACGCTTTTCTGCACAATTTCTCTATCCGGAAAGGCTCATGAGAAGACAGAAAGATGCTAAGGGACCTCATAGCGTGGGTGCTAAACAACTACTTGGGAAAATATGTGGGAAATCTCAATACAGCTTCACTCACAATCGCTCTTCTCTCAGGTGAGGAAAATAGTTTTTTCCTGCGCTTCGCACCGATTTTCCCATCCAAACACACTTCAATAAAGCTTTAGAAGTCTCAAAATATCCTATTTCAATCCTAAAAATATGTAAAAGCTCATTAATTGCCGTTATCTTCATATGAAAACAATCAAAGCAATTAGCATTTGAATATGCCTGACATTCTTGTCAGTGGGAAATCGATGCCTTGACCAATTAGGAAAAACACGATTTCCTGAGCGGAATTCCACAATTAACCCTCGAGTTGGCGAAAAAGTCCATCAATCAGTGTCTTTTGCGGCCAAACAAAGACTTCTTACACAACGAATGACGATGTGTGAAATTTATTATTAAAGCGCTGCGATAATTTGTGAATGAGGGTCATTTTAATAGAATATGAAATGTTTAGCCAACAGTTTATTTCTGGTGCATTAGTAATTTCTTAAGCGCTCAAATTTGAAAGGCGGAGTATTCAAGTGGGCGGAGCTTTGATTTTCTATTGAAGCAGCTTTTAATAAGTGTTAATAAGTTAAATTGAGTCTAACTAATTCGTCATAAATGAAACTTAGAAGCAAGATTTACATCGGTTAAGGCCGTTTTCTGATATTACAAACAATTTTAATTTGGCTTGCAATACTGCCCCTTCTCAGTGCGAATGGAGCGAGTTCGAGCCCCGGAATGTGTAATGATTGGAAATGGGTGAAATGCCTCTTGTTTGCTTTGCAGGCGAGGTGGAGCTGGAGAACTTGCCGCTGCGTCGCGACGCACTGCGAAACCTGGGTCTGCCGCTGCAGGCATTGAGCGGCAGTGTGGGCAAGATCAAGCTGCAGGTGCCGGTGCGGCAGTTCTGGACGGCGCCGTGGTGCATCTACATCGAGAAGGTGAACGTGGTCGTAGGCCCGGTGAACCTGGACGAGTGGGACGCCGAAGCGGAGGAGCAAGCGGATTTTGACTTCAAAGTGGGCCGCCTGGACCGGCTGGAGGCGAAGTGGCGCGCGGCCAGGGAGGCGTCAATTGAGGGCGGATACTATGCGTCCTCGTACTCAGGCTGGATGAACTTCGGCACGTCGCTGGTGACGAACATCGTGGAGAATCTGCAGCTGAAGATCAGCGATGTTCACGTGCGCTATGAGGATTCGATTACTGTGCCTAATCAGAGATTCGCCTGCGGCGTCACGGTGGAGTGGCTGGCGGCGCAGAGCTGCGACAGCAACTGGCTGCCGGGATTCACGAGTAGTCAGAACGCGGCGTCGTTCAAGCTGCTAGAGCTGCAATCGCTGTCCTTCTACTGGGACAAGCTGAGCGGCGAAGAGGTGTTTGGCGAGGTGGCGTCCAGTGATCTGGCCGGGGCCATGGAGAAGGCCAAGATCAGCCATCAGTTCATCGTGAGTCCCGTGAGTGCGCAGGCGAAGCTGAAGCGCGACCGCAGCGAAACGCCCCTGCGGACAAGGAGTCGTCCACGACTCGTGTGCGATCTGGTGCTGGAGGAGGTGTCGCTGTCATTGGCCGATTGGCAGTACAATCAAATGGTGGAGTGCATCCGAGGGTTGGATGATATCGCCAAGTTCAGGAGATTTCATCTACTGCGACCGAGTCATACCATCCGCGAGGGCGTCAAGGATTGGTGGCTCTACGCGGCGAGATGTCATGGCTTGCTAAAGAGCGCCAATTGCTTCCGCCCAGGATATGTGAAGGAAAATTTGCGATACATAGAGATTTATTTGAAATTGATCAGAAATCCCAATGAAGTGTTGACGTCAGAAGAAAAGGAACATAAGGACAACGTGGAGAAGAGCAGAGAGTATGAAGAGTTGAAGAATTTGAGGGAGATTTGCATGACTAGAGTTCCAAATCCGGATGTCAAGGCGCCAAAAGATCCCAATCATGGACGAAGTATGCTGCATTTTTGGTTTCCTCAGTGGCTCGGATGGTACAATAATGGCGCGAGTGACACAAAAACGCCCAGTGACGATGCTCCACCCGATTCCAGTCAGACGGCGAAGGATCAGCTGGAGGATGAGATCCTGAATGGACTGTCGACGGGCGTGGACACAAATTCTGTCCTGAAGCGAGACGCTGTGTTTGGGAAGTTTGACTTCACGCTGAAGAAGGGAACGCTGGACATCTGCAGTGGATCTCCAGGGTGTGAGAGCAAACCGATGGTGCAATTTCTGTTTGAGAACTTAATTCTGTTCGTGGAGTCTCGACCCAGATCGGCGTCACATCTTGTCGGACTGTCGCTGGGTTCTGTGCTGCTGAAGGACAGAATCACGATCAACACGGAGTTTCCGGACGTGATCAGGCCACAAGTGAAGGAGGAGTCGTCGCTGAAGCGACAGCAGAAGCGAACACTGTCGAACATCTTCAGCAGCACAGCTCAGCCACAACAGCAGCCAGCGGAGCCGCTCTTTGTGCTGCAATACGAAAGGAAGCCACTGAGCTACTCCGCTGATTACAGGCTCTTCGTGAAGTCTCAGTCGCTGGATGTGGTGTACAACACGGGCGTGGTGAAGTGGATTGTGGACTTTGTGGCAAAACCACATCAAATGCTGGGCGCTCGACGAAAGCTGGAGGCGATGAAGAATCGCACGAAGAAGGAGTTGATTAAGAACTGGGAGAATATTTTGGAAGGTGATTTGAAGAAGCGCAAGACGTGGATTTTTGAGATTGACATCTCGGCGCCACAAATTATCGTGGTGGAAAATTTCAGCAATAAGAATGGCACGATTGTTGTGGTGGATTTCGGTCGACTGCAACTCACGAATCGTCCGGGTCAGACGAAGGAGTCGCGCAGTCAGTCCATGGCCGAGACGGTGTCTTCGGATCTCGGTCACAGGGACAGTGAGGATGAGGACGCCTTCATGACGCCCTGCTCCACGCCGCCAGGCTCTCAATGCAGCACCACAGACTCGCCGACGCTCGTTTCTGCCCTGGGCGAGGTGCCGAACGCCAGCAGCAGTGTGTCGCTGGACGTGGGCTTCAACGAAGGCGAACTGCAGAACAGGATCTACGATAAGTACAACATAGACTTCACGGATCTGCAAGTGCTGGTGTGCAAGAGTAGCGATGGCTGGGCGTACGCCAGTGGCAAGGGAACGTCCAATTTGCACGTGCTTGATCGCTTCAGCATTGCTCTGCAGCTGGAGCGCAGAGTTGTGTACACTGCGGATCCGCAGTATCCCAGCCTGAAGGTGTCAGGAAGTCTGCCGAAGCTTGTGGTGCATGTGAATGAGGCGAAGATTGTGGCTGTGAGGAATATGCTGAGCATCATCCACGGAGACGCAACTGCGTCGCCAACCGCCACTCCGACGGAGAATCTCACTCTAGTGCCTGAGGAAGTGTCATCGGACACATCGACAGACGAGGAGGATAGTCAGCGTGAGGCCACAAAGCTGATCGTCCTGCAATTTGCCATTGATCAAATGGTGCTTGAAGTGCAGTCGCACGGTCGCGGAATTGCCGAGTTGCAAGTGTCTGGCGTGAAGGCGGGCTTCAGCAAGAGGGCAGCAGACACAAACATCACTCTTTCTGTCCACGGATTGCTTCTGGTGGATGCAATTCAGTCCTTTGGTCCGGACTTTGAGCTGCTGATGGCCAGTCATCGGCATGTGGGAATTGACAGTGTCTCCGGGAGTCTGAAGCAGAGTGAACCGTGCTCACCAATGTCTCCAGGATCACCAGATCCTTCTCAGGATCCCAAGAGACCTACAAGTCCTCACACGATCTCCAAAGCGCTGAATTCACTCCAGAGAGGTGAGAATTAATAATTGTTTGTCACTTTGATGGTTTATTTAAGTCTCGCCCTCCAAGAAGCCACGCCCACTCATTGTAATACAATGATTTATTCAATTTATTTAATCTTTTCCACGATATTTTGTTTATTTAGTGCTCTTTATAGTTGTATAGTGTTGATTTCTGTTTTATTCAGTTTGGTTTCTTTTGGTTTTTGTTTTCGTTTCTTGGGCAATTTTGCCAAAACTACAGCCAATTCTTCTGTTTGGTCTGCTGCTGATGACCTAGACGCTCTTATTGTTGTGGACATTCTCTTCGTGAACTCTGCTGATGACTCTGAACAGCTCCAGATCGCCAATATTCAGTTCAACAATCTTGATATTATAGGTGAGATTTAAAGCCTTTTTGCAAGCCTTTTGTGTCATTTGGATTGTTGTGTATTTTATTTTGATATTTTGCAGCTAATCAAGAGACAATTGTGGAGTTGATTGGATTCTTCAAGGGCGTCATGCCGAAGAGTCCTACGAAGGCGTCATCTGGACTGGATGAAGTGATTCCCAGTGAGAACGCAGCCAAGGCGGAGGCGACAGAGGCGCAGATGAGGAGCATCCGAACGGAGATCACTTTTGACTTTCATCGACTGAATGTGCTCGTGTTGCGCGCGCTGCTGAGGGACAATTACATGGTTGGACGCAAAGTGGGCACGTTCACGATGAGTGAGGCGCGGATTCATGCCACACTAGGCAGGACTGTGACTGTGGAGGGATCCCTGGGTGGTCTGCAGGTGTTGGATCTCACGCCTGAGGGTGTGAATCATCAGAGGATTCTGTCGGTGGGCAAGGATCCCCTGACAGAGGGCGACGCGGCGCGGAAGGACCTAATGAGTGCGCTGTCTGAGGAGGTGTATGCCATGGGCAGGGGTGAGAAGCAGGAGGAGGAGAAGCAGCGAGAGGACACCCAAGCGCTGTCCTTTGTCGTGTACAGAGACGAGAGTGCTTGTGTCCAGATCAAGATCCGGATGGCGTCCGTGTGGTACACGCACTGTGCGCGATTTATGCAGGAGTTGAGCTGGTGTGCCACGGAATTCAAGCACTATCTGAAGAATCTGGCCAGGAGCATCCGCGAGAAGGCCACCGACATGGCGCTGGGATTGGTGCAGCAGATTGATCAGGGTGAGAAGTCGCTGAAGAGTGCCAAGGATGTGGACATTAAGCTGGACGTGGTACTGGACACACCAGTGCTGGTGATGCCGAGATCAAGCTGCAGTCCTCAGGTGTTTGTGGCGCATCTCGGGAAGATCTCTGTGAACAATGTGCAGAAGAGTGGCGCTGAGACAAAGTCGGAGTTGCTGAAGAATGACAGTGCGATCTTCACGATCAGTGAGGAGATTGATGAGACTGAGCAGTTCAATTTTGATGACAACACCTTCCGGATGGATGACGTGGAGGGGGAGGAGGCGCCCGTGAGGCAGGAGTGCGCGAGGGATGACAGGAATACGTATGTGATAGACATTAGGAATATGAATCTCTTCTCGCTGGACACGCACAACAGGAAGAAGTCGCTGTGTCAGATGAACAGGGCGCTGCCCAGGGCAGAGGAGTTCTACTCATGTCAGGAGGATGGTGTGGCGATTCTCCACGACACGGCCATTCGGCTGGACATCACGAAAGTCACGGAGAGTTGGACGGAGAAGACGCTAAAGGGTCAGACGGACCATTGTGACACGCTGGCGATCAATGGCAGTGTGGTGAAGCCACTGCATCTCTCACTCACGCGTCATCAGTACGAGCAGCTGCTGGAGACGTTCGATAACATCTTCAAGGTGCCAGCGGAGTTGGTCAGACCGCCAACCGGCGTGCCTGAGCGCGAGGAGGATCTCGAGGTGGATGGGGAACAGGAGGAGGGCCCCAAGATCACTAGGAGACTCTTCAATCAGCCCAGCTTGAGCGACAGGAGGAACCAGATTGAGCCTAGAGTGTCCTTTGAACTGCCGACGTTTGTCATTCAGTTGAAGAATGACTGCAATCGGCCGTTGATTGAGATCTCCTTCAGGGACTTCAATGTTCAGTACGAGAGGAACAGCCAATACGAGACTAGCATTCAAGTTTCGCTGAGATCACTCCTCATGGAGGATCTCTTGCAGCCGATCGACAGCAAGAATCGCACGATGGTCATCTCATCGTCGCCGGACATGCAGAATTTGCGACCGGGAAGTGCTTTCTCGTCCAGATCGTGTCCTAATTTGGCAGGACTGGCCATTTATGGGGCGGATGTGACTGGTTCCTTGCCGGAGAATCTAGAGGGACGCGCTGGATTCTCGGCCATGCTGCAGCCCAGCAAATCTCACTGTCCACAAACGCCACCGCCTTCGCCACAGCCGAGAGACAGGCAGGACAATCTGGTGATCTACTCGTCGCTGCTCGTGGATCCGGAGTGTCCCAACTTCACCACGCAGTACAACTCTTTGCGCCAATCCAGCTCGATAGACTTCAACAGTTTGGATCTGGTCATCTCTGTGCAGAGTTGGTACATGCTGCTGAATTTCTTCGGGCTGCTTCAGGTGAGTTTCACTCAGTTTATGCCACGAATTGTAGTGATCAAGGAGAAATTCTTCTTTTTCAGGATGACGATAGCGATGGAGTGTCGTCCAGTGTCTCCAATGCTGATCTGCAGGAGCAATTGATCGAACAGGGCAAGAGTTCTGATGACACTGAGCTCAATATCACCGTGAGATCCTTGACAGTTGTCCTCGTGGCGCCGGAATATGAGATTGCCAAAGCGAATGTCTCCAATGCGAAGTTCGTGGTGGCGAAGAGGAACATCGCAAAGACTGTCGAGGGTCATCTGGGCTCAATGAGTCTGTATGACTTGACGCAGCATGGCAAAATCTATCGTGAGCGCTTCGTGACGAGTGGCAATGAGGCGCTGAATTTCACATATTTGCGAGATAAGGTGAAGTGCAATCAGAGAACGGTGGATTATGATGCGAAGCTGAAGATTCACATGGCTTCCGTGAGATATGTGCACACGAAGAGGTTCGTGATGGAGATTCAGGCGTTCTTTCAGGCCTTCTCGCAGTTGCAGCAGCCGGTGATGAAGAAGATTAAGCCATCGGAATCCAGGCAGAATCTGCATCAGCGCCCAATACAATTAGGACTGGAGATTAAGGCGGAGAGTCCAATTATTCTCCTGCCGATGAGCTCAAAGAGCGGCAAAGTGATCATCTCAGACTTGGGTGAATTCTCACTGAGGAATGTGTTCAGGTGGTCGACGGACAAGAGTGTGATCAGTGTGCAGCGAAGGAGTGTCGATGAGTCCAGCGGCAAGACATTGAGTGAGATCTTGGATGTGATGTCAGTGAATTTGGTGAATACGAATCTCTTCGCGGGCTCACGATGGGAGAAGACTGAGGCTGTCCTGCCGGAGGATCTGTGCCTGGACATGGGCAGCTATAGGGTGGTGAAGGAGGGACCGAGTCTGCTGAAGAACAAGTGTCACTTGTCGCTGCAGGTGGAGAGGAATATGGACGCGTGGCGCAGTCACAATGTGCCGGACTTCAGTGTGCAGGGAACGCTGTCAAAGTTGGAGGCTGTGCTGGATTTGGAGCAGTACAAGTTGGTCAGGGGATTCTTGTCATACAATTTGGGTGAGCCGACTGATGATCTGTACCTCGAACCGGCCACCATTACGGAATCCCTGATCAATCTTACCAGTGACCATCATCATCAGGAGCACAGACAAGTGTGGACAAATATGTCCATCACGCTGGATTTGCAGGGTGTTCTGGTGAAGCTGCAAATGCCTCAGAGTCCTATGCAGATGATCAGTGAGATGGATAACTTCCTGGCGTGTATAAATTTCATCAAATCCTCCCTGAAGATTGACTCATTCAGCGATGGATCGCAGGATATTGACTTGGTATCACAGGAAATTCTGGTCACGGACTCACGAACACAGTTTACAGCACCGAAGAATGTGTTCACTAACATCCTGGCGCCGACCACCAACAGAGTGAACAAGGATTCCGTGCAGGCGGAAGTGCACAGTCGTCGACGACAGGATTACTCAAAGTACACAATTCTGCTGAACAACATGAGATTGATGGCCATCTTGGACTGGCTGGAGAGCATCAGAGACTTCCTGTCGCAGTCCGAAGAGGCGCCGAAGGAGTTGAAAGTGAGCGAAATGAGCAGTCCAGCAGCGCAGAATCTCGACGATGCACTGGAATTGGTGTTAAACATTACAAATTCTGAGTTGGTGTTTGTGGAGAACACAGATCAGTGGGACACAAATGCTGTTATCCTGAAGAGTACAACAATCGTCTCTTTCCGTCCGAGTGAGATAAGCAAAGTGATGTCACTTAATCTGAACAATTTGGAAGTGTTTTCCTGCACATTGGACGCTGAAGAGACAACAGCATTGTCCATCATTGATCCGGTGACGATCAATCTGGACATTCGCAAGGGTGTTCTTGATTTACAACTGCAGAAGAGACTCTGCATTCGACTGTCTTATCACGATGTGAAGATGTTCACCAAGATGCTGCAGAGTTTGCCGAAGCAGACGAAACAGGCGCGATCGGGGAGGGAAGAGAGTCTGCCGGATGCGGATGTGACGGTGAGGAAGCTCACCACGCTGGGCTTCAAGAGGTCAGACTGTGTGCGAGCGCTGGAGATTTGCTCCAATCAGCTGGACGATGCCGCTCTGTGGCTGACACAGAATGCAGAACCGCAGAAGACACTGGCGATGCCATCGCGTGGGCCGCTGGATATTCAGGCAGTGGAGATCAGGGCGACGTGCATCAGTATCTGTGTGATTGACGACTGCAAGGACGCTGATGTGCCGCTGCTGGAGTTTTCGCTGTCGCATCTGGACCTGAGGCAGGAGTTGGGAGCGAATTTCGCCGCGCCGTCGGAACACACGGGCTTCCGCGTGGGTCATCTGAAGGGTGTATTCGCCAGTGATTACTACAACAGGCGGCTGAGCGGCTGGGAGCCGATCATTGAGCCGTGGAAGTGTCAGGGCGAGTGGAGCTACAGTCTGGGACAGGTGGGAAGTCATCGGAATCGCCTGCATTTGCAGATCACGAGTGAGGATGTGCTGAAGTTCAACATCACCAACACTATCATTGACCTGTATCAGGTGGTGAAGGACAACTGGACGCAGGACTACTATGAGGCCAGTGGGAGTGCGAGGAGCGACAAGAGTCCGAGTGGACATCGCAGGAGGACACCGTTCGTGCCGTTCGCACTGAAGAATGACACTGGGATGACGCTGTGGTTCACCACGCTCGTCTCCTCGCCAGATGGTGTGCCCAGGCGGGAGTTGTTGACCAAGAGTGAGACCAAGTGGCAACTGGTGGCGCCGGGAACGGTGCAGCCCTTCTCGTTTGGGCCGCAAAACAAGTTGCGGCACCACGATTCGCACAAGCTCAACCTCCATCAGGTGGGCGTGAGGGTGGAGGGATGGTCAGAGGTTGGGCCGGTGTCGGTGGACAGAGTTGGGACGTACTTCCGTCATGCCAGGCACGAGATTGTCTCGCCAAATGACTCTGGCGTGGGTTCGAAGGTGCGAATTGTCTTCTCCGTGACGATGGAGGGCTCCGCTCAGAAGCTGGTCACTGTGAGATCTTCGCTGCAAGTGATCAACCATCTCAACAATCCTGCCATGCTGAAGATGGAGCATCTGTATGGGCCGAATGTGGAGAAGTGGCCAGAAACGCTGACAGCTATTGTGGAGCCACAGAAGATCTATAGTGTGCCACTGAGTCATGTGCACGCGTTCATCTTTCTCAAGCCACTGCCCAGTGTGACTGAGGATGAGCAGAAGACGACCTACAGGAGCAATGACTACTGGACGACGCAGGAAACGACGACAGTGGAGTCACGCAGAGGACATTTCCACCAGTTCTCGGACAAACCCTTTCACTGGAAGGAGTTGCTGGACAATGTGGATGTGCAGCAGGAGTTGAGGACGTGCAAGAGCAACAGAGAGAGGTGGTTTCACTTTGTGGTGGCCATTGAGAGGGAGAAGTATCCGGTGAAGGATGGAAACACTCTTCCCGGACACTCTTTCGTCCTGTATCCGCCCGTGAGACTGCACAATCTGCTGCCCTGTGATCTCCTGTGGAGAGTTCCTGGTGGCAGTCATGGCAGAATCTCACCGTCAGAGACGGCGGCAATTCATGAAGTCGATTTGTCCTATCAAGTGGAGCTGACAATAGCTCTGGACGGTTATCCTGGGTCGGGAAGCATTGCCATTCCGGCAGGTTATGTGGGCAGCAGTGAGATGAGACTGAAACTGACGGATGTTAATCAGAGGCTGCTCTTTCTGCGCGGCAGTGTTCAAGTGGAGAAAGGTCAGGGAGTTCAGATAAGCATCAGTGCTCCCTTCTGGCTCGTCAATCGCACTGGATTGCCGCTAGTCTTTCGCCAGGAGAGTGTCAATCACGAGAGTTCTGGTCAGTTCTCTGAACACGAGCAGGCGCGCCTTGTCTCACCACTGATGTTCAGCTTCTCGGACTTTGACGCTCCGCCGGCGCTCACAGTGCGTCTGGGCAAGAGATATGGCATGAATCCCGCCTGGTGTCAACCATTCAATCTACACAAGGACACGCTTAACAGGCAACTCAAGTCTGGCGTGTCCAATGAGACCTTCGTCATTGGCATTGACGTGAGGAGAGGCAGAGGAAGATACGCCAAGACCAGTGTCGTCACCTTCTCGCCGAGGTTTCAGCTGTACAACAGGAGCCGATACAAGCTGCAGTTCGCGCAGAAATACTTCGCCACGACGCTGTCGGATCCTCTGGCCAAGTCCACTTTCATCGAGGCTGTGCCGGAGTGTCACTTGCCCTTCCACTGGCCACGGCTGGACAAGGAGCAAGAGCTGTGCGTGCGCCTACCGGATGTCCCAGATTGCCTGTGGTCAGGAGGAGTGCCCATTCAGGAGTCGCTCAGTGTCTACATCAACATAAGGTGAGATAGAGCTTAAATTAATACAGAGTGTAGAGCTTTTTTTACATTTCTCTTGTCTTTTGGCAGAAATCTCAATGGCGATATGCACTTCATTCGACTGGAGATTGTTCTTCAGGGAGCAACTTACTTCCTTCTCTTTGGCGATGCTCAGGCTCTGCCGCCGCCCATCAGGATTGACAACTTCTCAGAGGTGCCGATGGAGTTTTATCAGCCGGGCTGCAAGCATCGCTGGCGGACAACGGTGAAGGCGCACTCTTCCATGGCCTACGCTCTGGACGAGCCCACAGGTGTGCCGGCGATTCAAGTGGAGGCACCCGGCGGAGTGTCTCACGTGTATCCGCTGAGGGACATTGAGGTGCCGCACAATCTGACGTACGAGAACTTCATCTACATCGCCTTCAGCGGCACGTTCAAGAGGACGTCTGACGTGGGACTGATGCAGGAGCCGTGGGAGCACAATGTCAACAGTCAGCAGCTGGTGCTGGGCGTGATGGACGGGCGGGTGTTGCTGATGAAGAAGCGTCCAGGTGACAGGGCGCAGTTGTGGCGCATGAATCAGGATAAGCAGCTGGAACACGAGGGCTCTTCGCCGCCGACTGAGCCGGGCAAGAGGGCGACAGTACTGCAGAGATTCGTGCTGGATTTGGACGGACCGCCGCGACCCATGAGCTATGTGAATCTCGTGGTGAGGCCAATCGATGTGCGGCGGCGCTCCACGCAGACATGGCGATTCACAGAGGAGGGCAGACTGATGTGTGAGCACTCGAATATGTGCGTGCAGCCGAAGAATGGGCTGTTCGGGCTGATGCCCAGGGCGGAGGCGGTGCTGGGCATGATTGTGTCGGACACGCACGTGATCACGGAGAGTCTCGTGCCGCTGGAGCAGGCAATAGAGCGCCAGAAGATGCGTCCGGGCTCGGGATGCTTGTCTGTGGTGGTGACAATGGATGGGCCGATCAGGACGGTGAGGATTAGGGATGTGAACTCGCGCAGCAACAGCACGCTGGCCAGTGATCCGGCATGGAAGCATGTGTCGCACGTGATACCGCACTTCAGCAGTGCCTTCAGTGGCACTGACAGTGGCGACAAGACGCCCATCGATGAGTTCCATGTGTACCTGAAGTTGCTGAAAGGCATTGGAATCTCTGTGATCTCACGACAGCCGTGCGAAGAGTTGGCTTACTTCGCACTGGAGAACATCACACTGGAGGCTGTGGCGACGCCGTCTGTGCGATCACTCGACCTGAGTGTGGACGATGTGCAGGTGGACAATCAACTGCTGGAGACACCGTGTCCAGTTGCGCTGTTCACCATCAAGCCGGCTTCGACGGATTCGCCGAATCGCAACAGATTGTCAGCACTGCAACTCACGGCGAAGATGCTGCCCAGTCCCAATGTCAATGCCGTGATCTTTGAGCATCTGATCCTCAGTCTCAGGCCAATGTCGATCTATCTGGAGGAGCGACTGATGCTGCGCCTGGCGGACTTTATGGGCCTGGGCAGGGCGCAGCCGGACGCCTCGGCGCTGTCCGATGAGTCAGACTATGAGGCGCATCGTGTGGCCACGCAGCTGATGGCGACGAATGTGCAGCGATACTATTTCGGTGATCTGCAGATTGTGGTGAGTCAGAACAGACTGAGTGTGATCACGGCCAGCAAACTCACGCCCAAGATGATGACTACCAAGCGCCACTTGGGATTGACACTGATCAAATTTGAGGATGCGATTATAGAGTTTGAGAAGTTCACGGATAAGCATCATTTTGAGACGCTGGAAGTCTACGTGTCGGCCATCAAGTCGCACTACAAGAAGGAGCTGAAGTGGCAAGCGGGATCAATTCTGGGCAGTGTGGATTTCCTGGGGAATCCCCTGGGCTTTGCCAATGATGTGTCTGAGGGTGTTTCTGGGCTCATCTTCGAGGGATCTGTGAAGAGTTTGGTGAAGAATGTCACGCATGGAATCTCCAATTCCACCGCCAAGCTGACAGAGACTCTGTCAGATGGACTGGGCAGGATTGCGCTGGATGAGGAGGACACAGAGGCGCGCCAGCGCATCTTGAACGCCACAACAACCACCAATTCCACGGATCACCTCGTGGCGGGACTGAAGGGACTGGGCTTTGGCCTCTTGGGCGGTGTCACGAGCATCGTCAAGCACACGTACACGGGCGTGCAGGCGGATGGCTTTCAGGGGCTCATAGCGGGCTTCGGCATGGGTCTGGTCGGCACGGTGACGAAGCCGGTGATTGGAATGCTGGATCTGGCGTCGGAGACGGCGAATGCTGTGCGGGAGACGAGCAAGAGCTCCAATCGGCAGATGCCGGACCGCAAGAGACTGCCGAGGTGTGTGACAGGAGCGCCGGGTAGTCTCCTGCCGCCGTACTCTTACACGCAGGGCAAAGGCCAGAACATCCTGTACACGCTGAACAAGAGGGACTTCTCCGAGCAGCTCATGGCGTACGAGCCGTGTCTCTTCGATGCCGATGACTCAAAGCTGGAACTCTTGGTGTCCACGGAGAATGTTTGGGTGTTCTCCAAGACAGATGACACCACGGCCATCATCTTCACCTATCACTTGAGGTGAGTTTTTCCATCAATGTTCAACAGTCAATTTTCAATGGTTTCCTTCGGCTTTTTCCATTTAGTGTAAAATATTCGATGGATTCTATGAAGTCATTTCTTTTGCAGTGATCTCCTGTCTTGCCATCCTGTGTCTGTGAATGCTGAGGTTGGGCATCACAAGTCGAAGAAGGTGCAGCAAAATCACTACATCGAATTGGGATTGACTGTGACAACGAGAAGTCCAACAACAACGTCCGTGCAGGAGAACGTGAAGCGACCGAGAGTTCGATGCCAGTCTGAAGACATTGCTCAAAGGGCGTCAAGACATGTAAGCACGGATGCGGTTTTCTTTGTTTGTTTGCCTTTAGCTTAATTGGAGTCTCTTTTTTTATGATTGCAGATCAACTACGCCAAGGGAATCTACGATGAGCGCGAACAAACACTCTATTCCGATTCTGTGATGGACTAAAAGTAACACGATTCACCAAAAGATTATTGAGGAAAACATAATGCAAGATATAATAATATGTTAATTTATTACTACTTAGGGTCCTTTTTTTCTTCAACTTATTTTGACATCGAACAAGAAAAGACCAAAAAGTGTTAACCAAAATAGGACTTTCCTATTGTATTCTTTATATATATTTACTTTTGTTTGTAAATGGTATTTTTTCTATATTGTTCATCCACTTTGTAATATGATTGTGAAGATAGGTAGACTAGAAAAATGGCGTGAGAGGAAATTACACAACCACCAAAGACTGTAATTTGTATTTAAGAGGAGGTGAATAAAGTTTGAGGAATGCTCGAAAGTGCAGTTGATTAGCCCCTTGGCTTTTGCCATGACGATGAGACCTTGGGTTTGTTTGGCGCGCGCCGTTTCCACGGACGACCGAGAGTGAGTCGCGGCAGTTTCGCAGTGCCTGGCCATGGAAGTGGACGTGCCGAAGCCTGCGGTGCCGCCCAGGAGGCGCGCCTTCATGGGCGGCAGCACGTCTTCGAACGTTTCCGCCGAGGCGCCCGTCGTGCAGGTGGAAATGGCGGTGGTTCATGACAGTCGACCGGTGCCGATGCCCAGGACGAGTGTCCAGGAGATCGTGGATTTGACGTCCATGGAGTCAGAGGACACGGACAAGGAGATTTTCTTCGCCGAGAGCCGCAAGAACACGATAATCCAACCAGAAATTGAGAATCCCAAGGCGAAGGTAAATAGAATTTGAAATTGGAAGTGGTGTACATCATTCTATAATTATTCTAAAAGATTTATTTAGCAAATTCATAACCTCACAATTTGTTGAAACCTCCTCTTTTCGGGTTCTATCCCCTTTCTATACAAATCAATATCAATTTGGGATTCTTGATCTCCCACATGGATTCGTCAATTTGACCTTTTCCCATCAGAATTTTCAACGGTGTGATCCTGCTGGGAAGGATCGATAAGATGGCGGTGATGAGATCATTGAAGACTCTGGAGCGGCATTTGTTTATGTCGAGGAGTCTAAGCGACCGACAATTTCTGATCACTTTCATTATGCCCTCATTTGTGGACCACGAGCAATAATCCAAGCGCAGCTCTTCCAGGGTCTGAACAAGAGATATCTGCTCCAGCACCTTATCCTCCAAATCGATCCATGCGCTGAGCTTCAGCACTTTCAAGGTGGAGCAGTAGCGGAAGGGAATGGAAATAGAGTTTTGCCCTTGGTTACGTCTTATCATAATGTATTCCACTTCTAGAGATTCCAACTTGTTCCGTTCGATCATTTTCATCAGATAGTAGTTAATGTTGACGTAATGGTAAGTGCTAATCTTCAGATGTTTCAAGTGAGACACATTTTCAAGCATGTGGAAATCAGTTGGTTTGGTTTTTTTGTAGTTATTGCTGATCTTCAGACATTGCAAATTCCTCAGTTTGGTCGCAATCGCATCCAAACATGCGCCATTCATGGAACATCCGATTATGTTGAGGCTTTTCAGTCCTTTGTTGCGTCTGAAGAACTGTATTAGGAAATTCGGATTGATACTGTCACACTCACTGAGATTGAGATCCTGAATATTTCTCAGCATGGTCAGAAATTGTCCCTTGAATCCAAAGCTCTTGTTATCAGCGAAATTGAGCGTCTCCAGCTGCTTTGCTCCGTGCAAGAGCTTCACCATCGTGTAATCCATGAGCTCATAATGCCGCAAACGGACCACCTTGAGATTTGCAAACGTCTTGGCGAGCACAGGCACGACATCTGCGCTAAAGGCATCGAGATACAAGCTCTGCAACTTGACGCAGTTCGTTAACAAGATGTGGACACTGTTACTGATGTCGGCGAACACGCTGAAAGATGCTCTTAGAGTATGTACGTAAGGGCCAAGTCTCTGTGCGATGTCCGTTACTTGTTGGAGTTTCAGCTCGGGATTCTGGCAGGGATTGGCCCAAGGAGGGAAAAGCCTTTCGGCTGAGATTTGGAGATTTTTAGCCTGAAAGTCCAGAATGTGCTGTGATCTGTAGAATGTCTTGGCGAGTGACTCGAAGCGCATGCAAACCTTCTCAACCACAATCAAATTCCACAGAGTCATGTGCGAGAAAATAATGAGAAGGCAGTCATCATTGAGCTTCATGATTGACTCCTTCTCAATTTCCTCGACTCCCTCAGTGATCGTCTTGAAGCGCTTGCGCAATGGCAGTGAAGGTGATCTGTCCATGATCCCAAATTGATGGTATTCCTCGTAAGTCCTTCGGAAGTTATCTGTAAAGCAATATTGCAGTTATGTAGAGAGATTATGTGGCTATTATTTAGCAGCTCTGATTCTGAGCTTGAAAGATTCTGATCGAAAATATTTAGGAATACTCAGTTTAATGCAAAGTGTAAAAAAGATAGCTAAAATTGCAATTAAAGATAGAAAATCTGATTTAAGCATAAATAATGCAAATATTTGTCTGGTTTGAGCATCATATTCCGCTTAAAGTTTTCGACAATTATTTTAACCCAAGTTTTAACAAGAGAATTTTCAACGCTATTGGAATAATTCCCTGAGACTCTTGAGAAATTTATAGAATCTTTATCTATATTAATTGTAGAAGTGTTATGAATTGATGTATGGATTTTAGTTAAGTTGTCGCTTCTTTGTGCAAATATTAACACGCACATGTTCAGCCGGGTTGCCTTCAATAAAGACTATCGTTAAGCTCGTAAAGCATAATAAAAGCAATTCACAGAATGTGGGTTTAATGGATTACAAGCAACATTCTATTAAAAGAAATTGTTTCTATACCAGAAATACTATTTTCTTTTCATAAACTTACAGAAATGTTGCTTCTTTTTCTTCCGAATCCTTGACGCTGCCGACGGTGACGCTCACTTAATGCCACTGTCACTCTGGCTGTTATAGGGATGGCCCGAATGGCCAAGCGCACGGCTCACACCTCAGGACCTCTGCTAACTTCACTCCTTTCACCTCTAATGGGGAGAATTTTAAAATAAGAGATGAAATTAAGGGCTCTTTACAATTTTTTTTTTTTAAGATTTATGCGCTGTTGAAGTTCAAAATAGTTTGTCATATGAGATAAAGGACATTAGCGTGAAAATCAAAGGAAAGAAACAATAATATGTTACTTGATATGATGTGCTTCAGAATATTCCTTCGCATTTTTCCTGATAAGATTGTCAAATCATTTACAAGGACATGATAATATTCAATTTATTATTTCTTCCATTTATTCTTAATTAAATACATAATTTCTCCCTAGAATTTAGTGGAACAATGAGTTTTTTCAACGAAATCTTGTCTTTCCAGCTGGACAGCATCGCCAGTGGGCGGGAATCTTCAGTGGCATCCTCGGGATTCACAGAAGTGAGAGATGTGAGTGGAGAAGCAACTCCAGTGTCTGCAATTTCGGATAGTTCTTCGTCGAAGAGGCGCAAGAAGAAGACGAAGAAGCGTTCAAGAGATCAGTATATAGAACTGGAGGATATTGATTCGAGACCGAAGCTAGAGGAGAAGAAGGACGCCTTCAGCTATGAATATATAATTGGGATTTATCTTCATCACCTCGTTAAGTTGAAGGCGAAATTGGGGAAAAACTCACAAAATCCACGAGTTAAAGTATCATGGTTCGATATGGACACGGAGAAGTTGCTGAGGAAAAGTGATCCCAACAGAAATGTCAGTCTTCATGGTGAACCGGACGATTTGGACTTCATTCAGCCGCTGATTAGCAAGGAGAGCAGAGTGCAGAAAGCGCCAAAGTCGAAGTATATCTCATGCGAATGGGAGGAATTGCTGATCTTCAATGAAGACATTGAGCGCGTAAAGAACGGAAGAGTTGTGATCTTCCTGGAACTCCTGGACATCAGAAAGAATGGATTTGAGGGCATTTGCTGGGCCTTTCTCAAGCCCTTTCTCGCAGATATGTACAACAATATCGATAAGAGGAGTGAATTGCAATTCTTCGAGTACTACAGATCGAGAAAAGAGGTTCTTGGGATCTTCGATCAGTGGAAGAAGCCCAGGAAAAAATTCCCAGCAACGATAGTTGTCACGCTGAAGGGAGTGAAACCAGTTGCAATGGAAAGTGAGACTATGAGGCCCATGAATGTGCTGGAAAGGGAGAAGCAACAGGAGTTCAAGGAGTCTTTTGAGAGAAGCAGCGAAGATGCAACAGTGAATCCAGTGGAGGAAGTCAGGATGCAACGAAGGAAACTGCCTGGGCAGCAATGCAAGTGCCCTAATCAGTTGGTAAAGAGGATCCAGGGTGGCCAGAAAGGGAGCTTTCTGGCCAAATTCCATCCTGAAGGCAGCATTTTATTGTACACATCAGTTGATCAGAACAAAGTTGACGTGATTTTGGCTGAAATTCCGACTTTAGAGACCATTTCTTGCCTCGCTGGTCACACATCTTCTGTGTATGATGTGGACTTCAGGACGTTTGATGAGAATGCCAACAGAAAGGATCTCTATCCTATGATCATCTTGACAGCATCAGCGGATAAAACCGCGGCTATTTGGAATGTGAACCAACATGGATACAGTTTAAAGGTGAGAAAGACGCCATTTAATTTCGGATCATTTGACTTCTATGTGAAGTTCTCTTTCAGACGCTTCCTCATCCCAGTTTCGTCTACTGCTGTCGCTTTATCAGGATTAACGAGGATCGCGAGATCATTTTGACAGGGTGTCGAGATTGTGTTATTCGTCTGTGGGACTTTAACGACCCCGAAGATTGCACTTATTCAGACGAACTGACGAAGCACGAAGGCTTCGTCACGGCATTCTGCGCTGGCAAGGCTCAGGGAAGCTTCTTCAGTGGCGACAGTGAAGGCGCCGTGTTGGAATGGCAGTGGAAGCGAGACTATTTTGAGCCACTGCGATTTCTCACGATCAACCCGATCGACAGGGAAATGATCCACGGATTGACTCTGCACACCAGAGGTGAGAAGCTCTTGGTTGGCACGTCGGCGAATGCGATCTACTGCGTGGACATGAAAGCCAAGGTTGTGCTGCGATCTTTCAGGAAGTCCAGCCTGGAAGAGTGCCGATCGGCTTTCAGATTCGCACTGACTTCGTGTGGAAACTTGCTGTTTGGCTGCTCAGATCATGAGATCGCTTGTTGGAACACAATTACTGGCGATGATGTTGAGATTAATCTTGATTTCTCCCTTGCGCCATCGTGCTTTATAAGTTGCTTGGATTTTCACCCACATGATTCGATGATTGTGCTGGGAATTTACGGGAATGACGGAGGAGTTTTTCTACTCGATTATGTGGCCAAGGATGAGTCGTCATCCAAAGTGCCGATCAAGATGCGCTTCAAGCAGATCGGTACTGACCTGAGGCGCAAGATTGAGGTGAAGAACAAATTGACGGAGATCATCAGGAAAATCGATGATGTATTTCTGATATCGAAGAACTCTGCTCGACTGTCAGATGACGATAAGTTGCTGGAGAGGAAGCTGACGAGGAATCGCGAGGAGATCACAGAGTGGCTGAACAATGTGGTCTCGGCGCGGATTCCTTCCAGTCTCTCGCGCAGCTCCACTTATACCATCCACAAGGACTCTGAAGGATCCGCTGATGAGAGTGGCGCCACGTTCACAGTCGAGGCGCCGCCGCCAAAGCCTCCGCGGTCTAGAATCCCGATCAGGCGCAAGGAAAAGCCCAAGGAGGACAATGAAGCCAATCTCACATTTGAAATTGCAGTCAAATCCGATCCTGAATCTGACGACACAACCATTTCAGAGGAACTTCATTAAGATTGTACAGTTTTGTGAAAATCTTAGAATGTGGTAAAATATTTGCTTCACAAAATCATATTTTTCAACAAATTTTAGATTCTATTGCTAAGGAATAATCAATTTTCTTCATTTTATTGCTTATCTAGATTATGTAATTTATGTGAAATAGATTCTGGCGATTAAATATTCTTCAAACTCATCGATTTTGGTATTTAAAGTGCTAAAGATTCTGCTCAGAGACGGTTTAGGCACATTATCTCCCCCTTTGAGGAGTTCAAATTCAGAGGCAACGGAAAGGTGAATGCTTGCGATGCGTAGTTCTTCGTGCTTTCCCTCAATGGATATTTGTATGAAAATCAAATAAGGCCTGCTGTTTTCCACTCCGCGGCTTGTTGGGACCCAGATGGTCACCTGGCAACGGGCATTTGCACAGTTCTTCGCGGATATCGATTCAATATCGAGCAAGAAAGGCGACTTGGGCACTTCTTCGGCGAAGGACGTGTGAAAATGGTGTGAATTGTGCGCTTTGGAGGATGAAAGTGAGTGCTATCCTTGCTGTCTGTGCCCTCCTGGCCAGCTCCGTCCACGGGAAGTACGTGGAGGGACACCTGAAGACGCTCGACGTGAGTTTTCCTCCGCTCTGGGTAATTTGCAGACTCGCTAACTTGTCGTTCACTTCAAGGACTGGGCTTTTGTGGCTCGCTTCTGCTTCATCTCCGGACGGGGCAGGTATGAATATCAGATTGAGTTTGAGCGGAAGTACGGAGAGCCTTCGCTGCTGCTCTACTACGACGAGAAGACTCAATGGCCGGCAGTGTATAAGACGGACAAGACGTGCGAACAGAAGTTGGCCGTCTTGAGTGCGGCTGACAATCAGATTGTGTCGCTCTCGGCCAAGACGCCGTACAATTACTTGTCGGGATGCACTCTGAGGTCATCCTTGGAGGCCGAGGAGGAGATGAAGCCGCCGGTGAGACCACAAGTTCCCGACGAAACCATCAAGCCCGATGATCTCGAGCCGGGATATTTCGATCAGTTTCTGAAGACATCAACTACTGAAGAATCGTCCTCAACATATTCAACGTTCACCTTCACTGATGTCTCTCTGGACAACGCCTCAACCACAGTGATGACCTACTTGGGGGACATCAGTCTGGGCAATAGCCTGGAGAACGGCACTGCATATCAAGTGGATGTGGAGCAGCTGTTTGAGGGCGTGACGCAATCCTCGGCGCCGCAGGAAGACAGACTCAGGCGATCTCTGCCCTTTTCGCTCTTCAAGAAGGACACTCGCGGCAGGATTATCGTGTCCTGCCGCAATGCTGGCGGCTTCACGAGTGTCCGCGAGCGCTGGTGGTACATCGCGATCTCCAATTGCGGCTCCAGCAAAGGACTGGACATCAAGTACAAATTCAGGATGACCAACGGACCGCCCGGAGACTTCTGGCACGAGCATTTCTCTGCAGACGAAATGTGTAAGTTGTGACTATCGAGGAGGAGTTCTTAAACTTTTCAAGAGAAAGTTAAATAGAGAAAGATAGATGATGAAGAAGAAACTTCACAAACCGCAAATAATTGCTGCTTTAAATCACTTTTCATGTTTTTTATTAAACACCTTAAAGACTACTTTAGACCGTCATAAAAGCTTTCTTTCATGCCGAATGTGATAAATGATTCATTTTCGTCATATGCAAATCAATTTATTGCGTATCCCTTTTTTTGGGGGTCAAAGCACAAAACAACACTCCTTGAATATACTTGCGTGAAAATCAATGCGTCGAGTGCGTGACTGGGTAATTAACTTTCTCAGAGTTCACACAACTCGTCGGGGAATATTTTAACCCATTAAAAGATCTCTTTGTAGATGCAATTACAGAGAGAGCCACAAATCCTGCCAACTTGGCAGAAAACTGCTCCGCATTTCCTGCCCTTGTCTGCCAGAAAAGCCCTCTTTTTGGCCAGATTCAGCTGCAGATTGACTGTTGGGCAGGTTGGGCAGATGCACTCCTTGTTCTTCTTCTGAGCCACGAGGCAAATCAGGAAGATGGATATGCCGATGATTAGAGTCACTCCTAAGCCAACCAGGCAGGCTAAGTAGCTGGCAAAGAGGATTTGTCGCTCACTTGTGCTCAGCTTGAGGTTCTCTACTCGAAGATTTATCTTCTCATACTTCTTAAAGTCTCCATAAATGACTGTGGATGAATTCTCATAATTGATTCTCACATTGGCTGTAAAAGGAGTCTTCGTCAGAGTTACTGTGGCGAAAATCCTTCCTGACGCTGATGTCCTTGGCGGAAGGGGGGAACTTAGAGTTAGTTTCTGGAAGAAGAAGAGGCAATTAGACTGCAGAAGTGTTGAAATATGGTTATTTCTACCATAGTTCTTGTCCTTTCCAAGGTACTTCCATAAGATCCTCTTTCTGTCCAATTGTAGTCACCCTCTTGAAGTCTGATCGCACTTTCTTGGAAGAAATAGTAATTCTCTAGCTTGATAAAGACATTATCAGTGAGATTTACATGAAGATTGATTTCCTGGAAATCCTCCGTTGGATTGAAGATGGAAAATGTGCCCAAATCGATGATTTCCACTGGTCTCTTCCTTTCGTTGGCTTTCTCAACATTCTCTAAAGTGTAGATGTCAGGTTGATTTATGATCAACATGTAAACTTCATCAACATTGTCCCGAACGTATTGTTTCAGTTTGTAAGCCGAATCTGCTCTTATTTGACTCAATATTCCAGATTTTCCGATATTCCTCTTGATGACAATGCCAGAAGATTTTCCACCGTCAAATACATTCAAATAATTCACAGCCTTACTGCCTGGCATCCAATATAACTGAGTGGAAAAATTGTCCAGGAAATCATGACAATTTAACGAATCCCAGTAAAGTTCTTCAAAAGCTCTAACTCGACTTTTCTTCTCTACTATTACGCTTCTGAAAACCGAACCATACCGACAAAATGCCTCTTGGAATTCCACTTTCAAGAGATTCATGTCTTCTTTGGTAATGGTTTCAACTGGGAATTTGCACACTTCTTGTTTTTCTGCATCATCAAGGCAAATTTCGTCACAATGCACAAAATTGAGGGACACAAAGGCTGATAACACGATAAAGAGTGCTTTAGACATTATTCACTTTGGCGAATTTTATCAAACTGACAGTGTGAGAGAATTGAATTTGCTGCGAAGCTAGAAAACTGGTGTGGTGATAAGGGATAGATAAGAAGGTGGGATAGATAAGATTATATTGTTTATAAGCGAGAATGATCACAAAAACTATGAAGAATGAGTGTTTGAAGCATTTAATAAAATAACTGGGAGGGGCGAACAAATGGGCGGAGCTTAGACGACAGCTTTTTTTCCTTTTTTGCAGACATTCCGCCAATCCTCTTGACTGAGTGCCTGGCGTACACTTTCCTCCTGCTGGGAATGTTCCTCTGCGCCATCGAGCTTAAGTCTCGCCATCTCTTCCACTGCACTTATCGCCTGTTCACCTTCAGCGCCACCGTGCAGTGGGTTGGCACACTGGTGCAGGGCGTGGCGTGGGCGCGCTATGCTGTGTCAGGCTTAGGACCCAACACAGCCTTCGGTGGCATGCTGATGGGCGCCAGTGAAGTGTCTTTTCTGGCGCTGATGCTGCTCATGGCGAAAGGCTACACCATCACCAGAGCTCGCCTATCCACAGCCACAACTGTGAAGCTCACAGTCTTCATCAACATCTACATCGTGGCCTACATCTCGCTCTACATCCTGCAAGCGGAGACCTTCGATCCCGGAGAGGTTCTCAACATCTACGAGTCTCCGGCTGGCTTCGGGCTGATTGGATTGAGATGTGGCGCCTGGGGAGCATTTCTGATGGGCGTCGCCGCCACGCTGAGAAAGTATCCGGAGAAGAGTGCCTTCTACTATCCCTTCGGACTGCTCGGATCGGTGTGGATTCTAGCAGGACCGGCCCTAACTCTCGTCGGGATTGGTGTCCTGGATGCTTGGGTACTGAGCTTTCAGCACTTCCACGGAATTTGTGATCACAAGAAGTCTTCTTTTCCAGGTCAGGGAGAGCGTGATGTGCGCCATCTCGGGAACAGTCGCTTTCGGTGGTCACGCGGCCTTTCTCTGGCTCACGTGGCCTTCCAGGGCGAACAGGAGCTTTCCCTATCACGTGCGCACTAATCACGTGGGAGTGGCCAATACTGACGACGGCACTGACTATCCCAGGCATCCGTATGAGCCTTCGGGGCTGCAGCATGAGCAGAACATCATTATTCCGCTGTCGAGAAGAACTGAGGAGTTGATCAACGGCGTGTACAGTCAGTACATCATCGAGCGAGAGCTGTACGGATCTAATTCTAACCCAATCAGCCACATATCCTTTCCCCAGACTGCCTCTGCTCCTGCTCTGCCTGATCCCAATATGCCCCTGACCAGTCCCAATCCGGCGCAGCGTCGATTGGCGTCCTTCAGACGCCGCGACACGCCCAAGACGGATTCAGGCGAACAGGACGCTCAGGTGGACTCTGGGCATCCCAGTTTGGAGAACACATCCTCACCCAACACGACAGGACCTTCTTCGGGCCATGACACGCCGGTCAGGGCGAAGAATAATCCTTTCTTGGTGAATGGACAGCAGCGGCAGCCCAACAAGGTCATCCTGGAGCCCATTGAGCAGCCTCTGAGAGGATATTTGCAGGACACTTACCAGGCCACAACGGTCAATGCATCCTTCGTGCCGCGACACTTGTTCGCCGCGAAGAGCACGACAAACGAGTGAAGAGCACGAATTTGTAAGTAACAGTCTATAAACGGCCAGGAAGTGCTGAAGATTAAGGAAAATGTGAACAGATTTGTGGACATGACAAAAAGGCTGCAAAGTGAATAAATTTGTTGGAAAACATTTTAATGAGAAAGAAACATTGATCAGAAATTTTTACAATGTAGAACAAGAGTTTAGAGAAAGTTTATCACAAAAATTGTGAAATTTGGTTTGGATTATTACTTTTTTCTTCGTGCGATAGCTCTGTAAGATAACAGAATCATCACACGACGCGAAATAATGTGCAGTAAATTGAATATGTTTCTTCAGCACTTCGTGGTCCAGAAAATATTTCCTTTTCCCCTCTCCAATTATCCAAAAAACAGCAACGATGATAAAATGTTGTGGAATCTTGATGGAATAAATAAAGGACATTTCTTATTATAAGTAATAAAGTTTATTTAGCATTTTTATTTTGTATCTTTCTTCCTCGACCACTACTTTTGTCCACTTTCACCGTTTGTCGAATTGTGTGTGTGTTTCTCGTGGTGAAAATAATTACAAAGTTAACTAGAAGTTGCCTTCTCTTTATTATCCATTCACCGCACTCGATTGGCACTCCCAGGAGGAAGGATTCAGTAACACTTTATACATTGCCACCTTTTTTTTTTACTCTTATTAATTCTTATTTGTCTCTTTTTTTCATTCTTTAGTTAGTTTGAAAAAAAAAACGCTAAAACCTCTGTGAACGTCTAGGCGAAATGCGCTTTGAAAATGGGAGAGAAAATCTACAGAAAATAATACTCGTGATTTGATGTCGAAGAATTGGTAACTTAATTGTTTGATTATGTTTAAAATTTATCGCATCTTTTATATGTCTCCTCTAGTGATTACTTATTTAATTCTATATACTCAACTGGCCAAGGATATGGTTTTTGCAATGCTCTTCTCATGGTTTTCTTTCTTATATGCAATGGAGATTTGTTGAATTTATACAAATTAATCTTTTGCATGTCATTTTACAATCGATATGTTTACGGAGGGGGGAAAAACAGTGTCGAGAAACTCCTTTTAACATGACTCCTTTCCATCAATAAATATGATTCGTCACTCAATAGATGAGAAAAGATGGAAATAATATCGCTAGTCTTCTCGAAAAAACTTAACCACAATTTTATTTCTCACTTTAACTATGATTACCATTGTTTTTTTCTTATTTTCTTTCTTCATAATATAAATAAATGTATTTCCTTATTCTTCTTCTTTTATACAATTGTTTTTCTTCTTTCCTTTCTATTTCTTTGCCTTTATTGATATTTATAATACAATGTATTCTGATAGATTATATAAGTTTGCGTTTAGTTTTAAGGTTTAGGTTTTGATGCGTATTTACAGAGGATGAGGCATCAGAGTAAATCTATAGCATTCTTAAGATTATACACATTTTTCTTGTCTTGAGACTGAGAATGAGGGTCGATTGGAGAGAAGCTGAGAAGCGCATAGTTGAAATGTGACTCATCATGTTTTGCTTTCTTGGTTTTTGCTCAAAATCCGGAAAGAATATTCGTCACATGAAATTGCTGAGTATTAACAAGTTCTATTTGAGTCTTTTTTCCCATTTCTTCCATAATAAATATCATAATATATTTGGATTTGTATAATATGAATATCATCTTTCATTTAAATGCTGTGTAAGTGTTTTTCTTCGTCTTTATTTAAGGCAAAAAATTAAGACTGTCTTTTTCTCCTCTTGCGCAATAACTTGATCAACAATTTTCACTAAAACTCCTTTTAACCATTTTTCAAAAAAAAAGAGGTCTTTTCACTCATTCTCAATGTTTGCAATATGTTTGTTTTTCTGTCACGAGGATTTGGTGTTTCTCCAGATGGTTAATAATAACCGAGTTACATAATTCATTCCACTTCACATTATATCCGCTCACACTCTATAAAACGTCCTTTTTATCGAAAATCTATCTAAAATATATTATAAAAAATTGATTTAATATCATTTCAAATATAAATTATTCACTGTGAACTTATTATAGAATACAAACCAGCACTCATTTTACTGTCATAAATCTAATTTTTACTTTTGTGTAAAACGTTTTATTTTATACAAGAAAAAACTAACAAAAAAGACTCTTTTTTTTACAATTTAGTCCATGACAAAGTGTGTAAGATGTGAATTTTTGGGCATTGCAATCGCGATGTGTTAAGAAAGTAAACTCTGTGTCTCTTGTGGCAGTGAAAAATTAGTTTTTCCGTGTCGTTCGCAAACTCAAATCATATGGAGAGTGTACTGCGCCTCGTTTGAATTTGAGCGGCGTCACGTCGCGACTGCAAAACTCCTCGAAATACTTTGATAGGGGAAGAGAAGCCAAAAACCACACGAAAAGTGTTTGAAAAATCAGTCATGTGTGCATTCATCGGATGTGGCCGCCATTTCGGTACTTCCTGTCGCCGCTTTTCGACCGCGAGCGGCTCCTGCGCGACCGCGGCGCCCACCTGTTGTCGCTCTCACTCTCGTCATCGGAGCTGTGGGCGCTCTGCGTGGTGCTGCCCTGGTGGCTCCGCGGCGGTGCCCTCTTGCCGTTGAGCTGCGTCGCCTCCACGGAGCCATTGGCTATCAGCCGCAGATTGGCGTTGATCTTGTTGGTGTATACGTCCGGACACGGCGGCGGCGGTGTGCTCGGCTCGAACTCCTGGTCCTCGAAGAACTCCATGTTCACGTTGCGATAGTACTCCTCAGTTGGCTCGCCGGCGTTGAAGTAGTTCTGCTCCTGGCAGCACTGCTCGTACAGCACGGAGCCGCTCTCGTAGTCATTCTCCTCCGGGAAGAAGTCGCCCTCCGGCCGGCGCTGGCACCACGTCTGCGGGAAGTTGGGAATGGGCGGTGGCAGAGTGCCCCAGCGCGGTGGGGTCGGCGGAACGCGTCGCATGACCTGCAAAAGTGGACGGCAGATTATTGAAAGGATTGTTGTTGATTTAAGATGCAATTGTGTGCCCTGAAGCTGGGCAGTTGGAGGAGATTTGCTCACCTGTGGCGACATTGCTGTGGGATTTGTGCGGATTGTCATGTTGTTGGGTGGCTTGTAGGCGCCGTACGGGTGATCTGGTGGCGGCGGCAGCATTTCGCACAAGTTCATGGGCTCTCGCAGGGGCGCATTGTACTCGGAAGAGCTTGGACTGGCTGAGCATTTAGCGCACGTGTCGTCCGAGGCCCCAGAAGCGCCCCTCTGAAGAGTGACTGTGGCGTATGGCTCGGGCGGCGCCGTTGTGGGCAGCGGCGGCTTCTGCAGGTGACTCGTGGGCGTCACTTCGGCATACTCCGAGGCGGCGGGCGGCGCCAGAGAGTGCGTTGGCTTAATCATCGGGTTTCCGTGCAGCCACATCGTGTGCTGCTTGTCCGGCAGTGTTGCCGTGAGCATTGGACCTGTGGAGTCAGATTTCACATGAGAAACGGATGTGTTCTCATCAGAAAATGACGTGAAAATTCATCCATGCATGATGAAGATTGAACTAATTTGATTGAGCCTGAGTGGCGTATGCAGAGAAGTGAATAATTCGCAAATTACAGTGGCCACTTTCGAGTGCAATGAGACAATCGACTGATACCATTGACTGACAATGGCACTCAATGGCCCGAGAGGATATTATGCTGTTGTGATAATTACCAGGATAAGATGCCTTCATGATGCGCTTGTTTCTCTTGGCCCAGTACAAAGCGAAAATAGCACCGCCCGACAGGCCCACACCCAGGATGCCCAGCACCACGCCCGACATCCACATCGATGACCATCCATTGGCGGCCGGATCGGTCCTGCAAAGGCACAAGGATTCACTGCATTATTTCCTCGGCGGGGAAATTTATGGGGCATTTGCACGTCCATTTGCTCACGCCACTCGGGCGCCCGAGAGGATGTGATGGATTTTTAATTAAAACTCGGCGTCTCATCTCGTCAGAATGCCTGCTCGACTGCAAGGCTTGCACACCCAACCCGGAATTTACACCTTTCCGTGCAAATTTCATTTCAACACATCAGGGGAGATTTTATATAAATGTCATAAGGCCAGATTGGATTGCCATTAGCAGATCATTTGTGCAAAAAAACTGCCAGCACACGAGACAGAGCTGAATATCATGCAAATTGCATTTCATTTCAAGCAGTACGGCAGATTTATGGGTGTCAGAGGAGGAGATAATATGCTCAAGGCCTGTTATTACCCCAGTTTCTGTGTAGAATTAAACTTAAGACACTTGCGAAGAGCGGTTAAATATGAATTTTCATCTCCTCTCATTGCTTCTTGATGTCTTTGTGTATTAATTCTCAATTTATCGCTGAGTTATACACCACAATTCATCCGCCTTGGTTGGCGTGAGGCTCTGCAGATGGCTCAAAGTACCCTCAATAATTCATTGGTCGTGTGCATGCGGCCGAAGGGACACAATTCATGAAATGCAACACTTCTCCCGTTGAGCCAAGCGCTCTGCACTCACCTGGGCGGCCGAGGGATGTAGGATGGGTCCATGTGGAGTGCGGCTGGGGCGCTGTACGGCCCCAAGCCGCCAGCGGTGAGCGAGGCGACGCAGGCAATGTAGCGGCCGCCAGGATTCAGACTGTTTATCACAACGGACTGCGTTGAGGCATTCAGTGACATCTGACCGAGGATCTTGTTGGTCGTGTTGGACTTTATCTGGATCTGAAAGGTATAAATAGAATACTCAAAAGTCTGTCTTTTTAAACTCCTTTCTCAAACTCCACCCCCTCGAGTGCCACGCCCCCTTCTCTTGCTGTGCTGACGCTGGGACTCTTCTTGACTGATTTTCTCAATTAAAGCCCGATATTCTTTCCCATCATGCAGCAATTAATCACGCCACAGCCTCGAAAGAGAGAGAGAGAGTTCAGGCAGGGCAACCTTATATATTGAGGTGGAATCCTGGGGTGGAAAAAAGGACTTTGTCACTGGGGAACAAAGGCCGAACATCCCCAAAGCTATGATGCATCAATAAATCTTCCCACCGTGCAAATCCCCTCACTTGCATGCGCTGGGCCTTAATATGTTTTACCATTATTGTATCATCTCGCTTGATTCATAAATCACAACCTTAACGATATCCACCTCTCCACTATTCACTCTGTCATCCCGAATGTATTGCATTTTTGCACTCTGTGCTCTTCACTGTCCGATTTTCCGCATATTTCATATTGCGATATCCATTCTATGGTGGGAGATTCGGGCGCGCTATGAAAACGCCCCGGGTGAAATCGCTTTGGGAGACGAGCTCGTGTGAACATCTTGGCAACAATGAAAAGTGTCACTCATATATTTTTCATCAGACTCTTCCATCACGGTGTGTAAAAAATGGCGGAGGAAGAATGGGAAGATATCAGTAATATCGCAATAAGAAGACATGGAGTGTCATTTCTCACGTGCACACGCAGAATTCGGCAATTTCCCATCCGCGACATTTGGCAATTCAGTCGGAAAAAGAGCTCAATTTTGTCAAATTCAATTTTAAATTGTGAAGCGCGTGGAAAGGAAAAAAAAGCCCCCGAGAAAATGCTATAAAATATAGATGAGTTTCCACAAACTGTTCTCAATATGTGCCCAGGCTAAAAAGAAAAAAAAATCTTCAAATTATCAAGATAAATCGCCAATATTAATCAAATTAATTAATCAATATTGAAGAGCTAAAAGGTGACATTAGCTTTTATCCACCCCGTTTTACTCCTTTCATTGTCACTCGAGGCTCATCCCTGAGCCTGATGGCGGCAAAAGTTGGTCATTTTGCTCTCAGAGTCTTTTCAAGTTTATCGCCAGTGAACTTTTTCCACCCACCCGAGTTTAGCGGCCCATTTAGCCTCTCCCCATTCCCATAAGGTGAAAACTTTGAGCTGAAAGCTATAGAAAAATCTCATACTTCGAGTTGCTCCTTTTTCTGCTGCACGACAGAGTGAGTAAAGACTTTTTTCTTTGCCTGCACACGAGAGGAAAACTAATTAGACTTTTTACTCTCTGGCAGAGTGCAATAAAAACAAATAAAATATGTGCTTATCATTAATCAAAATGACAAGTGGGCGTTTTGGGGGTGGCGAGAAAGACTTAGCAGATACGGTGTGTGGGGGAGGAAAAAGAAGTGTTGAGAAGGTATTAATTTGCATGTGAAGAAATTGTTCTCAAATTGTGTCCTGACTAAAAATTTGCCAACTGTAAAATTCTCATGCAGCTCACTGTACAAATTTCACCCTTATCTGCATTGCTATTCCCAAATGCTCGCCCCACACTGCGAGCGGGGTGCTTTTGGGGTGGGGTTTTCTGCTTGACGTGACTTGAATAATAGACTTTGGGTGAGAGTCGCATTGTCTGATTAAATGTGGCACACATCGTCGGGCGGCCTGGTGACGCAGACGAACAGCCGGTCAGCCACAACTGGGCGATGGTGCAATCTTTAATCTGCCGATGGCCGAAATGAAAATCGCTAATCACTCAATATTGTCCCGCGAATAGCCATTTGACGACGTGCTCGACGCGAATCGGGTTAAGCTCCAGAGCCGCTCTATTTATAGCGAAATATTGGGTGGCGTTCAGTGTCTCTTGTATCCACACTTCCGTAGCGGCGGAATTTATGCTTCACCCATGAAAACTTTATGGCCATTTCCTTTGATGCATCGACATCATATCAATTTTCATGATTATCTCTATTGACAGAGTGCAGCTGTTAGGTTAAACGGAGTGTGCTGTCTTCTTCCTTTCGGTTTTGCTCTCTCTTTTTTTCGAGAAAATTCCAACACATTTGCCAAAAATCCCAATTTTACGATCCTTTCTTGTGCATTTCCACGGAAAATTTCAATGGTAGGCGCCAGCCATTATGCAAATGGCAACCCAGAGACACACACAGAGAGAGAAAGAGCAATAAAATGCAATAAAACACCCTCAGTTGTAAGATATGTTCTCGGAAGAGGGAAGTTGAGGGTGGAAAATTTGCATATAAAAAATCACCATTCTGAGAGGAATGATTTCTTTGTTAGTTGTGCAAATAATAGAGTCCTTAAGCGATTTTTCCCGCAATTTATGAGACAATAGGAGGGAAATATTGAGGGTGCTTTTTCCAGCACTCAAGAGCTTTCATCTGCCATGGCATTTTGCCTGTTTCCCAAATGGCAGTCCAGAGGAAATATGACTTGTGATGTTAGGAATTCACCATGAATCATAAATCTTGATTAGAAAAAAGGGAGTTCAGACAATTTCCAGAGAGTATGAATAGTTTTCCTAGGGAATTGTTGTAATATGAGACTAAATCTATTCTCAAAATCGCTAATAAGTCACGTGAAGTCCTTAAACTGTCTATACTTACATTGTATCCGGTGAGTTCTCCGTTGAGCAAATGCTGCGGCGGTGGCGACCATCGGACGTAGGCCGCTGTCGTGTTGATCACGCCGACTCTGACGTCAGTTGGTGGCGCCGAAGGCGCGCCGTCCAGCGTCATGCCTGTCCGGATATTGGAAATGCTGCCGCCGAGGCCGCCAGGAACGGTCACAAATACCTCGTATTCCGTGTGCGCGTTCAGGTCGTCGATGCGATGGCGCTTGGCACTGAGCGGAGCGTTGCTAGTGATGAAATCGTGGCGTCCGCCGGTCGGCCGGTAGTGCAGCGTGAGTGTGGTGGCCGGCGGTGAGTCGCTCGTGATGTCCCACGCCACATCGACGGCGTGAGCCGAGGCGCCGCGCACGGAGCTCACGAGGACGGTCTGATCGGTGCCCCAGCGACTGCTCACGGGCTCCAAGGGCTGGGGCGACTGACCCTCGGCCGCGCCAGGCGCCAACACGCGCACGAAGATACGCTTCACGACGCTGCCGGCCTCATTCAGAGCGGCGCAAGCATACCAACCCTGAAAAATGAAGCAGTCGTTGAGAATTTCAAATTTGACAGTGATTTTGACACTCATTTGAGCGCGCGGAAATGCATTGTTTAGTGATCATTGTATATTAATGTCTGAAAGTGGATGTAAATTGCTTCAGCATAAATGTAGAACCACTCAAGAGTCCACATTTATTTTAATTTCTCTTCGTGCTACTCCAGAGAGGAAGTTGACTGACACTCTGGATGTGACGCAGTCTTGTCAAGTGTCGCGCCTCAGATTGACGCTCTTCTCGAAAATTACCCTTTCAAGAGTGTGCGCGGTGCTCGTAGAAAAAGCGGAGACCCTAAGAAAATATTCCAACTGCACGATATGCTTCTGAGTGTGGAGTTAATTTTGTTGTTTCTGAATAAAATTCTTCATAATGTATTTTCAAAGCTGCCATTTGTGCGTCGCACGTGAAAAATCATCGGGGGTCATTTACATAGTATGAATTTCCAATTGACTCATTGTATTATGCAATTTTCGTGAATTCAAAATAGCAAAATAACCACTAATTTTTAGACTATATGCGAAATGCGTAGCATATTTTGGCAAAATTCCACAGTGCAATGCGATCTCTAAACTATTTCAGGCATTGTTTATCAAACGATGCGGCCAAATTGGGGATATTTTCCTACTTAAATGCCAAATACAGCTGCCGAATTATTCAGCAATGCGCGTGCATATCAATAAAATATGCAAATAACAAACATTGTTTAGGACATATTTTGCACTTTAAGCATTTATTAAATTAATTTTGCACTCTCTGGCATATTTGTCAAAATCACCACAATTAATTTTGCCAATTCTGAACAATGCGACGCAGGGATAAGAGCCATGAGAATTATACTCTCTCTCTCTATCGCTCTCCAGCTCGGCCATAAGCCCTGGAAGGTTCTAACAATAATGGACTTCTTTCGTCCGCACAAATCCAGTGGCTCAATAAGCTCTTAATCTTCTGCCTTCTGCTCAAATTCCACTCTTTGTCAACCCACACATGAGCCCCGTTTTGCCCACCAGACACAATTACAACCCCTTTGTTTTGCATCTGCAGCACAAGCGCTGAACTGGGGCCTGGATTATAATTTGAACTTTTGCACCGATGTCACTCGGAGGTGTGTCGCGGTGGTTAAATGACAACATTTCTCTGCCTCATTTCACGCCGAGGGGTGAGCAACTGATGCCAGTGAGCGGCGGGAGTTAATTTAGCGCGTTAAAAGAGTTTTAGTGTTGTAGGTCAAATTGCAGGCGGAACACGAGTACATGTGTTGGGAAAAGTAGGCGATGTAACATGCTGTGCAGAATTACCATGCATTTCAGGGGTGAATTTATGAACATTTTAAACACTTTGTCGTGCTACAGAAAAAGTATAATGGGAAATATGATCGTGCGCCCCATTTAACACGCAGAATTGCATGGATTCTGGGCGGAGCTTATGAGTGGGCGTGGCTTAATTATGATGAAGTGGACAATGAAACTCAACAGAAGAACAAAATTTTGTCACGAGTGGAAACTTCAGCACAGATTTGCAGATTCATAAAGCTTGAAAAATCATGTTAGCTTCACTGAAAAACCCCTTTATATTAAGTTAATCCTCATTACCTGCTCTCGAGGTCAGTAAAACAAAGTTCCCTTAAACACCATTACAATTGAGAGTCTCAAATGTGGAGCTTTATGGAGTGCCATTGTTCAGCTGTGAATGACTCTTAATTTCATAACTTTCCCATTTAGAATGGCGGTGTGAGCATTAAAGGCGAACTGATGGTGTTAAAGAGCTGCGAGAAAGGGCTTTTTTTGGCTGACCAAAAATAGACTCAAGGATTGATTCTTTTGTGACAAGTGGAAGGAAAAAGAAGTGACGATGAACAGACGAAATGGCAATTTTCTCGAGTGCCTTCCATGGGATTTCCTCTCCAGAAGACCCGCGCGCGTCTTCAGCTTCATGGAAAACATGACTAATGACCCTCTTTCCCGTGTGCCAAAGGGGTTGGCAAATGGCGATGCTGGCGTACGCCATAATTGCAAACATAATTAAAAGGCACTTTGCATGTCTGGGCGAAGGAGTTGTAACTCACTGGGCCGCGAGGGTGCTGAAAATGGGGGGTGGACTTCTCCTCTCCCTTGGCGCGCGCGAGGGCAACAATCTTCAGGAGCGATTAATTTCAAATCATTAAGTTATTTCTGAGGCAAAGGCGCTGTAAATTATTCCATTTACTATGAAATTTAGAGAGAGGAAAAGCCAGTGGTTGTTTTTCAGGGTTGGTAATTGAATGATTTAAGCTCTCGAGCATATATATATACATATATCGGAATTCTGGGGTGGGTGGACGTTCGCCCGTTTTTGCAGCATAGTTCCATGCTTGCGACATAAATTATTCGCTCTGCAGAATTTCATTAATTCGCAGAAGAGTGAAGGAATTCTCCTTTGCCATGCACAATATATCATTCTGGCCTTTGGGAGCGCGCTTATTGGATGTCCCAGAATCCTATAAAATGCTGCGAAAGTGCAGTTAAATATTGTTTCGTTATGTTTTTCTCATCGATGCTTTTTTCGTTCAATTTATTGTCAAATCTGACAGAATTGCGTCAGATTGACGCCCAAGTGGCTAATTTATTAATAGAGCAAAGTGTGTGTGTGTGTGTGCAATTCTGCGGAGAAAAGGTGCTCGATGACTTGCAAGGTGTGAGTTGGAATGTGGATCAAAGTGCTTCGTCGGTGGCTATAAATTTCTCCACACTGTTCTTCGGTATTGTAACATATTTTTTGGTTTATTATTGCGTTGAACAAAGGGACCACATATATTTTGCGAAATGTGTTGCTGACACGGGATAAAAATTGTCGTACAACCTCTCGTCCTCCGCCCACGGGCGCCCACCTTCTCCCCCTCCTGTTTTTCCGGCCAGGATGAAATGTGTGTCTCTTCACAGGGTACAGCATATAGCGTGCTGTAATGTGACACCGAGAACTTTTTCTCAGGCCACTTTGACGAAGTGCGATTTCAGTGAGAGTTTTCAAAGTTAACGAAAGCGATTTTCCCACTTTTGCGAAAAGGCGCGCAAAGAGTTGGCAAAAATAGTGGCAAAAAGTCAACTAATTTGCAAAAACACCCCCAGAATATTTATGAGGCTGACTCTGCTCTGGATATTTCGGACAACACACACATACAGTGCGCCTTTTCCCTGGTGTGGCAATTTCACACTTTTGGCGTGAAAAATGAGCAGCAATGTGAGGAAATTAATTCGTGGCGCAAAAATTCGATTTTGAAAAAGCCGCCGTTTGTGTGATAGATGAACTGAGATTACGTGGCATGCTCGGGACAAATTACACACCATAAATATTCAGTGGGGGCCACCCTGTACAGGATGTACTGGCGAAGGTGCTTGATGGTCGTCGTGCCGCCGAAATGAGGGTGATTCCCGCAGACAAAGCATATTATTCACGAGAGTTACTTTAGGAATGCCAGAGGGGGTGGAATATGGCCAACAAAGAGGTTTATTCTTGTGAAATAAATTTGCACAAGTTTTCTCGTTTCGAAGCCCTCAGAGAAGGAAAAAAAAAAATTGTGGAACGGAGAAATGTGGGCGAGACGTAATGTGTGTCTAAAGGATATAAATGTGATACAATTGTCTCACATTTGCCGAATGGAGTGTCTGTCTGTTCAATTCATTGGCGAGCAATCTGTCTATCGAATTGCAATGTGAGGAAAATAGAACAATCGCCAAAATTCGAGGAAAAAAAAGGTTAAATTTCACTTCCATTTTGAGCGAGCTTTCTCTTAAATAATTGCCAGATCCAGAACTTATAACACATTTTTCACAGTTCACGGTTCTTGAGCAAAGGAAAAAGGAACCTTTTGACTTTCTTTCTCCACTGATTTGCTCATTAATTTCTCTTGCACTCTTTCTTTCACTTCTCAAGGGTGCTTTCCATGACATTGTCAGCAATATATCACATTTTCAGCAAATTACGAAGAAGTGATGCAAATGAGCGCATGCATTGCAGCGATAACTCAAAGTCCTTCAAGACTTTACTCTCCTTTTCCTGGCACTTTCGCTCGGCACTTGCATGGAGCTTTTAATGAGCTCTCAAGGGCTTTGTTTCAAGGATCTCACCTGATGATGACTGGTCACATCTCGCAGAATCAGCTCGCCATTCTCGTCCACTTCCAGGCGCGATGTGTCGCTGGGCAACGGCGTGGAGAAGAAGAGGATGGACGTTGCATCACTGGTGCCCTCCTCACTCTCTTCCTGCTCCTCATCCTCGGCCGTGTCACTCCTTTTCACGCGCCTCGCGGGATCGCCGACGAAGGCGCGCATCCAGGACGGCGCGTCCTGGTCTTCATCATCCTGATCACGCATAATTTGCACAAATTCTGACTGCATGAAGTCCTTGCGCTCGTCAGGACTCACTGAAACGTGCCGGCGGCGGCGAATAGGCGCCGGCGGAGAGACTGAAGTTGGCGCTTGAGTGGAATTGGGATGCAGACGCTCTCTCTTCGACCGCAAACTCATGATCTTGGCCCTGGCCAGGAGTTCATCCTGCGACGTCTCCACTTCCAGCAGCTGCGACACCTCCGATCGCACACCCACTCTGTCCCACACGATGCGCGCCTTGGGGCGCCCCTGCGCCCTACACGGCAATCTTATGGTGCCGCCTTCGCGCACCTCAGCGTCCGCGGGCGCCTCGATGAAGGTGGGAATGGCTGAAATATCAGGATAGATGCCATCAATAGAGGTCAAAGTAATTCGCTAAATTGAAAATAATGATCCCCAATCTTCCCACAACTCGAGGGTTGACCACATTGCGAAAGTTGTGAAAAGTCAATCATTTTGCCATGACGTGAAATGTTCGCAATCCGCGAACTTTTCCCACAACATCGCAGCCCTAATCGGCCCCGCACACGAATGTGGAAGTGAAGAAGAAATAAATTTTTATGACCCCTCTTCCCTGTGTTACATACTAAAAGTATCACGCACCATAAACGTAAAGTTTTACGACCACCGAGACATTTCCACCCTCGTTGTGTCCCTTGCAGATGTATCGGCCTTGATCTTCGGGCCGGGCATCCTCGATTCTCAGCGTATGGTCGAGGAGGATGCGCGACCGCGTCTCCGGCAGGTTCCCGTTCTCCCGATGCCACGAGACTGTCGGCTTGGGGTCGCCCGTCAACTGTTGAGGGAAGGCATAGTCGTAAAGTCTGCTCTGGCGTGGCTTCTGACACGGAAAACTCACCTCGCACGGGAGATCCAGGCCCTCACCCTCCACCACCTCTGTGTCCTGCGGCCCACGCACCACCGTCGGCGGCGCCAGGACGCTCAGGATGGCCGGCGGCGAGGATTTGCTGCCCGCCATGCTCTGCGCCGTGCACTCGTACTTGCCGGCATCGGAGCTCATCACCTCGGATATCATCAGACTGCCGGATTCCACCATCGAGAGTCTGTGGAGAAAAGTAGGGTTAGAGTGCATCAAATATGGCCGCTTTGCAATGCAAAGTGTAAGTTTGACCCCCAGAAATCACGAAGAACAAACACTTGAATCTTCAGTGTTTCTGCACCGATTTCGATTATCTTTTGTGCAAATGAAGGATGATGAAATTTTCTACAGTTTCTTACTTGACATGAAAATTTGTCCCACCACCAGAAGAAGTGCTAGAGTCGCATTTTTAGCACACTTTATCTTGCGCATGCATCAAATTTTGGGAGAATAACAGCAAAATTCCAGAACAGTTTAATGTTATGGTGGAATTTTGCTAATTCCCTCAATGGCAGCCACATAATTCTTGATTCTATCGCTGTCACTTGTGGTGTATTTGGTAAATTTCAAGCCAAGCCCCGCCAAGATATATGAGTTTGTGCGACAAGTATCATGAAATTAATTAAGTATATTACATAAAACATATATTTCCAATTAGCAGTTTGTGACACGCTCTCTCTCTCTCTCAGTCCTCTTGTGGAAAATTAATTTTCCAATCTCCACCCCTTGCGGCTCTAAAATGTCAAACCATCAAAAGTTATTTCATTAAAAATTAATCCAGCGATAACCCGTGAATAATAAAACTTCCAACTACTAAGTTGCTGGCATAACTACATTACTACTGATTAGATGATGTTTCCCAAGCCACTGAAAAGTCATGCTATGCACTTCTGCGGGGCCTTAAACTTTAAGTGTATGCGAGACTTTTAATCCGATTTCATGTGAACATGAGAGATCTTATATTCTCGTGGTAATTGTTGGGCGGAGAAATCTGCAATTTCATCTTATCATGAGCTGGAATTTTTGGGAATCCACCCTCCCTTAAGAGATAATTGGAGGTTTCTATTCGACCCAATGCGATGGAGAGACAATCCCGGGGGCGCTTCGATAAATCTGGAGAAGTAATTCGGCGGGATTTTCTGTCCACCGCAAGATTTCCACTTGAGAATTGGGTCAAAGCCCAGAAGATGTCTCTTTGCAGGGATTTTTCCTGGTGTGTTCACCCTCAATTTGGGCTCTTATAATCGCATTTGAGGCGATTTGGGGAAATGTCGAGGAAATTGCTGTGAATTTAGACATATAAAGAAAGTCGATTGAATTCTATAAATTTTTCCCTATTAATCCCACTTCAATTGCCAATCGTTGTTTCGCCGGCTCTGCTTGGGGTACATGGGGGAAATCTTGTGGAAATTGATTCACATCATAACACCAGTGACTTGTGCCCTCTTCCTTCACGCCAATATTTCATGAGGACTATCATAGCGAGAGCAGCGCATTCAATTTTCCTTTCAACGCCCAGAGAGAGTGCAGCCATCTCGGGACTTCCCATATCAATTTGCAATATATTCTGGCGGCCAATTCCACTTGGATAGACCTTCTGGAGAGACGAGAGAGAGTGGATTCAGGACTTTTATGCAGTGCTAAGTGTGCAATATTTCCCAATTGACACATGAAATACTGCAGAGAATATGCGAAATGCAATATTTATCGATTCCAGTGCGGGAAATTGGGGAAATGCTGTGCGTTCCTGGCGATTGGACCTGAATGCCAAATCATGGACAATTGCATTATGCAACATTGTCACCCAGGGATGTGTAGCAATGAGCACAGCTATTATGTGATTTATTCTTGGGGGCGCGCGCATTTACACTACACTCTAATTATGCTTAATCACTTTTAATTGCAAGCAAGCGCTGTTTCATCAAGTCAGCACAACTGCACAACGAAATTATCCCATGATTGTGGGTGTCGTGCGTGCAGATGCCAATTGGAGGCTCATTATGCCCACGATCTCAGCACGCCCTCGCAAAATCACATGCAATCGCCTCAAGTCTCTCAATTTGTCATCTGCGAATGGGATTTTCCACACGGAGCACAAACTCCAGCGTCATGCTCAGAAGGGTTTTCATTATGCCAGGATATTGGCAAAGTGTGGAGAAAGGACGGCAATTGGTCGCTGAGAAAATTGCAAAATCATGACAAAGGGATTTTGAAGAAGGGACCAAATTATTGCCTCACTTTTTGCAGAATTTCTACACGAGAGCGGTGTTGAAAACTTTAATACATCCCTCTGAACCCGATATATTAGTTCTTTTAATATTTAGGGATGAAAAATCGCATCCTAAAGCTCTACAGAGCTTTCAAAGTACTTTTATAGAAATATATTCTGTAAAATATGAAAAGACTTATTATTGACAGCGATGCGAGGAGTGTTTTTTTTATGCAGAAAATGCCAAAGATGCAGGATATTTCCGCCAAGATGAAGAAAAACGAGACTTGTATTGTTATCCTGTGCTTCGCATGTGAGAAGACTGCACGTGATGTTAATTTGATGGCAATTTCCGAGGAAAAATCACAGAAATTGCTCAAGGTATGCAATGTAAGCTTTCAGGATACTAGAAATACAACACCGTATGGTTAGGCTGCTCCTTTTGCAGTTTTACTCCCTGATAAAATGTCGAAGACAGTATAATTTTACAGAGAAAGTTTGCGTAGTTATTCTATCAACATCTCCGGTTTTAGTATATCGATTTACTTCACTTATATTTCGTTGGAAAGCTTATTAAATTCTCTACATTCCTCTAGAACATGTCAATATCATACGAGATGTTTTTCTTGCCATAAAGAAATGATGAAGTTGAGAAGAGGGAAAATTGATATTCAAGTTCGAGACTTTCTCTGCATTCATGTTGTAATTCAATGCTGTAATCTGTGCTCTTGACTTTGATTTGCAGGTGGTGTGAATCTTGGCCTTCCGCCTCGGCCACAGCTGGAAAAGTCCGAGGCTCAAGAGCGTGTTAATGCGAAGAAGTGAATTACAGTGAGTGCTGAAAGTGCAATTAATCGATTTTCGAATCATCGCCACCCCTTCTCCCTAGGGTGTAATCAGACACAGCAGAAGTTGGAATTACAGACGGTCCGCAATTACCGAGGCGGAGGCGAAAACTTCCGCTTTCAGCGCAACTTTCACAACAACCCCACAAAGAATGAACCCACCACACAATCTTGACTTTTTTTCAGCGCCCATCGCGCGCCATTCGCCATGGGAACAATAGAGACATAGAGCCTGAACCGTCATAAATTGCAGGCGAGCTGGAATTGGACTGCAAGGCGCAATGATTGTCTCAATTAAGCGAAATGCAGGCTCGCAAGGGTGGAAAGTTTCCTCTGGCAATTTTCGGTGGCAAAAAAGTAATCCAGGGGGAAAATCAACGTTTTCAAATGTGCGTCATATGGACTGGTTCACACAATTTTAATCGAATTTGGGTGGAAATTTGAAGATGAATGCTTAGGCTGAGCCAAAAATCATTATGTAGTTAAGCAAAATTCAAGACCGAGGGGCTAATGTCACGAATAACAGAAATTTCACTCTTCTCTCTCTCTCTCTCTCTGATGTGTAATTTTCCCACCTCCGCGCCCCCATGTTCACACGCACGCCCCCCGGAAAATTGTGTGTGACATTCAGAGCCAACATCGGCACACAATTACCCCGGCTCTGCACCCAAATTCCACTTATTAAATATCAATTGTTGTTCCACCGACATGCTGGTGGCATAATAAAATGCACTCCTGCACTCGCCGCCCCGCCCGCGACCCTTGACTGCGGGCCGGGTCCGCGAGCGCTGCGTAATGGTCAAACAGAGGACAGTCATGCATAAATGTGGCTCTAATGAATCCCAAATAGATGAGTCGCAATGGCGACCACGTCTGACCTCGAGTGGGGGGTGGAACTCATCTGTGCAGCTGCAATTCTCCCTTGGGGACACAGCGTGACCGGGAGAATTTGCCAAGATGAGCCCTCGAGAGTTCTCAGACGAATTGCAAAGGATGTAGATTCGAGATGAAGATTTGTTGTGGAAATCTTTGACTGCACGTCAAATTAGGCAGTTTTCTCACTACGTTGAAATGTCGGTACATCAGTATGTAAGCAATCCCTTTCTTATCTATCGCCAACTCTGTTCCATGCGACAATTTTCCCGTGCTACGCACTCGGCATTCAAATGCGTCAGGAGCGTGACACAGGGCAATTTTCGCCCACTCCGAGTCTCCCGGGCGAAGACATGTGGGGCGGCGGCCCGCCCATCGGCCCCCCAGCGCAGCTCCGGCCCCTCGGATGAGCCGAATGAATGGTATCATGTCACGTCAGAGCCGTTTGATTGATGAGCAGACCGTTTTTCAGCGGATAAACTGACGCGCGCTATTTTCTAGCACCCGATAAAATCGGCGAAAAGCGATCGGGCGCCAAAGGGGCGGAGAAGGGTTCAACCCCTTGAGTGGACACTGGAGGATCTTAGGCAGTGGCCATTAATTTGCCAAGAGCAGAGGGAGGGAAGCGTGTGTGTGTGTGCCAACCGCGAAAATTAGATTGGATGCCATCCAAAGTGGTGTTGCACATAGAAATTGGGAGGGAATTTTGCACAGTCGGCGAGAAGAGCGATTGTGTGTCGCATTGATAAATGCAGCTCACGTTTGATAAACGATATAAACTCTTATCGCTGGAGCGCTTCCAATTGCCGAAAAAACCCCGCACCTTTTGGCCATGGCGCGCTTTGGATGAGGTTTTTTGGGTGTGCCGATAAAATTTCGTTGGTGTCAATTTTTCATTTCTCAATTCTCACACCCCTGAAAGTGCGCCCAATCGATTCGACGCCTCGCGCGGGGGGAGAAAAAAAGGTTTTGGCGCCTTCGACGCTCTGGCGAAGAGGAAAAATATCAAATTGAGCTGTCGAAGTGACACTTAAAGTGGCGTGAATGGAGATGGTTTTACCAGATCTTTTGCATTTTTCATCTTTAGCAGAGCATGAAGAGCGGTTTTTATTGTTTTTCCTGCACATTTTTGTTTTCAGCGTCTTCCAACATTTGAAGGGCATCATCGATTCCACCTCAGCGTGTGTGAGGGAGTCTTAATTAAAACATTAAAGCCACGAGACTTGCCATAAGAGCTATCAAGTGTGTGGGTGTCTGGTAGACAAAGTGAGTGGCGGTGAAACACCTTCGAAGCCCTTTTGACAGTGGCAAGAAAAATCACAGGATGAATCAATTGAATGTCGAGACGGTGCATTAGCATAAATTTTGAATTTCTCACTCGCGTGGGCGCAAAAAAGCGCCACAAAATCGATCAGATGGAATTATTCATCAAAAAGCACTCACGGCGATTAATTTAAATGCTCTTTTAGCCCAATAACAATTTAATGGCAACTCGGAAGGGTCGCCGTGCGATTGAGCGTGACTGAGTTTTCTTACCTCTTGCCGCTGATCTCCAGCAGTTTGCCGTCCTTGTACCACAGCACCGAAGGCTCTGGGATGCCGCGCGGTGGCGTGCAGTTCAGGACCACAGGTCCTCCGGCCAGCGCCACTGTGTTCTTCGGCACGGCCCTGAATTCGTCCCGCAACACTGCAAGAAAAGCACAAGAAGAAGCATCAATGAAACACTGGATTAAGTAGCAAAATCCTGTATGTTTGGGCACATTTTCGATAAGATAATCAGTATGATTTCCATGACATTTATGTAATGTTTAATGCTGTAATAAAGCTGTTTTTGTGAATAATATCATCTAATTCAAGCTGTATTGCTTTTCCCAGCACTAAAACCACTAAATAGTCAAAATAATTCCATATCAGCGATAATTCTCCTCCCTTTGGCTGCCGTTCAGAGTCGAATGGCGTTTGTCCCGTGCATTGTTTTTGCCCAGACGAAGCATCAAACCAAAGTGGGATTCCCAATCAATTTTTGAACTTTCCAGCTTGACAGACTTTCGATTGAAGTCTCGAAGTGAATTGGACGCCAAATGTGGCGCACTTGACAGTGCTTCATTTTCCGCGCCAGACACATTAATAGACGTTATTGGAATTTGTGCTTGAAGGTCTGAACAATTCAAGCTGAAAGAATGAAAGAATGAAAGTTCAAATGATGCCTCGAGAATGCGATTCTCGGACTCATAATTTAATTAAGTGAATTTTGCAATTGCAAGCATAATTCCATTACCCAGATTAATTTGTAGCTCTCAAACTTAAACACTGCGTCGAAGCCTTTCTGCCAAAGCCGCGCTTTGATGTTATTGGAATTATATAAATGCGCACCGCGATTGGCTATGCGGTTGGAATTATAAATGAAAAGCTCATTTAATGACGAAAAAGAGGAAATTATCTGATGGATATTAAAATATTGGCCATCAAAATTTAGCAATCAATATGTAAAATCATTTTTTCAGCTCTTTTTCAATAAAGCAAAACTTTACTCGTATTTTGGACTCAAAATCAAACTAGAAATCAGGTAATTTGTGACAAATTCCAGGAATAATCAAACTTCTAGCTGTCACTAATTTCCTTTAGACATGGACGTCTATTGAGACTCTGGTTCTTTGATGTAAATCTGCAATTGATAGAGGCGCTTCTGGGTGCATTTTAATGAGAAATCAATTTCTTGGGCACTGCTTGAACTCCTTGAGAATCCACTTTCTTGCCGCTTTGCAATTTGGGGGAGGAAATCCGTGCTGATGGTGGGAAAATTGTCGCTTGCAGACGGACTGCCCGAAAGTTAGTGGTTCGCATCGACCGCAGTGGCGTGTGGGATTGGGAAGGTGCAGCCCTGGAACTCCTGCTGACTCGTCTTCCAGAGTTGTCGCAACATAATATGTTGCCGGCGAGTGTAACACAATGGGAACACGAGCAATATACTGGGAGTAATCAATTAATTCCCTCCATGATATCGTCCATTAGGGCCCGAAATAAGTGGTCTGGCATTAATGTCTGGCTAATCTCATGCCACATTGAAGGCAGCCAGACAAGAGAGAGCATTCTTTCTCGATCTCCCGAAGGCGAACCGAGTGAGCGAATAAATCATCAATCTCCACTGGTCTTGAGACTCTCGAGGAGCATTAATTTTTCAACTGCGACTCACTCTGGGACTCCTTTCGCCTTTCTCCGGGGGCGATTTATAAATCAAAGGATTCCCCACAACGACACTGCGAGGAGCTCTCACTCGGGCAAATGGCTTTCCTATGCTGAAGCAACAATGATTGCAACACAGAGTCTATAAATAAAGGTCCATTCGGTGACTCCCTTTTTCGCCGCACACAATCGATAATCATGAAAAAATATTTGTTGAGCATTCCCTCCGCGAAGAGTGTGGTAAACAAACAGAAGATGGGCCCCGTTCTCAGGAGGGCCCCTCGAAAATCGCTCTCGATGTACACAAAGCGCGCAATGATGAGTGATGGTCCAGATGAGGGAGTCAGCGTGTGAGGAAATTGAGCTGCTCTGCCAAGGCACGGCCAGCCAAGCGTCGTGGTGTACCACGAAAGCATTATCCAGATTCCAGCGCCTTCTACAGTGGTCTGATGAACTTTAGATGATCCAAAACGGAAAGACACTCGCGATTTCAGACAATTAACTTTCTGATTAATCAATCAATGTTTTTTTCTTATTTTCTACGCAATATTATTAGCGTCCCCCACGCTAAATTTGCTGCCCTCTGGTGACGATATATGGAGAAAGTAATTAAATATCAAAATTCTAATTAAATATTCAGAATATATTTAAATATAATTTGATTTATATAAATACTTTACCAAAAATTAATCAATTCTTGTTTATTATAATTTTTAATTAAAAATTTATGTTAAAATATTTAATTGAGACCACAAAGTTTCCTCAAATTTTGGCTAATGACTTTTCCTTTGAGATGTTCAGAGAGTTTTAGTATTTTGTGGGAGCTTTTCAAAGACTGCTTAATTATTAAAATTTAATACTGAGAATTAATTTCAGCGTTTTGATGCGAAATGCAATTTTCAGTGCAATTTGAGGTCAACGATAGGAAAGGAAGTTCATTATTTTAGTGAAATCTCATTAAAATAGCAATAAATTTGTCTTCTTTCACTCCAAAAAACGAAATGTCTCTGAATAATTCCTCCAGGCAAAAACTCTCTTTTTCCTTTGTCTTTTAGCCTTTTTCCTTTCCGTCTCTATGCAAATTCATTTCACAAAATCAATGCATATATATTCCAATGACTTGAAACAGAAGAGAAATCCAGACTTGCTCACTTCGTGTGAGTTCCGCCATTACGAATGCAGATGAATGACAATGCAGTCTCCGCGCGGGAGAATTCACTGGCGAAACAGCATGAAATTATCAGTTTGGGTAAATCATTGACAACGGATGTTCTGTGGCGGGCTTTAAGCCAGAATAAAAATAAATTTATTATTTGCCAATGCCTAATTAATGCATTTGTGTCTGGAAACCGTAAAAAATGGACAGAAAAATAAACAGGAATGCACAATATTTGTTATGTTAAATAATTCACTGGATGAAGTACACAAATTATGCACTAAAATCAATAATCGTAATTGATTAATATTGCAATTTATTTGTTCAGCTGGAAAAAAAACGCGATGCTTCATGTTCATGTTAATCATTAAATGCTACATTTAACATCACACGCAGTTGATGATGATGGGAAAGAGTGAAGCGATTTGTGTGACGACTTGTTTGCGATGCGCTTCTTGGGATGATCTTCGACTTGGCGGCGTGTTTTGGGGTCAACAATTCAAATCAATTGGCTCAAAAGCACTGTTATGGCCTAATTGAGTGATTTATCATTATTACTTAATCTTTGGCATCGCGAGTTGTGGCCTCTGTTCTATTTGATAGGTTGAATCCATTGAAATTTATTGCCATTCGTCGTTTGGCGGAGTAAATTGTGAAGAGGTGTTCCTTCCTGGACAATTTGTATACTTAAGAATATAGTAATTTCTTCTGTGGCTACACTGTCACTTCCAATTACTGGCACAGTGGGCAAAAATGACTGAATTCCACCTCAATTTTGGGGGTGATTTTCGAGGTGAGAAATTGCGCAAAACACAAATTATGCCGCCCAAGAGAATTCCAGCCATTTTCTCAGCGCGAGACGTGCAGAGAAAATTGTCATGCGACACGTGGGCTGCACGGCGTCTTAATTACTTGAGAGTTGAGCTCGAAAATTGGGTGATCCTCTTCAACTTTGGGGATTTCACGGAGCCACCTTTATCATTATGATACACTATTTTCATTTCGCCGGCGCATCCCCATGAGATGTAGTGAAGGAAGGTGAGATTGTACGTGTGACGTGTATATATGGCACATACATTCTGGCTCCGTTTCATATTGTTGTAACCATCCGGTCCCCGCATCGCACTCGTGAGAGTTCAAATGAATTTCGGGGTCCAGACTGTATAAATTTGGACGCTTGCCAGGGCCCCGATGAGGGTGGCTTTTCGAGGGGTGGGCGCAGCATCAGTTTTTGGTTTATTTCGTTATATTTAAACCAGAGGTGTGAGGCGTGCCAGGGTCGCCGGGCGGCCAAGGCGCGGCCGTAAAACAGAAGCTGGAGATCATCCTGATAGCAGTTAATAACTTGGCTCAGCACTAAGGCAAAGCCAGGGAGAATAATTAAGTCTCTTAACAGAAGAGATGTCCAATTCAACTTTACGTCTGCGATGACAATCTGTCCACTTTTCTGCGATTAATTCCTCAGATTGTTGTTTCTTCTGAGGATTTTCTATCAAATACAGTATAAAGTTTCTCATCAAATCAATGCTATTTGTTCGTTACTCGTCTTTCCTTTGAATCGTTACTCAATAGTACTGAATATATGAATAAAATGTGATTTATGTATTTTCAAAGAGAAGGTGTTGAATTTATTCTTCTGAAGCTTTAGCCATGAAAGAAAGTTTAGGAATTCCTTTGAGAGTCTCTTAAAATTTTGTCCTTGTAAAATATCAATAAATTTCTTCAATAATTGGAGAGATTCTCACTAAAATTGAGAAATATTAAGCTGTGAAAACAGTGTTAAAGTGTTTGAAGCGCTTTCACATTGTGTAGAAGAAAAGAAATTGTGAAAAGCAATTAAATAATTAGTAAATCCGTGAGAAAAAGAATTTACTGAAAATATTTTTCCTGTTCGTGCTAGGAAATCAGAAGTCGTAAATTGATTTGTTTTTGCAACTTTCAATCTGTTTCGCTGCTTTTCACACTTTCCATAAAAACACATCTGTTTAACAAATAGTAGTTTTTATTATAGCAAACGCATTCATTTTGGTTAAACGTTACACATTTAGGCGGTACAAATTGGTTTAACACATGTGTTAAAGTTGAATTTCAAATTTCTTTTAAACACAAATTGTGAATTTGGTGATATTTTTGACAAAATCACATTATCAAGTCTTCACGTGCGATTCAGAATAGTAAGGACTGTGCTAAGCTTAAATTGGAAGAATTATAAGTGAATTGGGAGACTTGAGAAATGACGATTTGAGTTTTGGATGACTGAAAACTGTCTTGACGCCGCTTCGCCTCTCATTTCTGTTTTAAACACATAAACATATTACAGCGTACCTGCGCCACCCGCACCACCCCTTTGGGCTGGCAGCTTCTGTGGGTTGGCGAAAAAAGATGGCCAAAAGCAGCGGCAAAAATGGATTAACTAATATTGCAGAGTGGATGTTCGCTGTCACGTTATTAGAGCCGCTCATACATATGAAATTAATTTCATTAATTGAGCTCTTGTGGTGAATTTTTGCAAAGGGCAGCAAAAAATGAGCGACCCGGAAGAGATGGAATTTGTGCTCAATGGGAAATCTAATTAAATTTTTTTTTCCAACCAGTCTGGCTTCGGAGCCACAGAGTGTGAGTCCAATTGGGTGAAATGTGCAACTGTCATAGAGTGTCAGCGTGATAAATGCAGCAGAAGGCAACGAGAGAATCTGTGCTCTTTGCACCGGAAGATATCAAAGTGTCCTCGGCAGTTAAGAAAATAAACCATGAATAAATGGAACATGGCCAGAGGTGGGAGAGTTGCACCAGGACATCGTCATAGATAATGGATAAGGATCGCATGCTATATAGCGACAATGGCAATTTCACATTGTGTTTCGCCATGGCTATCTAAGTGAATGCTCAACTTGACTCTGTCTCTATGCGTTTGCGAGACCACAAAAGTAAAAGATGGTGAGAGAAACTTTTCCACCATGAACTTTGCTGGCAAAAGAGTGGACTTCGTGCAACTCTCCAGTGGCAACCGCAATGACTTGTCAGCCCACGTCCAGGTTCTCTCTCTCTCTCTCCCTCTCTATCTGAGTCTCTGGAGAAACTTTCCGAGGAGCAGAAAGTTCATCTCGATGCACAAATCTATCCGCCAATTGTGGTCTCCGTGGGATTCTTTATATCTCATTGCGCCACGAAAAGAGCTGCACAAGTCACTCTTTGCCGTCTTCACTTGCACTCCAGCGGACACTCCCATTTCTCTCCGTCCACCAGGATTAGCTGTCAAATCCTCGTGGGAAAAAGAGACACAAGGCGGAGGTCAGTGAACTATTAGGCCAGAAACAAGGGGTAGATATTAAGACAATAGGTGATAAATAAGAAATGAGTGTGCAAAACAGTTGAAGGAATCGATAAAGCGATGGAAAATGTCTTAAAAGGAGTTCAGGAGTGTCTAAAGACTCTTCTCAAAATCTGTACAAGTGGTGTACAAATTGAAGGCATATTATCACTCCCTTGGCCAGGAATTGACACATCCAATCTGTGTCAGAAACTCAAAAATCTCAGACATCAAATTAGATGAAGAGTGAGAAGAAAATTCTCAAAAGTCGTGAAATATTCATGAGAAAAAGTCAGAGAAACTCGTTCGAGTTCTAGAAAGAATTACTTCTCGCAGTTTTTTTTGCTCTAAAAATAATATTTTCCTCTCTGCGCTCCTTTCTCTTACTCAAATTTACTTTATTTAATTGAGTTGTGTGTGTGTGTGCAGATGAAAAGGACGTCTTTTCCACCCGCCCACAAATTCACTATGAATGTGCCAACTTTCCCGTCTTGCGTGGGATGTTTTTTGCGCCTGGCGATACGAGCGCAAAAATCCTGTGCGGAATAAGTAAATAAATAAAATTTATGATTGTCATAAGTTTTAAATATAAAAAGTGTCACAAGTCTTCTTGTGCAGCCACGGAAGAGAGGCGTCCTTTATCACAAAATGTTCCACACTCACGAATACCATAAAGAATTGCTTCGTTTTGTCTACTTCTTCTGATGCCACCATCGATTGCAAGAGCGGAATACAAATTAGGAGTTGAACTTTTGGGTGAGACACTTTTTGGGAGGAAAAGAGCAGAAAAATGCATTAAAAAGATGAAATATAATTGAAAGAAGGAAAAAAATTCACCCCGAAAAAGGAATGAACCGGAAAAAGTCTCATTTATGTGAGTGGTTTGAGGAAAAACTAACGCTTTGGATGTTTTCTGTTCTTGCTATTGTTAATATTAGATATAAAAAGCCTCTGACCGAAGCATATATATCCATTTACTTTCGCCGCAATAATGCTGAATTTTCAGCAAGATTTCATTGTGTGAAATAGACTGAATTTAATGGGATGAAAACTGGAATTGCGCTAGTCTTGCAATCAACAAAATGATCCAGCAAAGTGCATTATTTTGGCTATTTAACCTCCATTCCTCTCTGTTCCGACGAACGTCTCACTGTGACACTGTTGAAGGATTCTTCAATGCTTTTGTGTTCATTAGTCCGCAGCATGACGAAAGGTTTCCTCCTCTGTGTTATGGTAATTGCCGATCTGCTCTCTCTCACCCTCGATTGCATGAACCACACGACGAGGAGGGTCGCTCAAAGCAAGGGCGAGACAATGCAGAGTTGCGGTGTACATGATATTCGAATTTGATTATAGCCATAGAGATTTACATGCAATTCACAACCTAATTTACTCATTTTTATCTTGAAATCACTAGTTTCGGAGTTGTAATTTAATTTAAGACATGTCTGTGGACATTCGTATAGAACGATATAGGATTTTCGGGAATGTTCCAAGGAAATGTCTTATAAGATGTTTTCTGAATATTCTCATGATTGTCAATGGGAATGAATATCTTTAAATGTATGCTGAAAAATAGATCAATCTTCTGTCGTATGACAATATTAGACAGTCTTTTGGAATTCTTATGGATTTTCATAGGACAATTTATAACAAAAAGGCATAAAACACCACAAGTTTCAAAATACTTACTTGCAATTTGCAGTGTTGCATTTCTGGAAACTGCCTTTCCGGCTGAACTCTCGGCAACACAAAAGTACGTCCCAGCATCATGATCTCGCTTATTCTGCATTACTCTGAAATAGAGAGAGAGAGAGAGAGAGAGAGGTGGATTTACTATGACGCTCCGTGTTACAGTTTTCGGGAGGCTTTTCCAGCTTAGTCAAGTGTAGCGATAAATGGCATCTTTCTCAGCGAAAATTCCCCAACATTGCCACTTATCAGGGAATTCATGACAATTCCTAGAGTAAATCAATAAAGTGGGAGAATTGTTTACGCTAGTCAGAAAACTTGATAGGGCGAAACTTTATTGCTCTCATACTGGAAGTTTCAACAAATCGCACATCTGCCTTTCAGCACCTTCTCATGTTTATTTACCGCATTTGTATCATTTTTAGTGCAGAGCGCTTCGATATTTTTAGAGTGTAACATCCACTGGATGAGATCAACGTGCTTGCATTTTGGAAGTCCCAATGGTGACTGACAAACAATACATGGAGAGAGAGAGCGTGAGAGGTTATTGCCATGCAAGGGATGCTGATGAACTTCCCTCGCGCGACTTTGAATTTTGAGGGTAAATGAAATGGAAAAGAATCCTGTGGGGATGTCTCGAGGATGCAGAAGAATAAATATTGTCATTTATCTACCCTTGCGTCGGCGATAGCAGGAATTCCACAGAGAAATCCATCCCTATTTAAGCGAAGAGGAAAAGGTGAAGCTTCCCCACGGATCTCACGACGAAAAGTTATCGCACTCGCCATTATTCCTGAGTGATTCCACACCAGATTGCATGGGGTCGTTCCGAAGGGGATTTGGCATGATTTCACATCGCTATAAAGAGGAACCTTTGAGTATCACACCCCCAAAACTATATCCTCAATTCACATGCGGGAAGAGCTTTCCCGTATGAAGAACAGAGCTAAAATGGGGGGAAAAAATGCAACATTTCCATGCATAAAAAGTCAACAATGCGGCGTTAGGTGCATCTCCCTAAAAGTGTGGAGACAGGAAAGCTCAAATGGCGGCAAAAAAGCTCTCTCCACCTACAAAAACGTGGCGCTACTATTAATGCAGCCTGTACACAGGCACGCTAGTCGTTCGGGGGGTGACATTAAAAGTTTCTGCATTGGTAATTCTTGTGCTGTCTCTGCACGGAAATAAATTTAATTGTAAAGTTTAGCCTGGGCGAATGTTTCTTGTCGCGCACAGACTCAGGCTCATGAAACTTTGTCCCGTATTTTTGGCACTGTGGCGACTTGCAATTTCTCACTCCTTGCGCGTCCTGAAAAATTTCCATGTGACAAAAGACGCACAGAAGATTGTAGGCTCATTTTGATATGCAACTGCAAATTGCGCAGCTGAAATGCGGCGCTATTATTGCCTGTTTGAATTCCGTGCGGGCGCACAGCAAAGTTTGCCATCGCGTGAAAGGTGCCGCACAAGACATGCAAATGCGACTGAGTGGGTGGGCTCACACCCCCCAAAGCGAGTGCCATCTGCAGAGCCAGAGATACTGCGGGACTTCTTGGCATTGTTTGTCAACTATTCCTGCGATGTGGGTCATAAGAAAGATGCACTGTGAAAAGGTAGGGAAATAAGAGGAGAATAGAAGCCTTCATTGCAGCCAAGGACGTAGTTTGAGCTTACGTCTCAACAGTCTGGCTTCTTATTCACATACTCATCTTTCGTCACACACATGTGTGACTTCTCCGACGCTTTCTAGTTCCAGCCTGTCTGCTGGATTTAAAGTATTCTAAAGATTGATTTCGCTAACAAGATGCTTTTCTATGCTAATGAAGAACTTTTCTTTTTTGTTTCTGTGAAAAAAAAATCCATTAAAAAATTCAAACTCCACAGAAACTGAGAGGCAAGAATTTTGTAAAGAGAAATGAATCAAGAAATATAGGACATATTTTAATTATCTCCACATCCGAAACTTTCTTCAGACAAGTTCTTCGAAATGGACTTTTGCTATTTCCGCAACCAAATAGCATTCACGAGGCTCGGCAATTCATCTCGAAAAAATCAATAGTCCACCCGGTTGTGCAACAAGAGTGCATTGGCACAAGAGTCGGCAGGAACAGACTAAATTTCCGCCTGCCTTGCTTTTCCACCATCAATGAAAAGCGCCTTTGTTGTCTTCCCATTCTGACAAAAGGTGCTTGGCAACTCATTCTGAGAAAAGAACTTGCATCATGACGACTCTATCATTCATATTTTCCATTCTTACCATCTCTCTCATTTCTTCTGTGGCTTGTGTAAAATGCAATTTTCCCGAGGTGTTAATTTAACCGTCCGCGCTTCTTGAAATTATTCAAATTTAGTGGCCTCTTGAGCCCAAGATTTCACTCGGCCCCCAAAAGTTTCGTGGCGCAAAATTAAATAAGTCAAGATGTGAGAATTTATTAAATCAATTACGCATATACTTTAAATAAATTCCCTTTAGTCCCTAAATTAAATTGCCCCGGCGACGCGGTAAATCCACTCGTCTGGCAGGACTTTAGGGACGCGCTTCCCGGGCAATTAAGTAGAGCCTCGCGACGTGGAAGCGCCGTTGGAAATAATTTCGAGGATTGGCGGTTGAGCGAAGTTAATGAAATACTAAGAGGTTTTCCGCAGCCAGCTGGCTCTAGGCGTCTCTAGCTAGAGCCACAATGTTGCCATTGCCGTTGGCGCGGTGGTAAAAATTAAACTTTAGCGAAACTACTAATAAGCTGTGTGTAAGAAAAGTTTAACATTTTATTGGGCCATTAAGCTTGAACTACATTCCGCCGCCTTATCTCCCGTAATGGCATTAAGAGCTCCGAGAGCATCGGCGCCGCACAGCATCGCGTCACATGACGTAACGCCACGATAAATACTTGATACTCGGGCGATATAGTGAATGGGGATATCATGCATGCTCAATTTATAAGGATATCAAGGACTCAATTCCTTCAACACATTTCTCAAGCACCTCCGCATGCTCCGACGTGGGATGGGCGTATCAGAATTTGTTGGGGGATACAATCTTCAACGAGCATTTCATGGTGTTTTTGAAAGGAGCTGCTAGAGGATAAGTAATGAGCATCCTTCGGTGATTATTTACCAGAAGGCACGTAGAAGGGATAAAAGGAGATAACTTTCACACTAAAGAAGAGGGAGGCACAGAGTGGGAGGGAATTTATCGTTGCGTGCCAAAAAATAGCTTTACATGAAATGCCATAAGACAAAAGATTTCACTTTGTCCCCGAGATTGCCTCCACTATTGATCGTCCTGGAGTTGAATGGCGCCATGTCCCTAGATTCACACGGATCTTCTGGGAGAGACACTGCAGTGTAGCTCTTAATTAAATTCAACGTGATATGCACGACGCACAAAGTTGCATACATTAGATGCACACAGTGTTTTGCATAAAGAAGTGATTATGGTTCCCAGAGTGAATGAATGAGAGGATTTTGCACACGCAAGTGCTTTATGAATTTCTCGGGGAAATTCGGATTATTACTATTGACTTGATAAGCTTTTCAGGGAATATGGGTTTGTCAGAGCGCTTATTGATGGAAATACAGGAAATAATTAGTTGTGGATTTTCCAAGTATTAGTTCAATTTATAAAAACGTGACTATATGTGAAATTTCAAATTCAAACGCAAGCCACTTTTCCAACGGATGTGCTCTCACCCCTTCTAATATTTATATTGCCCCGTTTCTGTGGAATTCTCATAGGACTCTTCCTGGATGGCAGTTCAGTTCCCCCCATTAAATCACTCGCAATTTAGCACGGTGGGTGGGCGGCAGAGGCGCTCTTCCCACCCGTCAACTCACAAAAGTCATTTTGCCATTTGAATGACTGTGTCCGCATGACATTTGTATGCAAATGCGGTTCATGTTTATGGTAATACCAGTGTAATTTTAATAAATGAGCCATGAATGGGATTCTCATTCGCTGAATATGTTAGACTAGGCGCGGGGTTGGAGGTTTGCCGCCAGGGGAGTCTTTTGCACTCTCTGCATCGCGCATTCCAGGGCACTTTATGGGACTTCTGACCCAGTACTTGTACACGTGAAAAAAGAGAGGCGACATCAAACTTGAACGGGATGGTGTTGATTGAATTGAAATCCAATGGGAGTTGCGCGAGAGTCTGACAATGCCACCCCCCTCAATTTCCCTCGGCCAGGAGCCCCATTTGATTTGATTCATACTGAAAATTGTGCAATTTCAGCAGAGAAGAACCCACCCATCAATAATTGCTGGGGTATTAACACAATTTGATATGATTCCCATGAGAATGGCTCTCGGATTAACCAGAATTACGTCCATTTATTCCACAATACAAGTCAAATTGATGTTATTTAATTAGATTGCACAATCTATGGCGCGGGTTGAGTGAACAAAAATCCAATTTGATCACATGACGAAATGAATACAACTCCAAATTTCCACCCACACTGACCTCAGGACACTCAATGTGCACATTTGAGCCCCCAAAAATTCACATTGTACACAAAGTATACAATTTTTGTTCACATTCTGTGCAAATTGATATCACAAAATTGCCTTTTAATTGGGCAGCTTCATTAGCCAATTTCCAATGCGCCAAAGCCTCAATGATGAGTGACATGATTCGGCACTTGACTGAGGTGAAATAATTGTTTATCCCTTCGATTATGACTTTGACTGACAATGAATCTGGGAAATCCATCGAAATCAAGCACATCATTTTGCATTACAAACTTGAGATTTCAAATCTCTGCCAAGTCTCATTGATTAAGTGAAGTATTGTAACTAATTGCCACAAATGTGTAATGGGAAAAGTCTCGCTTGACTAAATCCGCCCCAAAGTTTCAAGATATATATATACTTTAAATAAATCCAACCAGGATTAACTTCACTTTATCTGTGGGCGGAAGAGAATGGAAATCGGCCTCGTGACTGAGAATCACGATTGAGGATTCACCCTGGAGCTCATTATCGATGGTGCAAAATTTAAATTCAATCAAATTAACGACCCCCAGAGACCGACGATGTGACGTGAAAGCCGATGTTCTGTTCGTGGAAAAAGAAAGTGGCATGAATTTGCACAAGAAAGATTGTCACTGTCGAGATTTCCTGACTTAATTAACAAATTAAAGTTTCTCCCTTGTGTGTGACAGCGTGTGCCTCTGAATTTTGATTAAAAGCCGCCTATTAGCTCGGCGGTTGTCAAAGTGTGTGAGGGCTGTGGCAATTTGTTGTGCCACGACGTCTCAAGTGAGATAAATAATCTCGTGATAAAAGTTGCGCCACGGATGACAATTTCATGTATGGCCGAGAGGAAGAGTGCGTTGGATGTATAAATAGGGATGGTGGGTGATAAATTGGCTTCGATCGGGCGTGTTAAAGACACAAAATGTGATTCACAACGCCAACCACTCTTATTATGCTCTCTCCCTCACTCTCCACCCACATGGCCTGATATTGACGTGAATGTGTTTTTCTGAATGGATCCAAATCAGTGATGGAGGAAGACAAATTCTTGATAGATGCGCTCTGCCCCAGTGATTTTTTGTCCTTTTTGGTTCTCAACCAAATTTAATTCGGCAACATGTCACTGACTTTCAACTGCCTTTTTCGTGTACTTTGAAAATGAAGCGCTCTAACAAATATATACTTTTCTGAGAGCTTTTCAAGTCAACAATGAAATGCCGAACTTTCACGATAATTGGATTATATTTTTTTTAAATTTATTTCTACCAGTAAAAACAAAAAAGAAATTCCTTTGTGTTCATCACAACTTTGTATGCACTTTTCCGCTAACATTTCGTGATATTTAATATTCAGGAGTATAATTTTGGATTGAAACACGGAAGGTAAACATTCAATAGCATGCTAGCTGGTTAAATGGTGCCTTTGTGCCAGAGATTCCTGGACTCACTAGTATCAATAACTGAATGATTATTATGGGCATTTTGAGAGGTTTGAGTGTCCAGTTCAAAGGGAATTTCTGCAAATCGTATGAATGTCAAAGGACTTAAATCCCATTTATAGTTTAAATACACCATCGAAATGCTTAACGTACAATATCAGCCATTAACTGCTCGAGAATTAAAAATGCAAATTACTAAGCTGTGTTGCAATTCCGTGAAACACGATATATTTCATGATTTTGTGCCCCTATTTTTTGCAAAATTACACTTTTGCGAGTCTTCGCGTGGAAATTCACTGTCAATAATCAAGTTCACGCAATATAAGAACCTTCCGCCAAAGTTCTCGAGATATCGTTGATAATTGCTGGAAATAAATATCGTTTCACGTTTATTTCTTTCCAATTAATTCACAACTCGCATTGCATGGGAGGATTTATTTTTAGCTTAATTGCGAGACACCGTATTCAAATGAGATTGTCGTGAAATGTGAGGAAAATGCTGTATTTTAATAATAAATAAACAGACGCTGACGATTGAACTGTTGAGTTTAAGTTTTTACCACTCGCGCTCGTGTTAAACTTTAAGGCGAACAAGACGAGCTCATGTTTGGCTGTTTGGGAAATTCTTACACTCCCTCTCTCTCTCCTTGCTTGTGTGATGAGAAAACTTAGTCAAACATTATTTAGCATTTTCCTTAATAATAGCCCATTTTCGCTGGTGCAGCCATTAATCGCCCGGCAACACTGCATTAAAGTTTTCACGATGGAAAAGCTCCTAAAAAAACCACTGCCGGTGCACAATTAAATATTCCATTTTCAGGTCAACACATTTTCTCATTTTAATTCCTTCAGAGTAATTTTCCGTTGTGGTGGGAAAATTTCATTTTGCCACCACAAGACTTTTGGTGTCTTTAATGACTCAATTCACGAGTGGAGATAATGAAAATCAAACATGAATGGATTAATCTTGAAGAAATGCGCAAAACTTAAAGTGCGTCCTGTTAATTTTCACAGAAAGCGATGTGAAAGAAAAATTCCTGGGAAATTCACTCTGTGGGTCAGACAGAGGGATTAAAAGTTAAACATTTGAATAGCTCAAGTTGAAGGGAAAAAGCTTTGGGGGTGAAAAATGTGAGAAATTCCTGCAAATGGCTGCAAGGTAGTGAAGCTTTATCACATTGAATTCCACGCGAGTGACGATTATTAGTCACTTTGCAGATACTGTTGGAAAATTTGTCTAAACTTCGCAAGTTTCCGAGGAAACTTTCCCACCCTTTCCCTCTCGCACACACACACACACTCACACACTCAGGAAAGTTCAATTTGCCGAGGAGATTTCCATGCAGAGACGCAAAGTTTTGTATTTTCTGCGAGAGAACACTAATTTATTCATGACTGAATGAAATTAATTATATTATCATCCCAATGACATGTATCATTTTCATTGAATTCCTTCACTGATGGTTTCCTATTTGTCTTTCCAAAAAGCACACACAAAGCATTTTTGTAGCATATCCCAGGGAAATTCCATAGAATTTACACCATATATTTGCTCTCACTTTGTTCAGCACAAACCCCCCTAAAACTCACCCCATTGCATAGCACATAAGATCCGAAAACGTACCCGAGTGAGATAATGTTGCAATTTACAGTACTGCGGAATAAAATATTCTCCTCCTTATCATAAATCACCGATATCGTGCTTGTTTGTATCTCAGGCCAAATTCGGGTGGGGCTTCCATGACTCCCTGGCGAAAGTATCGAGCAATTCACGTTTATTGCCTCTGTGGCTTTCTTCATTATGGCCCAGAGATTAAGTGTGTGAACGGGAGGGGTTCCCCCAGCCGCCCCCTCCTCTGGATGGACCGTAATGAGGAGCGTGGAGGTGAATTCCTCCTCGGAGAATGTCTCCATTGTCGGTCACATTAAACATCTCGGAAAGTGAGGCGGAAGTGCCATTAGTCTTGGGCTCTTTTTGTCTGCCAACCAATCCTCCCCCACATCTGGACAGGAGTCATTTCCTTGTACCGGAAAATGCCACGACATGATCATTCAATCGCTTCTCAACGTAGATTGTGCAGAGGAAACAGACACACTGCTTGCATAGGTGGAGATTTCTCGAGAATCGCTTCACCGATTTAGCTAGAACTTTGTCGCATTTTCCCACACTTTAGTGAGCATTGAGAAAAGTACATATTTGTCAGAGCGCTTATTGCGTCCAGTACTTGAAATAAATCAGTCAAAATTAAATCCCCCACTTCAGCTGTTAATCTCTCCCTGGGGCTTCTGTTCATATACCAATAAGAGGTCTTCCTCGGGAATCACGTGATTAATCGCCAAGGCTCACTCACCTGAGGAAGAAGAGGGATCCCTCCGGCAGGACGACCCTTCTCTCCGACGGCACCAGCGGTGTCCCGTTGTGAAACCACGTTATCTCAGGTGTGGGCCTCCCTGCCGCCTTGCAGTTGAGCGTGAGGGGCTCCTCGCGAGCCGCCACGGCGTCAGCTGGGTGCTCCAAGATGCGAGGGCGCTGTTGAGCTGCAAAGAGAGAAGCACACACAGTCAAGAGGGCGGAAATTGCAAGATACCAATTGAACCCCCGACTTGATTGACATTTCAGGTCGTTTTCATTCCTCCGAAAAATAAACAACAATTCCCACCACGATTGAGAGGATTTATTTCCGTCACACAGCCGCACTGGAATGGCTGTCCTCCCAGTGAGTTAATTTTAGAGGAAGAGTGAAAAATTTCCCGAAGAGAAATTGTTCAGCTGTCGCGAGAGAAAAGGGAAAAATCATGTCTTTTCAGACTGTTTGGAGGGCCCGACGAAAATGCTCGTTTCAACTCCCAAAAATGTATTGACGTGTGGATGTCTAAAGAGTTGAAAGCGCGATGGCTCAAAATGTTCAATAGTGAGACGTGAGATGTGAGCCAAAGGGTCGCGAGTTAAGAAAGAAGAACATCTTAAATGGCTGTGATGACGAAGTGTCATTAGTTAGATATGGAAATGTTACTATAAAACTGCAGAGAAATCTCTATTTTTGGAAATTATCGTCTGAAAATGGCTTTTTGCCAACCCTTCCGCCAAATCCCAACGACTCAACTTCTTTGTGCTCTTGTGTATCAGACGCAATTCTCACACCCCTATTTCATCGAACAACCATAATGAAATTTTCAACGCTATTCGCCCGTCAGAGGGAATTGAAAGATCGTTTGAAATTCGCCCCTCCGGAACAGCCATTTCGCCTTTCATCGAAACTATTATTTTAGCAAACTCGAAGAAGGAAGATAAACTATACAATTTTTCCCTCGTGGAATTGCGCTGTAGTTTTGGCCAAATTAGATGGAAGATCAAATTATCTTTAATGGCTTCATACATTTCAATTCAATCATCCTTCCAATGGAGGGAACACACAAAAGTAATTCACATCTCTTTGCTGGGGCGCATTATTAAATCAATCCTCAAATGCATTTGTGATGCCCTGAGACACGGAAGACAATCGAATGAATCTGGATTTTGGGCCACAGAGTCTCAGGGGCGCACTCAGGGGTGTGTCGCATGTTAATTTCAACCCCGATGAATGCAAAAAAGGGGAGAGAAAGATTTGGATTCTGGCATGAGATAAGATGAGAAAGAAAAGTGACAGGAAATCCTTCGCTATTGTGAATTTTAAATGGGAGAGAAAATGCCAAAAGCCACGAGAGTTCCAGCGGCAAGAATTCGCCCGGGGTTTTGGGGTGGAAAAGGAAAATCACTCATTTTACATGGCTTATCTTTCGTCTCCGTGCAATCGTTAGAAGGCAAAATGGCATGCCCGAAAATGCCACCACTATTACTGTTATCATTTTCTCCGCACCAAGCATCGTCGACAGAATTATTCTAAAATGACAATCTTCCCCCATTTTATTGCACCCCATAATGTGGAAATTTTCCCCTAGAGCTGCCGAGCTCCACCATATCATAAATATATATGGCTGATGCCATGAATGGGCGAGGATGTACCTTCTGCATCCCAGTGTCGAGGAACATCCTAATTTTCCAAACGGCGCATTCGCCCCCAGAAGCGGACGAGGGCTGCCAAATGGAGGGATTACAAGCGCCATTGATTTTGAATAGCGCAGAGTTTCGCAATCAAATCTAAAGTAGTTTTGATGAGAATTGATTTCTCAATTCTTGTCTTAACTCGAATTGCTGATCGTCAGCTGAAGTGTCGATGAAAGAAGCCGTAATTTAACTGGCATTTTGCAAATTTATCAATTAAATTTACTGTTTGCGAATCAAAGTGTCACTAAAAAATTACGTTTGTCACTTTCTCACAATTTATCGCAGTAAAAACAGTCATGATGGAAAATTACCACTTAAGTCCATTGAAGAAATTCAGTGGATGATCAAGTGATGTAGTTTCTCAAAGAATTACTTGTCAGCCTCTCTTTTGAATTCCACGTGTGTGCGTTGTGTGAAAATTGCACAGAAGTAAAATATTAAATTGACATAATTACAAGTGCGAGAAAATTGCGCCAAAAGCATCATTTGCGAAGACGTGCCGAGAGTTTTCTATTCGACTCACAGGGAGGAAAGAAAGCCATACAGTTCGTCCCAGGATTGCCTTAATTGCATCATTAGTTGACGCACTTAATGAGACACGTTAATTTCCGTGGCGATTTATTGCATGTCGGATTTTTCGCCAGGGAAAAAATGAGCTCCTCACACGACCCCGAAGCATTATCATATCACCACACAATTATCCCGCCTTCTCAGAATTTCTAATTTATTTTTTATGAACGGTCGAGTATGTGTTAATATTTAATTATTTAATCACCATCATCGGCTTTCGGGCGTGCGAAGAGCTCTTTGGCTCCACTTAATTAAGGGCGACTTATTGACGAGACTTTTCTCCCCATTCGCCAAAGGAGGAGTAGAAAAAAAAAGTTGCGAAACAAGATGAAACTTGAGGCTGTGAAGATAGCTAGTGAATATGCTGTTTTTTTCGTTTTGTGGGTGAGGAAAACTCGTGGGAGGAATTTGCATCCCGTTGGTGAGAAAAATACGCGTAATCATTGTTATTAGTGTGGCTGAAATCCGTGGAATAACACACACGAGAGGAGCCACACGAGAACAACCAATTTCTGCCTTTTTTCCCTCCTTCAGCCGGTTATTAGATTCTCCCACGAAGAGGCCATTCTGGGTGGAAAATGTGGGGTTGGGCGTCGGGAAAACACAGGGAGAAATTGGAAATTTCAATAAATCGAACCCTCGCCAGCAACATTCGACTTGCTTTCACATATTGCCATCGAAGAGGCTTCGCAGATGGAAAGTTTCAGGGAAATTTTGAGGCAATCTGTGTGAATATTACAACATACCACACTGACGTGGATAGTTGAGAAGTCTTTTCCATCCGGGTCGAAGAGCCAGTCTATACGGAACTTTCGTGAATCTTTCACAATCTTCCCGAGAATCTGAACCCTGTTGTCGGAGGCGCAGAGCCATTCCCTCGTGTGCTTTTCTCCCCTCGAATGGAGAGTCATATATCTGACGAGGTGAATGGATGAATCAGGAGGTGTGGCGGCGGGGCATTTCATATGAGGCGAAGGAGTCATTTTGTAGCGAAACGATGGCCGCATTCCCTCTGGGATGCCATAGTCTCTCTATATCGTGGAAATCCAGCAACATCTTGCAAAGCAAATCACATTCACCCGAAGACACGGTGGGGCATTTAAGAAGTGAAGACGCCCAATGACGCTGAAAATGTCTGTTTGCCTTTCACATTGTGATTTTCCTCTTGGCATTCGCTGCAAGATTGATTTTAAATTCAATTGTCTCCCTTTGACTTGTATTTTTCCCTCAAAAGTCATCGCGGGGGGAATATCAAGGGAAAATCTGGGAAATGTGCCTTCTAATTAAAAAAAAAATTTTTATATTTCCCCAAAGCACTCCTGATTAGTGAGTATACATGTAATTTCACTGCGAGAATCAAATTGACGCGCGCCATGACCTAAATAAACATTAAACATTCCGCCTTTCTTGGGCCAATTCACCGCCACCCTTTTGGCGAATAAATGGGAGAATAATCTTTGGCATTTGGCTGCCAGCATCCGGCACTGAATAAACACTCGGGATAGAGTTCCACCAACTTGAGATTAGAGGTGGGCCTCCGAGATGATATTGCAGGAAGTTGGCCTGCGGGGAAACAGAGGGAGCGTGGAGCAATTAGCAATTAATGGGAACCTTAATGGATTGCTGGTTTCTCAAAATCATCCGTACACACACCCTCACGCACTTCATAGGGGGAACTTTCCCAGTTACTTTTTCCGGGGGAAAATTGGCGGAAAGAGTGGTGGAATTGAAGAAATCAATGAATATTTGGACAACCAAAGCACAACAGCGATGGGATCATACTGGCAAAGACGATGAGATAACTGCAATATTGTCAATATGAGAGTGGAAATTCATTAAAAGCACCCCCAAGAGCATAAAGAACGAGTGAAAGTTCAATAGTTTTATGTGTGAAAAATACAGAGACATGGAGGAACGGAAAATCAGAAGAAAGGCAGGCAATTTAACCCGCTCAGGGGCTCTAATAAATAGTTGTTCAACCCTCTTGGCGAAAAGGCTCTGAATATGTGTCAGTCGTATTGAAATAACAAGCTTATGAAATATTCGCCAGCAATCGATTTGAGTGGTTGGAGGAGCTCTTCAAATGGATATTGACTAGTTAACCCTAGAGTTAGGCACAACGAGTGCGGCGCAAATGTTTGAATTTCACAATTTATACCGGACAAGTTGAAAAAAGTTGGGCGGTGGAAAAATCAATTTGTTACCGAAAGAGAATGAGAGAGAGAGTGAGGGAGAGTTTTTGTCAGTTTTTGGGCAAAGCGCCCGGAAAAGCGAAGAGTAGCGAGGGAGTCTATTGTTGGGGAGGTACTTTATGGAGTTTTGGCTGAGAGAAATTACACTCCTTCTTCATGTGGATAATTTTGCCATTTAATCCCAAGAACACACGGAAAGTCTCCCTCGGCATCCGACACAGAAGACATTCTCAAATACACCCCGTTCTCTATGTGTTTAATTACGCACTACTTCGCTAATCTGCGTCTAAATTACAATTGTGGGGTATCTTGTCAAGGAATGGTTGGGGTGGCTTTATTAACACCTGGCAAACTTTCCCTTTTGCCACATACAAGAGCAAGTTGCACGGTGAATGCAGAGGTTTCGGATTTTGGGGTGAGTGTAAAAGGAGAGAGAGAGAGAGCGTTGGATTGTATAAACCCTAATTTATCAGTTGAGATTACGATAATGACGAAACTTTTGCTCTCCGTGTGTGCAGAAATGACGAGATTCATCAAGGCACTCGCTCTTTTTCAGCTTCTCTCACTTCTGGGGTGGAGAAAAACTTTCAAGAAAAGATTCCAACCGAAATGGGTTTCCCCTCTTTCAACTTCCTGTTTCTTTTCAGTTTTCCGCAGTCGAAGATTTATAGATATGTTGAGCTCGCAAGAGGTTTTCTCCTTTTGGTTTGTGCAAAGAATAAACCCATAAG